TTGGTCAAGACATTTGTCAAGATTTGCTCATCCTCAAAATAAGGATCCATGGCAAGGATATGAGCACCAATTTTATCAAAAGGAATCTTTTTAGTGATACTTGATGTAAAGAGATCTATTAAAAAATGAAAAGAAATAAATACACAGCTATAAATAATCTTTGTACAGTATCTCTCTATGTATCTATATAAAAACCAAATTTCTTCTTCTTTGTTTCTTTTAAAAAAAAATAGTGCCTCACCAACTTGATACGCTCTCTTTGGATCCAATATCTGGGTCACCTCTTTGACTTGACGTGTTTTTAACTGGCCAGTCGGTTTTTGGGCGAATGTCTTTTCAATGTCGTCAAATACACCCGCCTTTGACAGCTTGTACTCAATTGACTGTTCGAATGGCGTACTGGGCTGATCTGGGGTAGTGTCTGATTTACGATGGCCAACATGACTCCAAACAGTCTGGCCAATGTTCATATAATTGATCTTTTCCCACTCCACAAATTTAAGCTTTTGGTTGGCACGAAAATTGCTGGGTTTCCAACCAGTAATACCAGGCATTGCAGGGAACATCGGGCTTCCCATTGGTCCAAAATTGTTTTCTCCGACTCCAGTGGTACCAGGTTCAGGGTTTTGTACCTGAGATCCAGGTGGCGCAGGAGGCCCCGGCGGGGGTGGGGGTGGGGGCGGAGGCGGAGGCCCAGGCGGGGGTGGAGGTGGAGGTGGCGGTGGAGGTGGAGGAGGAGGCGGTGGAGGAGGGGAAGATGCAGACGCAGACACAGATGCAGATGCAGATCCAGGAGGTCCGCTATCTGATGATAAAGATAATAATGAAGGTAAATATTGCTGCTGTTGTATAGGATTTGAAGATGTGCCATCAACAGAATAATCAGATCTATCTTGTAATTTGGCTAGATATATCACAAGTACGCCAAAAGTATAAGCACGTACACATACACACACATACATACATCTGCATATATGTTTATATGTATATATGTTGATATGCATGTATGTGTATGTGTATGGATGTTGAAATAAAAATATGTAGTTTACAATTTAAATTTAAATATAAATATATATATATATATATATATAGTTCTTACCTCCAGACAAAGGTTCCATCGAAAGTCTGTTTGGAGTGGTTGTTTCACGCGAGCTTGAAGAGTGTCTTCGACTATTTTCTCCACTCTCATTTGTCTTGTGACTAGAGAAACTACCTGACTCTGTGTTTGAGACTGATGTATCTTCTTCTACACTAGGTTTTGGTATTGGCTTGCTGCTGACAATTCCACGGGCCAAGACGGGTTCTCGTTTGGGATATTGTGTGCGTTTGACAAGGTTGTTAACCCGCGATCCGAGTTTTGTGCGTAGTGAATTTTTGAAAGTTTCTGAAAGACTGCCGGATTGAGCTACATAGATGGGATCCAAAGACTCTGCCTATTTTGATTTAGTTATATTATATATAAATAAATTTAAAATAAAGGGGGTGTGGCACACATATACAATACACAAAATACCACTATTTGGTTAGTAAATCTTGGCTTTTGTGTGTATATCTCGAGTTAAGTAGTTTTATATTTAAAAGACTTGCCGAAAGAGTTCTCTTTTCAGGATCGTAATTAGGGTTTTGGACATTCCACATCTTAATATCCGTATCAGCCTTGTTCTTTCGGATTCGGGCAGCCTTATCTTTTGAGGCTCCATGTTCTGTCAACTGACGAACATTCTCACCGAGTTGTTTCAGCTTCTCGTTCATGCTCTCGAGTGTGCGCTGGTGCTCTATTCGCAAATCATCCAACCGCTGCCGAAGTACAGAATTGGCTTGCTGTGCAAAGCCTAGTTTGCTTTGAAGTGCATCATTTGTTGATTTCAACTGACCCACAAGCCCATCTTAAATAAATAAATAAGATTTTCATTAGATGCTACAAACAGCACATATGTGTATAGCTTACCTGATTTAAGATTCACTTGTAGTTTTAGTACAGCCTCTCGCTTTAAAGCTTGAGCAGCCATTTCTTTTGCCTCCTCTGCTTCCTTTTGAGCCAATTCTAGCTCATCTTCTTCAGCAAACTTGGCTACCAGATCTTTGACTTTAACTCCATAGGCTTCCGAGAAACCATTTGACACCCCATCTTGTTCAAGCATCACTTGCGTAACCAAGGACTCTATTAGCTGAAAGTATCGATCCCTAAATTATGGCACCGACAGGTTTGAATATCTTTTGATAGTTACATGATTTTATTTTCTTGTCTTGTCTTGTTTAAAGTATATGTATATATACCACAAAGACGTATAATATGTACCTTTTTTCTGGATCGTTTTGAACTTGAAGCATGTGCTGTAGAATGCTCTGAAGATGCTCATAGGCACGAGTGCCCTGAACAGATGATGTAATTCTTGACACCATTTCACCTGGGTCTTTAGAATCGTCAAGTTGAGAGGCACCATAGATCGCATCCGTATCACTTTCTTCAAGATCCTTAAACTCTTTTATTTTTCTGTTCAAAAACTCGTTGTTCAGGTCAGAGAGCTTTTGGAGAATAGAAGACAGTCCAGCCTTGTACAGCTGGTTTCTCAATGTGGTCCTGACATGTTGTTCTTCAACAGTATCGGGGTCAAGAATGGCATTGACCAGAAGTAAATTTGACAACTAGAAAATGCATTTCTCAATAAGTTGTTCTTTCTAAATTATATAAAAAAATAAAGAAAATATGTGACTATGCACACACACACACACACATACATGTATATGTAATGATTGAACTAAACTCTTTATATTTATTCATTTTAAAAAGAAACACACGTACTGCATAATCGGCCAATTGAGCATCCATGCTACCCGAGGCACCCGTGAGTCTCATGTCTTTACTGGCACCAACCATAGAGCCCATTTTTCCTCTGCCATCCAGCATTTTGTCAAATGAGGTCAGCCAGGCATTGAACGGCCCGGCTTCACTTTCGTCCTGAAGCAATTCAAGACCTCGCAGTACAATTTGGTGGCCAGATGGTTGTTCACAGTATGAAATAAAGGTGAGTGCTTCGACTGTGAGACGCCTGACTGCCACGATAGGTGAAAGAACTGAACGTGCAAGAGTATGGATGTATTGATGCTTATCCAATGCTTCTTCAATTCCATACTTTTAAGTTTTTTTTTAAAAGAAAAATTGAAATAAAATGAAGATCCATATTATTTGAATAAAAAAAATCCCTTTGCTGTTATTACCGTTGATTTATTTATTCGTTACTTACCACATTATTAAACATAAACCGTAAGCATTTGACAATCTCATGTTCGACCTGAGCGTCATCTTGATTTCTAAAGAACACAAATAAAATCAGCAAGAAATAGAGAAGAATGATAGGATAGGATAGGATAGTATTTGCTTATTTATTCTTCTTCTCTTTTGCTCTCTATTACTTACCTTTCTGGCTTTTGGTTGATTCTCCCAAGCTCCTCAGTAATTACTCGCATGCCATCCTTTTCAATAAACTCTTTTACCCAGCTGAGTGGCATGGTGCGGAGTCTGACGGCAAGATCGGACACTAGTTTATAAGGAACATCGTGGGCGTCCGTGCGGAGGAAAGATTGAATGTAGTAACTGGGAGATCGCTGGACGGCCTCTGCTTCTCTGTAATTGTATCGTGTAGACTGAGCTTTACTACCACTACCACTACCACTACCACTGCTGACATTGCTGTTGATAATACTATTGTTAATGACGTTGTTGGTTCCGGAGATTGAGGAGGTTGGCTGTGCTCCTTCGAATTTGGCTAGCTGGCCTTCGTTACAGAGAATCCACCATTTTTTGTCAGCAGATAATTCCCTCAGACTGGCCTGGGTTGGCTTGAGATTGAGTCGGTCCTGAAACAAGACGGGGGGTGAATAGAGCATACATAGAGAGATAGATATAGGGAAGAGGTGAGGTGATGTTTTCTAGATTGGATTGAATTGGTTTGTAGAGAAAGTATAATGCCTTACGGCTACTTTGCTAAATAATCGGTCAATTTCTGCATCGTCTGGTCTTGGTTGGCTAGATCTATCGTCAAGTCGACTTCCTGTAAGCCATGGTTGAGCCATGGAATGACTACGACTAGACGCGTCTGCTGCTAATGCATATATATATAAAGAGAGAGAAAGAGAAAGAGAAAGAAAAATGAAACGAATGTCATTGGTTGAATTATGTAAATGCTTTATTAAAATAGAAAGTAGAAAGTAGCCTTTACCTGCATCCCAATCGTGATGGCGATTCGCAGATGATTCTGATGTGTGAATAGGACTAGAGGCAGAAGAGGTGGGATTTGGTTGGCGAGTGCCTTGTGGAGAGGCAAGTGAGGAAGTTTGATTGCGTGCAGACTGTGTGTCTATTGTAGGATTGTGTTGGCGAGATTTCGACTTTAGGCGTCGTCGTCCGCCAATATTTGAAAAGAGGTCCATTCAGTTTGGGTTATGAGCCATGTACAAAAAGAGAACAAAAGAAGGGAAAATAATAATAATAATTAAAAATAAAATAAAATAAAATGATAATCACACAGACTTGCTCCCTTCTTCCCCCTTCTTTTTGATTCTTTTTTTTTTCTTTTGTTTTTGGTCTGTCTATTTTGTCGATAACCAAAATTGACAATAAATGATATATATATACAGTATTGTAATATTTAATGAATCAAGATAAAAATCAATAGTAAAAAAAATATAATAAAATAAAATAAAAGAATAAGAAATTGGTGGACAGCAAATGATCTTTGGAATGCATTAGGGAGCTTTTTTTTTATTTATTTATTTGATTTATTTATTTGATTTATTAGGTGGAATGATTACAGATGGCATGTCATGATTAGTTGATAATATTTGGTACGAACAATGAACGAATTAAAGGAAGGAAGGAAAGAAGGAAGGAAGGAACAAACAAGCAAACAAAAAAGAAAACAAACAAACAAAACAATAGAAAGAATTATATAAAAGAGATAATAAAAGTAATAATGGACAATAAAGGGATGATTTACATATTAGTGTGGTTTTAATACAGGTAGAGGGAGTGCGATGGAGTCTGAGCTGGCAGCTTTCCATATCCACCAAGGACCTCCGTACTCTTCGTCGCCCCAACGGCCGCACAGACCCATGGGCCAGACGAATCGACCAGAGTATTCCCAGGTTTCTTCTGATTCGACATAGGATTTCTCCCATGTTATCTGGCCGTCTTCGGAGTCGTCTATTAATCCTGAGACCGTAAAGGCTCCATTGCCGTCGATGCCTGTGCCTTCAAAGCGAGTCAGAGGACATGTTCGGAGGTGATTAGATGGAAAGCCAAGAGAGTCGGTTGTATTTTCGGAAGTTTTGCAATAAGGTGGTGAAGATAAATATAAAGATGATGATTCTAATAATGATGAAGATGATGATGAAGATGATGATGATAAATATGATGAAGATAGTTGCTGTGGTGACGAATGGACGTGTGGATCAAGTGGGACAATGTGGAGAGATAATCGAATAGGACCATCGACCCAGTCTCCGGGCTGTGAGGAAATTGTGCTGGTGCTACTATTGTCGCTGTCATTGTCGCCTTCGTCTTGGAAAGAGTAGTAGCCGATCCACTCGCCTTCGATCCGATGTGCTTCGGTGACATAGTGACTTTGTGAACCAAAGCCTGTGGAGGCATACACGTTCTCAACCGAGCCGATTACCGGCCTGTCTTGCCAGCCACAGCGGGATTCAGAAAGACTTGCTACAAAAAGATTTCGTTCATAGCGTCGAAGATACTCGACATCAAAGAGAGCAGACGAGAGCGGGAAGAGAGGAATTGGTACGCAGCCTGGGATGGATTGGTAAGGTGTTGGATGATGAGCAAATATGGTGGCGAAGAAAAGGTGATAGGCTGAGGAAGAAGAATCTTGGGCCGGAGAAAATGTTGTAGCCATGTCTGTGGTCTGCATTACGTCTGTTTCTGGGTGATAGGCCATTCTAGTGAGGGATGGACAGACAATTTGACTCTGGCTATTTTGGGATGATCGGAGAGCGTCGGTAAGTTTGAAATCTGCATTGAATTTATCATGATTTTTAGATAATTTTTATGAGTAAAAATGTTATTATTATAAATATATATATATATATATATTGTGTGTATATGCAAGATTGTCAAAAAATAAAGTCAGTAAGGTTTTCTTACCGTAATTTACGAGTAATGATAGGATCGGTAATATGATTGCATGATTACTGCCATCACTATGAGTAAAGGCATCCGCGGCAGCTACTGGAACATCGTAATAATGTAGTAGCCAGACATTTCGATCATCTAACAAATGACTAAACGTATCAGAATCAAATGTATGTGCGATTATTGTGAAGTATTTATTTACCATGCTCGGTCAGCATTTCCCAGATCACTTCCCAGTCCAGATATTGAAGGTTTGATGTCTGGCGGGTCTGAGCATAGGCCCTACAGCCATAGAGAGCCTTAAATCGCCGGTTCATGACCGCTTTCCAGTCTATGTATCGGTCGAGACGGCGGCGGTAAAGAGCTGCAGTATCGAAACGGACGTGGAAGGCACAGCGCCAGAGGGTTAGTAAGCGCCATGGGTCGTGGTGTATGAGATAATAGATTTCTCTGGACGTCTTTGATAGTTCGATCAGAGACGATGGATAATCTGTTTGTGAATCGACTGCAACGTAGGACATGATCTTAAGGATCAGTTCTTTTGGCAGTCTGAGCAAGCGTGATTCGGTTGGTGATGCTTGCTCGAGCCAAATCATATGTTGACGGTTCATCAAGAAGTAAGAAAGCGAAAAGAGAAGAAGATAAAGGAATGAGGCTAAGCAAGGAGTTAAACAAGAAGAAGTAGTAGTAGGACGAGAACGACGACGAGAACGACGACAAGGACGAGGTAAAGGTAAAGGTAAAAGATAAAGGTAGAGGTAAAAGAGAGGGGGAGAGGAAAAGAAAAAAAAGAAAATAAATAAAAAATAAATAAATAAAAAATAATAAATAAATAAATAAAAATAATTATTATTAAAAGGGTCTAGAATGCGGGCTGCCTATTTGAGTAAGACTCCACCAAGAGCTACCCGAATTGTATTCATCTTACCACCACCACCAAATCCATTCTGTCGGCACTCCTTTCTTTCTTTTTGGTCTTACAAACCCATGCATTCCCTTGCCCTTGCCTTTCTCTCTCTCTTTGTCTTACTCCTCTCCCCACTCAACCCCCCTTTTTTTTTACCTTTTTTTTCTTTTTCTTTTTTACTTTATTTGGCTTGACTACCAATCGCACCAATTCAAGACATAGAAATATGCTATGCTGTTTTATTTTAATTATTTTATTTTGGTATTTATTTATAACACAATACACAATACAAAATACAAAATACAAAATTTCACATACAAAATTCACATACAAAATACCAAAAATTGCCTTTATTGATTAGAGCCGGCAATCGCCATCAAAGTAGCCAAACACTGTACTTTATCCCTGAATTCCCTATACTGGACTTGGAGATTTCATTGTCCTCACCTCCTTTTTTATTCTTTTTTATTCTTTTTTATTTATTTATTTTTATTTATTTTTGTTCCTTTACCAGCCGTCGCTTTCTCCGCGACTCTCATCTTAAGAAGCAGTCCAGCACGCTAAAGTAGTGTCTTTTATCGCCGTTGATTTTATCTTTGGTCAGACCAAGACCAACACTAGCTTATGCATCAAGGAAAATTTATTTTTAATTTAATTTATTTATTCTTCTTAGTAGATATATATATAAAAATTAAAGAATATATATATATCTTTAAATATGATTACCTTTTAACAACAACAGATGAAAGAAAGAAGTAGAAAAAGGATGTAAAATATGTGTATTTGTATGTGTATATATGTGTGTGTGTGTGTGTACACAAACTCTAATTAAAATTGTTGTCATGGTAACCATCCAAGAAGTAGGTTTTCTTTTTATTTATTTATTTGTTTCCTTGGAGATGGAATGTAAAAAAAATATAAAAAATAAATAAAAATAAAATAAAAAAGGAAAAAAAAAGAAAAAGAAAAATGGAAAGGAAAATATCAACCGCCAATGGTGTTGGTTGTGAAACCGATCTATCGGAATCGGCCATGACCTGATCAGTACTGAATGTTACACAAAAAGGCAGTCGTTGCCATCTCACCCTGAATTCGTGTCACGCCAAAGATGTTTGAATTTATCTTTTTATTGCAACTGGTTAAAATCATCCCTCACACACAAGTCACTTTTTGCCACACTCAAGGCATATTGCTATTCACCTTTTATATTTATATTTATATTTATATATATATATATATACATATTATACTTTTTTATTATTAAAAAAAAATTAATTATTATTAATATTAATATCATGGTAATGGTGCTAGTAGTCGTTATATAATTATTATTTTTATAGACTAAAGTTCAAAAAGAGGGCACTATCATTACAAGCTATGGTATAGTGAGATGTAGTGTTGTTATATTTCTTCTATCTTTCTATCTATATACCTATCTTTCTTTTGGTAATGATTACTCTTATAAAATAAAATTGCCTGTGACAAACACAGAATATTTGCTCGGAAAAAAAGAAAGAAAAAAAGAAAGAAAGAAAGAAAGAAAGAGGACATTGAATATTATTTTTTTATTATTGTAGTTAGATGTAAATTATTTTTATACACAAATACAAGCACAAACACAAGCACAAGCACAAGCACAAGCGCAAACACAATCACTTCAATTAAGCATTTCAGTTGATTTTTTGTTACATAGCTTGATACATGTATATGAAATCCAATAATAGTACTAATAATTTTAGTAAGTATAATGGTAGAAATGTTAAATAGGGCAAGACTTGATCCATGTGTATACAGTATTTGATGAGACCAATTACAGAGATGGTGACTATTAAATGAGCTCCAGTTATTCTGTATTGAATTGAATTGAACTGAATTGAACTGAATTGAACTGAATTGAACTGAACTAAATTGAATTGAATTGAATTGTATCGGACTTGCTTGGGTTAGGTTAGGTTATGTTGGGTTGGGTCGGATTATATAATACAACCGATTATACTAAAGACTCTTTGGTGCATTTTGAAATCATGACTATAAGTTAAGATACTAGTAAGCAGCGTGTAAATAGATATGTGTATGTATATTTAAGCATATAAACTTATCATTCTATTAATATTCAGCATGTATATTTGTGTAGCTAATTTGTGTAAATGATGAGCCTTTATATGCTTGTGCTTTTAATATATATTTTTTAAAAAAAAAAAAGAAAAGAAAGAAAGAAAATAAGAGCTTGAAAATAGTACCTAAAGATTAGTGTTTTTGTAAAATACGCTTCTTGGTTTCGGAATTCTTTAGACTATTCCTATTTATTTTTATATTTTGTAATTTTTTTTTTGCGGTATAACTGATATGCTCTATTTTTCGATTTGGTTTGACACAATTTTACTGCACTCCAGAAAGCAGAATAATACTCACCATTATGAACTCAAATAGTAAACATACGTTTTTTTCAGGGCACTTGTTTTCACAATGTTATCTTCATACATATATACATATACACATATATTTCTACACTTTAACTGGCCTTTACAGGGTTCAATGTAGTTTGTTCATGTTACACTCTACTCTATATCTTGACCACTCTTATCTTATTTATTATATTCTGTTTTTTTTTTTAAAAAAAAAAGGCAGGTTCATCTAAATATTCTTTTAGCCATGATACTCTAAAGACTTTTAGTATCTTTATCGTTAAAGAAAAAAAAAGCTTCCAATTAAATGGCAATCATCCAGGGCTATTAAAGAGGACAAGTATATAAAGTTCATTACATAAAATCTTTTCACTTGTCCAAATATACAAAAAGAAAAACAGTAACAGTAACAGAAAACAAAAAGAAAATATCCAATATTTTTTAAGCGTGTGTATTTAACATATATGACAACTAAGAGAATGAAGAAAAGAAGAAAGAAATACAAGTACAATAAGACAGTAGGATTTTGACGTAAAGCTAAATATATATATATATATATACTAATTGGCTTGTCAGTATAAAAGGTTCCGTATTTACAACCAATGATACTTTGTGCCTATAACCATTTATTCGGGCGGTTGCCATATGGCAAATAATAAAGGAGATCCCAACAATGAATAATATGTGTAGATTAAGCATCTAAAATTATATACATATACCATCATTTCTTCTTTCATGTACACAAAAAAGGAGATTTATTGATTTATTCATTGATTCATTGATTCATTGATTTGTTCATTTGTTCATTTTAAAATAGCTACATTTACAGCTGTTTCGATCCCTTTGACTTGGCAGTCGATTGCTCTAGTTCACACGTGGTGAGCGCTCTCTCAAGTGAGCCAAAAAGGAGATCCGACTGGACAGACACCGCGTCGTACACCACCCAATAGACAGCCAGTCCATCTCTTTGTAAACCAGCCCAATCCAATTCCTCGACTAATCGCCTCATTTGCTCCATTGCTTTGGCCACCAAAGGAGCTTGTGATCCCATCCACTCACACACACTCCAGAAGCACCTTGAAAGTATCTCAGTCGCAGAATACACCACCGGCCCAACATTCTCAATCATCCTCCGACAGCCACTAACCGCCCACTTGTTCAACCACCCAAGTCGTTCAACTATCCAGTCCTGGGAAACAGCAAGAGCACAAATCTTGTGGCACAGCTCCAGGAGTGGTCGTGTGTGTGGATAAATACGGACCCACACTGGATACACCTGATTCTCAAACACACCAATCGCCACGTATCTCAATCGCTGGTGTGCCTTTGACAGACGGGGCAGCAGGTGTTGCACGAATAGAATGACTGTAGGAACCACCACCGTATTTATCAGGCACCCGACCCAGATGTTGATGTCCTTGACCATGTCCAGAAGATCAAGTACAGCCCAGACGAGATTGGAAAACAGAGCCTGTCGAAAACGCAGTATCCTGGTGCGGAACCCATCCGACTCCAATACTCTCGCGATCCGCTCTACGGTATAGACAGCCAGTACACCACTGATGGTCAGCACGGGTAAGATTACTTGTTTGTGTAATTTGTCCAACACCGGCTGGAAGTTTGCAGAAGACCACGCCACACCCGATCGAATTGCGTCGATAATCTTGCCGGCCAGCCAGCTCGAACGGACGGTATCGAACACCAGAGACAACCCCCCATAGATCGAACGTATGTCTTCCCAAAGTGAGATGGCGCCAGAATAACACACTCTGTAGACCAATACCAATATCCTGTGTGTTCGATAACAGAACGACTCCAGCGGTCTCCAGATCTTCAGAAACAGAGCTTGCCAGTCGTGCATGTTCACAATAGCCGTGTATGTGTGGCAAGCGGCCGTCCAGCCTACATTAATAGCTGCGCATATCGAACAAAACCATCCAAACCCTCGCTCAACTCCTGTCACTACTGCCGGTAAAACTGCTTTGTTGATGTAGTCTATACACTCGCGGCACCAAACAAGTCCACGGTCATTCCACCACCGCTCAAGCTGGCCAAGTCTTGAAGGAATTGACTCAGTCACGGTCTCGAATAGCCAATTGTCGATACGTGGTCCGGCCTGTTCGCACAACCACAATATCCAATATACTCCCAGTCGTAGCACATCCAACAGTGCACGGCCCACGATGTACAACGCTGCAAAGGGTGAGACTAAGATGTAGTGGATCAAGGATAGATTAATTTCTTGTGGAGTTTTTTTTGATGATTGAGATTGAGATTCATTCGGAATTGTGTCTTGATTGCTGTCTTGAATTGCATTGTTCATCCTTCGTTGTCGCCATTGTGGATAATCTTTAGCGAGCCAGAATAGGAAGGCTGTGATTGAAACTACCAGAAACGTCTTTTTTGAACATAGAATAGAAACCAGAAAACTTGTATTTGACATGAGTATACAAATATTTAAATATATACAAGTGTGCTTGTGTATGTATGTATGTGTGTCTTTTTTTTTTGTGAGCGAATAATTTTTATGTGTTTTATTATTTCTTTAATATGTATGTTCGTATATTTATTAAGCGTACCAATAGAAGAAGAAGAATAAAATCTAAGAGAAACTAAGCATGCACATAATGATTGTTAATAATACATGCCAAGATAAATGAATATGTCATTATATATAAATAAGCACACACAAAATATGGCTTAGTGGGTGACTTTGTACCAAATATTCCTTGACTTCTTACTTTTTATTTGATTCTGTTTGGTCTATGTAAATTTATGAGTGGTGTGTTATCAAATACACACTGGGTCATTCTATACGTACATGAACACATATACAAATTCAAAGTCTTGGGCTGTATGTTAAATACCAAGGTTTTCTTAACCTTTCTTTGCCTATTAATTTTATTTATTTATGTATTAATTTAGTGTCCAGATTCTTTTCGTTCTTTTTTTTTTATTAGTCAAAATATATATATATGCACACACTACGCATGCAATCAAAAATGTAAAATAGCCTAGCCAAAGTAATCAAGTGAGTTCAAGCCAAAAATGAACTTTACAAGAGCTACCTTTTTATTGATTTATTTGTCGTTCTTTGCAAGGTTACATACAGCTATTCCATCGAATTTAAACATAAGCAGTTACAAGCTCCCCTTATTCACCAAAGATATTAACCAAAACAATATTACTACTACTAAGGGGCTTCTCAAGCACCCGCCAAGGTCCTAAATGTTTGCGGTGATTTCCATATACGGATTGGCGAGAGATTCTTAAATTAGTAACCTTCGCCAAAAGTCGAATCCAAAGTTTTGGCGAATCGCCAACAAATTTGGCTAAATTAGGAAATCTTCGCTAATACTTATTTGGATTTCAACGCCAACTTTTAGGTCTTTGGCGAGTGTTTGAGAAGGCCCTAACAATATTAATAATACTAATGGTATGTGCACTAGTGCTATTGCTATTACTTATAAGTAGTGCCATAATATTTACTGACCTATAGCTTAACTTGACCAATAACCCCTTTGACTAAACAAGTCTCCTATTGATTAGCTTAATGCCGTATACAAAATATCATTTATATATATATATATATAATAGAAAAAGGTACTATCTTTAAAGACCAACACAAGTGACTCCGTTTACCTCCCCTCTGTACTATTACTCTCTCCTTTTATTATTATTATTATTATATCTTTATGTAGGTAGATGTGTATTCAGTCAGTCTATTTATCTACTATCTTCCAAAAGCTTAGTTACTAGATTTAACAAATTCACACACACACATATATATATATATATGTGTCTATATATGTGTACCTTTAGCTTACAATAGAATATGGTAAAGGTAAAGAGAATTACATTTGTTATTGCTGTATTTATTAAATAAATAATGGTAATATTGCAACAAATGAACAAGAGCAGAAATTACATTGTTGTGGTCGTTATTGATATGCTTGATATGCTTGATATTAAAGAGTTTAGGTTTAGCTTCTTTACTATTCCACATCTGGTCAAGTCTAGTGGATTTATCCTAGAGCAAAAGGTAAAGATGTCTTGAGGGCAGAGTAAGACTGCGATATATTTGTAGACGAATACTCATACTTGTGATCATAATAAGATCTGGAGGTCCTGAATATTTCTTTTCTTTTTGGCTATTTCTTTTCATTAGTGTAACCTTTTATTCTATTTTTCTCGTCTTCTTCCTCCTCCTCCTCTTATAGGTTACACACATTCAAGGCACCGGGTTTAACTATATAGATTAACTTCTTTCTTTTATATATTTATAATTATTTATTAATATCCTTATATGTTTATGCTAGAAAGAAAAAGGCTACTGCAATTTTGTTTTTTTTTCTTGCTTTCTTAAGAAGATGTGTACCTCATTTACACACAAAACATGTACTATTCTCTTCCTTCCTTACTTCTATTCCGCGGTATTTCGGAATAGTATTAATACAGCCTGGCTTTCCTCCTCTTTTACCTTTTCTTCGAAATTAAATATAAAACTAACCTTTCGATTTTATACATTAAATTAATAGTATTAGTAGGAGGAAGAGGAAGAGGAAGAGAAATAGGAAGACGAGGAAAAGACATTTTTTACTTGTTGTACAACATAGAGCACACCATGCTGTGCACCAAAAAAATAAATAAAAATAAACTATTTTCCATGGGCGTAAATACAAAGCCAACCTCTATTGGTGGTGTATATATTAAGTATATAAAGATAGTGAATTTTATAGAAACAAAATCTAAACTTTTATAAACCTCTTTTTTTTTTAAGAGAATGGCTCTCATGCATATTCTGACAAGCTATGATGTAACTTTTATTTATTCATTTGTTTATTTTCTGTAACATTTGTATTGTTACTGCGGTTAAAAAGCCAAAATAATCCCCCGTTGAGTTAAACTAATGCAGTGCAACATTCCATCATTGTTACCCTTCTTCTTCTTTTTCTTCTTACACCTATTCATACTCATATTCAGCTAATTGTTTTTTTTTAAAAATCTATAATATAAAGTCTTTCTAATAATATTAGAAAATAAGATCCTTTAAGTATTTGTTCAATTACCAACCTAACAGAAGAAAGGCTGCGATATAACCAGGCCTTGTTTTAACTTTGAGCTGAATTAAAGTGAAAATGATAATTACCAAATCCTGCTTAAAAATGTAAATATTGGGACAAAGAAGATTAGACTGTGTGTAGATGTGCATGAGTGGGAGCACTTATATATCTCGGGTTTCTAAAAGGCACTTTAGATCAATTTGACAAATATTTACAAGCTTCTGTTTACTCTTAAAAAGAAATTTATCAATGTCTCATTAGAAGCAATGGTTATATTCAAACATTATATCCACTTTGACAAGGTTAATATATCGTTACTTTCTCACAGAAAAACATCTCTATTTTGAGCATACATTATTTACTTTCTTTTTACAGAAGCTTCTCTTGGAGCTCAGTCGCTTATATCAAGTTTTTTTTTTAAAAAAAAGAGCTAAGTCAGTCTCCTAGTTGAAAGCTGTCAAAGTTAAAACATGGCGGTTTGATTTTATATTTTGGCTTTATGAATCCAACAATATACTATTTCTGAAAATCATCAGCATAAAAAAAAAAGATCAATTTAGCAGAGAAATGTATAGAAAATAAACTGATTTTCTAAGCTATCTTTACACAGAATTGATTTTTGTTGGTAGAGACACATATCAGACTTTCTATAGTTGAGGCACAATATGGACCAAAAAGCTGAACTGAAGGGGGGAGGGGGTTGTTTGGCATTCTCTACCTTGGGATTGGTTAATATATGCTGAAGAGCAGACTTTGCGGGATAAAGTATCATGGCTGCTTTAAGGTTTTTCATTTAAGCGAAAAGAGACTGAGGATAGATGAGCTTGGTAATCTAACCAAAGTGTGAAAGAAAAAGTTGGTGATGTTATTAATCTGGGTTGAAGTCCAGGAGATGGCCTTTTCGGCACTAAAAACATTCGGCTCTTAATATCCAAAGTATTTTTGTACAAAGCTTACTAGGCTTTGCCGGCTTAAGCTCGACTCTTGTTTTTTTTGTCGTCTTTAAATGGATGTGTACTGATAATATATTCTGTCTGGTCGTAGTATAGTACTTGGGCATACATAATAACAGGACTCTCCTTCCAGAACCAACAAACTCATAAAATATATGAGTTATATCATGCTACTATGGTGAGAAATCACAGACATAAACAATCTCACGACAAACACGAATTTAGTAATATACTATTAAATCCAGTTTTCTCCACCATGACAATACTGTCCTATGTAACCCATATTCTGATAATAGATAATATTAATAGTAATAGTAACATAATCTATCCAGCATTACCAGCTATACATAAGATATGTGATATACACACCACAATTGAGTGAAATGCAGACTCCACAACCAAACACTGGCTTCTTTTTGCTAATATACCTGGCAAGTTAGCACTCTCTGGAACTGTTACACATCAGGCACACATACACTGCATACTTATATAGCTTAAACCAACCATTACAGAGCAGGGATTTGAATAATAATAGATATAAACAATAGTATTTGATTCTCTCTAACAGATAACAATTTTACAGTATCTATTTTTTCTTTTATTGAGATACTACCCCAAAATCAATTCCGAATACCTCACCCATTACACTTCCTAATAAAAGGATAAAATCCGATTTCTTCAGTAATATTCGTTTCCTAATTACTTTAATTTTATTTGTATATAAATGATTTTTGTATATAGATCTCTTACAAAAAAAAGATTGGGGATGCATGTTATTTTCTGTACCATCATCTCTAAACATCTTATGGCAAACACTCATTTCCTTGAAAAATCATCTTGATACTTTCAACTAACGGTATAACCTCATTTAAATGGAACTCAACCCGGAATTCAAAATTCCACCTATTTTATTGTGATGAGATCCAGATAATATACATATATCCATTTTCCTTTTTTTCCTTTTACATAAGGCTTATAATCATTATCAAACATATATAGATTTATTTCCTAGTGTCTATTGAGTCCATTATATGTCTGCTTATACAAATAAAAGAAGAAAACTTTTTCTCGTGTCCTTGAACAAAAAGCGCACGGACCAGCTTATAGTAATCTACAAATCGCCGTTATAAAAACTTGTACTCCACTTTGAGAATTATTTCTATACCGATTAAAACTAAACCCTTTGTTACTCTTTTTACTTCTTTACTTCTTTGCTTCACTTTACTTTGCAAGGATGTTTTGCACGGATTTTTCGATTAAATTTATCTGTTATTACTACTGTCATAGAGCAGTTACACAACCATACTAAAAAAAGAGTATAGAACTATGTCACTACTCTGACGTGGGAGGCAAAGAACACCCCTGGCAAAAAAAAGCGCAGTCCCAAACTTTAGTCGCAGACTGCGGGTATATCAAAACAAAGCCCATTCAACCGACACGGGTTTCTTCTCTTTAGCTTTTTTTATACTCTGGAGACGGGTACCCCCTGATTGCCTGTAGTTGAGTTTGACGCGCTACCTATGGGTGATTGGGAGACATTCTTTTTCCATTCTGTGCAGGAAAAAGTGGAAGTGCGTCGTCTCTAGCTTCTTAGTTAATTCTTAGAGGCGCAGATCAACATTGTTCTGAATTGTGAATTTAATTGTATAATTTCTGAAACAATGGCGACGAGCAATGTTTAAAAAAAACTGCCGCCGAGTTAGCATCATGAAAGTTTATTGAGTGGAGGACGGGGAGGAAGTGGAGTTTACTGCCGACTCTTCATGAAGTCCTTGTTCGAAGCTCTCTGGAACTGACGGTGTTGCTTGGTAGTCGAACACGCTGGACCCTGCTACTTTGTGGTAGGTTTCTCTGGTACGTTCGCAGGCCCTTCTCAGTGATGAGATAGGGCAGTTGGGATGAACCCGGTTGTTGTCTTACGCCACGGATTAACACCATTCCCACACCTCCTTCGCTACCAAGTCAGGTTTACGTCCTGAGGGAGATTGAGCCGCGTAATGCGGGGACAAAGAACTTGGTGTCATGCTTTTTATTCTTTTACATTAGTAAAAGAACATTAAGTGAAATTATATGAAATAAAATAGCTTTATGTATAAGTTTAATAAATAAAATAATTTTTAAACTGTTGTTGACTCTAATAAAAAAATACGCGTTTAAACTTTTTTTTTACTTGATTGAAGAAGTTACTGTTGTAATTAGGACAGACACATTTATAAGAAAAATTAATCTAGTTAAATAAATCTGAAGATTAATATAATATAATATGTCTTTTATTATAATTGTGTCAATCACCGTGTTTGATTGTATAGGGTGCTTTTGGCGGTAAAGTTGAGACGATTCTTGAGAATGCTAATTGCGCGAAATATATAATACTGAATTTGGCTAATTCGGATGGACATTGTAAAGATGTATTAAAATAAGAGGAAGAAAAAGAGAGAAAGAGAGAAAAGTCAGAAAAAAAATTAAGAGAAAAGAGAGATGAGAAGGAATAAAGAAATGCGTGTTTGAAAGAGAGGCAGAAATGATGTGGTGAATTGAATACGCCAGTAATGTCCTCTTCTATTTACACAGACTGTACACAAGAAGTTTAATATGGACATATTTATGGAACAATAATAGTTATCTAAAAACCTTTTTTTTATATTACAGTCTTTAAAAGATAAGATATGGCATAGGGCATATTAAGTAAGCTAAGCGTGAATATCATAAAAGAGACATTGTAATATTGAATTGGATGAAGTGATTCGAGGTTTTAATGCATTTATGCCGATTATTACAACCGATTCATTTATATGGTTGATTTGCATGGTGGTTTTTTGGTGTTTTGCCTAGGTAAAAGTGTTCGAAGATACTTTGATTTTGCAATATCAATATCGTCAATTTTCCTTAAATCACTACCAAAAAAGCAATTCAACCTAACTTTTGAAGAGATCGAGAAAGATATGTTCTAGTGTATATAGATATGAAATAGAAATTGCATACCTCTAATAAAATCATTAAATAAAAAATAAAAAGCCACGCTTTTAAGAACTACGCACTTATTAGGATTAATTTGAACAAAGCTTGTATGGATTTGGTATGAAATTATAAATGAATATGTGATGAATATATACAATGGGCCATTACATTGAATGTGTTGGACTATAGCCTTATGACATGTATTTGTTAATATTATTTTTGCCTTGCCGAATTAAGTTGAGAATTCTTATGTAGAAAAGTAGGAAAACGAATAATATTTTAAAACCATTATCTTATATATTAAAGGGTTTCTCCAGTTTTCGGTAATTGACTTCTGATACAGAGGTTCTTTAATAGAAAAAAAAATAAGATAAAATGGTTTCCTGAAACGGACTAAAAAGAAAAAGAATCTCGACATCCAACCATCCGACAATTTCGTTACATGTTTGGATGTCAAGCTTTATTGAACATTATCGAATAAAATAAAATATGCTATATTAAAAGTCAAGCCTTAGAAACTAGTGGAACCTTAATTTTATTATCATCTTGAATTCAAATCACTCAGGAATACAGTACATTATAAGGTTAATATTGCATATATACATTGATCCAAGAGAAGAATACTTTATTTTGAGAAGCTATTATTTAAATGTCGACGTCACAGTGGTATGTATAAAAGAAGTGGTGCTCATAGCCATATGCTCTTACGGCTGAAGGAAATAATGGGCCTACCAAAAAAAACACCAGGTACGATGGTGTGACTTGATTTTTTTTAAAACGCTTGGATTAGATTTCTTTGACAAAATACACAATACACACTTGTTCAAGTCGTACTACTTCTTCCACACCATGTTTGCTCAGGTCCGCACCTTGTCAACACTTTCTGGTGTCATGCGCACACCCATTGTCAGAGCACTCCCTCTGACTCACCGCTCCATGACTACTGCAGCCAGCAATTCTCAGAGCAAACCCGAGCGTAGTGCGTACAAACGAACAACATGTCAATTCATAAATTAACAACAATTGCATTCTGTGTTTAAATAGCCATCGAGAAGAAAACTCTCGCACTTCTTGAGGATTCCATTAAAAGTAAGAATATAATTTCAATTCACTAAATTTCTATGAAAACTTGTATATATACATATTGGTTTTACTATCAAATCTTATTCTAAATTTTATCTTTTTTTTATTCTGCTAGAGGAAAAGTCAAGACCTGTTGTAGAAGCTGTACAGAGATATCAAAAAATCCACAGAGTAGGAGATACCTATCACCCTGAGGATCTCAACGACACACGCTACCAGGAAAGCTTACGCCAACGTCGTGGTAGACCTGTCACCCCTGCTGTTGATCCTTTTGACGCTCTTGGTCTTGATCCTCTTCACGAATACAAAAACTTCAGATTGTTGTCCCACTTTGTTTCTGATATGGGCAAAATTCTTCCTCGTACACAAACTGGTAAGATATTCTAAAACCAATTTACCTGTCATTTAGATCATTCTATTTTATTTATTTATTTGCATGTGTATGTCTGTGTCTGTATGTATTGTAGGTGTGAGTGCAAAGAACCAGCGTAAATTGGCACATGCCGTAAAGCGTGCTAGAGCAATGGGTAAGGAATTCAATACTATAACAGAGAAAAAGAAGAAATTGTTGGTGTATATACATATTTATTGTGGATACTATTTTATTCTTTTGTGTGTGTGTGGAAATATAGGTCTTATGTCTTGCACCAGCAAATACGTTAGCCCTATGCAATACTGGAAGAATACATATTAGAAGAAGAACCGAAAGAAGTGAAAGGAATAAGTGTCATAAGTATCATAGAATAAACTGGTTGATTATTGTTATCGTTATTATTTGGGCAAATATTAGTTTGCGAGCGGGAATGGGAAGATATAGAGAGAAGATTATTCAACGTCATAAAACTATAAAAGATACAAAGTAAAATCACACGCATGTATATATATATATATATTGGTTAGCTACATGGTGTACCTGAATATCATTAAATCGCATTACCTCTCTGTTTTTTGCTTCTTCTACTATCATCTTTGCTCTTCCTACTCGTCTTTCCATCAACGTGTCTTGGAAGAAACAGCCCATTTTCCATGTTTTGTTACAACCTAAAAAATCAAACATGATATACATATTATTTAATGATCATGGTTTATAACAAGCACCGATTTTGTAATGAATTGCTTTTAAAGAAATAATAATCTTATACCTGGATTAGGGCACTGAACAATTCCATGTCGTGCTCTGATCATATTCACAATTGGCTTTTTGGAGAACGTGTGCTTGCAGTCATAGCTATTTACAGAGATTTTAGTCCAACGAGGTTTCTGTGTGCTCGTTTAATCCAATATACCTTGTCACAGGATCCTCGAACCAAGTTGTAGTTAATGGACAGGTCAAAGATCGTTTTGTACTGCTAACAATCACATCGTCGTCATCTCCTCCGTCCTCTTCTTCGACCTCTTCATTCTCTGGCATTTCCTCATTAGGATGTTTGACATTCTAAGTAAGAAACAATCCACAATTTAGTCAATAAAACATTAACAAATGACATACATACATACATATATATATATATATATATATATCAGCTCTTATCATTATTGATAAAAGGTCAATATTAACTTACCCACACCGCTTGTTTAAATTCGCTCATGAACTCGTTTTCACCATACTTTTGTTTAGCCGAAAGACTATTGTATTCATCCTCTTCTTTGTGTATTTCATCTTCATAGTCTTTTATCATATCTTTCTATGTATTTGCCAATGTCAACCAAAGAGAATGTCACTCGCATTATCAAATTAAAGATATAGTGTGTCGTACCGTGCCTCCGCTCTGCAAAGACTTTTGTTTAATTTTTTGAATAGTCTCCTTTTGAGACGAATACTTGTGTTCAAGATCAATAAAATCGGGTACGGATTTTTGAAGTCTTTTGACCTAATATTAATTGACATTAGTAGTGTTGTCTATGTAATATGTGCGTTTACGTATGTATGCATGTACGCATGTATGCATGCATACATGTGATTATTTATTTACCTGATCACCTTGATCAAGTTCTTCTAGATCTATTGCAGCATCAATCAATTGCACCATGCCTGTACGAATGTGACCTTCGATTATATCACTATCTCCAATAAACTGAGTAAGGCGTTCGGCGTGAAAGCTGTTGAGTCGAAAGTCATTAAGGACTTGGGCTAATGTCTGCACTTCTCTTGTGCTTGTCATTTATTTTATTTTTCTTTTTAGTTAAAGATCAACCTCAAGAAGGTAAAGCATATTTATCACGTGGACACCCCTTCATTGACCATGTGACTGCGGCATAAAGAGCATTTGAATGGCCTTCTCCTTTCCCATTCCTCCTCCTTGATAAATCCTCTTTTTTTTTAATTGGTTCTTACTTTTGCTTTCATCTTTTTATTTTTTATTTTCTACTTATTTACAATGCTTTACAGCTTATTATTAGCTATACTACTGTCTAGCTATGCAATACCTATACTTGCCTACAAAACGCTGATTGATGTACTTTCTGATGAGGGACAGTACACAACGCTCATTAAACACTTGCAATACCGACGTCTGGTGCCGTACATCAATGACATCAAAGCCGGCACACTTTTTGCTCCAAACGACGAGGCATTTGGATCGTATGTGCCTGGCTCGGTATCCAAGGACCAACTTCTTTATCATTTGTTGCCAAATCCTATGAAAGGAGACGAGTTTTTTGACGGCCAACTGCTTGGTTCGCTTTACGTCCGACCAGGTTTTCTAGGCCCCGCCGATGCCAGCCAGTTGATTAAAATCACAAAGGAAGGTTTCACTGGAAAAGGCCGAGGCAAAGTCTTGGTGAACGAAGCACCTATTGTCAAAAAAGACATTTGGGTGAACAATAATACGACAATCCAGGCCTTGGGAAAAGTACTTTTTCCACCTCATATGCTCAGTAAGCTTAATCTTTATTTTCTTTGTTTTAGCTTTATGGTTACATAATGTATCTCTCTCTCTCTCTCTCTCTGTGTGTGTGTGTGTATACAGATTAAGAAGAGTTGGTTTTATTTTGTTTGATGTTTATTAATACTGAGTAATCCCTTTTTTGTTTCTTATTGTAGAAAAACAACTGGAAGACAAGCCGAGCTTATTTGAACTACTGAAACGTCTAGGAATAGATACTCTTCTGAATGAAGCACGGCCCTACACGGTATTCGTGTCACGGATGGATGTGTTGAGCAAGTTCAATGCAATTGAACAGCGTTACATCCTGTCAGAATATGGTCAACAAGACCTCTCAGGTCTCGTGCGTTACATGGTTGTCGAAGGCGCGTTGTTTGCTGACGCATTCCCGGTTGGGGAATCATCTCGTAAGTAGTAAACAAACATCGGCAATGACGGGACTTGTCTTATTTGTTGTTGTTGTTTTTTGTTTTGCCTGCATGTGTGCGTTTCTTCTTTTTTTTCTTTTTTTTGACTTAAAATAATAATAACGATTATAATAATCATTATAGACAAGACAATCTCTGGGGAATACATCACTATTAACAAGAGTGAAGATAAACAGCTGACTGTGGATGGAATCCGAGTGTCAGAGAAGGATCGTTTGGCTGCCAATGGTAGGTTTCGATTGTGTAGCATACAAATAGAAAAGAGAAAAAAAAAGACTCATTGGTGCGACTGTATCACTCAGGTGTCATTCATGAAGTTGAAGACACGGTTGTGCCTCGGAGCATCTGGTTTAATTCCCGCAAATACCTCTACGGACTCAACGCTACTGCGTTTGTTGAGCTCATGGATCAATATGGCCAAGCACACTATATTGACTCCCTCATCGGAAACTACACCTTCCTTATTCCCTCTAATGAAGACCTCGAAGATGACATGATTCCAGAAACTGTCAAGCCTTCCTGGCTACGATACCACATCCTTGGTGGAACGTGGACTAAAGACGATTTCCAGAACAGCACCCTTGTTGCTTCTGAATTTAGATCAGAATACCTGGGAGGCGCTAGACAGAGAATTCCTGTATATGTTGAAACAGAAGGCGTTCAAGACATATCCTCGAGACCGACCGGAAAATCTGTTCGGTTTGGTCGGTCCCGTATTCTCGGAGAAATTGGTAAGTTATATATATATGCACATATGGAATGAGCTCATCTATCGATTGTGCTAATCAATGTAATTTTACTAATTGACAAATACAAATAAACAAACAAAACAAACAAACAAACAAACAAACTATCAAACAAACAAGTCAGTTTCCGAGGATCCATGTTCTATCAGCTCTCGGAACCCCTCAGTTTACCAGACGACCTTCTCAACAAACTGGTAGTTGACCTTGAACTGTCGACATTTATTGCCACCTTGTATGTTTCAAAGGTTGCCAGAGACATGTCTGAGACACATGGGATTACTTTGTTTGTACCTACCAACAAGGCTTTCGAGAACCTCGGCTTGGTCGCAAAGTACCTGATGCATCCTTCAGCAAAGCCTGAGCTTCAGTCTGTACTTCGCTACCATGCTGTTCAGCAACTTTTGTACAGCAGTGTCCTAGCCGAAGGAGTGCACGAGGTCGAAACACTGGGCAATGTCACTCTTCGGATTACGCCTACTGACGGACAGCTCATTGTCAGCCAGCCTGATGGAAGTGGTGCAGCCACAGTTGGAGTATCGGACCTGCTGGTTTCTAATGGTGTGGTCCACAAAATTGACCAGGTCCAGATCCCCACAACTGTGTCGATTACCAACCGCCAGTTACTGATCGGTATCGAGGCAACCACAATGCTTGAGCTGCTGAACAAGGCCAATCTTTTGGGAGAAATCGAAAAGCCAGACTACATTGTTCTCGCACCGTCCAACAAGGCATTCGCACAGATTGATTTGGAAACCTTGATTAATGACCCTTACGAACTTGATCGTGTGGTTCGTCTGCACTTGATTCCCAAGGCTTGGCAAGACACCTGGCTGCAGAACACTTACCGCGATGAAGGAGAATACCCTACCTTACTGTCCGAGTGGGACAAACTGCTCATCAGCAACATGGGTCAAGGGGAACTAGTGGTCGGAGTCAAGGGCCAACCCGAGAAAGTGCACGCCCAGGTTACTGGAATGGGCAAGGCATCTACCGGAGGAGGAGTGATGGAAATCGACACTGTTCTCACACCAGTTCGACGGGGTCTGTTTGGTCTGCCTTGGCTGTGGTCAGTTGCGCTGGTGGCTGGAGTCGTTAGTGTTACAGCTCTTATTTTGGCTTTGTGTGGGTTCTTCATCTACAAGGTTTGGAGCCGCAGACGACTTGGTTATCGGGCAATCTAAACGAGAGAAAGTAAGAAAGAAGAAAGGAAAGGAAAGGCGAGAAGAAAAGAAAAGAAGAAAGAGGTGATGAGCATGGGAGAGAGTGGTTATCTAAGTCTTGTTCAATCCAAAGTACTTTCTTTCTTTCTTTCTTTCTTTCTTCATGGCAGCATATATTTCACAGGCATTTGATTGTACTATCTTTCTTCTTCTTCTTCTTCTTTCATTTTCTCCCTTTTGTGTGCATGTTCTTTTGTATGTGCATGCGCACTTTTATGTTTATGTTTATGTGTGTGTGAGTGTGTGTATGTGTGTATTTGCTGTCTTTTTTTTTGCCATTGTATATAAGATGATTTGTGTGGAATACATAGACAATCGTTGTCCCGGTTATATATTTATACACATATGCACACGAGCATTTATACTGACACCAACATTCATACATTCATACATTCATACATACATATATACATATATACACTTCTATATATATAATATAATATAAATATCCAATATAGAAATCATTTTATGGTTTCTATATTTTACAAAGTCTATCCAAAAAATAAAAACGATTTACAGAATATTACAAATATAAATAAGGCCTGTTACTGTTATTTTTTTGTGAGCTTTTATTATTTTTATTATTTGGTATTGGTGAGGATAAGTAATAGATATATCTAAAAAAAAATGATAATAAAATGAAAGCAGGTACTTATTTTTTTTTCGGGTTTTTAGTTTTTGGCTTTAGACATTTGACATCTTTGATATCTTTTGTGACTTTTGTGTCTTTTCAGAGTCCTGGTCTTCTGAATCGTTTTCCAGGCTTTCGTCCTTTTTCTCTTTGGCTGTATCTACAGCTTCTGCAGCGTCCTGTTCTGCTTTTTCCTGCGCTTGTTCCTTGGCTTCCATTTCGGCATCTTCCTTGGCATCTGCTGCTGCATCTGCTGCGGCTTCTTTTGCATTGTCCTTGTCGGTCAGTTCCTGTGCTGCCTTTGGATTGTAGATCCGATTGACTCTAAAGATCTCATTTGAATCGTCGCTGCTAATAAAAAGCCGGCCAAATGAATCGACTGCCAGGCCGACAGGAGATATGCAGGGAAGATCGTCCGAAGAACATGGCTCGGCAGCCTCAAAGATGATTTCTTCTCTTTTGTCCCAGCGAGGACGGTGGCCGAGATCATCCATACCCAGGTGTACCACACTGTGGCCTTCTGGTCCGCCTTCTTGCCCGTGGTAGGCAACAATAGGAGTGTCGGTCCAGTTGCAAGGCATTCCAACAGATGTGCCCATCGACTCAAGATCACCAACCGAGCAAGACTCCCCCATGTAAAAGTTGACGGCTATGGCATTAGAAGAAGAAGTTAGAGGAAATGCGGGTTGCTGGCTGTTATCAAGTGTTTGACAGTAAGAATCCAGGTCCATCGTTTCATTCATAAACATAGGGTGACCCTTTAATGACAAATAAATGAATTAGTAAGTGACCAAAAAAAAAAGATCTACTTGACAAACTCACCCATTGTGTTCCTTTACCCAAACCATTGGCTGTATAGGAGGAAAGGTCATATTCGGTAAAACAGTACGGAAATCCATAATTCTCCATGGGAAATTCGTACAAATTAATTTCGCCTGCCAGTCCCTTTTCTGTAATATCTGAGCATAGAACAAGAAGAATGTTAATTGTTATGATTCTTATAAACAAACAAACAAACAAACAAACAGATGAACACAAAAACACATTTGTGATTGTATTACTATTGTTACTACTTGTGTACCTCCTCCCATGTCAGATCGATCAACGGTTCCTAGAGGTGCTTCAATACCCCACAATCTTGCCTGGGCATCAAAGCTCATCGAACCATGAGAATTGGCTCCGATGGCGTGAACCTATAATAATAATAAAAGGCACGATAAAGCATTACGAAAATGAAAATTCAAGATTCAAATGTGAGTTTTATACAAATGATTAAACACACAATTACTACTATCACTATTCCCAAAAAAAAAAGAAAGCAAGAAGAATAGCAGTGGTTGAAAAGGGAAGAGCAAAGAAGGAAGGAATAAATAAATAAATAAAGAAAGAAAGGAAGATTTTTCTTTTTCTTTCTTGGTTTTAGCTTACCTGTCCATCATTATCAAAATCATAACCACCCTCTGGAATCTGACGGAAATTAAATCTCTTGATGATTGCATGGCCTGGCTCAACGTTTTCGTGTAATTCGGTAACTGTTCTGGGAATGTAAGCATAGCCAAAAGGATCAATTGCAATATCTGGCTGTGCACTGTCGTCGTCAATATTGATGTTATCCAAGACCTTGATACCACCTGTCAAGGGTGTGTGCTGACCATCCACATAGTTAAACTGCCATACTGAACTTGGGGTTGTGACATAAATGTGGTCTGCGTACTGAGCCAATCCGTGGGCAAAGATCTGGTTTCCGATACTCGACTGATCGATCAGAAGCATGACATTTGGATTGCCACACTCGTCCATTCGGATTGAGTAAAGACTGTTGGTTCCGGACACAGCCAGCAGATGGTCGGCGTGGTCTAGGATGAGCTTACGAGGCTTGGGAATTGCGTTGGTCAAGACAATGGCTTCGTAGCCTTGCAGAGTCTTGAATTTGTGTGAAGGTTCGATTACAACGTTTGGGTTGCACACCGGCTGATCTTCTGGGTGTGAGATCACAAGTGGGTGCTCAGAAGAAGCGTCTGGGACAAGTGCATTGGTGGACTCCATGTGAAGCCCTCCAAGTTTTTTAAAGGCGACATCCGAAGCATCGTCTACTGCAAAGACAGAAGCAGAGAATAAGGAAGCAATACTTAAAAGGTAAGCTGCGGCGTAGAAACGGTTTCCGATTGGCATAACAGTAACAAAGAATATATGTATATATGTATTACAATAAAGAAATAAAGAAAGAAAATAGAGAGAAAGCAAAGGAACTGACAGCTAAATGATGACAGATTCATAATTCTTTTGAATTTATATAATGTGCTAATGTCTGTGAGTTTATTTTAAAATAAATAGACAAGAAGAACCTTTGGTTATTTCAGCTATCTTTCTTTATTATTTTTTTGGTTCATTAAACTGCCTCTTTCTCTGGCTCTATCTATTCATCTATACTATTCTTATGTTTTTTTTTTCGGTGGAATGGAATCATTTCAATATTACCCTGCGTACTAAATTAGGATCAAATTGACTGTAGTTTATCTCTTGCCTCTCTATTTCTTTCTTTTAGATTATTGGAAAATGTCCAAATTAGGTGTGTGATCTAAACTGTGCCGTACCATATACTCTACAGAACATAAATAAATAAAAAAGATATAAAGCATAAACTCTCAAAATAGGCGGGCAATGTGTTTCATTTTCTTCCATTATTTTATATAACTAATTGAAACTCAATTTAATGATGAAGAAAGGAGGAGAATTTAGGTTATATCCCTTTTTTTTTGTTCAGAAATTGTAAGCCTATTCGTACACCATGGAAGTCATCTTGCCATTCATTACTGAAAAGAACTACAATGGTCTCATTGAAACTTGCGAACAATTAGAACTTAAAGTATGCAAGAAAACCAAAATAAAAAAAAAACACAAACCAAACTCTCGTCTATATACATATACAAGCTTTAAACATACAGACTGACAAACCAAGGAATTTTCTCTTTATATATATATATATATATACATAATAGCATGCTGCGGGACAATCCAACATTGACCTTTCCGATATTGACGCGACTTACTTGATTGGCTATTGTCTGATTAATGATCTGTAAGCCAAGAAATGAAAAAAAAAGCCAATCTTCATTCTCCTTTCTTTTTTTCTTTTCTTTTCTTTTGGTTTGGTTTGGTTGTCTGTCTGTCTGTAGATTAGATTAGTCAAGGACATCTCGATTTATATATATAAATTGAGTATTATAAGTTAATACATACACGTATACATGCATACACGCAATTTATGAGACAGCAAAATGAGTCTACCAATTACATTCCTTGACATGCTTATGCAAATGACTTGTTTCTTCTACTAGAGACTCTGCTAGATTCCTTCGCAAACGTATTCTTGCACGGGACAATGTTCGTAGACCAGAAGTGGATTTTGCTTGGAAAGTGTGTGCTGCACTGTGGGATCAGCGTTACTCTGATTTTTACAGTGCTCTTCATGACTTTCCGTGGTCAGATCCTATCCAGTCACTTGTAGCCTCTCTGCAAGGTGAGCCAAAAATTCTCTCTTTTTTTTTAATATATATATATATTATATTGGTTTTGCTAATGATAATAATAATAACAATAATAATAATAAATTCATAATACACCACACCGCACCACAATGTAATTTAATGTAATTTTATGCTATGACATGTTATATAAGAAAACACAAGAGAAAGAATGCTTGTTACTGTAGCCAATGCCTACACAAGCATTAAGATTTCGGATGCTCTATACTATTTTGGGATGCCTGAAAATGAACTTGTTACAGGTAAACATTTTCATTTAATAATAAATAATGATAATGATAATGTTAATGATAAAAGGAGAAGAAAAGAGGAGAGGAGAGGAGAGAAGGTTAATATGAATAATATACGCTTGAGTCTGTGGATAAGAAAGTGGTACTTTAATATTTTATTGACTTGACAAAATTTTTCTCACTGTCTGTATCTATATATATAATAATACAACGTAAAAGCACTTTTATCTAAGGGGTGGACCTATGATAGTTCTTCAAAGATACTGACACCTAACAAGCCTGGCAAGTCTACATATATTCTACTCCATTTTTTTTATTAATGCTAATTTTCAATTATATCTGTTTATTGGTTTGTAGAACTTAAAATACAAGATATATCGAGTAATGATAAATTCTCCAGTTTGGCAGAAATGATCTTACACCTCGAGAAGAACTAGTGTATTTTAGTGTATTTGGATATATCTAAGTGTCTATGTGTGGGTATAAACACTATGAATTCATTCCCTCTCCCTCTTCTCTTCAAAAGAGAAAAAAAAAAGAACCACTTTCATATAATATATACAACGCAGAAAAGTTGTAAGGATTTTATTTTTTATTAGAGCCCGTTGTCGAGTGAAGATTCTAAATTTTTGCTCATCATTATTTTAAGCGGCGAATTAATTTCCGATGAAATATTCCAAAACTTTACCGTGGAGACCATTTAATCACCATGTCTTTAGTGAGCATTTGAGCGTATATCTCTCCCCTCGAAACAAAACATGATATATTCAAGAGTCTATTAGCTATATTTACTTAATTAAGTAGGTTCCGGAAAGCCAAGTTTATTAAGGGCTATTTTCCTTACTTTTTTTTTTTTTTTTTTTAGTAATAATGTTTTCAACTCATAAATCCTCAAAACTGTGTCTGAGTTTTATTTTTATTTTTGATTGGGTTTTACAAATAGTTATTTTTTTTTAGCCATTTTGAAATTATCACAACTCGACACTAGGGACCTTGGACACATCATATAATTTTTTTTGAAACATTTAACCATATATGTAATTTTATACAGTCTCATGTTTCACATCCAAGGCTTCCATATACAATGAAAATGTGTGATATTGCATTTATTGGCCATGTTAATTTACTAAACTCACGAACTTAAAATCATGTAATTAGTGCGAACCAAAGTTTGTTACTTTTTACCCTCAAACTGTAATAGCTGTTTAATTTTTTAGACATTAAAGCTAATAGATATTAATTAATATTTGTATATGTAGAATGCTTGCGCAAATAAAGGGGAAAAAACCTAATGCTGGGGCTATATGGACTTCTTTATATGCTTACTTGAAAACATAATTTGTTCTTTATTTCAAGTTTTGTGTCATCGTTAGTTTAACAACATAAAATATCGAAAGATGATTGGTCAACACATTTTATATCATCTTTTTATATGATGTAAAATATTTTATATTATGTTTTTATATCATATAAAATAACGCGATTTTGAAACACACTATTCCTTTTTAAGAGCACAATCTCCGTCTAAATAAATTTTATATGATGTGTCCAAGGTCCCTACTATCTCTATTTATAAAAACTCCTGCCAATTTTTTCATAAATGTCTTGATAGCTAGAAATTTACTCGTATAAACCCAGGGACTATATGCTGTGCCACTTGATCCCTAAAATTACCTACTTATCTACTGTTTATTTCAAGAGGACCCATAATTACCATCGTTTATAATATTTGCAAGAGTATATTCATCGAATTAATGATTAATTTATGTATATATATAATGTATATGTTGAATAAAAGAAAAGAAAAAAGATATAGTAAAAGATAGATAAAAAAAATGACACTTGTGAAAGCAACTGGATAACTATATATATATATCATGTTCCCTTATTTTGTATTTGAAACACTTGATAGAAAGAAGAAGGAAAAAGAAGAAGGGATATTTATTTTATCCAATTACTTGTTTATTATTATGCTTGTTGGCGTATATAATTGACACAATGTGTAAAGTTCCCATTTAATATTGTGTGTCTGTGTGTATGCGTTTGGTTGTTGTTATAATATCTGAAATCCAACAGGATATCCGGTTGTATTCTACATACCCCCTCTATATACTTCTTTTTTTTCATTTTGCATAGTGAATTCACTTTAATTCAGCAGTATCGATCGATCGACCAATCAATTAAACAATAGGCTTTTTTTTGTGATATTTAATGTATTCAAAATCTTTCTATTGCTCTATTTAAATATATATATATATATTTAATACCATATATTTTCTATTAATATTTTACTTAAATGATATATGTGTGTAGGTGTATGTCTCTATTGCAAGACAATAATCGATCATTTACAAGAACATTAGGATGATTTGCAAGAAATAAAAATAAAATAAAAAAGGGTATTTGAAATCAATTACAAAGCATCTTGACTGAGAAACGCATGAAGATCATTGTCGATTTTATTAGTATTTTAATGGATGCTAAACCCCACCTTGTTTTTTTGTTTTTGTTTTTGTTTTCTTGCTGAGCTGACTGAGCATTCAATGCAAGCCAGGCAATAATGACCTTCCTTCTTTTCCTATTTTTGAAAATAAATTATAGTCAATAGATCTATACAACTTCGCTATTCTTTCTTCTTCACTAACCTCCCCCTCCCCCACATACACACCCCTTGTTTTATTTTATTTTTTGGGGGAAAAGATAGGACTGGATTTAAATGAGAACAATTAGAAATTAAAGAGTGTGTGTGGTTTGTGCGCTTGTTGCAGAATCTGTATTTCATCTAGACGTGAATTGGAAATAATAAAATCAAAGCAAAGCAAAGCAAAGCAAAGAAAGGGATTAAATCATTTGATGAAAAATGGACCCTGCTTTAAGCAACTTTCTTGTTAGTGAGTAATTATTAAACAGATAATTCTAACTAAATATGTATATGTACATATTGCAGAGAAAAGGAAAGGATTTGTGTTTAAATATTATTGGGAGACGGTGGATCTACTTACTGGTCCGATATGATATAATATGACATGATATGATATGATATCCTTCTACATAGTTTAAATCTAACCGAACAATATCTGGCCAGTCTTTAAAGGCAGTGAAAATATAAAAGTAAAAATAAAGATTAAAGAAAGGTTAATACATGCTTTCCAAGATATTACTCTAGCATGCTGTAGCTAGTTCTTGTGATAGTTTAATATTCGAATCTTCAAGTATTCTTCTCTTTTCCTAACCAATAAGCTCTTATTGTGGTTATCTATAGCACTATTAAAACATTATCATTACTATTATTGAAAGTTAAGTCTATAAAGCATACATGTATGTACAATCATTGTTAGTTTGCCTTTAGATACCGAGAGAGTTAATACTTGATTGATTGAGCAAGTGAGTGGTGATAAGAATTTTGTATATTCAAATAATAATAATAATTTTCGATACCCCACACCCCAAACTACCCCAGCCTTCCTCCTTTTTTGTGCATGCATATGTGGGTAGTTTGGATTGATATTTTCTAGTATTCTTTTATATATGTATTAATGAATACAACCACAAAATATTCAGCTATAATTTTATTTTTATTGTTATTATTATTAAAATTACACACAGGCCACAATCCACTATTAATTTAATTCTTTTGCTCCTGTTGCTCTTTGAATGAGAACTGTTATTTAGTGATTATTCAAGAGTAATAATTAATTATCAATTCCTTGTATTAATTTTAGGAGAGAATGATCCTAATCTTATATAATTAGATAGATATATGGTTGTATGTAGAATTACAGCTTGGCTATTCCCTTTTATATATATATATATAGACTCAAGATTTGTTTTATTTTAAAATAAAAAGAGAAAATCAATAGAAAGCCTATTTCGTTTTACACTAGTTTGAATAGCTAAAGAAAAAACAGACAATTTATTGTACTTTATATATTATCATTAGTATCAATCTTTGATTTTCTCCATTGGTGATTTCCTTTTTGTATTGACTTTCCTTTGTGATTCTTTGGCTGTTTGGGGCCAATGGTAGCTAATTAATCTGCATATATAATAGTGTTAAGATTATTAGATATTGGATATTAATATTATAGTAGAATAAGTATCCCCCCCCCCAAAAAAAAAAAAAAAAGAAAGAAAGAAAGAGAGAATCCAGATTGATGTAATCCACGCTATGTTGTAATTAACACATCAAGCTAAATATGAATCCCAGAATATGATCATATTACTTCTTTATAATAATTTTTTTTAAAACGAAAACTTGCTTTCCTTCTCCTCTTTATCTTCTCCTACTTGGCGTTATAATTGTAATTATTATATTGTTTCTATTGATTTTGGTGTTGTATATATAGATAGATAGATAGATAGATATATAATAAAGTTGTTCTGGAACCACAATTTTGGATTTGATTTCATTCCATCTTGTTTTACAGAATTAATATTAATCCAAAAAATAAAATTGAATCTAAAGATAGTCAAGGTAATCCTTGGCTTTTCTTCCAATGTTTCCTATTTTTCCTATTTTTCCTGATTTTCCTGATTTTCTTATTCTCTGGTGCAGTACATTGCATTACAGGATAATAATCATGTAGAGCTATGAGCTTCTAATTCATTAGACATACACAGAATTGAAACATGTATGGGATATACAGAGTAGATAATAGTCTTTCTATTTCTATATATTTCGACCCTGCATCTTGAAAGACAACACAATCAAGCAACCAATTGTTCCTTTTCTTGTATATATGCGTCTAATGTTGTTGTGATTTTTTGTTAGATTAAAGAAGAGAAAAAGAGTGATTCTATTTGTGGGTTTTAGATATGCATGTATCCGAATAAGTAAAAATAAAAGTCAAAGTCAAAGTCAAAGAAGAGAGATGCTGTGATTTTCATTGGCATTGAACTGATTGAGAATGTCTAAATCTGTACACATGTAATATTTCTTTCTTCTATATACATACTGTATATATGTCTATATTTAAATAATAATAAATTTGAGGGGAGAAAGGAAGGTAACCTTTGTAGATATAAAGATATTTGAAAGAAAGAAATATAGTATTCATTGGTTGGTTGGTTCATCATTTCCCCATCATCTGTCCTCCCTTGACCTTCTCCCCTTTTTGACTATTATGGGTACACAACCACAAATACAAGCACAGCCATATTTAGTGTGTAATAAAGTGTATTTTTAGTTGTACAAAGAAATATATTTTATATAAACACACACAAATTGATTAGTGGATCAAAGGGGGGGGGGGGGGACTCCATTCTTTTTGGTCTATTTTATTTGGCTGCCTGTCTGCTTTCTGTATTATTATTATTATTAATTTGTTTTTGTTTTTTGTTTTGTACAAGGTGTGTATAAACATTCTTCGTATTATTTCCTTTTATTGTCCACACGCCTGTCACTAATGTACAAAGTCCACTTGTAATGCGCACCATTTAGATTCATCTTGGATTTTATTTTTATTACAAAGAAAGTTTGAATGAACATCCTAATATCTTGACAAAATAATAACTATTATCATCAACTTGGTTATAGTCACACTTTACTTTGAATCAATTGCACATTTATTATCATTATATGACAGACTCGGAAAACAAAGTAAATCAAAGCAAAGCAAAGACATATCATAATCACCATAGAAACCATTAAAAATATTAAGAGTGGTAGCATTAAAATTAAGAAGAACAAGGGTTTTAGTGTGCAGTGTACAGTGTGTACAGTGTGTACAGTTGTGTACAGCTTTGTTTATATGTTCCGTAGTCTGGCTTCGATCCAAGAATGTTCATCGGGTGTATCGCAATAGGAAAGACGCATGGTCCACATCACTGTCGTATTCAACATAAGAATATAAACCTTAATTTCTTTTTGTTTTGTTTAGTGATTCCTTTAAGCTCCTGTACAAATGTTGTACAACTTTCAATGTGACAGTTTACCTTGTCCCCCACCCCTTGTTTTTATTTTATATGATATGACATGATATATCACCCAAATCACATTATGTTATAACAAGTGTTTCAATTTGAATACATTTGAAACATTTATTCAATCAAATCAAATCAATACATAGCAACTAATATAGAGATAGAAGAAGAAAAACTAATACCAAAATAAAGAGCATTTTCCCCCTCCTCCTCCTCCTCTATCATCATTACCACTTGTGTTTGTTCTCGTCCTTGTCCTCTTCCTCCTTTGCTCCTTCCTATCATTATCCGTATTCTCCTTTCAACACTTTCCTTTATTTTTTTTCCTCCTCCTTTTAATCATTAGTATTAGTACCAGCTATCGAATATTTTCTTTTATTGTTGAAAAAGGGTCTAGAATATACAATATCCTATTGTGGGTACTATACTGACTCTTATGGACCCCACATTTTAATAAACAGTCGGTCTGTATTTTTTTTTGGTTTTTGCTTGTAATCCTGAGCCTCCTTTCCTTCAACAAGAGAATTCATTATTGATTGGTAAAGTTTTCTTTTTCTTTTCGCTTTTGATTTATATCCGTACCCACCTATTTATTCAATACCTGTATTTGTTTTATTTTGTTTTATTTTATTTTATTTTATTTTATTTTATTTTGACAGCCAAATATTATACACATGTGCTGATTATTATAATAATCATAACAATAAAACAAAAAAAAAACAAAAATTAGATCTGTATCCCCTCCGGCTAACTGCCCCTTCCCTTCCCTTCCTCCTTCCTCCTTCCTCCTTCTGCCTATCTGTATGTCTACCTGTCTATCTATCTACCTTGCTGCCTTGTTACTTTGTTACTTTGTTACTTTGCTATTTAGATATCTAATCTAGTTATCAGTGTAATTATAAATCCCCTTTCTTTTTCATAAAATAAGAAGAAAAAATGAACCAATTAGATGAAAAAAAAATTTGAATGCGTACAAATATTTATTTGTGTTTGTATACAAAATAATAATAATAATAATAATAAAATATAAAAATGATTTTCTCCTCGTCTCGGTAAGATGTCTAGAGTTTTCTTTTTTCTTTTTTGCAATTTTCATTCCGAGGCCGTTTTTATGCCTCTTTTTGACTTTATTCCATGGAACACAACCTTCTCCCCCTTTTTTCTCTCTCTCTCTCTCTCTCTCTCTCTCTCTCTTAGCCTTTCTTTGGTATTTAACCTTTTATACATATGTAACATTTTGTTATGCGTTTCTTTGTATCTAGTATCACCAATACCAATACTAATCTAATTTTTTTTCTTTCTTCTTCTTTGAAACCCCCCAGAAAATATTTAGATATCATCCCTTGATTTTCCTTTTTCTTCTTCTTTTGCTTCGCTTTATAGTAATAACTTTAATATGTGTCATCAGTCCCTTGCACAGCATTGTTACAAGATCTTCAACCATAGAGCATAAGAATACATATATAGATTTGTATATAATTTTGTTTTATTGTGTAATGTAATGTAATGTAATGTAAGTGAGTGAGTGAGTGAGTGAGTAAGACTATATATATATATATATATATATATGTGTGTGTGTGTGTAAAAATGCAAATGCAAATGCTAAAATAAGAAGAAGAAGAATAAAAAATAAATGTGCAAATGTGTAAATGATATGAAAATAATAGCAATTATATGTATATATATAAGAGAAAGAGAAAGAGAGAGAATGAGAATGAGAATGAGAATGAAATGTATTATACACATACTGCTTATAGTGTAGTGTAGTGTAGTGTAAGTGTAATATAAGTGTAATATAAGTGTAATATAAGGTAGTGAGTAATGTATGTCTAGTGTGTAGAGTGCGTCTAGTGTGTCTAGTGTCTATGTGTGTGTGTATGTATGTATGTATATCTTACATCTGTACACTTTTTTTTGAAACTTGAAAAAATAAATAATATGAATAATATAAGAAATTGAAACAATTGTTGTTGTTGTTGCTGCTGGTGTTGTTGTTATTGTTATTGGCTTTGTTGTGATTTACATCATCTTCGGCTATTAGTTTTTCTTGCGGCATTGGTTACTGTAGATGTTCCTGATACATTCGGCTTAGTATTAAGATGGCCCGCTTTCAAAGGTGGCAAAGAAGGAGGGACAAGTGTACGACGCGGCTTGACAGATATACCAGAAGACGTAACAGATGTTTTTGGAGCTATCCGTGAACTGACTAGTCTTGGTTTACTGACACTTGTCAAAGTTTTTTGGTGCATTTGAACTTGAGCTGGCTGCTGTATTGATTGCTTCTGCTGTTGTTGTTGTTGTTGTTGTTGTTGGTTGGTCTTAAGGTCTTGCATCTGCTGAAGAGAATCAATCTGTGCTTGCATCAGCTTTCTAGACTCAGCTGCTTCCAATTCCTGGTTGACCTGAACCTGTCCAAGTTCTGCCATCTGGTCAAGCACGCGTTCAATTCGATCTTCCATGGCCACGCGTGCGTCAGTTTCTGCTCTCAATTGATCCTCGAGTGGTCCGATGTGCAAAAGTGCCAGTTCAATCTTGTGCTCGTATGTTTCCCGCATCGCAACCTCCTGCTCAACTCGCTCACACAACGCCTTTTGCTGACTATCAATCAACACGGTCATGTCTGCTACTGCCTTTTCAAATTCAGTTCGCATCGCCGTTTCTTCCCGTAACCGTCGTTCAAGGTTTTCAAGCCGTCTGGTCATCGCTTTCATCTGGCGCTGGTGAACACTGCCGCATAATCGAACGACTCCCAGAACAAGTTCAGCTCCAAGTGTATTTGGATTTCTTGTCCTGATGGATTTTCTGGCCCAGTAACCTCTCCAGGCAGATTGTATTTTAATGGCAGCCATATGGTCTGAATCAAACCATTCTTCTTCTTCTTGGTCTTCTTGGCCTTGGTCTTCAACAATCTCTTCTCGTTCTTCAGCTTCGGATTCAATTTCAACTTCAAATTCTTGGTCTTGTTGGTCGGGTTGCTGGTCGCCAGAAATTGGTAAGAATATTGAACACGACTCAATAGGTTCTTCTTTTGTGTCGTCATTCTCGTCATCATCTTCGTCATCGTAGCCCTCATCACTGCCAAAGACTGTAACTGTTGTCGGACAGCGGCCTTTAGTCATACGGCTGGACTGAGCTCGGCCGAGTCGGATGAGAATAATTGTGGGCTCACTGCAAATGTCACTGTTATTGTCATTGATGTCTCTACTGCTAATGTCATCTCTTATTGGCTCTGATTCATTCCAGTAGACTGGTAAATCGAGATCATCTTGGTCAGAAAGGTCTCGGTCTGAAATGTTATCACAAGATGAATCTAATTAAATACACATATAAATGAATAAGTAAAATATTAAAGAATTGATATCATTATAATATAAATATATATATATATATAATGTATTTACAGATATCAAAATCCAGCGCTAATTGAAATCAAATGAAAATGAAAATGAAATATATATATATCTCATTATCATTAGAATTGCTTGTTATATAGTATAATATTTACCTCTAGAATGCCAGTTTTGTCTGCTGTTTGGAGTCACACGGTTGTTGTTGTACTGCATTAGTGGAGAGTACAATTCTTCTTGCCAAATCATTTCATGGTCATCGTCATCTTCTTCTCCGACTACTACTTCGTATTCGTATTCGTCTTCTTCGATTACGCGAGCCAGACTTTTAGAGTTTGGAGAGACGGACAAGAACGATGAAGGGTGGACGGGCTGGTGATAAGTGTTTGACTGGGTGACGGTAGATACTGAATCTGATGAGAGTTCGCGAGATCGAGATCGAGATTGAGCATTTGATGAGTTTGAGTTTGAGTTTGTATTTGCGTTTACGTTTGCGTTTGCGTTTGCGTTTGCGTTTGCGTTTGCGTTTGCGTTTGCGTTTGCGTTTGCGTTTGCGTTTGAGTTTAGGTTTGGGTTTGAGTTTGAGTGTTTTCGGGACTGCCGGATTGACAATGATAATCTACTGTTACTATTGCTAGCACCACAACCATTGATATTATTGGTTTTACTAGCATTACTAATATTACTAATATTATAACTAGTATTACTACTACGACTAATATTACTAAGATTACTAAGATTACTAAGATCGCTTCCTGCAGTGCTGCAGCTAGATGTGCTTTTGAGTTGGGCAGGCAGTTGGAGTGGACTGAGACGGCTATCGTCTGTTAGGGGAGAATTGGAGAGTGTTTGATGTGTTTGATATGTTTGATGTGTTGTGTGTGTCTTGTGATGATGCCGAGGCGATCGAGCCTTGTGATTTTGGCTGTGAGAAGAAGGATGATGCTGGTGTTGGTACTGGTGCTGGTGCTGGTGCTGGTGCTGGCTGTAATGGTTGATATTACGGAGCTTGTTGGGTGCGTTATTTGTATCAAATGGAGGATAAGAATAAGAGGAAGAGGAAGAGGAATAAAATAATGATGAAGAATGTGAGTGTGGATGTGAATGTGAATTCGAATATGAATATGAATGTGCAGTTGGGGTGGGTCTATGTTGCTGTCGAGGTATTGGTGATAGTGAAGATGTCATGCGGGTAGATTGGACATTATCGTTGTGGTTATCGGCAAGGTTTTCTTCTGGACGGTCTGTGCTGTTTGAGAGAAAGGACGAATAGTAGCCCAGAAAAGAGCCAGAGTCTCCGCCTTCTGATCCAAGCATGACCGAGTAAGCCGCAGTTGTGCTGGTAGAAGTTGTGAATGATGTTTCGTCAAAGAAAGAAAAATTCTGGTTATTGTCGAGATAAGCGAGTGCCCTGAGGTAGGATTTTGGAGGGAATTCGTATTTGTACTGCTCTGGCTCGAGGGTCTGGGGTACGTCGATAGCTTCATCACCGTCGTTGTCGTTGTCGTTGTCGTCGTTATCATTATGGTTACTATTGCTAATATCTGTCAGTGCCAGATAAGGCTGTTCAAGTAAAACAGATTCACACATTGATTATTAATGGTTATTAGAATATTGATACAAAGAATAAAGGTTTAAAGCAAAGAAAGAAAGAAAGAAAGAAAGTGTCAAAATAATAATAATAATAATAAGAGAAAGAGAGAGAGAGAAAGAGAGAGAGAGAGAAATAATGATAATTAATTAATTAACAGATTAATTAATTATCATCATTTTATATACATTTCATATAATATAGTATATTATAATATAATGTATTCTTAGTATATGTGATGGTTTGATTTGATTTGATTTGATATTATCATTATTATTATTTGTGTGTGTGTGTGTGTCTTGTACGTCTGTAAGTTTGTCTCTATGTTTGTCTGACTGACTGACTGACTGACGGAATGACTTGTCTGTCTGTCTAACTGTCTATTGACCCTTTTTCCCCTTTTTACCTTTTATATAAAATACTAAATAAATAAATATATATATATATATGTGTGTGTGTGTCTGTATTATATTCCCCTCACCCCTCACCACCCTTCACCTCCCCCCCTCTCTCTCTCACACTCCTTCAATCACCTTTCTATACTCCCCCTCTTATTTCCTTTTTCTCTCTTTCTTTATTTCTCTCTTTCTCTTATATAAATAAAATATTTAAATAAATAAAAATAAAATTTGAAGTTTTTGTTGTTGTTGTTGTTGTTGTTGTTGTTGTTTTTGGATTGGTTTGTGGGGTATTTTTTTTGTTTCTTTCTTACCTGATCAAAATTATATGCATATTCAAGTTCACCACAATTAAATGATGAATGGACTGCAATTGGTGCATTAAAGCGATCTGATCTTATCATTTTGTAAAACTTTTTCTTTTCTTTTCTTTCTTTTAGATGAATCCTAAGATATATATATATATATATATTCCTTTGTGTGGGTGTGTAGGTGTGGGGATGTGTATAAAGTATAATAGGTATATAAAGAACAAAGAGAGATACGCGTGTTTTCTCTATTGATGGTATTAATGGTAAGTTGACGGCTCTATACAGAAAAGTAAAAATAAAGTATAGAACTATTGATAGAGAGAAAGAGATAGATAGAAAACAAAAAAAACACACACAAAAAAAAAGGAATGGAAAGGGAAGAGAGAAAGAGGAAGAAGAGAAAGAAGAAGAAGAAGAAGAGGAAGAGGAGAAAGGATGAATGGATTTTTATAACTAAAATATTATCATTATTATATAAATAAAATAAAATACCAAAAAATCAAGGAGCAAGTCAAATAGATATAGGTACAATTATTTTATATGTGTATATATGATCTTTATCAATCAATAATACAGCTGTTAATACAATACACTTATTTTTGGTTATTCAACTTCTTTAATAAATATATATATATATATATATATATATATATACTGTCCTGTATTCAGTTTGCTTTATTTGTAAATTTACCATTGTCCAACTATTTGAATCGAACAATTATATCATGTTATTCGATCTTTGCAAAGGTACAATTTTGATTATATATATATTTAAATAAAATAAAATGAAAAATGAAACCTGTTCAAAAAATAGTAATTACTATCATTATTAATAATATAATATATATATATATAAAGTATGCTGCATGGTACAAGATCTACGTTGATGCAAGCCATATGTATCTTATTTAGATCATCTTTTTTCTTTAAAAAAGAATTAAGATTCTGTGTAGGTACTCATAGGGTGGATAGTTCAAATGTCACAAAAAAGAAAATACCTCGATCAACCAACCTGAAAATAGTACAAAGATATACCAATATATTAATGAGGTTATATATGTAAAAGTGTGATTTTATTTAGTAAACCCTATACTCAAGAGATATAATTCTCTAATTATTATTATTATTTTTAAAAAAACCCTAATAAATGAAAATGATTGGACTTTGCTTGTATGACTATTAAGAAGCCAAACATTTCAATCAAACTATACCATTACAAATCGATAAATATAAATACCAGGCTTTATAACAATAAATTATAATAAAAAGAGAAAAGAAAAAGAATGACAGACTAACAGACTAACAGAGCAGTAAAATGAAATACAATATATATATATATATATATTCCAAAGAAGTGTTGATAGCAATCAAAAACCAAATACCATATATGGATATCAGAAATATCCTGTCCCTGTTTCTTTTTTGTATTTTTGTGTTTTTTGGTTTTTTTTTTCTTCTTTTTTTTTGCGAGGATATGATTGGCGAACTTTAAAACTGTAAAATACCCTATTTTGGACTCGAATGTCTACCAAATTTAGGTTATGGATCCATTTTTTGTGATTTTTATTTTTATTTTTTCGATTGACACTTCCACTCCGTGAGCACAAAAATATGATACACATTTTACAAATGTGTAACAATCTTTTTTTTTTTTTTTTTGTCTTGGGGGACAAAAAAAAAAACTTCAAAATATAGATTACTCAAACACCCCCCTCCCAAAATATATACATAGTAGATAGACATAATATCCAACCCCCTTGTCAATACATAGTACGCAATGTATATATAAGTATATAAATTGTACAACCTAAATTGTACAAATATTTTGAATGCTGTGTTCTGAGGCGTCTTACGGATCCTTAACAGATAGACAAAAAAAAAATATAGAATACACTACTTATCTTCATTCTTCTCCTTTCATATACGATCGTACATCTTGTATAATTAATGACATTAGAAAAAAAAAGGATAGAGATAAGACAGAAAAGACAGAAAGGCAGTAGTAATAGAAGAAGACGAAGAAGGAATACGACATTGAACCCTACATGTATTATGTTACATGGAATACACAAAGTGTACACACACACACACACACACAAAGGACCTTTTTTTTGCTTATTTACTGTTATTATTTGCCACGGAATCTACACACAATATCCTGCCAATCTGCACTTAAACTGCATGCACACATCATCCAGTAAACCTGTATTATTATTACTACTTGTCATTTGTTGTTTGCTATTGATAAATATTTAGTTAAAACGTCTATGTAGAAAATAGAATACTTACTGGAACTTTACAATAAAGATAGACATTTATATATTGAATGGTATTTCTGAAATATTATCCTTTTGTACAAATATCCTACAAATCAATTGCATGGAATAATTATATATATATATTAATTGCTATGAGTGTATGGGCGTGTGATACATATTATCTTGAGGACTCCACCATATGATCAATTATATTTCGTTTTTCGTTTTTGGCTTTGTACAATAGCTAGAGAGAAATTAAGAAAGAGCAAAAGAGAAAGGGAATGTATTGGATAAACTTTGTTTTTAAATTTTAGTAAGAGCATACACGTACTTACACTTATACCTACACCTACACCCACACATGTACATGATATATACATATGCATACATAAGTGTTTGAGGTGGGTTGCATGTACCTGACAAATTTTGTTTCCTCCAAGGACATTTCCTTTTGTGGGGTAAAAGAAGGTACACAGCATCAGCACTGTACATATCTCCAGGTCTATACCTTTACAAATTTGTCTAGACACAAATACATTTGTATGTATATATGTATTTGATTATTTGGCTATTATTACAAGCACCATTACTATTACTATTACTATTACTATTGATATTGATATTGATATTATAAAGATTGTGTAATTTTTAGCTTGGATTTATATTTTGTTATGTTATATATACATTTTTTTTTGAAACGGTAAACAATACTTCTTCTATCACCTTTACTCCTTGGTCATTTTCTTTTTCAAAAACAAACAAATAAATAAATAAAATATATTACTAATCCCGTTGCTGTTACTGTTACTGTTACTGTCATTGTATCTTTCTTTGGTTAATTCATTTATTTTCTACAAAGAAAGCTTACAATGATATATAGTTTGTATTAGCTTTATTGAGCTAAAGAATTTCTTTCTCTATTTTTCTTTTGCTTCTGCTGCTTCCACTTCTTCTTTGGCCCCTACAGTTACCAATTTCAGAGTATTTTATTCTTTAAGCTCAATCAATCATTCATTCATTCATTCATTCATTCATATTTTTATTTATTTATTTATGGATCTATTAAAATCACACGCTGTCAGCCACATAGAATCTCGGCATAAGCTTACAAAGATGAACCACTTTGACTTTCCGTTAATACAAACATAAACAAAAGATGGCAAACCACACCCACAACAATAATATCAACAAAACACCATTAACAACCAATAGAGTAATATTTACTTACTTCTTTATTTATTTTGATTTATTTAAAGTTATTGATTGATTACCTTGTGTCTAGACCTTGCCTATCAAATAAAATCAAATCAAATCAAATCAAATAATAATAATAATAATAATAATAATAAATTAATTGATAATCCTTATTTATTTATTGATCTTTTTAAACTTTTTTTTTAAAAAACGAGAAAATGGAAACGGAAAGGCGTCCGTTTGTCAAACCTTACAAGAAGAAAACAGCAGCAGTAACAACAAATATATTTATAGGATAAAGGTTATATACATATACTATAAACATTCAATTCTCATTAAATTCTCATCACTTTATTGATTCTTCAAAGTGGTAAATAAAAGTATAACTATAAAATAAAATAAAGCGGGCGTCTTCCGAGAATTGAGATTAGTAAATTGTACATTTTTATTTTGTACTTCTATAGGAGATCATCATCTTCTTTTTTGTTTTGTTTTTTTTTGGCTTTATATCCAACGAACACATCATTGGTGCGACGATTAACAAATAAAAGTACAAAAAAAAAAAGGACTTTTAGTCTATGTATCTTTGTATCTATGTATGTCTTTATTTATTTATTTATTTATTTATGTGTGTATGAGCGATTGATTCATTGATTGAGTGAGTAAAAGATAGAGACAAAGATAAAGGGTAATATTCCCGGATCAAAAAAAAAAAAGTACCAAAATCTAAATATTATTTATAAAGTCTATTTTGTTCAAATATGTATTATTACTATTATTATTACACTACGGAAAAGTGGCGATTTTTTTTTTCGTTTTCTTTTCTCTCATAGTGTTGGTCTATTCCATAAATGATAATATATTGGTCTTTTACAATAATGAATATACATATTTGTAACTAACTAAATACAAATAAACCCTAAATTATACGTCAATTCTAAAATCATCCTTTTCATTTTTCATTCTTTACTTTATGTTCTGTTGTATTGAAAATGAAATTAAAAATAAAGATATATACACTTTATATATATATATATATATATGTATTGCCTTTAAATAATTTAAAAGGAAAGAAAGAGACTCAAAGTATACCAAGCATTTAAATCAAGAAACATATAAAGAAGTATTGTTTTTTAAATACATACTTTATCATTAACTTATTCATATTTTATATACACCTTACAAACATATACATATTCAAATAAAATAAATAAATAAATAAATAAAAAAATAAATAAATAAATAAATATATATATATATGCCGGACTTGTGACCTTTGATTTGATTTTCCGGACTATTCCGGGGGAGGGGAGGAGGAATTCTAAAAGTAAGACTTGTGTGTGGCCTGACCCGTACATCCTCCTCTTTTACACATCATCTCACCATGGTAAGCAAAAAGACCACATACATACATACATAAAGAATACAATTATCCGAAAAATCCCCTCGATGCATCAACTACAACGAGATCAACATCAATCCTTATCGATTATTGATCACCAATGATCAATCATTGAATTAATATATCTACAGACAAATAAGAAATAATTAGTCATACTACCAAGTATATCATTTTAATATGTATGTGTTTGTGCTTCTAGGGTAAAGTCCACGGATCTTTGGCACGTGCCGGTAAAGTCAAGTCTCAGACCCCCAAGGTCGCCAAGCAGGAGAAGAAGAAGCCCAAGACTGGTCGCGCAAAGAAGAGACAGGTTTACAAGTAAGTATTCTCTTATGTATATATATATTCTATACTGTATACCACTTGGTGTTATTTGTGTCATTTGGAGAAATCAAATCAACATTCATTAATCATTTTCCTTCTTCACTTTCTCTTTAATCAATAGCCGTCGTTTCGTCAACGTCACTGCCACCATTGGCGGTAAGCGCAGAATGAACCCTGCCCCCACTGCTGGCCCTTAAAGCGTCCAACAAACAAGCAAAACTTCTTCCAAACTTATAAAAAAAAATAAAAGACTACCAACTTTCAAACCGAAATAAAGTAATTCTATTTTTTCAAAAAAAAAAACAAAAAAAAGGGCAGACAGCAGAGAGAATATAGGTTTATACATGGAAGGAAATGGCAAATTTTATTTGCAATTGACTTTTTTATTTTCAATAAGCTGTGTGTATATATATGTGTGTGTGGTGGTATGTGCGTTTTGTCTTTGGAGGGGTTTACTTGTGAATAAATGGAAATTGGTAACGGAATGTGGAATGTGAACAATTTCTGTCATTACACATTTAATTGTCATTTAGTTTACTTCTTCATTCGTCAATGAGATTCCCATAAAGTATTCAATGCGTATAATGTACATTTTTTATTTGCATTTATTCCTTTGAATTGCACTCTGCAATCCTTAAATGCTTGTAGTACATCTGCACGATAAGATTCTTATTATTTTTTTCTTTATTTAATTATCATTCTTGCAGTTAATTATTGTGAATGTGTCTTGTGTGAATTTGTTTATTGCTTTTAGTTAATTCTTGAAAATGCAAGTTCGATGAACGTATTTATACACTAATACACATGTGTTTTTGTCTTTAATTCAGAGTGATGATGTAGTTAGATGTTTCTTATTCCTACTATATGGTTACATTACATTTCATTTTCAAAATAAAACAGTAAAATGCTTATATATATATATATATATATATAAAATATAAAGCTTTAATGAATACTCAAAGTTCACTTCCATATTCCTGTCATTCTCCTTGTCCCATCAATAAATAAATATAAAACACGCATGCATACACATCACGTGATATTCTGTCGAGTATAACCGAAATATGTATTGTTCCGGTACGTGTTTTCCGGGATGAGGGAATATTTTGAACCAGATTATTATTATTTTTGGGGGGTGAGGGAGGAAATGAAGGGAGGGGGGGCGAGAAGGGGGAGAGAGGGGGTCGAGAAACCAAAAGTATTCCGCAGGGCTGTGCCTCCGCACATCCTTCTCTTTTAGCTTGCATCCATCATGGGTATGAACATACAACGACTTTATTCAACATTTTCAACCGAATCCATCAAACAACAAACAAGATTGCTAATCAATCCTTTTTACATTTTAATCCATCTTTCTATATCCATATATCTGCATCTGCATCTGTATCTGTATATTCGCATACATACATACATACATACTTACCTACATACACTGCATATACATACAATACATGCAATACATACACTATACTACAAATAATATACAAATATTACTTGCAACCACAAACAACATGCCATACAACTACACCACCACCACCAACACCACCACTATACCATACCACAACAACACAATCAACACACGTTGAATCACTTGTTTTTAAATCCGTAAAAAACCATGAACCCGATTGTGTCTTCTATATGATTTTTTTTTTAAAATTTTCATTGTCCCAAATTAATTGTAATTCTCTACCTTGATGACGAATTGCTGCTATGATTGTGCTTTTGTTTTTTTTTTCCTTTGAAAAAAATGATAATTATAATACATCATTCATCAATCAGCCGTCGGAAAGAACAAGCGTCTTAGTAAGGGAAAGAAGGGTTTGAAGAAGAAGGTCGTCGACCCTTTCACCCGCAAAGACTGGTATGACATCAAGGCTCCCTCTATGTTCGAGGTTCGCCAGGCCGGTAAGACCCTCGTCAACCGCACCCAGGGTCTCCGTAACGCCAACGACTCCCTCGATGGTCGTGTTCTCGAGCTCTCCCTCGGCGATCTCGCCAAGGATGAGACCCGCGCCTTCCGCAAGATCCAGCTCAAGGTTGATGAGATCCAGGGTAAGAACCTGCTCACCAACTTCTACGGCATGGACATGACCACCGACAAGCTCCGCTCTATGGTCAAGAAGTGGCAGACCCTCATCGAGGCCTTTGTTGATGTCAAGACCACTGATGGTTATCTTGTCCGTATCTTCACCGTTGCCTTCACTTCCCGTCGCCGCAACCAGGTCAAGAAGACCACCTACGCCCAGTCCGCCCAGATCCGTCAGATCCGCAAGAAGATGTTCGAGATCATGTCCGAGGAGGCTGTTGTCTGCGACTTGAAGGAGTTGGTTGCCAAGGTTACCTCCTCTGCCTCTGCTTCGGCTCAGGACTCTATTGCTGTCCGCATCGAGAAGGCTTGCCACGGTATCTACCCTCTCCAGAACACCTACACCCGCAAGGTCAAGATCCTCAAGGCACCCAAGTTCGATGTCTCTGCCCTCTTGGCCCTCCACGGTGGTGCCTCTGCCGGTGACTCTGATGTCGGTGCCAAGATCTCCAAGGAGTTCGTCGAGCCCCCCGTCCTTACCAGCGTTTAAAGCCTTGGTTTAATTTCTCTATACGTTTTTTACCTTTTTTTTTTTACTTTTCTATCTTTCGATTTCTCTCACTCTCTCTCTTTTTCTTTTTCTCTTTTTTATTTCTTAAAAAGGAAAAAATTAAAATAATAGAAAGATTTTGCTGTAAAAAAATAAAAAAGAAATAAATTAAATTAAAAAAATTATTCAAGATGAAAACACTCTTATTGTTATTGCTGGTGTCAAGAAGTATTTGAAGGAGGTTTTTCCCCTTTTTTTTTATTTCTTAATGAGTGAATGAATTGATTTAGTGGAGTAGAGTGTATATTTTTTTTTCTTTTCTTGGAACTTTAGGTGTGGTATACAGACAGGTACAAGACAGATAATGGGATTTGGATTTGGATTTGGTGTGCATTGTGAGATTTATTTTTGAGAAAAATGTGGTGATACAACTGCAAGATTCGTAAACTACTCTACTACAAGTAAAGGTTGTATATGTGTTATAGATATGTACAACAAAACATAAATAGAGAAAAGAAGAAAAAAGGGTTAAGGTGAAGGAGGGAAGCAAGAAGTAAAATAAAAAGAAGAAGAAGTAAGAAGCAGGGATAAAGAGAAAATGAAGAAGGAAAAAAGGAAGAGGATGAGAAACAAAGACAGAGAGAAGGGAAAAGGGGGGGTGGAGGAGGAAGGTAGGAGGTGTGAAGGGGTAAGGATATATATGTGTGTGTGTATGTGTGTGTGTATGTATGTGGGTGTGGGTGTGGGTGAGGAGGCGTGAATAGCGACCTTCTTTTTTTTTAATATATATCTATCTATCTTTCTATCGATTTATTTATCTATTTTCGCCTTCCATTATCTTTGATCTGCATCCATTGCCTCTTTCCGGGCTATACGTCTGGTACGCTCTAGTCGCCACTGGTGGCCGTACCTCAACTCAATCACCATCAAAATTCGAGACACAAATAGTACCAGAGACACGGTTGTGAACATCCAACCTACGCCAATGGCAGCGATACCAGGATTGATGATCACCACAGCAACCGCGCCCAACAAACACCTACATTATTATTAATAATCAATTGAATTGAATTTTGAAAGGTTAAAAAATAATAATAATCAATTGATTAGATAAAGGAATACAAATACAAATATATATAAATATTTGGAAATATGGTAATGATGATTTTTCAATATTTAAATTGTATTTACCTTGCTAAGTTATTGGAAGCTACAATTGCGGACGAGTTTCTAGGAAATAAGTCGACCAAGAGTGTACTGGTAGCATTGAAAGTTGAGGTAGAACAATATCCCACTAAAAGTCGATTTGTACATATAAGTATATAGAAATTAAAGTATATAGATAGTTTAAATATGAGCCAATGTAAAATGCAAGGGAGCATAAAATAAGAATAAGAAGGGGAAGGGTACTTAGAAGAAGAAGAAGAACAACAACAACAACAAATAGACTTACAGATAGCTTGCAAGAACAAGATGGGGGCAATTGGTGCCTTGATGTGAAGGAGCCACCCGTAGATGATCATTGCAATATTAAAAGCGATTCCCCATATCCAAGTGATACTCATTCTTGCTCTTTCAATAGGAAAACTTGGGTCCATGTTGCCTCTATAATTTTAAAAATAAATAAAGAAATAGAGAGAATTCGTTGTTGTTGTTGTTGTTTTTTTTTAATATGTATATAATTATAAGTACTGTAATTCTTCTTATCTCTCTCTCTGTGTGTGTGTCTGTATTTTTATTACCTCCTTGTTTGACTTTCGTCTAATCCAAGTTCGTTCGCAATTTTTTTAAATTGCCAGTTCAATATCCTTCCGGCCGTAAAGGAGCCTGTTCCTGCTCCAAGACCATTAGCAAGGAAACACAGGCCGATCTGAAGTTCATTGAGATGATAGATGTCTGTGAAAAGATGTGTCATGCTAGTCAAGACACTGTAAAAACCGGCATACTGGAGCGAGTTATACATCAACACCACTGCGACATCTTTTTCGAGCAGGTACAGGACGGACTGGAGTGGATTTGGTAAGGTGAGGAATCTGCTCTTTGTTGGCTTGGCAACCACCTCGTGTTTGTCGTGATGGGCCACGGCTGTCATGGCCGAATCGACACTGAGAAATCGAGTATGGACCCTTTTTGCCTTGTAATTTTTATACCATTGGAAGGGTGTCGGGTTGGCATAACCAGATCCATCACCAACTAATTTGCGAAGGGTTTCTGGTAGAAACAGGACGAGTGTGATCCAGAGAGCAGAGCTAAGGATAGCCAGTAGCCAAAAGATCCATCTTTTTTTTATATACAATCAAAATAATAATCATAATATATAACATAATGTGTATATATATATTGTTATTAGTATATTGTTATTTAAAGACTACATTTAAATAGCATTTAAATCATGGTGATATTAATCTTACCTCCAAGATAGTTGATGAGAAAGAATACCGCCTAAACAGGAAAATGAAAATTAAGAAGAAACAAGAATAACAATTAGTTTAGATCAGACGTTTAGAATGTAAAGTGCCAAGAATGAATGAATGAATAAATAAATAAATAAATAGATAGGTAGATAGGTAGGTAAATAAATGAATATCTTGAATCTAATCATTAAATATGCTTACCTAAAACTGGACCCAAGATTGGACCCATCATAGTACCCATACTGTACATGCCCATGTAACCAGCGCGTTCGGCAGGTACAGCCACATCACCTACAGAAATTAAAAAGAATATTATGTGTGTGTAAGAATAAATTTTGTAGTTGTTGGAACAAATCGTTATTATAGATATATGTGGATATAGAATATAGGATATTGTTCTTATTCTTATTCTTATTCTTATTCTTATTCTTATTTTTTGTAATTTGTATTTGTATTTGTATTTGTATTTACCAATGGTACCAGCGCCAATGGCAATGACTGAACTAGACCCAAAAGCTTGTAACATGCGCATGCCGAGTAAAGTTTTATAGTCAGGTGCAAGGGCTATACCAATGCAAGCCATGATGTAGATGAAAATTGTCATGATGTAGACAGGACGTCTGCCCCAGTTGTCGGCCAAACCTCCCCAGAACGACGGAGAAACACCTTGAAAGACCATGTAGACAGTTACGGTGAGATTGATAAGATCTGTAGTTGTGTGCATGTCCTGTATATTGTTATTATTTAAAATAAATTAAAGGGATGTATTGAGAAGAGAGTTCCTTTTTTTTTGGCTTTTTTTTTGCTTCTTGCTTCTTGGTTTTTTTTTAATACATATATACATGTGCGTGCTTTTGCCTTGTTTATTTTCAATATATTTTCTCTCTTTCTCTCGCTCTCTTTTTATTTTGTGCGGATATGTGCAGTGTGCGCAGTGTGTTCTTTGTACCTGTTGGATCATATTAAGAGCAGGGAAATATATATTGGCTGAAAACGGAGAAAAGAAACTGGATAGCGCTGCCATAGCCACGATAGACATCTTTCGTTTCTTGCTAAATGACGAGTAAGGCGGCGGTACTTCTTGGAAATGTTCTTTTGTAGGGTTTTGTTCGATACTATGTATAGAGGCAGCAGCTGTGATGGAAGATTTTGTGGATATTCTGCTGCTGCTTCTTTTGTGCTTGGCAGTGGACGTGAAGCTTCCTTCTCGATCGGGTATCAAAGTATGTACCATCGATTCGTTTCCTGGGGATGATGGATAGGACGAAAGGTTGATTGTCTTTGGAGAAGACATGTCTAATTATTCTTTTACGATTTTGTTATTCTAAATAAATAAATAAATAAATAAATAAATAGAGAAAGAGAAAGAGATAAATGTAGGAAATGATGTTTAAAGATGTGTGTGTATATCTGGTAAAAAAATGTTCCAGATAATCGAGTGGATATATGAATGAACGGAAAGTGAATTTATTGAATTATTATTTTTGAAAGAAGTGTAAGAAAGAAGACAACCCACACCCGCACATGTACTGGTATATATAAATGTATGTATTTATACAAAAAAAATATGTATGTATGTACAAAAGGTAACCAATACAATTTAATAGTATACAATACAATATAATGTAATGCAATTTAATGCTATAAAGTAAAGTAAAATACAGTATAGTACAGTACAGTACAGTACAGTACAGTACAGTACAGTACAGTACATTACAATACATTGGAATACAATACACTACACCTGTGGAGGTGCATTCAGGGGTGAATGGAGCTAGAAGCACTGAAGATAGGTATACTAACTAACAGAAGCATACAAGATTTAGGGATGGTGATGGTCTATTTTTTAAGTGGGGCTGTTATCTATAGAAATATGAACTGAGAAACCTTTTTATTTTATTTTTATTATATTATATTATGGTTTGAATTGATTAACTTACCGACCAAATGCCGCTTGTCGTCATGACTCTTGTAATTGCTCAGGTTTCTTGTTAAATTTTGTTTGAATACAATTTACTGGGTTAATCGTTATTACTATCATTAAAGACCTTGTCATTCTCCCTATGCAGATATAGAGATTTTTCGTACAAAATACACAAGTATCAAGAGACAAGTCAATAAAGCGTGATCATAATTTATTGGCACTAATATCATATATATTGTTAGTACTATGATTACTGTGATCACTATGGTTACTACGGTTACTATGGTTATTGTGATTGTTGTGATTATTGTGATTAATAGTACTAGTGCAAAAGACAAATTATAAATATATGTATATGTATAAAAAAAACTACAGGGATACAAAGTATTTGCGATTCTTTGCCTCCTTAATTAGTCAAGAAATCCCTTGATACACAAACATATACGCACACATACACACGCACGCACACACACGCACATACACATACACATATACACACACACATATACACACACATATATATATATAAGCATACTCGAGTTTTTTTTATCCACGAACTTATGAACTTCCTTGATCGCTCGCTTACTCACTTACCCACCCACTTACTCAGTTACTTACTTGCTTGCTCACTTGAATATACAAGTGCAAACGGTACGCCTATATATACATATCTACACGCACAAGCACAAGCACACGCACACGCACACATAAAAAATTAACACGCAAAGTGGCGCATATAGAGCTGTAGTACATTGGCAAAGGATCCTAGAATGAAGATCTTAAATCAACCATGACAAATCTTATCATCAACGACCGAGTACATTTCTATTTCTATTCCTATTTCTATTCCTATTTCTATTCCTAATCCTAATCCTAATCCTAATCCTAATCCTAATCCTATCCTCACATTTGAATATCCAATCTTGTTTTTACCCCTCTTATCAGCCCTCTATTCTATTGTTAATATTAAAGGTATAGTATAAAATAATATAAGAAACTTTCTTTATTTTTGGGTTGAAATGTTGAAATGTCAATAAGATTCTGTTTCCAAAGCTATTTTACACACTCAATTATTCGTCTATTCATCTATTCATTCGCTTTTACACACACACACACACACACGCACATTTGGCTACCTCTGTATTTAATATACATATATGCCTTTTAAACATTTCTTATCCATTCTTCTTCTTATCAGTTTCTTATTCTTGCTTATCAGAGCTTCTTTATATATATATATCTATTCTTCTTTTATTTTTATATTTATTTCATAATCAACAAGAAAGTTGCGTTCTTGTACCTTTCAACCTTTGCGTTCTCCCACCTATTTTTCTTTTCTTCCCCCTTTTTTTTATTTCCCCTCCTTTCCCTCCCTTTATTTCCATTACAAAAAAAAAGATACATGCAATAAGACTTGGCTGTAGACTTTTGGGATCAACACCCTTTTTTTGGGATTTTCTTTTGCGTATAAAATAATATATATATATATATATATCTTAAAGAAGTATTAATTTTAAGCGTTTCCTAAAACACAGAACTAGCATTTGTTTTAATAAAATGAATACACATAGATATGCTCTATTTCATCTTTTTTTTTTAAAAAAAAAGTAGATATTGACAAGAGATTGGAAATTGCCTATGGTCTGTCTAGATTAAGAATTATACAATATTTCTGGTAAAATAGACTCGAGGGTATTGAAGAAAACTAGATGAGTAAAATAGTCAAAAAAAAAAAGAAGAAAGCAAGTAGATCTACTCAAGTATATATACATATACATATGCAACCCAAAATTAAAATAAAATAAAAAATCTCGATATGTGATGTGCATTCCTATAAGCCAAATATATAATAATGATAGTGATAATGACAATGATGATAATAAAGGCCTCGACCTTCTTCTCTTCTTTCATATATGTTTATGTCTTTAGAGAAACCACTCTGTTACCCTACAGTCTTTTTCTCTTCTTGTGCGTAGATAACATATAATATCCAAAAGTAAAAACAAAAACAAAAAACAACTACAGTGGCAAGAGCAACAAACAAATATACAAATGTACAAGGCGTGCTGCAAGTAAGTTCTTTTTTTTTGTAGATCTCTGAGCTCGTCGTTTCCTTAGTTAGCACATGTTAATCCTTTTTCTTTGCTTTGAAGCTAATTATTTATTTATTTATTTTGTTTAAAGAAAAAAATGAGGAAAAGCAAGGGTCTAATGTAAAGGCCACCCTGTCAATCATTATTGTGTTTAAGGATTATTATGATTTTTTTGTTCTTGCTCTTTAATATTCGTACGGGTCTTTATGCGAGTCTTTTTCTTTTTTTTTATAGGTGTATATGTATGTTCTTGTAAGTCTTGTGGCCCTCCTAGACAGAAAACACACAAAAGCATAAGGCAATCGTTCCAAGTCTATTTGAAATTGCTTGTAATGATTAATTCTTGGTAAATATAAATGCATACATGTAAGTGCATATACGTATATAATATAAGTAGAGTATAAAATATACGACGGTAAACTAACTTTAATGTTACTAACTTTGTAAGATATGATAATGTGTCATATATAAAACAGAAAAAAGACAGAAAGAATATAATCTGGAATGAAGTTAGATTAAAATGAATTCACTAAGTGACAATCCATATAAATCTCTTGTTTTCAAGTTTTCTTTCTTCCATTCTTCCATTCTTCCATTCTTCCTTTCTTCCTTTCTTGCCTTCTTGCCTTCTTGCCTTTTATCTTTGCCTTCTTTCCTTCCTTTCTTTCTTTTTAAAAAAACATTTTCAACAGTATGTAATATATGTATAGTTTGGGATTTATTCTCGATCAAAGTGAATTGAATTAAGTTAAAGTATCATAGTACTTTACGGTACAGTACTGTATGGTACTGTACTGTACTGTACTATACTGTACTGTAATGTACTGAAATGTACTGCAATAATCAAAACCAACTGTGAGGGCGTTCAGTGCAAATCTTGTTTATGGTGCATTTTAACCCAAGGGGATCGACAGACAACACACCAACAGCATCTTGCTTCTTACAGAATTTTTTTTGTATTATTGTTAATAATAATAATTTGGATAAGATATAATGTATTGAAGCAGATATATATATATATATATGTATGTATGTATGCATTAATATCATTATTTTAATTAATATTTGAAAATAATTTCATTGACACCATCAATATTGTTATTACATGCTTAATTTATTAACAGAGAAGGGTTTATTACGACATAAAGAAGTGAATATGGAACCCAGTATCAAGGTGGGCGCCAATCTTGTCGGATCTCCATATTGAAAGCAAAACAAAGATTATACCAATTATCAACTATCGATTCTCGATTATCAACTGTTGAACTTTATTAAGAAATATATATAGAAAGAGAAAAACATGGCATGTCTAGTAAAGATATTCAATACAGCTATAATAATAATGATTAGAGTAATCGGATCAATCTAGAAAATATACACAATAATATATATATATATAAGTCCCTCACGATTTGCACCTACACCAACACCTACAGCTAATTTACACATTTATATAATAAACCCTTGTATTTCTAGAAGAATATATATAAGAGAGAGAGAGAACATCAGCCATTTTCTTGACTGTTCTAGAAAACATTCTAGACCTCACAAAATATACTATCATTCGTTATCGTTACTTCTTGTTATATACATACCTCTTTAAACACTTTAAAGCATGCAATAATGATAAAGATAACGATAACGATACCAATTCTTATTCATATATGTATATGTATACTTTATCTTATTTTGTGAATGATCGCCACTAAGAAAAGATAATAATGATTTCTTCTTATGGTGGGTTACGATCAACCAAAAAAAAAACTAGGACTAGAAATAATGTGGGGGTGGGAAGGGAGGGAGGGGACGAAAAAAATATCAAATGTCTGGTCAAGCCAATCGGGTCAGTTGTCCCGGACAGAGGTTATCCGCTAAGACCTGTCTGTATTTACTTTCCTGGGTTGCAGAATATATCGGATCAGCAAAAACAAAACAAACAAAAAAGAAAAGATAAGCAAAGATCAGCCCAATTATGTACGCCTATTTATTAATTACCTTTGAGAACCTTTAATATTGAAATACTGAAAGGTCTATTTTACGTTGGACCGATCATCCAAGCACTGTCTGTCGATCCAAATTTCCACAAGATGTATATATATATAAACATTTGAGCTTAGAATTATGTCATTTTTTTTTATAATTGAAAATCAAAGGAGTTTATTTTATTTTGTTTTATTTTATTTATTGTTAAGGAGTAGCAGTTTTTATTTTTATTTAGTAAGGAGTAATGCTAAGCAGAGAACCTACAGGGGAATAGAAATCGAAAGGGAAAGAGAGAAATATATAAGGAGGGGTTAAGGGAACCAAAAGACTAGTAATATTAGAAAGGACAAAAAAAAAAGAAGAGGTTGAATAAGATACTATTGTTAAAATGCTTCTTTTAATTTAAAAGATCAAAAAATTATAGGAGAAATCCAAGTATAGATTGTCTTGTTATAATTGCATGTGTACGTGTATATAGATGTTTGTGTATTTATTGGTTGGTTGGTTGATTGATTGATTGATTGATTGATTGATGAATGAAGATAAGTGAAGGTCTAAAAGAAATTCCAAAAAAGGCTTTAAAATTATTATTATTATTTTTGGTTATGATGGAAGGAAAAATAAAAAGTTGATTGTCCTTTTTCTTCTTCTTTCTTCTTATTGTTTAGAGCTGACGATGGCAAGGTTTACTTTGGGAGGTACGCTGAAACCAAATGATTTTGACACCTTTGCAAGATCCAAGTTGTTGACGTTAAAAATCTTCTTGTGGCTAAATGAGGCATAGGCCTGGAGGTAAGAGCGGAAACCATCACGAGCAGACTGGTTGAGGTAAAAGTTCTTTTCGACCAATTTCTCGAGCTGGCTCTGGACATTGGCAATCTTGTTGGAAGGAAATTGGTACTCGTTCAGAGGTACCTTGGCGTGCTTAAGGTATCTCAGGAAACCCAATTCACTTGGGAGCAAGAATAAAAGACTCTTGCCCTGTCCACCAGCACGCGCTGTACGGCCCACACGGTGAATGTAATCGCGAGGATCATCCGGGGGATCAAACTGGACAATCCAGTCCACAGCTGGGATATCAAGGCCACGTGCAGCCACGTCTGTGCAGAGCAAAATGCCCTTTTCTGCATTACAGAATTCAAAGAAGGTTGTTGTGCGCTTTTGTTGCTTTTGACGACCCTATTGTTTTAAAGCAAAAAAAAAAAAAATAACCCTAGGAGTCAGTAAAAACAACAATACACCGATTTATCTGTCTCTATATAATCTAATTTGCTTTGGTTTGTGGACACTTACATGAAGTTCAAGAACAGGTACATCAATGTAGTTCATCAATGCAGCATGGTATTTGACAGAGTTACAGCTGGAGAAAAACACGATAACCTTTTTCTTCAAGTTCTTTCTCAAAAAGGTAAAGAGCAACAAGAAACGCTTGTCGGATTCACAGACAACATAACCCTGCTCAAGTCCATCGGCAGTAGAAGTATCCTTCTTCTCGTCAACGTTGATGTACAAGGGGCCCTTCTTGAGCGAGATACGTGCAAGATCAGCAACCTTGGTGGTCTGTGTGGCAGAGAACAACATTGTCTGGCGCTCCTTGGGGAGAATACGGATAATCTGAGCCATTTCCTCTTCGAAACCGATTTCCAAAATACGATCGGCCTCATCGATAACCAATGCCTTCAAATTCTTGTAAACAAAACCACGGGTGTTCTATAGAAAACCATAAGGACAACAACAATAAATGAGTTAATGTTTTTTTGGCCCCAATTCCACGAGTATATTATTATAATTATCATTTCCTCCCTCTACTATTATTATCGATCTCTCTCTTATTCCCCTATATATTTATATTTATACATGTTCACACACATGTGTGTATGTATGTATGTATGTATGTATGTGTGCGTGTATTACCTGCAAGTGATCGAGAAGTCTTCCGGGAGTGGCAACAATAAGATTGACACCCTTAACCAATTTGTCAGCCTCGGCCTTTCTGTTGGCGCCACCAATAACAATACCATAGGTGTGCTGATGGTACTTGAGCAACTCCTTGGCTACACCAAAGATCTGAAGAGCCAATTCACGAGTAGGAGAGACGATAATAACACCGGTACCTTTATATATATATAAATTAGTTTAAATACATTCCTTTCCTTTCACTTTTTCCTTTTCCCTTTTCCCTTTTTTTTTAATAAAAAAACGCTCCTTTCTGTTTTATCCTCCTTTTCCACACACACGCACGCACACACCAACCCATGTATTTTATGCATTAAATCTTCTTTACTGCCCAAATTACCATTTCTAGGCTTGAACTTGAGGCGGTAAAGCATTTCGATGGCAGGAATCAAAAAGGCGAGAGTTTTTCCGGAACCAGTCTTGGCAGCACCGAGAACATCACGGCCAGCCATGAGAGGAGGAATAGTACGGGCCTGAACTTCGGTCATGGAGGTGAATCCCATGTCGTTGATCGCATTCTTAGTCTTTTCGCACAATTCAACCGATCCGAAGTCAAGGTTAAGGGGAGCACCTAAAAGAAATAAAGATAAGTAAGAGACATTGAAAGAAAGAAAAAAAGATCAATTCAGGTTCCAAATAATTACAATGAACATAATATTATTCGTAGTAATTTCTCTTTAAAAAGAAAACAATTAAGAGAAGTCTTTACTTACTCTCATCAACTTCCTCGGCAATTTCAGCCAAAGGATCGACATCTTCCTTTGTTTCCTCTTCCTTCTGTTCTTCTGCTTTTTCTTCTTCTTCTTCAACTTCGTTTTCTTCGATTTCGGGAGTAGGCTCCTTTACAGGTTCCTCAACAATCTTGGCCTGCTTCTTTCCGGCCTTGTTGGCTTGGTGAGAGCGCTTTCTCTTCTTGGTCTCGATTGCGGTATTGGCCATGATGAGTTGTAAAGTCGAGCAATCAAGCAAATGAACTTTGAGAAAAAAATTAAAATATATTAAAAAAAATGTCCAGTGATGATGCGTGGCTTGACTCTAATGTGACTAGCTTTCATGTTTCCTCGTCGCGTTTTTCATGCCGCCCTGACCTGGATTTTCCAGTCAGACAATTTGGATTTATTTATTTTTTAAGATAGTGAGATGAAATGATATAGAGTTGCCAAGCTTTATTTTGAAACAAGGTTTTATTGAGAAGAAGAAAAAAAAAGGCATAGAAACAATAATATATACTTCTTTATTTGTAAATATATAAATATATATATGCTTTCACAGCTAATATTTGAAATGCCTCATTTTCTTTGGGAACTAAAGAGAGAGAGAGAGAAAAGGGTTTTTTTAATGATTTTGTAGATTTCTTTTTTAAAATTAGTTATTGGTCTTGTTGTCATGTACAATACAGTGCTTCCAACAAGCAATGTCGCAGCCAATCAAAATTGATGTCGCTGTCCAATCAAAATTAATTTCATATTTTCAGAAATAGAAAGCATTATTTTTTAGAAACCATGTCACCTTCTTAGAAATCATGTCGTAAATCTCCAATATATATTCAACGATGTCCCCTTTGTCACCAACCGAATTGCTGCCATTGCAGTTTTGCACATTCGAAGACTGGAACTAGAAGAATCTCTTACAAGTACTACTTAATTTTTTAACTTCCTCGCCTTCGGGTGGACAGTTCATTCAATAAACAATACAAAAAAAAATGTCGTAAATCTTGCCACTGGAAAAAATATATAAATTGAAGAGTGGTAGTTTTTGACGTTTTTTTTTCTTCATCAATACTTTACAATTTAACATGAGTACAATATTTTTATATGAAGATGGGCATGGAAGGGTTGTTAATGTGAAAGGCGGCCCTGAGCCTATGGACTACATTGTTGATCAGAATGAATTTATTGTTGAGACAATTGCTACACATACTGAGTACTTGAAAACTACGGCCTCCAGTGAATCATCTCTGACTTGCCCAATTTTGATAGAAAAGACAAATGGCAAAGATATCCGTATGAAGGAAGCAAATACGAAACGAGATTATGTGCGTTACTGTTCAGGATAAGGCTGAGTTTTTTGATCTGAAGATCGAAAAGTGCATGAGTGTGTCAACTGCAGCGAAGCAGCTGGATGTTTACATTCGAAGAACGCAGAGATGGGTTAACCAGTATAATGTGTGTACTGATAGTATTTTTGAGAGTTGTAAAAACGTAGGTCGTACATGCATCTTAACCGAAGAGCATAAAGCAATTGTTATCAACTTCATTGATGCTGGTCTCTCTGCTACTGTTGTTGAAGTGACCGAGCATTTATTGAAACAATTTTATAATCTTAAAGTCTCATGCAACACTGTTTATAACTTTATGAGAAGAGAATGTAATCTTTCATTGAAAAAAAGCAGATTTTCATTCTATCGAGAGAAACAGTCCAGCGAAGATTGAGGAACGACATGATTGGGTTTGCAAATGGGAGAACACCGACATGAATTTCCTGACGAGTCTAAGTTTGATATAAACATGAAACGTTCAAGAGCTTGGTCCAAAAAAGATATCCGTCCTATTGTTATCAGACCCACTATGAGAGCAAACACAGTGTCTATATTGAGCGCTATCTCCGCTCTAGGTTTGATTGCAGTTGGCGTGAAAAAACCAAAACCTGCTAAGAGAAAAACTGATGGATATATAACCTCAGGAACTGTCACAGGCCACTACATAAGTTTCTTAAAAACGACTCTCGATTAAATGGACAAGCCTTTGCATATTAAAGGCCATTAGATAATCATGGATAATGCACTCATTCACACGCACGAAAACACAAAGAAGCATGTTGAGTATCGAGGATACAAATGTGTGTATCTTCCTACTTACTCTCCTAAGCTTAACCCAATAGAACAATTCTGGGCAATGGCAAAGAGTAAGGTTAACCGGCATAGGTTTTTGCAGGAAGAGACCTTACTAAAAAGAATTACAGAAGCCTGCAAAAGTATGGAGAAAAACTGCTTCAAAGGCTTTGTTTCGCATTCTTACAAGTGCTGGGATAAATGTCGAAACAAAGAGCCTATGTAATGGCATCGACAACCACATCAGAAGTCAATAACACAGTGATTAAGAAAAAGGTAAGCTACAATCAGATCAGCAATAAACAATTTTAACTTTATTATATTTTTTTATGTAGGTCATACAGCATTGGCAAGTATTTTTAAGAGCACCAAGTGTAGGACACTTCAGAAAAGATGTAGGACACCTCAGAAAAGATATGGGACACTTCAGAAAAGATGTAGGACACCTCAGAAAAGATATGGGACACTTTAGAAAAGATGTAGGGCACCTCAGAAAAGATATGGGACATTTCGTAAAAGATATGGGACACCTCAGAAAAGATGTAGGACACTTCGACTACTCGCAAATGATGGGAGAAATATGGCAGTTCATGCTCATAGCATCGTGGACAGTTATGTTGTTTTTTACATACACGCCTTGTGTTGTAAACAGACCATTTTTACTGGCTTTACTACAATAAGTACACTCCATACTTAATCTGTTACTAATAGCTGCTTTTATGGAAATATCCGCAACTACACTTTCTATGGTTGCATAATAATACAAGTTCAAAGTCCCAATTTAATATGGCACTGTAACTATGTACGAGAAAAAAAATTATAGATGGTTATTATTGAGGAAGTAAGCTTTACTAACTGTTTGTATTTAATACTGTTTCTTACGCTTGTTCAATAAAGTAACTCGGTTTTTCACTCTTTATTTTAAATATTATTGATTTTTTATACATTTATTAAGTACCCAAGCTCTTCGGTTACATCACCATGGATGAAAAGTAGACATTGCTCTCATTCAAATGACAAATATCAGTCGCTGGACAATTGAAATTGATGTTAGACCAATCAAAATTAATTTGTTAGTTCCTTGAAAATAAGCAATTTGTATAATCTCTTATTGTTTTCTCTTTTTTTCTTTCCTTTTTTTCAGTTGCAATTCGCTTGACCTGAAAATGTTAACTTTAGGCCAAGCTTCCTGCCTTGTCCTTGGACACAAACCCAATGATCCAGAAGAGAGAAAAAAAGTAAAAGAACATCTAGAAAAAAGTGGTTTAATTGCAGTACACATACGTAATCACGATCCCTTTCAACCGGTGGCCATTGGTATCAATGTATACGAGCGAGATCCCTTCAAATTCATAAGTTATCCTGATTCTCCAACAATTCCAAGTACAGATTTACCTGATAATATTGATAATCACGATGTTAACGACAACAACGGCAATAACGACGATAGCAACAACAGTGACAGCGATGATAACAGCAGCGGCAACGATAGCAACAACAGTAATAAAGACAGGGCTAGAAAACCGAAGCTTGATAACACGGTTATACCATTCTGCAAGGATCGTCTGCTAAACCTTATGAAGGAAATTGCCACCGATAAAAATCCTTTGAACGACAATTGTTATTCCAAACAATTCCTAACTGCAGAAGATCAATACCAGCTAATGTGCAGTATGTTCCCGCGTCTTAAAAAGCATTGTAGCGTAAATCAACTTCAATATTGGATTGGACAGGCAAAGATCTGGGGAAAATCAGGGCGTTTACGAAAAAATCAGCGAAAACCTGGGCGAAACTTATGGGTAGTTATGAACAGCTGAGGGGTAAAATCACTTCACTAAATTTTGGGTTTCCATATTCTAACAATCTATTCTGTAGCGTTCGTGACGGATACTTCCAACTCGGTGAAAGCATACTGGAAATATTTACAACATGATACCAAATACATAACAATTGGATATGCACGTAAATCGCCAACTGACGAAACAAAAGAATCACGCATACGTTTATTACAGTTAATGGTGAACAAACTATACTCCCGCGGAAAGTGTGGAGAAGTATTCGTGAGCCCAATTTGCAAAGCAGACCAACCAATATTAGAAAGAGACTCGCCAAAGCAGGATGATTTACTGCTGAATTTAAAAGGATCCCATGGCGATATATCAGGTACATCAAGGTTCAGTATGATAATTATAATAACTGAAAATTTCATATAGATTTAGTTGAACGCGTCCATTTCAGCCAAAAGCCTTTCCGCCTTGTCATCATTGACTATGCCGGGCTTTCAATGTCACCAAATGATATTAGGATTTGTTTGGAGTAAGTCGAAAAGAATACTGATTGCAGCAAGTTTTTTCATGTTAATTAATTTGAAAACTAGACAATGCAGCAATATCAAGGAAGTTGTTGTAGATCATAGCTCTTCGTTTGAGATCTTATCACGTTTTGATCTTTTGAAAAGTAATGGTCTAGAAAAATTTAAATGTCGACATGCTAACGTTAAACGATCAAAGTAATTTTTTTCGTGCTAATGGTTTATCTAATAAATAAACAAAGTGCTTACGCCTCAACAATCCAATTTGATTGTGTGATAACAGATTAATCTTTGGGAAATTGAAAATAATACAATTAGGTCGATCTCATTGAAAAGATGGCGTATGTTATTTTGAATGAGAGTGACCATTTTTCGATACAATGGCTACTTTTCATCCATGGCGTGTATGTAAAAAAACAACATAACTGTCCACGATGCTATGAGCATGAACTGCCATATTTCTCCCATCATTTGCGAGTAGTCGAAGTGTCCTACATCTTTTCTGAGGTGTCCTACATCTTTTCTGAAGTGTCCTACATCTTTTCTGAAGTGTCCTACATCTTTTCGGAGGTGTTCTACATCTTTTCTGAAGTGTCCTACATCTTTTCTGAAGTGTCCCATATCTTTTCTGAAGTGTCCCGTATCTTTTCTGAAGTGTCCCATATCTTTTCTGAAGTGTCCTACATCTTTTCTGAAGTGTCCCATATCTTTTCTGAGGTGTCCTACATCTTTTCTGAGGTGTCCTACATCTTTTCTGAAGTGTCCCATATCTTTTCAGAGGTGTCCTACATCTTTTCTGAAGTGTCCTACACTTGGTGCTCTTAAAAATACTTGCCAATGCTGTATGACCTACATAAAAAAATATAATAAAGTTAAAATTGTTTATTGCTGATCTGATTGTAGCTTACCTTTTTCTTAATCACTGTGTTATTGACTTCTGATGTGGTTGTCGATGCCATTACATAGGCTCTTTGTTTCGACATTTATCCCAGCACTTGTAAGAATGCGAAACAAAGCCTTTGAAGCAGCTTTTCTCCATACTTTTGCAGGCTTCTGTAATTCTTTTTAGTAAGGTCTCTTCCTGCAAAAACCTATGCCGGTTAACCTTACTCTTTGCCATTGCCCAGAATTGTTCTATTGGGTTAAGCTTAGGAGAGTAAGTAGGAAGATACACACATTTGTATCCTCGATACTCAACATGCTTCTTTGTGTTTTCGTGCGTGTGAATGAGTGCATTATCCATGATTATCTAATGGCCTTTAATATGCAAATGCTTGTCCATTTAATCGAGAGTCGTTTTTAAGAAACTTATGTAGTGGCCTGTGACAGTTCCTGAGGTTATATATCCATCAGTTTTTCTCTTAGCAGGTTTTGGTTTTTTCACGCCAACTGCAATCAAACCTAGAGCGGAGATAGTGCTCAATATAGACACTGTGTTTGCTCTCATAGTGGGTCTGATAACAATAGGACGGATATCTTTTTTGGACCAAGCTCTTGAACGTTTCATGTTTATATCAAACTTAGACTCGTCAGGAAATTCGTGTCGGTGTTCTCCCATTTGCAAACCCAATCATGTCGTTCCTCAATCTTCGCTGGACTGTTTCTCTCGATAGAATGAAAATCTGCTTTTTTTCAATGAAAGATTACATTCTCTTCTCATAAAGTTATAAACAGTGTTGCATGAGACTTTAAGATTATAAAATTGTTTCAATAAATGCTCGGTCACTTCAACAACAGTAGCAGAGAGACCAGCATCAATGAAGTTGATAACAATTGCTTTATGCTCTTCGGTTAAGATGCATGTACGACCTACGTTTTTACAACTCTCAAAAATACTATCAGTACACACATTATACTGGTTAACCCATCTCTGCGTTCTTCGAATGTAAACATCCAGCTGCTTCGCTGCAGTTGACACACTCATGCACTTTTCGATCTTCAGATCAAAAAACTCAGCCTTATCCTGAACAGTAACGCACATAATCTCGTTTCGTATTTGCTTCCTTCATACGGATATCTTTGCCATTTGTCTTTTCTATCAAAATTGGGCAAGTCAGAGATGATTCACTGGAGGCCGTAGTTTTCAAGTACTCAGTATGTGTAGCAATTGTCTCAACAATAAATTCATTCTGATCAACAATGTAGTCCATAGGCTCAGGGCCGCCTTTCACATTAACAACCCTTCCATGCCCATCTTCATATAAAAATATTGTACTCATGTTAAATTGTAAAGTATTGATGAAGAAAAAAAAACGTCAAAAACTACCACTCTTCAATTTATATATTTTTTCCAGTGGCAAGATTTACGACATTTTTTTTTGTATTGTTTATTGAATGAACTGTCCACCCGAAGGCGAGGAAGTTAAAAAATTAAGTAGTACTTGTAAGAGATTCTTCTAGTTCCAGTCTTCGAATGTGCAAAACTGCAATGGCAGCAATTCGGTTGGTGACAAAGGGGACATCGTTGAATATATATTGGAGATTTACGACATGATTTCTAAGAAGGTGACATGGTTTCTAAAAAATAATGCTTTCTATTTCTGAAAATATGAAATTAATTTTGATTGGACAGCGACATCAATTTTGATTGGCTGCGACATTGCTTGTTGGAAGCACTGTATTGTACCTGTCTGTCAATTATTATTTTTAAAAAAAAAAATAGTGAAAATTGATCAATTGAATAATTGAATAACTTATTGCAGTAACGCTTCTTCTTCTATTTGCAACTTTTTCTTTTGACCTTATCATTTTAACCACTTTTTTTCATTACTGATATGATCTAAAGGTCTAAAAAAAAAAAGCAAAACTGTTATATATATATTTTTTTAACAGAAAAGACAAAAGATAAAAAAGTGTTTTAATCGGAAGATTAAGACTGGTGTGTGACCACTAATCTGATGAACAATCCGCTCTTCGTGTGCTTTGTTTTCTGTCCTGTCGTATTCTCCTGCTGTCCCCCTCCTCTTTAATATTTGACTTCCACATCCTGTCTTTACATAAAAACAAATAATGTCGCCCACAATCACACACCAGCGTACTGCACTTGGAGATGTTACCCCAAACAATCTTGGCCAACTTCGTAAACTCAATACAATATTGTTTCCTGTAAACTATGGCGAGAAGTTTTATAATGACTTGGCTGAGGCTGGAGAATTGGCCAAGTTGGGTAAGTTCCCAAAGTAAAATATGCACACATTCACACACACACACATATATATACGTGTGTTTGTATTTATAATAGTGACTATAATAATATTTGTACATATATATATATATATTCTAATGTGTAGCTTATTACAATGATGTGTGCGTTGGTGCTGTGTGTTGTCGTAAGGATAATGTTGATGGCAAGACAACGATCTACATGATGACCTTGGGTGTTCTTGAGCCTTACAGACGTCTTGGCCTTGGTAATGTGTAACATGTTTACCTGGTGTAGTTAGTGTATATATGTGGGTATTAAATGTAATCCTTTTAGGTCATCAATTGTTGGGACATATCTTGGAACAGGCCAAGGATATGAAGCCTGCGGTTGAATCTGTCCAACTTCATGTTCAGACAACCAATGATTCTGCCGTCGCTTTTTACAAGAAGTATGGCTTTGAGGTTACAAGCACCGTCAAGGATTACTATAAAAAGATTGAACAAAGAGATGCTTATGTCCTCACAAAGACCATCGAACACTAATAAGCATATATATATGAGGCTGTGGCTGTGTGTGTGTGTGTGTATTGATATCCACACATTTATATACATATATACGTACACGCACACACACACACACATATATATCATAAAATAAAAATAAACGCGTCTAATCAAGCACTATCAGACATGTATACACTTTGAATATAAAACAAAAAATTGTCGAGATTCAACGCGTATATTGAGAGGAAGAGGAAGAAAGAGAAGATCCGGGATACAGAACAAAAAAGAAGGGCAAAAAAGATAGAAAGAGAAGAAGATCCAAAGTATCAGAACCGTATTAGCTTGATCGGTGGGAGTAATAAAGTGAATCCAGTGAAAAAGGCTGGAAAAGTGTATTTATTTATTTTTGCTTTTCATATTACTTTCGACCTCTTATATATAGCAGTGTTCCTGGTTTAATCAATAGTATACTATGTATATAGACATGAATAACACTGGCAATTGACAGGCTGTCTACCATAATTTTTGCTTGGGTTTGGGTGTAGTGTATTAGAGCATCTGCAGCGGTTACATTACAGACAACATTATAGATAATGTAGTCCATTTTAAAGGTCAGGAACATTACATGTAGTGTTATATTATAAATCGGTATTATCTTTTTGAATCGTTTTCTTCCCTCTCACATCCTTTGTTAAAGCGAACAATGGTCTATAGAAATGAGCAAAGAAATTCTCGCAAATTATGCTAACTATTAATCTGACAATATTGAAATTATTAAATTCATATTTTTAATGCATCTATAGAGAACAAATGTCCAATAAAATAAATTTTAAGAAAAAGAATATGAACAAAATCATTAGTGAAGAACTGGAAACTTTAGACAGTCAAAAAGCTCAAATTGTTCCTTTGTAATGTAACCACAATTTGGCAATCTGTTTTTAACTGGTATTCAATCCCCAGTGTGGCTATACTACACTATATATAATGTTTTCGATAATGTAACCACTGCAGATGCTCTAATGGAATATATATATTATTTATTTTCATCAAGAGCCCGTACAAATTATTACAATTGATTGAGTGAGCAACACTCCCCTAGGTTACCAAATAAAGTTTATTTGCATAGGTAAATGTACGCCAGAATATGTACCAAATACATATTGGGTTGTATATAAGGAGACACTGATACACTCTCTTCGGGGGATTTCCTTCCACGGATAAGTTGTGAAAGCCGTTCATTTTACCCTTTTATATATATATATATCGTAAAGTCAATTAATCGCTTAGCTTGAGAAATTATAGGAGGCATACGTATGGTCAATTAATGACCATTACTTTAAACGTCAGCAGCTAGATTAGAACAAATTGATCCATGTTTCATTATCTTTGGCACTGTTTGGCTTTTAGATTATCCGACTATCACCATGAGGGAAAAAATGCGTGTTTAGGGATATATTTATATTAAAGCCGTACTTTATTTTTTTCAAGTTTCGCATATGCGTTTGGTATTCAGGCACAAAGATAATAATGCACCTGAAAGTATCGACCGATGTTTTATAGCAATACAATGTATATTAAGCCAAGTTATGTCTCGGGCGTGTTTACGTTTGTTCCTGAATAAACCAAAAGAAAAAACATTCTTTCTCTCTTTTTTTTTACAGCCTTAAAGTGTCTCAACATTTTCACCTCTAAGCACAAGCAAACTATGGTAATTGATCTCTACCGTACATGCAACTCTGGTACATTCTATTGTACTTTTGTTGTGAGCCAATAGCACTCTCTTCCTATTATGGTCGTGTTCAGAGCGATGGTTATGATAATATGTCTCCCAGATTTATCTATTCAACTTTTTTTTTGGTCAATTAAAGAGGAGGAGTGGGTACAATAAGCACACGAGAGTTTCTGGATACGTAAATTAGCTGTCAAGTTGAGAAAAACTTGACTATGTATGTGGTAATTCTTCTGGTAATTTCTGTAGGATGGTGTGGTTTGGTTGACAGTAAGCAGCAAGAAAAACGAAAGACACAGTCAACCAATCGCAGCATTGTACCAGGAAATCTTGAGGAAAAAGAAAACTAACGGGGAAATTGATGAGAGCAAATTTGAGACGAGGTGGACATCGGGAGTGGAGAAGAGCAGGGTCCATCAGAGAACCAGAGTTTTCTCGACATGCATGATGATGATGGTAACAGGATACACCAGCATTTGGCTGTGGTTACCTTATATAGATAGCATCAAGGTGACACGCTCGATTTGATGGTTGTAGCTGTAACCAAACAATTCGCCATTTGACCAGATTTCGGTCTTCATGGCGGGCACAGGTCAGTTGTGAACATCTATTGATCAAATGATACGAGTGTTCAACACTTTTTTTCTTCTTCTTCTTTTGAACGACGTCAAATTAAAACACCGTCTTTTTTTTTTTACTTTTCACTTTACAGTGCCTCCAGCGCCAAATGGCGCTGGGGGTTGTTTTCTTTTATAGGCTCCGTCGACTTTAATCCCCTTTGACTTTGAGTTGGGCAACTTGATATCAAATGCTCACCACACTTAAGGCCAATATTGTTCCTAGAATGCTGTGAGATACTGTGAGGGTAATTTGAGATGGCCAAAAGGACAAGGTATTTTCAAAAAGCCCTATTTGTCACTGGATACACTGTACAATGAAATGTGCCTGAAAAAAAAATCCATTAAAAGCAATATAATCTCAAATTGCATTGATATTATGGCGATGGTGTATATTACAGGTGTTTTTTATAAGGATAAGGTGGTGGTGGTGGTGGTGGTGGTGGTGGTATCTAAGCATCTGCGATAATGCGCAACGGCACCAAAACTCCTTTTCTCCAATGCCACAAAACGGGAATCTAGAAACGAAAGACCTTAAGCTCGTTTACAGTGATAGAAATTTTCAATATACAGAATGCGCGTCAAGACAATTGCTTGCCATTCAATTTATAGATTTCTTCAAAGTGTATCTTCATTTCTAAAACAAAAATGGGTGTTCTTTCAGCAATCCGTTGACTAAATCGTCTAATATGTATATATATCGAAGAGACAAGGTAGATTTATGTTGCATCTAGCATCATAATAATTGATGATTTCTTCAGCACCTACAAGGAGCCTTGTTTTGCCATTATGACTTTTTCTTTCGCTTTGAGTTGTAGTTTATACCACCAGAGAATTCGCTAACGGCCATACCATAGTCCATTTTGTAGCAGCTGTCATAATTGATTCATTTTCTATCCTAATTAATTATATTACTCCAATATAAATGTTATGGAGAGAAACACATCATTTAAAATATATAATGTTATTCACAGCTAAACCCAACTTATTGAATCAATAGATGCAGTTCGGCCCAGACTTTTTGGACATCAATGGATTGCGTGGGGTTTTCGTATTTTATTCAGACTATTAAAACTGACAATTGGTATAGGTGAGAATAGCAGGTAGGAAGATACACTGGAGTATATATGTCACATAATTTGTAATGGTTGAAATCCTCTTAAGAGAAAAGACTTTAGACTTCAAGCGTTCTATTGAGGTAAGTAGACTCCAAAAGAGTTCGAACCTTCGTACCATCAATGGTTTTAACAGCCAGATCAGTCATCCTTAAAAGTCTATTAATGTACGGTATGTAATTTGATGACTAATGTGAGCTCTTTCTGCTAGTAGAGCTTATTGCCTCAAGGGGTGGAGAAAGAGAGTCTGGTATTTTTTTTATCCTTGGTAGATGGACTGGAATCATTGCCAGCATTACCAACAAGTGTAAAACAAAGCTGGATAGGTAAAAAGATAAGTGCATGATATGTATAGATGGGTGTTTACCACAATAAACTTATGTATTTTGTGGTATTTTTCATGGGCATTGACAACACTGCCACCGATCATAGCAACATTGTCTTTTTCAATGCGCTTTGACCAGCGATGGTCGTACTCTTTGCCAAACTTGGAGGTGGTATTAAATCAAGACTGCTACACAGAGAATATCAGAACCAGTGCATGTCATACTCTTGGACTATAATATATATATATATATATTTCTTTTACCCTGAACAAATTGAGGCCATTTTTGCACCAAAGGTTTGTTTTTATTGGCAACATTAGTCCCCTTATTGATACGAAACAATGGAAAACATTTCACGGCTTTTGTTTTGTATTTTTTAAAGTAGGATATGGTGAGAGCCCAAAATGTATATCATGTAGCCATGTCTTCTCAAAGAGGTGGACCAGATGGGAAGGCATTAAAGTGAGACAGAATGCGAAAGGGCCGTGGTGCTACCAATAGCGCCAATTGGGATGTTTAAATAGCGCGAAATAGTCCCAAAGAGCGCGATTTGGCAATGGAGGCACTGTGTTTCTTAAGATGCCTATATTGTTGTTGATACATCCAATAGCTACAGTGAACAAGAGTACTGCGGAAAGGCACAAGAAAAATGAAGTATGAAGTTTATTTTTACTTGTAGAACCTTTAAACTTGACACACCCATCTCAATACTCACCATCGCCAATCAGACAACAAAACAAGATTTTCGATTAATCCCTTTTCTTTTTGGTGTCGTTAAAATCTATAATCATCTCTAATGATTTAATCTTTTTACTGCATTTTACAAAGACAATCGATATATTGGAAGCCACTGTCAAAAATTTATTAAAGACATGATACACTAATTGTGAATTGTGAATCACATATCTATGTATGGCGTACTGACTATAACAATGTCAAAGGAATATAACAAGTCACTTATGAAACGTTTGGCAAGAAAAATCTAAAATCTAAAAATACAAAAAAAAAATACAAAGGCTCTCATGTGCCCATTGTCAATGACATACTAGTGTTTTAAAAGCATTTTTTTTAGGGTTTATTCTGATGATAGGGCCGCAGTCGATTGTATGGTACCAATTACAAGAAGAGGCTAATAATAATACCAATACCAACAGTACCAGTATTATACATAGATTCTTCAAGATCCGTGATTATTATTAATGTAGTTGTCTTGCGTCTTATAGTAAGAACCGAACAATGATTCTATCAAGTATTGTGTTCTTTGTGATTCATTTATTTAATCGTTTCATATATGCCTTTCTCTTTTTATATATCCTTATTTGTCTAATGTCAACAATAAACCTACTTATTATTTTATCAAACTCTTTGACAGCATGATGGTGGCTTTCGATAGATTAAAAAAGAAAAGAAAGCTAATGATAAATAATCGACAGGTCCGCTGTACAAACAAAAAAAAAACAAAATATGAAGCTCCTTATAGACTTATTGATTGTATTATATTGTTGCAACAAGTTGATCTACGAAAAGAAAGGAACAAATAAATGAATAAATAAATTTGCAAGGAGTATTGGGCTCAGTACTTTATTGATGAGCCTCTGTGTCTACTACCAATATAGTAAAGTACGTCTTGGAACATATTCTTTTTAGTTAAACCATTTAATTCATAATAGAATTATATGTATTTGGATAATGCTTTTGGGACTTTATATAACGCATAGATATCAGATAGATTTCATAAAGAGTACATTATAAATCTTATATATTTAAAAGAGGTAAAAGAAAGAAACACTAACCAACTCACATACATATATACATACATATGATATGTATGCGAGTATGTGTAGGAGGTTTTTTCTTATCGCATTTTTCAATTGAGTAAATAGTGCCCTGGAATAGGGCTGCCTAGCATAAGTGACCTTATCACGGGGTGCCAATTCAAACAGAAGAAGAAGAAGAAGAATAAATGAGGGGGTGGAAGTATGTGGTTGAGGGATCCTGTTTGCTTTACACTACAACATGAAACGTAAGAAAAATGATCCTTGAAGGCCATAAAATGTGTCTATGTATAGTCTTTAAATTTCCGCATTATAAATATAAATAAAAAGATGAATGAAAGCTTACAAAATATCATGTTGCACTATGGCTGAAGCCTAAAGATAAAAATGTCCTCTTGATTCTTAAATTTTTGTCTCAGTTTTCTTTTCTTCTTCTCTTTCTGCTTTTCCCCTTTATTATTTTATTTAAAAATCTTTCTTTTCCTTTGGCTTTGTACATTCTCTTCTTTATTACCACACAATAATATACCCTTTTGATTTCTTTTTCAACGATGGGAAAAGGTCAAGAATACGTTATCTACCTCGAGACTGAAGAAGAAGAGCGCCAACAGATTACTAGAGCAACCCAGCGTCGATGGCTCTATGTCCGTCGATTCATTCTCTCTCTTGTTGGCGTGGGATTAGTTATGCACTGCCTGGCTCTAACCCCAACCCCGACTCAACTGGCGCAGTACTGGCAATCATTTGAAACATCTGAAGCAGCTATAGCCACAACAGCAGCAACAGCAGCAGCAACAAGAACAATAAACTCTGACAGTGTGATGTTTGCAGCTGAGGAGGTACAGCCAAGAACAGTTCTGCACACCGGATTCCCACCAGTCGAAAATATCTCTGGTCAAAAGATTACCCCTAGCCAAGCTGCCGCAATCGCATTCTCTCCTCATCCCTCGCTCTCTCCCGTATCAATCACAAATACAAGATTCGCTGCAGACGGATTCTTCAGAAAGACAACAATGGACGAAGGATGGTGGGACCGTATCTTTCACCGGGGCCATGTACACCTTACGTCCGTTCAATTGGCTGTCCGTAGTCCTGATCTGTCATCCCTACAAGCCACCGTTAAGATTTGTACAACCACACACAGCGGTCTTTGGAAGAATGTACCCGACAGTGTCAACTGTGTAGCCGAGAAAGCTCTCAAGGTTGCTCCAGAAGACCTTGAAGACGAAGAGAGTGCATTTGGTATCCTTGAGTGGATTCCTGATGATGTCATTGTACTCAAGAAACGTCAGCTTTACTGGTTGGTGGTCGAGGCTCAAGTCGATAACTTTGATTGGGTTTTTGCTCAGGCCGGAATCAATCCCTATGGCTCTGCATTGGAAACAGAGGAGGGATGGCAATTGCAGTCACAAGAAGAACCAGTCCCAACAACCATCATCGTCGTACAAGACCACTCTTAAAATCACATGTCCTTAATTTTTTCTTTTTTTCTTTTTTCTTTCTCGTAATCCTCTTGTTCATAACCTCATTCCTTTTTTAGTAGTATTTAGTATGTATTTAGTATGTGATTCTAAATAAAGTTATTCCATATATATCACAAATTAACAGTTCGCTTTAAAATCAGATGGCTCATCGGAATCGGGATAAAGAAATGAACACAAGTAGAGAAAAATAAGGAAAAACGGTTATTGTTTAACCGTAAAATATCACATTGTCCACCAATCTAAGCAAACAAAAACAAAAACCGCTTAATTACAGCTTGTGTTTTGTTCAAAATTGTACGTGAAATATAAAAAATTGAATAAGCTTTTTTTTAAAAAAAAAAAAAAAAAACTGTATAAAATTCTTCTTCTTCTATTACTACTTCTTTATGATTAATACTAGTTACAAAAGACAAGTCAAAAAGAAAATTCATTTGGTTACTAAGAAGCACTCTATTTTATTTCTTCAAAGATATGAGAGTGATGTATTTTACTGTTATTGCAAGCATGTGTATAGAACCAAGTTCGATAATATGCACATGGGTTAATGTAGAATGAGGAATGCCTTGATCATTTTATCAATATTTGCCTCTTCAAACTCTCAAACAGTCTGTTTGAACCCTGGTAATTCAAACATCCCATTTTTAAACAAAAAATATATATATATATTTATGTACAAAAGAAGGTATTTTTTTCTCGGTATAATCGTTCATCCGTGCATGATACCGAATGAAAATTCAAGAAGAAAGAGAGAAGCAGAAAAGTCAGAGGTTTGACAAAAGCCAGATATATATTATATATAGATATATCTTTTGAAAACTATACACGCAAAACAGCACACAATTCAGAAAAAAAAATTCAAAAAAAAACAATTTTTTTTGAGTCAAATTCATATTCATATTCATATTCCCTTTCTCTTCTTTCTCTCTTTCTCACTGTAATATAAACTAGGATTCTCTCTTTGAAAGAGACACCTCTTCTTTTGTTGCATTCTTTATATTTTATGCTCGTATTTATTTAATTCTACTCTACACAGTATAATTATCTCGAAACTGTGATTGAGTAAAGAAGAAGAAAAACTCTAAACATCCCTCCCCTTCATTATTATACTTATTTAATTATTACCCACACAAAAGTCATACAGAATAATGAAGTCTTGGCGTCTGTCGGCAGTAACGAAATCATCAATATTGAACCATTTACCATTAAAGAGCCACCGATGGTCCTATTATGACCTCAAATATGTCTTTCTTGGCCTACTGGTCTTGATTGATTTCATAATTATCCGGAAACCCATCTTACCCTTTCGCTGTGCAATCTTAGCCGTGTTCTGTATCGGTTTGTTTGTGCCTTATATCCGTCGCTTTATCGTGCCTGCATCGCCAATATTCGCCTGGTTGATTACCTTTTACGCCTGCCAATTCATCCCTCTCCACTACCGTCCCCAGCACATATTCGTCAACATCCTCCCGACTCTCGAAAGAATTCTTTATGGCGCTAGTCTATCAGAAATCATCTCTAGTCACACACACCCAGTCTTGGATGTCTTGGCCTGGCTTCCATATGGAGTAATTCATTTCTCATTTCCGTTTGTCTTGGCAGCCTTATTGTTCACCTTTGGCCCACCAGGATGCTTGAGTTTGTTTGGTCAGGCATTTGGATATATGAACATTGCTGGCGTATTGACACAGCTACTCTTTCCCAATGCATCGCCTTGTAAGTATTTATTGTGTATCCAAACAAGAAACTACTAAAACATATATACTTAACAATTTGTTTGACAACTTCAACTCTTCTTTTTTATTATTAATTAATTACTTTAGGGTATGAATTAATCTATGGTTCTGCACCTGCCGATTATTCAATTCCTGGTGAAGCTGGTGGTTTGGCAAGGATTGACAAGATCCTTGGGTTGGAACTGTATGGGTCAACTTTTGGAAACTCGCCTCTGGTGTTTGGAGCCTTTCCTTCACTTCATTCTGGATCGGCTACAATGGAAATGCTGTTTCTCACCTATCTGTTCCCAAAGATGTGGCCGGTTGGAGTAGCGTATACGATGTGGCTGTGGTGGTCTACGATGTACCTCACCCACCATTATTTGATTGACCTTGTGGGAGGCTCGATATATGCATTTGTCGTGTTCTTTATTGCCCGTAAATTCTTACCCAAGATGGACAAGTCGGCACACTCCAGACTCAGCTATCTTGGAATCACACGCTTTAGTCTTAAAGCATTATTTTATAGCATTGAACATAAACCGGATTCCTTTGTCATGCCAGACTGTTCCTATGTCGCCATTGAGATTGAACACATGACTCCCTCTGGCCGCCGTCGTCATGGTGATGATATCACGAGAGAGAAGCTGATACCACACAAATTAGATATGGGATTCATGAGTAGTGAAGAAGGAGAAGAAGAAGAAGGCACGCTCTATACCTCAAATACCTCTGCCGTTCCATCTGGTTCTTCAACACCAACCCTTCGTTCAGTATCACCTAGTATGATTTCCATAACCGAAAAACCGTCAAAGTATTCAACTGCTGGACCCTAAAATATTCCGTTCTTTTTTCTTTTTTTTTTCTATGTACATAATTTACTAATGTAACGAAGACACTAAGAGAGAAAATGAATATCTATACCCCCCCCCCCTCATCCAACTCCCCTGCTAATTAATATTCACGACTTTGCTTTTGACATAGTAAATTAGTGTTGTAATCTATTACTGCATTCATGCCTTTCATTTATATATTTAATATTATATTTATTTATTTATTATACACCCCTACTTACTTACGCACTTAATAAAATTCTCATTACTACTATTACTATCATTAGTGTAATTATTATCACTGATTGAAACAAGAATTACTTTACTGAAACACCAATATATATATATATATATATAAATGATAAATGGTAAAGACAAAAGAAGAAATTTATTTTGTTTTTTTAAAAAAAAAAATGCGGGCACGTACATGCGCGCATAGATAGATATCAATGGTAAAATTATAAAGGAAAGAAAAGAAAGGAAACTATATGCTTCCATTGGTCAATGTGTATCTTTTTGTCTAATCTATCAATAATTTCTTGATAACAAAGTATACAATCCAAGCAACACCACTTATGCGCAACACAACAGCAAGTCCAATCGCTCTTCGAAATGCAATTAACATCGTCTCATCTTCACTATCAATCTTGGGTAACATATTCTTCCTATAAAGAGTTTTTTTTTTTAAAAAAAAAAGAAATCATTCAAGCAAAGCAACATGATTATTTCTGTACATAGACAAATTATAGTAGCAACTAGATTTTTCTATATTTCTTACCTTCCAGAAGATCTTGTTAGATTTCCTTTGAACGATGTGATACGGTGCATCAACCAAAACAAAAAACTAATGTCTTTACGTGAGAACAGAGGCGGAGACTTGCAGAACTTTACAAACGGGAAGGTTTCTTTGGTAGATTGAACAATGGAGGGAGAGGTCTTGCTGTGTTTGTGTTTCCATGTAGGCCTCCCACCTTCAGCACAAATCATTAGATCCCGGGTCATGCCCAATGTGATTCCCCAGAGTCTGAAGTGGTGCGAGCTACTATCATTGTTGTTGTTACTGTCTTGGTCTTGAGTGGGTAGGTCAATTGCCGGAAAGCTGACAGTTCCCATCATTGAACGGGCCAAGGGAGCCAAGTTGCCCTTTCTCATTGATCGAGGAGCCAGATTCTGAGTCACGTAATCGTAATTGTAAAGCTCATTTGTCAAAAAGAATGACAGTGGGACCCCTTTTTTGTATACATACGTAATTAGGTACGAACATAAGTTATGCGCGCGTGTGTTTGTGTATATAAAATCATAGGGTTAGTATCGCTTTTTCTTATTTTTCCTTTGTCTTCAAAAAGGTGCGTGTGAATATAAATCTCTTTAATGCATAGTCGTACATTTCACAGCGGCTACTTCAGATTCCTGGAGGGAGAGTGTGGGAGTCTCTGGTACAGTCTGTAAAAAGACTATATATATATTTTTTTATCAATTAAATCAATAAATCAATAACTCAATAGGCAAATATGTGTATTATGTATTGTGTATGTATTATACATATACAAGTACTTAATGTAAATATAAACGAAATAGACAGTGCATTTCTTTATTCTTCTGGATTATTGTTGTTTGCTTACCAAAGGGTGTGAGAACCATCATCAGTTTGTTATCAAGTGGTGATTTAATTTCTCGGGCATCCAGTTGTCCAAGCTGGATAAAGTTATCAGTGTCCAGATTCAACCCCAGCTCTTCTTGGACCTCTCGTATTGCCGTGTCCCGGTCTGTCTCTCCAGGTTCACTCTTTCCGCCTGGAAAAGCTACATGTCCAGACCACCTACACATTATTATTATCCATATTGTATATTAGATTGAGAATGAATAAAGCTGTGTTTTATTAAGCCATTTAGCTACTGCCATTATAATAATAATAAAAATAATAATAATTATTGCTATGGTGTACAAAGGGTAAACCAAAAAAAAGAAGAAGAAGAGGGGGGGACTATGTTTTTTTTTTTTTTTGGTTTCTTACTGGTCTGTGACTCTAGTAGCTCTCAGCATATATAGTAGTTCTGGTTGACTGTCGTTTACCCAAGCCTGTTCAAAGAAACTCTTGACTGAACTAACACTATTAGCCACTACACTAGTTGTGTTTGGTCGACATCTCAATACTAATGCTACGGCAGCTCTGCGTGGTTGGGATGGCGGATGAATGACCAATGGCTCCCGGGTCATCAGCGTTTCCGCAATCTTTGAGAGATCTATATAAAAAAATAAGAATAGTAAAATATATGTATATGTATATTATAGATATGGACTTGGTAGTTGTATATTGTATGTTTGACAGGCTCTGGTTCTGTGTACATACATTTTTGTTCAGCCATAAAATATATATCTATCTAATTATATATAAATAATAGTACTATTAGATAATAATGATAATAATTATTAAATAAATAAATAATTATTAAATAAAAACAAGATGTGTGAAATGAGAAATGAGAAATGAAAGCCCAAAATCAAAAATCTCTTTTTTGGTACTTGTTTGGTTTCCGACTGTCGCACGCTTGCAAACAATGTGGTACCTAGTTACAAACACGATCGCTAGACACTATTATTGCTCTTCTTTAAGACGAACAAGAAAAAAAAAAGGGCCCATGGTCATTGAAGGGAAGTTAATCTGATGATATCAATAATAATAATAATAATAATAATTCCAGATTATATTGAATTTATCTTTTTGTTCTTGATATCCAATTTAACCAAATAGACTAAAACTTATATGAATCTAACTCATATACACAAAATTTAACTCAGGTTTTTTTTTTCTCTGAAATTTGTTAGGCATAAAAGTTTAAGTCTTGTTGAACCTACATTACATTAAATAAGAAATAAATCCTTGAGCCTGTCTAAAGTCCAAAAAAAGGGAAAGAGAACGAATATTGAACGATCAGTACAACCCTTATTTTGTACTTTTCATTCTTTCATCTATGCAAACCTTAATATCTGTGAACCCTTTTCTTTATTTTTTTTTTCTTTTTTTCTCTATTTCATGTTCTATTTCATTTCTACTTGTATAAAATAAAATAAAACCTTGGCTTGGAGGACAAGGAGCACAAAGATACCTATATATCACGTCAATTCAGCCTGTAATCCTATCTTTGCTCTCTTTATAGGCAATCTTTCTTTATTCAGTCGCTACTCAGACTATCAATCTTTCTAGACACTCCAAGCTAATAAACTACCTAGTCTGTAAATATAACTTTCATAGCCCGGTCCAGACGTTGATAATTACCCTTTTTTTTTCTCTCTCCTGCCTTTGAATGTTCCACGTAAACTTCGATCACTTTACTTCATTTGGCTGTCCTCAATTCCGACAAAATGCTTGCTTGATTTTACTTGATACTCATATCAGATCAATTAAATTAAAATTATTTATTACCCTTATTATTATTATCATCATCATCATTATCATTGATATCTTTCTTAATACTAATAGCAGCTTCAAATAGTCAAAAGAAAGAAATAAAGGAAGCAAGATAATATATATATATATATATATTATACATATTCGTGTGTAAAATAATAATACTAATAATACAAGATTAATACAAAGTTAAAAAAAGGCGTTTTGTGGTATATAGCATCTTGTACCTGGAGATAACTATGGGAAATACTGGTATTCAATTCATCTTGATAAGAAATGTAACCATGCCAACGATACTTTATCCATAGGGCCCATTTGTACGCTAATACAAAACTACGGCCCTATACAAAATAAAATAAATATGTCACGGCCAACTTAACCGGCCGGTCCAAAGTTTGCATATAAAAGGACAGGCTCAATTGACCTCTTTCTTTCCATCATCTCATCATCATCAACATGTTGTTTTATCCATTGGCTCTTCTCTCTCTTGCACTCACGGCTGTCCAGGCACGCACCATTGGTGTAGATGTTTCTGCCCTGACATCCACTGCCTCCTACACCTGTATCAAGAACCTCGGTTATGACTATGCTATCATCCGTTGTTACACTGAGGCATATGGCAACAACCCCGTGAGTTGAAGAATTTACTCTTGCTTGCCCAAAATTGCAATAGAAATACTCATTACTTTTTATTTTTATTTTTGAAGGGAGGAAAAGTTGATTCCAACTGTTACCAGAACTACTTGAATGCCAAGGCTGCTGGCATTTCCAAGATTGATATCTACATGTTCCCCTGTACCGGAAGATCCACCTGCAAGTCTGCTGCTACTCAGGTTAACGAGCTCGTCAGCTACGTTGGTACCAACAAGATGATCGTCGGTCGTCTCTGGTTCGATGTTGAAATTGACAGCGCTGCCAACAACTGGCCCTCTACCACCACTTCCCGCACCACCCTTGCCGCCTTCCACTCTGCCTGGTCCGCTACCGGATGGAAGTGGGGTATCTACGCTTCCTACTACCAGTGGCAAACCATCACTGGCTCTGCCAGCTACGTTCTCGACTCTTCCCTTCCTCTCTGGTATCCTGTAAGTTATTAAGCTAAATAATAATAATAATAGTAATAATAATCTCACAATTTTCTCTTTTTATTTTTTATTTTATACAGCACTACGATGAGGTTTTGGCTTTCAGCGACTTCACTCCTTTCGGTGGATGGACTACCCCTACTCTCAAGCAGTACGCTGGTGACCAGACCTTCTGCTCTGCTGGTTTCGACAAGAACTACGCTCCCTAAAGAGCTTTTCAGACAATTATACCTCCCAATCTTTAGCTTTATAGCTATACTTAATTTATTGCAGAAAAACAAAAATTCAATAATAAAATAAACATTATTATTCTTGTTACTACCCTAATTACTGTTGTTGCTGTTGTTGTTGTTGGCACTCGTCTTTATTTTATTTTGTTTATTTTGTTTTATTTTGTTTTATTTCATGGGTGCAAAAGATGTTCAAGCGAAGCTAATACGCCTTGAACATTGGATACAAAATATTTGGCTTCTGTACTGCGAGATCCTACTGTACAAGTAAATACATTGGGGATCTCTTGTTTGTTCAACAGTCCAAACATGTCTTCGTCTGATCTGTCGTCACCAATTGATAAGACAAAGTCAGACTGAACGTCTTGAAGGACCCGGTTAGCAACAACTGCCTTGTTAATCTCGTTGGGTAGAACCTAAAATAAAACGAATGATTACATGTGTATGTATGTACGTGTATATATGTGGTGGGTGGGGGGTGGGTGAATAAAATCTTTAGTGCGCGCGTGCATATTATCAAAATAGAATTATTTATATTATACTGACTTCAATACTGGTGGTTCCTGCAACTACATGGACAGCAAAGTTCTTGTTTACCAAGTCAGCAATATGATTTTGGCATTCAGCTGCTTGCCATGCACTAGAAGGATATGATATGACATTAAGCAAACACATACAAAATTCAAATTCAAAGTAATAATAACAATAACAATATCAAGAATGATAGTATTCACTTACACATAGCTGGCATCTTGCCCGACCGTTCGGTAATGCTGATATCACACACACACACACATATATATAAGTACCGCATTGAATCGATATGTTCGAGATTTTCAAGAATATATAATTGTATTTATCTATGATAGTTACCCAAATCACCGATATATCCTTAGTTTCAATGTAAGCTCCAGGTGTACGCTCAGTGTAATATTGAAAAATCTATGTCCCAGATTTTATAATAGTAAAATAAAATAAAATAAAATAAAATTAATTTATGTTTACGTTTATGTTTATACAGGCACAGGCACAGGCACATATACACATATATACACATATTTAATATCACCTCTTGAACGGCAGGCTGCCATGATATGTCGATCTTTGTAAATAATTGCTGCCACTCTTCACCTGGTGGTTTTATATAAAAACCATTCTCAGCACTAAATACAAATACAGATATCAATACCAATATCAATATATTAGATAATTTAAATATCCTCAATTTGTATTAGTCGAATAGTCTCCCAAAGAAACCAAATAATTTTTTTTTAAAAAAAAATGTGTATACCAATTTTATTGATGTCTTGCTTTATTTAGTATTTACCTTAATCCTAGGTTTGGCACGTTTCCTAGATCTCGCTCAACATTGGCTTTAGTTCTTCCTGAGATCACATAGACCAAATTCTGAGGATCACTGGCTAGCAACTCAAGCACACGTATCAGACGTGCAAGGCCAGGAGAACCAGTGGATTGGCCATGCTGTACAAGTGTACCACCGTAATCAAACAAGAATCTAAAATGGGAAATCTTAGTGTTACTATAGCTTTTAATTTATTTTATCTTTAATATCATAATATCTATAACTAAACTAACCCCTCCTCGCCAATATCCCCATCGTCTCTATATCTCTCTTTGCCTTAATTAACTATTCTTCATCTTATTAGTACTCACACACGCTGCTGTTTGCTGCTATGATAGGCTTTCTTAACTAGGCGAGTGTCGACAGGTGGAATCTGAGCTGAAAAACGACGAGAAGTAGCATCATGAACCTATTTTTGGCAGTACAAGTTTAACAATAAAAATGAAAATTAATATATTAAAAAATAAAAATAAAAAAATAAATACAAGGGACTTTGGTCTTACTTTGGAAAGGTCTCCGATGAGTGTACTAGCCCAGTTCTGAGCTTAATATTTGGGCGGAAGACATGGAAATGGTTAAAGATGTGTTATATACATATATTTAAAAGAAGTATGAGTGGCATGTAATTCTTAGTGTATTTAGATACTCACCAGAATTTGCAGTGATACTTCGGTAAAGTTCCTATATATTCACCCCAAAAAAATTACATGAAAATATTTTCATATTTGTTATTATAATCTTTTAAACAAAAACCATGGCAACAAACTTAATATAATTTCTTACCTTCCAACGACCTGTCTTTTCCTCCTGGGACATTGACAAGGCTTCATGAATTGCATCACCTACTTGCTAAAACAAAAAACAAAAACAAAAGAAAAAGCTTTATATATTTATTTGACTGTTGTATCCTCTTTTTTTAAATAATAATAATAATAATAATAATAATACTTACTCTATAATCCCAAGGATTGACTCGAAGACAAGCACCAAAACTTCCATACGTACCCGTAAACTACCAAATATAAGAAATGTATAAATACAAAGATAAATAGAAATCAATTATACCCGAGACTTACTTCACTGAGAATAAGGGGCCCACATTTATTTTCTTGACAGACAATATATTCATGAGATGTGAGGTTCATTCCATCGCGAAGAGGTGTGATAAGAGAAGCATCCGCAGAACTCAACAGGGCAAGGTACTGCTCGAATGCAATATCCTGATGCAAAAATACAATGGGTTGATATGCGATATTGCTGAACTTTGAGTTCACACGCGAAACTACGTCTGAAATGTGTGCTCGGACTTCATTCTGTTCAGATGTAGAGAGGGCAATTTGAATCAATACAACCTACAATTGTATACAAAAGAAAGAGAGAGATAGAGAAATGAAAGGTTATCAGTTTAGAGTCATTTGTTAAATGAAAGTAAATAAATCACTACTGCTACATACTTCTCCTTGCCACTCAGGGTGATGGATAAGAAACTGTTCGAATGCAAGTAATTTCTGCCTGACGCCCTTGATGTAGTCCAGCTTGTCACGGGCAACGATCAATTTCTTGCCTGCATACTTGTCTTTCAACATTGACACCCATCTTCCTACATCTGGGTCGGCCCTACAAATTGAAATAGGTAAATAAAGAAATAGACACCCATGAGGTTGGATTCATCGACCAATTGATTGATTGTTAGTATTAATTCATCTTTCATTCATAAAAATAATATAATAATGATTCTAACTCTATATACAAATTTTACCTCTTGCGGTTCAAAGCCTCGACATCAATACCAATTGGGTATATACCAACAGATACATAATGAGAGTCCATCTGTATACCTGTTGGCGTGGCATCAAGAGACAGTATGCGAGCACATGTTTGTAAAAAGTGACGTGCGAATGAATAGGTTTGGAAACCTATAAGGTCGGATTGTAACATGGCCTCGAGGAGCTCTTTTCTGGCTTTTTTTTTTTGAAAAGATATTAAATGAGCCAATCAATTGACATAATCCCAATCATTTCATTATCCATATTCAAACTTCCATGTTTGAAAAATAAATAAATTGATAGACAATTCCCCCCCCCCCCCCCCATTCATTTCTCTTTCTCTCTATACTGTCAAAAAAAAATTAAAAAAAAATTGGGTTTCCTTACTAGGTAAGCAGCGGAAGAGTTCGGAACTGGGGAAGGGAATGTGGAGAAAGAAGCCTATGATGGCGCGTGGGAGAGCCTTCCGGAGCATCCCAGGCAGAAGCATCAGATGATAATCATTGACCCAGACTATATCGATTTTTATTAAAAATATATATATTAAAATGTACGGTTAAAGGAGTAAAAAATAAAATAAAATAAGAAAAATTATGCTTAAATTTTTATACACAAAAAGGAAAGATAGAGAGAAAGGGGTTCATATTGGAATACTTACTTATGTCACCTTCCTGATATTGCTCTACAATGGCATCGGCAAATCGCTGATTTAATGCACAATAGGCTTCCCAAGCTGCATTTTGGTACATCATATTCTGAATATCAGCTTGAACTACATAATGAAAATATGGCCAAAGCACCTACATTTTGATTCATTTTTTATTATTTTATTTTATTTTGGTTATATAGATATGTAGATGAATAATATTAATGATATCAGTAAAAAGTAATAATAATATTTCTCTTGTATTATGCAAAAACAAAAAAAAAAAATTAAAAAAAGTTAGTACCTGTTTGCAGTAACGATCATAATGTCCTTCTATTTCTGCATCAGTTGGCATAACAGGACAGCAATTGTGGTCATCCATCAATGTTTTTGTAATCTCCTGGCGTTGGTCGGCCGAAAGTGAATCGGTCGACATTGCCAATGTGCCTACCCACAGTAGCTTATCAATACGGTGGCGTGTGGCCTGGATCGCGTTCTGGAGACCAATGTTTCCTGTGCTCAATGGTCTGACTGTCCATTCGGCATTGGCTAAATCGGTTGGTTTGAGCTTAGGTTGAGTGACAAAAGGACGGCTGGGATCTGCTGCTTGTATATCAAAGAAGGAAGCAGGTTCTACAGGAAGTGGAGCACTCGGTCGCTGCTGTGCTGCAAGTGTATCAATGAGGTTGGGAACACCAGCTGCTACTGGTAAATTTGGCTTCTTTTCGACTGTAAAGACGGGCGCTTTGGGGGTGCTAGGGTGCTGGAAGTCAATGGTGCAGGGCAGGAACAAACTGGCGATGACAACTCTATTTTCGGTAATGAGCGACATGGTCCAATAAGTGAAGAGGGTAGGAACGGGTGAGTTGGGTTGGTCGGGTGTTGACGCTAGAGATATACGGATTGGTGTTTAGCGTGTATATAGACTGGTGGGGGTTAAAGTAAAGTACGTTTTGGTCGACAAACAAAAAGGGGAAATTACTTTTTGGTACCTTTTTTTTTGGGCGAGTGCTACTGCTTCGGAATGATGTCAATGCCACGATGGTGTCCGAGAAGTACCGTCTTTCCGGACCGGACATATACGTCACATGCTCCACTTCTCTGGATTGTTATTTTTTTTATTTTATTTTATATTTTACTGTGTTGCCCCGCACCCCCATTTACCCCCGCCCCCCGCTTCTCCCGCCCTGACCACACCCCTCAAGGTGTGGCGAGAAAGTGGAGAGGGACGGAGTGGCGGAGGACATGTTATTTCACATGTCCTCAAGGAAAGCCAAAGCGAAAACATATAGAGAGAGAAGAAAAGAAAGAGGGTCGAGAAAGAGCGTTGAGAAACAACCAAGGGACAATACATGTGACATAAATGTTGATGATTCGTTGGTGTTGGGGCGAGCGGTGCTATAAAAGGGCTGATCTTTATCATCTTCAGTTTCGCTCGTAATCCTTCTTCTCCTTTCTCACTCTCAACCACTACAACAACAAATAATGGTCAAAGTTACAGTCTGTGGTGCCGCCGGTGGTATTGGCCAGCCCTTGTCCTTGTTGCTCAAGCAGTCCGAGCTTATCACCCACCTTTCTCTCTTTGATATCGTCAACACTCCCGGTGTTGCTGCTGACTTGAGGTAAAATACATACATGATGTTTAGATTCTTGTTTATTAACTGATCATCTTTTAGCCATATAAACACCAAGTCCAAGGTTACCGGCTACGTTGGCACTGCTCAGCTCGAGGAGGCCATCAAGGACTCTGCTGTTGGTAAGAACATTTAATCCCGGGCTTAGGATTGTTGAGTACGACAATATATTAAATGACGCGTATTTTTTTTAATAATAATAAAAAGTCGTTATCCCTGCTGGTGTTCCCCGTAAGCCTGGAATGACACGCGATGATTTGTTCAACATCAACGGTGGTATTGTTCGTGATTTGGCTATTGCTGCTGCCAAATTCTCTCCCAAGGCATTCATCTGTGTCATCTCCAACCCCGTCAACTCTACTGTCCCAATTGTTACTGAGGTTTTCAAGCAGTTTGGTGTTTATGATCCCCGCAAGTAAGTCTGGAGTGCAAATAAAATAAGATGTTTGAGTAAAGCTTTCAATTGGTTCATATGGACTTGAACGCGGAATATTTTCGGTGATTTGACTAAACAGTCTTTTTTTCTATTACTTCATCTTGCTTTCTTTCCCAGGATCTTTGGTGTCACAACTCTTGATATCGTCCGCGCCTCGACTTTTGTGTCTGAATTGATCGGTGCAGAGGCCAGCCAGTTGCAGGTCCCTGTTGTAGGTGGACACAGTGGTGTGACAATCATCCCTCTTCTTTCCCAAGTCGTGGGTACTTCTGCCTTGTCTGAGGACCAGATTGCCAAGGTTACACACCGTATCCAGTTTGGTGGTGATGAAGTCGTCCAGGCCAAGAACGGAGCCGGCAGTGCCACTCTCTCCATGGCCTTTGCTGGTGCCCGCTTCACCCTCAACATCCTCGAGGCTGCTATCCGAGGTACATCCGGTGTTGTCGAATGCACATACGTCCATCTCGATGCCGATAAGGAAGGCGCCAAGGCCATCAAGAGTGTTGTTGGTGATGATATCGAATACTTCTCTGTTCCCGTCGAGCTGGGTATCAACGGTGTCCAGAAAATCAAGCCTCTCGGCAACTTGTCTGAGTACGAGCAGAAACTCTTGTCTGAAGCCACTGCTGAGCTCAAGGGCAACATCGTCAAGGGTGCTTCCTTCATCACCGAGGGCTCCAAGTTCTAAAACCAAACCCAAAAGCCCACAATGCTCATTTTGTAAAAATGTGTATATAAAAACTAACCATAGTCTTTCTTAAATAAGCCATATATCAATTCCATCAGAACCCACTCAATCAAACCAATTTTCAAATCAATAAATAAATAAATAAAAAGAAAAAGCAAGCTGTTTTTTGTTTTGTTTCAATTTCATGATCATTATTTGAATATGTAAACGTATTTGTATACATATTTGTGTGAGAGTGCGATTGGTAGGGTTTGTGTGAGAGAGAGAGAAGGAGAAGAAGATATAGGTGTGTGTGTGTGTGTGAATGAATGATTACTTGTGTATTGGTGAGAAATCAAATGGAGTCAAGTGTGAAATATAAGGGAAAAGGCGAATCAATGTTGTGCAAAGGTGATTTAGGGAGAAAGGCGGTAATATAGAAAAAAATATTTGGGAAAAAGAAGTATGTGTGCTTGAGAAAATAAAATAAAAATAAAATAAAAGGAAATAAAAGGAAATAAAAGAAAAATAAAAAGGGGGATCAAGATGCATTTACAGCCTTGCCATTCATGCTCTTTCCATTACTTTCTTCTATTACCACCGACGCATGAAGGGTCAGTGCGTTAGTAGCAGATGTGAGAGCCTGGATACCATTGGGACTGCATCGCAACCCATAAAGATAACCCCTATAGATACACATGTAAGAAACCTCATTCATTCATTTAATCTACAAAACATCGTTTCTTTGATATCAGCCAATTTCGACTTACAAGTATTTTTGATCATCGATCCTATCTTCAAAGAACATTTGGCGCATTTTGAAAAAAGTTGTGCACGTCAGCAAACTATCACTTCCTGCTTGATGCTGTGGACCGATCCGTGCAACCTGTAGATCGTCTGCGATATCCTGAAGTCCACCTTTCAAGTTCTTACAGCTCTTCATAAGATACTTGATATCATAAATACAAGGAAAGTATGTTCGCAGAAGATCAAAGAACTCTGCCTCATCTGCTGGCATTGCTGAACATGTCAACACTTTGAGAAGATAACCAAAGTCATACCCACTAATTTTTATATATACGCATAAATATATGTAAATATGCATATATATATATATATTTATTTACTCATTGTGTTCTACACGTGCACATACCTATGAAAGGAGATCCATTTTACATCGTCCAATAATACAAAGCCAGAGCTCATCAATAGCTCTCCAAAATGTTCTACATCAATACCATAGTCTTCATGCCTTTTGAAATCAATGCCAGATTTCGTCAGAAGTTCAATAGAATCTTGAGCGTACATGTCGTCTCTAAAGAAATAAATATATATTTTTATATATATACATACACAAAAGTTTTACCTTTTTTTTGTTAATGCATTTTACACAACTTACTAAATATCTCGATTAACTCTTCTTTTTTTTGGGGAGATTTTTTTAAATCTATATATATATATATAGAACTTACGCTAGATTGAATTTAAAGTTGAATTGCCAAGTACAGACATTGCTCGGTAGATTCCCATATTGATCTGCAAAAGTAACTCCAAGTTGGATGATCTTCAACAGGTCAACGTTACAGCGTAATGTTTGATAATGATAGTCGGATGAAGTACGAAATGTGCCAATAGGTCTTGCTACCACACCAGGAAACTCTGTGTCCTACAAGGTTTGTTTAATGCATAGACACTTTATTATATTTCTTTTAAAGGCAATGAAGAAGAAATAAAAAAAATTGTTCTTTTTCTCTTCTTTTCCTTGTCTTTCTTTCTTTATTTCTCTTATTGGAAAGAGATAAAGAAGAAGAGGAAGAAAAAGAGGAAGAAGAAACTCATGGCCCAAGCTTATTCACATAATCGTAATGGATGAGATTGGGCACGTACCATGGCCAAGTAAGGATAATCTTCTACGAGGTCTCGCAGATAGGCCATTTCTTTTTCTAGGTTCTCTGCCCAGACTTCCTTGATAAACTTTGAATCATTTGCAGGCATGATGTTGTTTCTTTTTGTGGTATAATAATAACTACTACTAAGTCTCCAAGAAAGCGCACGTTATTGGAACTCATGATTTCTATAAGAAATGGGCTATGAACACCTTAAATTGAGCCTTGTGCGTAATGAGTGACGTGGCTTTCTTTGGTAGTATTATTTTTTTCCATCTCCGTATGTTTAACATCGCTTTACTGAGAAAGATGAATATAAAAGAGAAAGATAGAGAGAAAAAATAGAGAAATAAAATAAGATATAAAAAAAAAAGCACTATATACACAAGAAGAGACATTATAATGTAGAGGGAACAGAGAATGTTAGAGATAAATGGAGAGGGAAGGGGGTTAGTGATGAATAGAGGAAGAAAGAGATAGATAGAGATAGAGAGGGGAAGGTAGATATAAAGAGAAAGGTAGTAAGTAAAAATAATAATAATAGAAAAAGATATTTGAATGGGAAAGTATACAAGAGAGAGCATGAGAGGAAGTAGAAGTATGATGGCGTTTGCTGTTGCTGTAATGCTCTTATCTTAGCCTCTCTTCAACAGAGCCAGTACTGCCGCTGCTTCGACTACATCTACACCGACCATTGGAAATGATGGATGACTATCCATTCCACTTAATCTAGTCGGATCTGGTGAAATCAAAGAGATGTCAAAGGTCGGGCTACAAGACAATGACAGTGAAAATGATGGCGATACTGGGCGATGAGTTTCCCAACCAAGTGTATCCAAAAAAGACACCGGTTTTTCTTCTTCCTCTTCTTCCTCTTCTTCTTCCTCATGATACTGCTGCTGCTGCTGCTGCTGCTGCTGCTGTTGTTGTTGTTGTAGCTTTTGTTGCTGCTGCTGTTCTTTTTTGGCTTGTTTAGCTTTACGTTTATCTTTTCTCGATGAAACACTGTGGGTTCGTTTCCGTTTATCAGAGCCTTTTGTAGATCTTTGTTGTTGAGATTGGTCCTTAGTAGGAGCAACATATGGTTCTGTTACATTGAGAATTTTTCCATGTTTCCACTTTACACCGCATGCATTGCACAATGTGCCTGCGCCTTGAGGACCTCTTCTCCACATTGGAGTAGATTTGGAACCACAGTAAAGACATTTTTTGGCAGAATGGGCGACTGTTCCAGTTGTTGTTGTTGAAGTCGGTGTCGGTACGGGTGTCGGTGTCGTAGCAGGTCGAGAACTGAGACTTGGAGATGTTTTGGTACTCCCAGAAGACAAAGAGGTTGCTGCCGAAGGTGGGGAAGGAGGAGACTTGACAGTAGCTGCATCGTACCATTCCATAGACTGATCGAACCCATCTGCTAGTGTCACAACATCTTCGATAGCCATTGTCGACTGATCTTTACCCCAGTCACTCTCATCACTGTCATTCCATGTATCAAAAGCGTGCTTTGGTGTTTTGATGGGTGTTTCCTGTCTTGTCGAAGAACAGGGAATGATTATTTCTGATTTTTGGCAGTTCATTTGCTCCATGTGAAGACGTCTCTGTATGATGTCAATAGTTGAATATTATATATATACTTTAAAGAAAAAAGGCAGGACAAAGACATACCAGCTCGGTCAGTTTGTGATAAAGGGCTTCAAAACCAGAAACAGTCTGCTGAATAGCCAAGTGTAATTCGGAAGATACACCAGCTAAGATCATGTTCATCCCATGGTTCCAGCCATCCGTTCTTTGTTCACCGAGTGTTCTCTGAGGCGATCTATACGGTGAATGTGATTTTGGATAGTGCCTCATTTCATCTTCCTCCGGGCTTTGAGGATCGCAAGGTGTAGAATGAGGCGACGTCTTTGGATGAAATGTACACAAGACCTAGAGGAAAGGAGTTATGGTGGTTGTGGTTGTAGTGGTGGGAGGGAGTAGTGCAAGGTTGGGGGCGAGTTAAAGTATTGCCGTCAAGCATTGGAAATACTCAATACTCACTTCAAAAGGAGGGGCGCTGTTTACTGCTTCAACCATGGCATCAGAAGGGAATAGATAATAATCATAATCTGGACAAGGGTAGGAACTATCAGCGGGGTACACCGCTCCCACAAAACAAAACACAACGTCGTAACGAATCATTCGACGATGGCGGCGCTTTTTTGGGGGTAATACACAGGGTGATTGCTCAGTCCCTGTGTACACTGGTACTGAAGCTGTCATTGTTCGTGCACCAGTGTCCATTGCCTCAAACAGTGCTGTTGGAGCTGTATCAAATTTCCCGACAATGTCTGTGCGTTCTGGAGATGGCCTAAACCCAGCCGCTGCCACTGCCGCTGTCACCGAGTCTCCATATGTCTCGGGACTCAAGCTCACATCAGGCGAACTACAAGATTGCGTTTTTGGTTTGCTATGGTCTGAAAACGCAATCTCCCATTCTTTGATCTCATAAAAAGCACAATTCGAAAACGTGTCCAATCCAAGCTTCAGTGATGAGAAGCCCAGGAGACGAGATTGGATCCGATGAGTGCATCCATCAACAGGATCGATGCTGTCACAGCCTAGATGTTCAGGCAACCGGTAACGATGAAAGATTTGAGAGATCCAAACACTACGACAGTGTCAGTTTGTTCTCAGATTGACACCACCACCATCACAACCACAAAACAACATTGACAATCAAGAAGATCTATCTGTTCATCTCTTGGGGGAGGGGAGGGGGGATTGCCTGTGGCGATTTTCTTAGATTAGATTACCTGTCGTGTGGTGTAGTTCTCGGTAGTAGTTCGCTGTTTTCTCTTGAACGTAACATGGATGGACGTTTGATGTCGAGAAAAGTGTTTGAGGAAATGAGGTGGAGGAAGGACTGAGAATAGCGAATAGACCTCAATCAAGTGCACACTCGTATTGAATGGACAAACAAAAAGGGACAAATAGTAGCTTAAAGAAGCAAGAAAATGAAAGAGGCAAAATGAGTTTGGTAGCGATGAGCTTGGTTAAATCTAGAAAGGGTAAAGCCAAAAAAAGAAAGCCAAAAAAAGTGGAAGCCAAAAAAAAAGGAAAAAGAAAAAGCAGGGCTTGCAAATAACTTGGCTCACCCAGAAAATCCCTATTCACACCCAATTTCCATCGCGACCCTTTCTTTTCTCTACAAATGAGCCCAGCCAAAAATAACACACACACACAGAAGAAAGGGAAGAAAAGAGAATCTCAATAATCTCCCGCTTCCAACTCAAAATTACACTTTTTTAATTATATATATACACACATATTCATTTTCCTTCCTCTATTCTTCTACATACTTCTTTATGTTGTATGTTGCTTCAAGAGAGTGATGTCAGATAGACGTCACGCTCTACTGGATTTCTGGTTGGATTTGGAACAATTCCAAAAGGAAAAAAGAAAAAATTAGCTCAAGAAGTATAAGTTAAAAGAAGTGTATCAGCCGATGACCAGTATAAATATTAGATATAAAAAGGTACATGTTGAGGAAAAAGCTCAGATTCTTTTTTTTTATATTAAAAGAAAAAATATATTATTTTTACAAAACTCAAAATTATATATATATATATTTACTCATATGTGTCTGTGTCTATGTGGATATACACAAAATAAACGAAAATTGGATGGTAAAACTATTAAAGGGCATGTAAACTAGTATTAAACCACTCGAACTTGAATATTAGTTTGGTGGGCAAATCATAATCCTCGATGATATAATACAATAGCCATTAAAACAAATTTAATCTTATATATTTAAGTACTCTTCATTTGGTTTCCCGATGACCAACTACTATTGGTTCGGCATACTTGGCCATACTTTTTACTCAAGAAACGATTGAATACAGGACAGGCCAGGATACTTACTTTCTTATTTAAAGCCTTGATCCCATTCTTCAATACTTCATATTAGACTTGTGTAAAGAAATATGAATCTATACTATATCAAACTAAGCTTTATTTGGCTTTCATGAACTTACACATACTTTCCCTTTATATTTATATTTATAATTCTGTTATTTAATGATATACCTGGAATATATAGTGCATTAAATGCTTTTATTGTTTGCTTATTACAGAACTCAATCCCTGCTAGTAGAGTATTCGATATCCATACAAACCACTTATAATTTTTCAAATAAAAAGGAAGGAAATATTCCGTATTAAGACTCTTTAAAGGTTAGTGTTGTTTTTTGTATTTTTTATATCTATTTATTTGTTTATTCAAATGATCTATGAAACAATTACACCAAGAAAGGCATCCTGATTTACTTTGTGTGTCACCAATAATGAGTATAATTTACAAACAGTAATATTACGGGTACGACGTTTCCTGGTGTGGGGACGATATTTCTATATAACCGGGCTAATCAATTGTGGCTACATGTCCGGGGCCCGGCGTCTTTCTCTAATCATTCAGGGCAAAATGGTGTGGGCTAAAAAAAACATAACATATTCATTGCATGCATTAGCTTTACTACTTTGTCCCCACAATTTGAGCTTATATATCTCTTCCCAGGCACCTAAGTCTCATTATAAGAGCCATCGTCTCTATTCGGACAACTTAATAATAAAATGCTGTCTCGTACGAAACACAAATCCTGTATATGCAATTAATAGCAGTTTGCGTCCTAAATTTAGTCTTGACAATAAAGAAATAATAATTGATCATAAATAAACTATATCGATAGCCAGTTATGCAAAAGATCATAATAAGTTTCTGTCATTAGAGTGGGACGACATCTTGTTGAACGTTTTACTATTTATTGACCTTCTTATGCGTATCGTGTTTTTCTCTTTCTTTCACCTACTTATATTCCCAGAGTTAGACAGCACCAGCTGGTAAGTAATTCCCACCTGCCTCTTTTTTTTTTGGAAAGCATAAAAAAGTCTTTATACGAATATTCTGTATCTTTAGGAACCAGATAGAGTTATTCGATGCCGGCAAAAATGTCACAATTTGTAGTCCAGTTGAATCAAAATGTCGCCCCCGACCAAGAAATGCCATCCCCCCTAAAATTAGCGTCCAGGCTGTCCCGCCAGGCTGTCCGTAAGGTTCCCCTAATTTTTGTGGTTCTCGTAGTGAAATTACCCTTTTTTTAGTGTTTTATTGATCTACTAGAACGTTCTGTGTTCAGATTTTAAAATTCCATCAAAATGGACTTAATTGAACAGATAAGAGATAGAGAAATAAGGTGGAGGAAATACGAAAATATGAAAAAAACTAGGTGAGACAGGAGAGGGAAGTAGTCAGTAAGAATCTCAACTATGAACAAGACAAGTAAAACTGCGCTTCCTGAACAATTTACTCACTTTTTTTAAGCAATGCTGATGAATCTAACGGCAGCAAAGAAAGAAGGGGAATTCATGGCAGAAAATCAGATGGTGGTCTGAAAATAGTTTATAAAGAGCATGAACAACAAATTCTGCACATGGAAATAAAAAGTCCCAACGTTGTATCGGAAGACCAAGCTTTCCATCCCGACTTTACTAAACTAGGAAACTTAAGGAAGGATGAAGTGAATTTGATGCTGAAAAGAGAATTTCCAGAAAATACAACCGTATTTGGCATTTTGGTGGGAGGTAATAACATTATTACTAGATATCAAGAAAAGTAATTACTAATATAAAAGCGTAACTTCAATAGGGAATCATGCTAATGTATTTGGTATGGATCTGGTGTATACAAAAGTATACCGATTGTTCGAAATTGGATCTTTCTTTTTCCCTCATAATGCACAAGATTTGAACAGACTTGACGATGTGTTCGACACAATGACCAAACTAAATGCAATACTATGTATTATGCTTCCTTTTTTCTTTTTACTAAACCATATTATTTATATATCTAGGTGTTGATAAGTAAAGGTATCAAAAAAATGCTTGCAAGTGTTCAAAATGGAATACTCTCCCGGATCTCACCCTAGAAAACGACAGCTCTATGTCAAGTCGTTCGTCCCGTCAAAAAATAAATAAATAAAACTAACTGGTTACGCGAATTTTTCTCTTTAAAATTCAATAAAATTCATAAAATTAGGCAGAATATTAATCCATTTGATAAATTTTACAGTTGCTGTACCTTTTGTTGTAGGCGTAGTGTTATTCTGAGCACCATTTTCTTTGGTATCAACGTACTCTATGTTTGGTTTCTCTATATTAAACTTATCCACAGCACGCTCTTTACTTTTGTTCACTTTTTTTTCTGCGCGACAACCATCTCAAAGCGATGGTCAAGTTGTGTTTTAGAAATAGAAAGCCCCATAATATGTTTAGGCAAGCTATCAATAATATCTTCAGTGTAAAGTTGAGGATCTTCGTCAAGTAGATTTTGGATTTATTCCTTATATTCCAATGTGAAGGAGCTTTTACGACCAGTGTTCTTTTTTAAATGTTTATATGATACTTCTTTTTTTTTGGGAACGGTCTTACCATCGTCGAGAAGCTTATATTGTTTTCTGGCCAATTTGATTCAACCTATTGTGACATTTCCTCTTAATCAAAAATACAAATTTTGTTAGCATGAATAGACAACTAGATTTTATTTAAGGCCAATTATTTTCAGCTTAGTGACATTAGCTTTGAGCAAAACGAAGTTTATTTTTTAGTAAAGGACATTTAGTTTTTTGCAATGTGACAATATTTACCGTACTCACTGTATTATGCTCTTTATTTAAAGTAAATGAATAAATGAAAATGAATTGTGTCCCTAACACTTTTGTTTCAATAAAATAAAATAAAAAATATTCATTTAGCCTACTCCTCCTTTGTTTCACCAACAAAAACCAGACTAATCTTAGTTAGGTCTATGACAAGGTTGCTACAAGCTTAGGTACACGATGATGAATATTTTTTAAATATATATATATATAATGGTAGGAACCTTTACATAATATAAAAGAAAAATTAAAAGAAACGCTCTTTTTTTTTAAAAAAAAAAAAAAACAAAGATTATGTAAAATATATACTATAATTATATCATCCCGTGTTAAGCTAAAGCATAGACCATGTCGATCATTATTACACGAATTCCGTTTAAAAGAATCTAAAATATAAAATTACACCGACCAATAGAAAAATAGAAATATCCAACATGGGTGGTTTCACCAATCTTAGCAGATTTCTCGAAGTATCCATAAAAGACACTTTAATATACTCTTACTGACAGTCAACATACTTGATTATATATGCTGCTTTCAAAGTAAGAGGAGTGGGAAATAAATCCTAAAAGTTGAATATTCAAACTTTTTATACGTTTCTATTGAAAACAAACTATACAAGCTATTGAATAGCTCATCAATACAATGGCAGTTGATATAACACACTTTTTTCTCTCTTATTTGAGCTTATGATAACTTGAATGTTGTATAGTATGTTTGAGGTATTATTTATAGTCATAGCACCACTGGCGACTATATGGCTTCTAATAAACGTTAACAGTTAAAATCAGTTGACTTGGCTTGAGATTATTGGCTAAATAGTAGAGTAATTATAGCTCGAAACGTATAGTGATAATAGAATACAAACTTACTTTCATTATCTGGTATTTAGACATAGAAGGTACAAACTTTGCCAGAATTCAATCCCCATACCGAGCAGAAACCTTCTCGTTGAACTGAGCAATACTGTGGTGTAATTACGTCAGATATGTGCGATATTATCGTGAGTTATACTCACAATGCCTTTTCTGCCTCCCTTTGAACTGGTGGGGTTTCTGAAAAGGCTGTTGTATTATAAAATCAAAGGAGCTAGGTATAAGAACTTGCGAACAATTGTCTTTTCTAATATAATAGCGACAAAAAGAGGAGAAGGGATTTACTTGAACTGGCGTCAAAGTTTTTGCTTCTCTTAAAGCAACACTCTTGCATTATTGGTAAATAATTGAAAATAAAAAAGAATAATAAAAAGGAAACAGAAGTGTCTTGCATCATGAGTTTCTTTATATACATTTGATGAATAATCTGCGAATATCATTGAGAGCTGTTTTTACGAAATGTATATAGCTGCTATATATATATATACATACATTCTTTAGAAAATCCTGTATTAATAGCTTACACAACAATTGAACGGGTTTCATATAGTAGTCATACTCTAAAACTTGTTTTGATACCTAAGAATTCTCTTTGTAAAGAGTTGCTTTATAAATGTTGTAATACACTAAATAATTAGATCCTTTGATAATGCTATTACTTCAGAAACCTTTCAATTTCAAGTAATGTACAAGTTTATTTATGTAGGCCAAGGTATCCAAAATCAAGCCCTACAAACGATTCTAGTAACAGCTGTATTAATAACATTAAGTAACTGCATGACTTAACAGCTAGCCATTAACAGAGAAAATCTACGCAATATTATGTAAACTTAATTGATAATACATATTATGGCATTTTTATTTGGTCTTTTAAGCAACAATATATCTTAATTAATCGTTGAATATTGCTTAAACATATCTTGGTATCATAGTTTAGCGACAACTTATTTACTTCATTCGATCGGCTTTGATCAGGATTATAACCTGCCATTTCTTCTTTTGATTATACAACACACACATTATTGCCTTGGAAACCTATTGCTCGAAATAAAAGTATAGATATATACAAATATATATAGATTAGCTACTGTCTTTTGTTTTTTTTTCTTATATATGGTATTAATGAAATATCTTTTCCAAAAAAAAACCACCTTTTATTAAGTCAAGATCAAGTATAGTTAAATCTGGAACTATTCAATTTCTTTGTAAATATTATTGGACCTCGATTATTTGTAAAGGAAGCTTTGAAGTTTCTTGCTTGAATTAATAATATAATATAACAAAACCAATACATATATATTTTTTAAAAATGAAATTTTTGGAATATCTGCTCAACTCATGTTAGCTAGTTTGTTTTTATCAAAGTACTATGCGTGTAATTCATTTTCTAGAATATTTATTGGTAATGCCATGTTGAGACTATATAACGCAGTTTTTTACACAGTTTCTACACTCATAATACTATTATATTGATTTAGGAGTTCAGTGGGGGGTAAGGTTGGTTTAGAATTAGAGTAAAGATATGTGTTTAAAAGAATTGTCATTATTATTATATATATAAAAAAGAGAGAGTGGTTTCATTGATCATATTCAGTGTGAATCAATGTGACTGTGGAAGTACGACTGTCCAACTAGATTGTACTCAATGTTCATCGCTTTAAAGATGGCGTAATATGAATGGGTGAACAGAGATAATTCACAGTGGCGTATGTTTGTGTGTATCAGGATGTTTGTATAGGATTTACATAAAGATATCTCAGACAAACCTTCAAACATCTATTAATAAATAGTGTATAAATATATATATATAAAAAGGCTGCACTTTAGATACATTAATAGATCTTTTAAAATGGAGAGAGCAGAATATTTCGTCTGGTGCTTAAAATCATAGGTTAAAATAATCTTTGCATTTAAAAGATACAAAAAGGAAATGAAGTCTTTACTAATGAAGCATATTAAATATATAGAATGTTAGATTTGTAATTGGGTGCAAGTTTTAAAGCGATGAGGATAGTTTAGTAATGATATCAAAGATTAGTAAACGTTTGATGTCTTTACATGTTAGATCTGTAACATAGCATTATAATTTTGCTCAGAATGATAACTGTCAGCAACATGGCATACGTATGAGCTTGGATATTCTAGCAAAAAAATCAATGCGTACCAAAGGATCTCTTCGGTTGATGAAGTCAATCTAAAATAATATTGATTTGGGTTTCAGAGAGACCAAAATAAATATAAAATCATTATTACTATTTTATCAGTTGATTCACGCTGAGTGCAAACCAGAATTTATCTGGGTGCAAAAGAGATATTACCTAACCGCAAACACACAAGAAAAATACAGTGCACTCTTCTTCTTTTTCTTCATTATAAGACTTATTCATCTTTACTCTCACAGGATAGTACGTAGGACATTTTCACTTGTGAGATTTGTTTTTAATGAAGTGATTTCCCTCTGAATCACTACAGGAAACATTACACGAATTCACCATCCAAAGAGAATCCAACAATGACCTCTGTCGATGAGTCCCAACAACTTAAGGATAAACTTAAGAAGTTTTGTGTAAACGCTCTGATCACCTACCCAACAGACAGTCCTTTGGCATATAAAGACAGGGCTATATACGCCACATTTCGTGACCCTACTGATACTCTACGTGGAACTCGCGAAAGCTACCTTACCGAAGGCAAGTACTCTCGCTGGGTACCTCTATCTAAAGAATCAAAGCTCGGAGACTACGCTGCTTTAAAAGCTCGCCACCATGTTGTCCCAGACCCTCACTGGAAAGTTCCAAGTTTTGATCGGCCCCCACCTTTACCACAAAGCCGTGGTTTGAAGCTTCGTGATGTCGATGAAATTATTGCAGAAGAGTAAGTTGTATTAGTAAATTAACCTCTTGTGTTAATATAGTTTTGTATATAGACGTCTCCTCCGAGGAATGACTGAAGAACAGCGGATGGCCTATAAAGCCGCTCAGGCAGCAAAGGCTGTTCCCCCTCCCCCTCCAAAGGAAGAGCGTCGAGCAAAATCTCCTGAGAAGTTTAACCCAGTCTTGGATTATCTCAATGAAATTACCCAAGCTAGTAAAAAAACCACAAAGACACCTATTGCCAAACAAAACAATAGCATAGCAGCAGGGAAAAGACCGGTAGCGGCACCAAAAAGACAAGATGATATGGTCTTCAAAAAACCTTACCCAAAGGCACCAAACACAGAACCATCAAAAACACCCAAAACGCTTACTGGAAGATTCCCGGAAACATTAAGAAATAGTTTGAAAAAACAATTAGCGAGTATGCCTCTGGAAATCACATATGTGGTATGTCACTTCCTGACAGAAACTCTTTAGAGTTGATGCTAAACTAGTAGAATCGCCTATTGTAGGAATTCACTACAGTACAACATCATCTAAACACTAAAGACGATCCGATCCTGATGAGACAGTTGAGCTCGTTGGAAAAGTGAGCTTTAATGCTTTCTGTTATCCACGCATACACGAGTATACTTATATATTTATTGACTAGGAGCAAAATTAGCAAAAAGGTTAGGCGTCCAATTATGCGTATGCATATCTTGGTACATAGAGCAAGTAAAAAACTGCCTGCTAAGAAAGAAAAAATTAAGCTACACGACTACAACCGATCCCTTTCGCATGACAAGCAAGTATCTCCAAGTAACCGAGACGATATTGCACCGACTGACATTGATATTGATGAGTCCCATGGGAAATCATCTACTGACATTATCCAATCGATGCGTATTCCAAAACGTAAAGAGTCCATTGTTTCCCAAGAAATTGTTTCTCGTGCACAAAAGCATCCTCGTTTGGATGTAGAACTTGAAGAAGGTGAGATGATCAGCCCGTCACCTTCACCTCGACACAACAGCAGTCCACTTCGACAGGAGCCCTTACGTTCAGATCCATCCCGACAAGAAGCTGCGAGACAGGAGGTTTTGAGACTAGAAGCTGCGAGATTAGAAGCTGCGAGATTAGAAGCTGCGAGATTAGAAGCTGCGAGGTTAGAAGCTTCGAGACAAGAAACTTTGAAACAAGAAACTTTGAGACAGGAATCGTTGAGACAGGAATCGTTGAGACAGGAATCGTTGAGACAGGAATCGTTGAGGCAGGAATCGTTGAGGCAGGAATCGTTGAAGCAGGAACCTGTGAAACAAGAGTCTTTAAAGCAGGAACTTTTGAGGCAGGAACCTTCAAGACAGGAGTCTTCTAGACAGGAGTCTTCTAGGCAAGAGTCTTCTAGGCAAGAGTCTTCTAGGCAGGAACCTTCAAGGCAGGAACCTTCAAGACAGGAGTCTTCTAGACAGGAGTCTTCTAGACAGGAGTCTTCTAGGCAAGAGACTTCTAGGCAAGAGACTTCTAGACATGAGACTTCAAGGCAAGAGACTTCAAGACAAGAGTCTTCACGACAAGAGACTTCACGACAAGAGTCTTCACGACAAGGATCGGTTTCACAAACCAGATCAAAATCTACTGAAGAATTAGTACAAGTGCCGTCCAAGACACTCATACACCATGAAAGCGAACCTGTTCCTCGTAGAAGATCCCCTATCCCGCCACGATCCTCATCGCCAGTGCGCTCACAATCATACCAACGGTCACAATCCATATCTCGTTCAACAGCGGCTACTATATCAGCATCAAACATGCCATCTTCTCCTGTATTAAAACAGACAGAACGTTCATCTTCGTCGTCTCGCACATCAATTTCAAATCCTCGATCAACAAGTAGTCATACAACAGAAACCTCCTTGTCATCTACAAAACATACAGAAAGTTCTGGAAATACAAGTACATCAAGAAGTACAAAATCTGCTAAATCATCTACCTCTGGTATTGTCTCGTCGCATGCTGGCCATGCAGCAGAGAAGGACCAAGAAATCACGACATCGCGACAACCTAGACCTACCGATCGTTCAACAACTGTAACCAAGTCAACAAGTGGCTCTGATACAACAACAAAAGCATCACACTCTTCACACTCACCAGCAATTAATACATCAGCTGTGGCAAGTCCAAAGATTGTACGACCTATTCCAAAGCAATCATCAGAATCAAAAGATCCGAAACTGTTAACAAAAACTAGCAGGTCTAATACAAGCACATCTATACCGGCCACCGTAGCTACGACATCAGCCTCAACTACAACAATAACTACAACTCCGACTGCGGCTGGGACTGGACCTACAACCTCAAATTCAACTGCAACTACAACTACAGCTACAGCTACATCTGCGACTACGACTGCAGCCGCAACTGTGGCTACTGGATCACTGTTAAGTGCGACTGCTCCTGACGCTGAAACACCAGAAAAGTTTCGGTTATTCTCTATTATGTAAGTGGGCTTAAATTGTCAGTCATCCTGGAAAAGGATATATATATAGCAGGATATAATTAAGGCTAATACTTCTCATTCAAGGTTTCAAAAACTCGCTTCTGCTTACAAGCATCGTGGAGATAGTCCCACCCTCGAAATACTCGGTGTTATCGATCATATTCACGCCTTGCTCAACTATGTCCTAGCATTCTTTTATCATGATAAGATCGGAAACGAAAGTAGCATTGACAATTGGGATACACTACATCCATTCTGCGACGTAATTTTGAAGAAACTTAGGGCCAAACAAGAAATGGAACTATATGGTCTATGTTTAAGAATAAGCGCACTTGTTCGGTTTTATTCATTTAGCCGTAGAACATCTATCATCATTCACAGAGCAAAGAAGCAAAAAGATGCTGACAAGAGTAACGAAGAAAGGCTTATTAGCCTAGCAAAGGATCAAGAAAAAGCGTATGGTACCTTGAGAGAGTGCGAAAAGTACCTTGGATATCATCATATCATTCAAAAGTTTCCTGTGACCTTTGATGATGTATGTACCAAAGGAAAACTTGGTGCTGGAATTGTACTTGGTGGTGAGGCCGGTGTCTCGATAGAGCCAATGTTCCCTTTTGCTCCATTTTCAAGATTACACCATGCAGCAATCATGGGAAAATGTATTATTGGTGAATTTGTCACTCAACGTGAATTAGAGTATAATCCTATAAGTAATACCGACGACTTCATGTGAGTCTGAAGATTGAAAAGAAGAAGCAAAAGAAGCAAAAGAAGAAGAATACCTTAAACTATGTCAAAGCCTATCAGGTGTGCCAAATGGCAACATTTATCAATTATTAAACCTATCGGGGACAGTGGTTTACTTTTTAATTTTTTTTAATAAACCATTATGATTACCCTTGTAAGCTTTATAGATTTGAAGTAAAATTGTATTTATTTTAAATATGATCAATATCTTGATTCTCATAATGCTTATTTCGAAAGTTATGGTTATCTTAAAGGAAATATGGATCGAGATTGGTTGAAAATTAAGGAGTTTTTTTTTAAAACATGATTTATTTGTCTTTGAAATACTGCGGCTTAAACATCTTATTTTAACCCGATCCAAAATTACGGCTCGTGAATCTCTTCGTTTATAATACTATCTTCTTGGAGGGTTTCTAGGCTGAAAAAAGAAACATCTACAAAAAAAAACATGAAAATAACCTAATATTGAGAAAACATTCTTTTATCCACCAATTTTTCTTAGGTAACAAAAAAATGTAAAGAAGGCTCAATTAGTAAATGTACGAGAATAATAAATATACATATCTTATTATATAGCAATAATATCACTTACAGTTACTTGTCTGATATTGCTAGGCAGCCACACGATTCAGCAGGTTTAGGAGGTGTAGCTGATTGACCTATTTTGTAAGAATTTGATTAATTATTTAATATAAATACTCTAAAGTGTACTATCTAGTAGATAGTTAAAATGGGATATTGATCTTACTTGATTTTCTTGGAAAACAGCATTCATGCATTATGGGTTATGTGCGTAGTGAAGGGGCTTGAGAAGAGATAAAGATTAACAGTTAAACAGGAGTGGTATATATAGACAACATTAATAATGCGATGGGTTGTCATAGTTAACTAAAGTGGTCAATAAGTACCTGTGAAATATCAAAACTAATATAGTATAGAATGTATTAAAATGGAATAATAAAAGCCAATTAATAATAGAAACAATGACTTGAGAGTCTGAACGTATGAGATGGTTGAGTGCTACCCTTTAAGACCAAGTTAAGATATATTAGTATGATAAATTCTCTTGGTAATATATAAAGAATATGTGTGGTCTTGAGAGATATCCTGTACATATGTTGCCATAGTCTTGCGTATATAAACGAGGGCTTAGAGACACTATTACTGCGCAAATACACCTGAACTATTATTAATAAAATTATGATTATTACAAGTTTTTTTTCGTCCAGTGTACATTCAGTTCGCGTAACATAGCATATTTATCTTTCATATATATAATTGCGTACTTATACTATAGACTACAAAATAGCATTTGTTACATTTATATTTTATTTAGCCATAGTACGGTTTACAGAAATTAAAGACAATTAGACGAGCTAGTATATTTATATATTAAGTTATAATAAATTAAGTTTTATAAGGACCAAAACTTGGGATTCATTGATATTTTTCTGGACGATAAAGAAGGCTACGTAAATGAACTGATCAAGAAGACAGAAAGTCCTCAAACTTTGATAGGAAGTAATTTAGAAATCGTTGATCATTGATAATAATTTTCTTAGTTGTAGTTTTGTGGGTCAGAATTTTCGGGTGTGTTTTCCGATAGACACCAAATATTAAGTACTATGACCCCTTTTATGTGTTCTAAGGATCGTAATAAAGTGAAGAAGAAGAATAAAATCCTTTAATCACATCTCATGAGCATAGGCGTTTTAAAATAGTATATAAAGACTTTACAATTTGCACTTATTCTTCCTTTTATTATTACACACCCTCTCTCAACTTCATCTCTTTTAACCAGCCTTCTTCTCCTCCTTTCACACTTTACAATCCAAACTTTACTATGCAGACCCTCTTTATTCAAAAGCGTATGTTGTATCTCAGGTACGAAACAAAATAGAAAATATAAAATTGATAATTACTACAGAAAAAAAGGGGGGTTTTATGGTGGTCTTATGGCTGTTAGAGAAGAGGGAGGTTTGTGCAATTTTGTTTTACCAATCTCTTTTCCAATGTACTAATATGGACAGAAATGTCTTACCAATTTTCTGAAGTTTCATTTCCATATTGAGGTCCACGTCACGGTCGGGAAATAGAATATAGCTAAACTAACGAACATTAACTTGTATTAACGGTTAAGTTGATAGTCTGGTAATGCTTGGTCAATCAATTGACATAAACTATATTGTTAATTGCAGGATCGGTAATAGAGTGCGTAATATATATAATCCAAATATATAATTTTTGAAGAATGACATAAAAGAAGTCATGTTAATATAATATCTACATTGTTAAAAGTATATTTTTTAACATATTTTACTTCTTCATCTTCCTTTGAATATATCGTTAGTTTAGCAGTTAAAAATAACCTTCAATTATTGGCTGAAGACACTTTGTAAAGCCCAAATTGGGCTTACAAAATTTTTGGAAAAGGTGCCCTTTTGACAAAATCTTTTTTGGAAGTATGAGACAAACTATTCCTTTTTAGGCGGGCAATTTCCTTTTTAATTTTGTTAAGAAAATTGCACAAACCTCCCTAAGGTGTTATGATATGTCAAAACACCCACTTCTTTATTTGGCGAATCTGTGAGGCTTCGTTTAAATTTTTGTATTCCAGCAATTTGATTTTGACCCCAAGTTGCCACAATTCCCCTCCAAATTTTCGGTATTTAAAATATTTTGACAACTTAAATAACCGACTTACTTATTTGGCGATGAGTTTATATACTACAAAATACAGGCAGTCATACTTTTTTGAACCTGAAAGAATTCGGCAGGTCCAGCATAAACTCGGTGTGGACAGACTAAAAATTCGAAAAAAAAGGTTCAAAAAAAAGGGCAAAACGAGCTCATCTTGAACTTGGCCAATCAGACTAATTTATGACTGACCACACCTTTCTTTAAAAAAAGTGCAAAATTAGTCCAAGTACATATTAGATAAGATTGTGCTTATAAAGCCTTCCCTGTCATTACGTGAAAACCTATTTTGCGAGTTATTCTAGATATCGCATTCTATGGCACATTTTTCCTATAAAAAAGCTCTTTTTCTCAATTCTAGTGGCAATGGAAGAATTATAGCCAATCAGAGTCGTTTACAAATTGATCTTTTTTTGCCCTTTTTTTTTGCCCTTACTTTGCCCCCTTTTTTTATCTTTTTTTTAACTTGGAACTATCACAACTCGACACCTTTATTACACGTACTCCATTATTAAACAACTTCTTCAAAAACCCAAATGTCATTTATACTGGGGCTCATATTCACCCAATATTCATCCAATATTCAGCTTGAAGAACAATTTATCAATTGATTACAACTTTTGATTACGTCAACCCCAGCACTACGCCTTGGATGTTTACCTCTTTGTTTTATTTTTCTTTACCCTAAAGTATTTTGGCAAACCACATATCCACTGAGCTGGTAAGATTAGCTGCATAAATATAAAACGGATTCACATTGTGAATAAATATATAATAATTGAAATGTATAGTACAAACAAACGCTATATTCGCAAGTTTGAGAAAGAATAATCGAATGCGTCGAAAAAAAAACGCCGCAAGAAACTTTTTACCAAGGAGCGAACACCTTGCCACCATCCTTTCTACAAAGTAATACCAAACGAACCTTATCAGAAAGCTTTTCAGAAGAAAGTTTCAACAAAAGAAATCGTGTAGAAGGGCCGGTGAAAGACTTGGAGGAATGCTTCTTTACTTCGATGAGAGACCGCGTAGAAGAACTTGTCAAGCAAACTAAAACTCAAGATAAAACAAATGAACTGAAAAACAAACTCCTAAATGTAAAGACTATACCGGCAGCAATAATAACGAATGCAGCACAACTTGCCAAGTGTGACAGAAAAGTAATGTGCTCACATATGGAGCACCGCCCTGGGCTAAAAAATGTTGAAGAATGGAAGAAGTTCGTATCTCAAAACTTCGACAAAATAGCTGAGGCTGCCGTAGGCTCGGTCGTAAAAGACACAGCTAAAGTATACTCTTCTTCCACTCCAACAAATAAACAGCCATATGAAGAAATGAGAACGTGCACGGTCCAGATAAACAGCCTCTTCAGATCGGATCTCCCTCCTATTGTAAAGACATTCGTGTGTACTAGATTACAAGATTCGATGGTTACCTCGACAGATTATACCCTTTGCTTTTCGGCATTCGTGAATATGATGATAAGTGAGCTGAAGACTAGCGAATTCTTCTTTGACAACAATGATATCAAGATTAAGAAAGTTCTTGGATTCAACCTCGCCAAATTGCTGCCTTTTGTTACAACTAATGAGCCAAAACATACCATCCAGCCGTTGGGCAAGGATTTAATTGCCTCTAAACGATTTGAGACGGACTCCAAGTGTCTCTTCACAAGCCAACATCTGCAAGTTGTGTATAGTTATTTTTTTGGTGCCCGTGGTGCTAAAGAAGAAAATTTAAACGCCCACCCTGTGCAGAATAGTCTGTTTTGTTCTTTCAAAGAATTCGGCCTTGATAAACAGAGCTTCTATCTTGAGAAAGCATCATCGTCGGCAATGTCGATGGCTCTTGAAATGTACCTGGTCAACTTTGAGAATATGTGGGACGGGAAAAAGATAATTAACAAGCTTTTGGACAAAGTGATACTAGTGCTACTTCGCCACCATCTTGCCCGCAATAGAGAATCAAAGCGTATCTCGACCACAACAACAAGGAATCCACCTGGAAAGAAGGATATAAGAAACCATGTGCGTTATGTTTGTCGTGCAGAGGATAAAAAGCTGAAAAAGTTGGTACAAAGAAAGGGAAAAGCAAGCGGATTAGAAGGAGAAAAGTGGGCCACTAAGATAAATAGTGCGAAGCAGCGTCTAGCAAATTTAAGACATACTTTTAAAAAGGTAAGGTGGAAACATTTTCATTGGCTTGAAATTGCCAGCTAATGCTTCATTTTACTTTAGAAGATAAGTCAAATGCTGAATGATAGAAAGGAAGCTTCTGTGAAACACAAGCTCGTTGTTCAGGATTTGAACATCGCGGAAGAACAGCAAGATTTTCTGGAAGAAGTGGGGACTTTGGATGATGATGTTCCGGAAAGGAGGTTGAATCAACTCAAGTCCGTAATTAAACACTTGGTCTTCAGCAATGATACGCCTGTATATTTAGAAGATGTCAAACATCCTGTGGTATACACACCACAATTGAGTGAAGAACAGACCCCACAACCAAACACTGGTTCCTTCTTGCTAATGAACCTGGCAAGTTAACAATCTCCGGAACTGTTACACACCAGGCACACGTACACTACACACTCATACAGTGTAAACCAACCATTACACAACAGGGATTTGAATTACAGGGATTTGAATAGTAGCAGATATAAACAATATTATTTTGTCTCTTTAATAAATAACACTCTCACAGTATCTACTTTTCCCATTATTGAGATACTAACCCATAAACAATCCCGAATACCTCACATCAGTCCCCTGAGGCCACCACCACCGAACAGTCAGTATGCTTGTTGATTTGCAATACGTTGATGAAGTCCTTGCCTCCGAAAAAGCAATATCACGTAATTGCGTATCAGATGTATTTCTGTATCTTTGCAAACGACGTTCTTAAATATGCACGTTATATAAAGTTTACTCGCGCATTATGTCCTTCAACATCATTCTCGTCATTGAGTGTACTACACCTGGATTCAGTTGCATTATATCAGCTATTGACCCAGAATATAGATCAAGACAAGTCGGAAGAACCACCATCACATACCAACCAGCAAGAAAAGGAAGGGTATAGTAGAATGATACTCTATGGGTATAATAGGGATGAGCTGATAGGGTCTCAAGACAAAGCGCGCCAAAACAAAGATGCCACATTTAACGCAGTATTTGATATGGGAGAGATTCAGAAAGCATGTGAATCGTATGGTCTATATTTTGCACATCGGATGACATGTCTACCAGGAATGAAAGCAGTGCGATTATTGGGATCGAAAATAAAAACCCATGGCACCGTAAAAGAGGGGACAAAACAGTCATATGAAGCACGGATTTTAAGAAACCCGAGCATTATGCAAGAAGGACGAAAAACAAAGGATGCTCTTTTTTCTGAGCTTCAAAGCTTAACAGAAGAAGTCAAGACGCTTGAATCTGTCCGTAAAAGAGAGCTAGATCTTCTGAAAGACAGTAACTTCCAAAGGAAAATCAAAGAATGTAAATCAAATTGGGGGACAACAGATGACAAGGATCAGTTATACCGGACGATTGAAAAATATAAAGAATCGAGATATAAATCTTATTTGATGGTTAACAAGATCAGAAACGAACTCGCCGAAAAAAAGACAACAGTTATATTTCCGACAGATGGCAATTCGTTCCAAATCAAAGCTCCATAATGTTAAAGATGTCCCTCAAGATAGCAGAAGTCCAATTGAGAAATGTGGCAAAGGTGTGACCAAGGCGGAGGACCGAACTGTTGTGAATCCTGGTGACTTTAACTATGCGGGTACTGACAATGGCCTGGTGAATATGACAACATCAATACCGATGTCGTTACAAAGAATGAAATTTCATCTAAAGCTTTTCAACTATTACACCGCGTTAAGAAAGGTCTCCAATGAAGACAGTATCGGCTTGAATCTATCTAAAGAAGAATCATTCCTACATTTGCCATCAGTTACAAATACGAAGGCTAGTGATGTTAGGGGGTTTCATTATCTCTTAGGATTCGGAAAGCGGGTGTTTAAATGATGAAATTATTGGCTGAGAATAATCTGAATAGAATTAAAATGTATAGATTTAATCCGAAGGCTTTCGGATTGAAATTTAGGATTGCTCATTTTGACGTCTTGAAATACTTAGAGCAAAAGTTTCTCAATTTATTTGCCTCTCTTACATATTTCTACTTTGTATATCAACTTTTTATAAGCTAAGTTTCCAATATAAGCAATAGAAATTAACTTAATTGCTTAGAATAAAATATTAGGTTCAAGAATAAAACGATTAATTAAAAAGGGGGACTCAATAATTTTCATTTTATAATCATTCTCATTGGCTACAGGTTTAACATCCGCTTTCCGAATCCTAATCCGAATCCGAATCCTAAGAGATAATGAAACCCCCTAATGAAACCCCCTATTATCATTTCTTTTTTTTTTTAAAAAAAAAAAAGTGACTGCCCATTTTTTGTGGGAAATAAAGGCACTCCTTATTTGGACGTTATGGCAATTTGATTTGATTTTGCCATAACACAACACCCACTTTAAAACCTTGCTTGAAAGTATGGCAAATAAAAAGCTATTTATTTTGGATTTATTGTTAATGAAGTACAAAAATAACACTATTAAAAAGGGGTTTATGTCAACTGTGCCATGTTTATTCTAATTTGACTAAAAGAGATACCAGTCTATAGTGCAAACAAAGAACCAAAAAAAAAAGTGGCACAGGGCAATGAAATAAAAACTATTTTCACAGGCTGTGCTGATAGTAGTCAAACTATACTTATATATATAGGTATCAGAAGTATTTTATACCTGCTAGAGAGCAGGTACGTCTTTTATTCAGAATTTTGAGATATTGTTCCTTTTTTGAAAAAATATACATCTAAAAACGGAACACTTTCTGCTATCAGCAGGAGTTTTTTATTTACTTTGTAGTAACATTCCGAGAGCACCTAAAAATCTTCCATTCTAAACCTTTACTAAAAAAATAAAAGCCTGTTTAAAGAACTACACTAAATAACTCGAAAGCAAATGTGATTAGATAAGAAATTTAAATATTAATCTTTTAGCTTGGCCTACAATATTCTACCAAGTTAAAGTTGCTGGGCTTGTTAGTCTTGGGGTCACAAGCCAAGAAGCAAACACAAGACCCTTAAACCTTTCACTAATTAGCTCATAAACAATTTTAATACAAGTGCTCATATTTACATTTCTTTCTTATTGATCGGTAATGGTAGACAAGCTTTTATGTGTCAATTAATATCCCATACAATGCGATTAACCCAAAACTTCTATCCACGTGGTCAGCTTTAAGAAAAACAGATCTTGGTCTATTTCCCATAACTACTTTATACGTATATTATACACAGCAAAGATAGAAAAAAAAACAGTTAAAGAGTCTTAAAATATAGTTATTTTTAAAGATGATGGGAAAATTAACCATGAGAAATATGGTAATTTATTTGATAGTTTATGACTACCCAGAAGTATAATAGTAATAATAATAGTAATAATAATAGTAATAATAATAATAATAATAATAATAATAGTTTCTATACATTTGAAGACAAAGAGTCCCATTTTTTTTGTGGCAGTAGCTTGTGATACCAATTAAAAGGAACCAGTCGTTTGTTTGGTACAAAACAAAGCCAAATAAGAACTCGAGATACTTCTTTAAAGATCATATCTAAAATCAGGGTGTCTGTCTCCGGCAATTTGTACACTTCCGTACTTGAGAAGCTCATAGTCCTTCTGTTCTTGATTCAGTAACTCGCGACGTTTGTTTTCACGGCTCAATAGGGTTCTGGCAATGATCACAACAATTGTCTGTGCACCCACACAAGAAAAGGCAATAGTGTTACCAGCAAAATATGTCGGAGGGTCTAGAATAAAGATAGAAACTTCAGTTAGAGAAAAGAAAAAGAGATATAAAAAGTTTTTTGAACAACCAAAGTTTGGTGGTCTTACCATAGTATATTTGACCACCGATTGCACCACCAATCGTACCGACAGAGACAATAACGGCTGAAGCTACAGCTCTACGTGTCAGACCTCCACTAACGGTCAAGCATGTGTAAGAGACTGTGGTACATGGCTCAGGCCTTTTTTCAGTTTTTTTTAGACTTACTAGTTGCTGTTGAACCAGGGCGCTTTTACCGCAGCGTTGGCATATACGGCAATTGTGACAATACAGGCACCAACGTAATTTGCAGCGACATTGCTGACAGGGGCAAACATAAGAATCAAAAAGCCGACCATCAAAATGATGTTGATACCAATCATATGAGTGGATGAATCAAAGTAGTTGCCTAAATAGCTATAAATATTAGTTCATGAACTATAAAGTATCCCTTGTAATCCGGCTTACCGGAACAGTGGGCCATAAACCGAATTCCCAAAAATGCCATGATGTAGGGTGGAATCGTAAGAAGTTGTACGACAGGATCCGACCATGTTCCCATATTGGAAATTATTGAAGGCAAAAAGAGAACGATCCCTTGCAGGGGGACGGTACCCAGGATGTATATCACAATGAAAACATATGTCTTCCAATCCATGAATACGGAAACGACTTGCATCCAAGACCATGATTCATCGTGAGCGGGCCCAGCATCTATAATTGGTAGACTAAAAATAAGTTTCCAATAAAGACAAACTGAATTCCTGATAAGAACCTTCAGCAATTCGTCTGACAGCCAATTGTTTCTCATCGCTTGTCAAAAACTTGGCAGTGGCAGGGGTATCCGGTAGGTACCATGCAACAAAGGGGGATATGAGTATAGAAGGAAGCCCCTCGATAATAAACATCCTAAAAATAATAACATTCAGTCTTACTCCACTCAAATAGTTTTCACCAATGTTTTCTATTTTGGATACTTACCATTTCCATGACTCTAAGCTACTGTCATTTATCTGTAAAAGACCATAGCCCAATAGACCATTAAAAGCTCCAGCAAGGGATCCAAAGGACCAAAAGAACCCAAGTCTTGAACCAGTTTCTTGGCGTGTATACCATGTAGACACGTAGTAGACCACACCCGGAAAGAAACCTAAAATAGGTGGTTAACCGAGTTAGACTAGTTTTCCAATGAATCAGTCCTAATTCGTACCAGCTTCTGTAAGACCAAGTAGAAATCGGGTCAGGGCAAGTCCGGAAAAGTTCTCCACAGCACCCATACATGTTGCACAGATACCCCAGGAACTACAAGGATGGAAGGTAAATTTAGAAAAGAAAAGAAAAGAAGAAAATACGCTAAGGTTATATGTAACACCAGTCGATCATTACCATGTAAGAATGGCAAACCAGTAGGACGCACGCCAACGTCTTAGGATAATATTAGAAGGAAGTTCAAAGATGATGTAGCCAAAGTAAAATATAGAGAGTGCCCATTGATATTGGTCTAATGAGATATTCAAGTCGACTTCTAATGTTCCGACTTTGGCATTACTAATATTGGCACTAATGAAATAATGGATTGTTAATGTATGTACAAATCAACCGATAATAAATAACATAAAACCATTTACCGATCAATATAGTTTAAGAAATACAAGACGCAAAGTATAGGGATAAGTTTTAGATCTTGCTTGCTAGAATTGACGCAAAATAGTTAGATATGATTTATAGAATGGTTTTGTGTATCGAATCAATTCAAATTTACCGAAGAAGTTTTAGGACAGCAGCTCGATCTATGGGATCTGCACTTTCGACAAAGGTTGGGTCGATTTCTACCTTGTCTTTCCCATTAACTTGAACCTGAATGGTTTCCTCGATTTCCGACATTATATCGATGCGTCTAGAGAAGTGCGAGTGAAGGTGTGGGTAATATGTATAAGATGTAGATAATTTATAAAAAAAATTCTCGATGGGCCAGGATCCTTTCTTTTTATACGAATTGTTTCGATGAGTGATTTTTTTTTATAACCAAATGTGTGTGAGAGAGAGGGGGGGGGGGGGGGGGGGGGGATCATTACATCCTAAAAAGCAAACGTTCCAGTAACGAAATTCATTGTTATAATGAGGGCATGAACTTCATGATTTTGACTGTAAAACTTAGATGAGTTAACCAAAAAGTGCAACGTCTTACAAACGCGTTCTGTTTTGGATTGGCAAGAGTGAACTCATGATGATCAGCTCCGATTTCTGGCTGTGGTACATACCGCATCGAGGTTTTATGTCCTGCAGTAAGTTGGGGTTTCAATGGCCACATGTTTTTATTTATTCTATAGTTTTGCTGAATGTACATTTGCTGTATGGTTAATGATGAGATGATATCCTATTAGAACAACAACAAGAATAACAAAAAAGTAAAATAAAATGATATTTTCAACCCATCCTTCAATATTGTCCAATCAGATGAATGAAGTCATAGAAAAAGAAGAAGAAGAAAAAAAGGCTGCGGTAACTTTACTTTGTGTGAAGCCAGAAGGTTCATTGATCTCCTAAAGGGTTTCGAGGGACAGGGTTGAATATCTCAGCCAAAGAGATCTGTCAATACACCTTATATTGCAGTGAACATCAAAAAAGGGTTTCCCACCTGCATTTGATTTAGATATTTGGAGAAAATTTATTATCAAATATTGTTATGAGATGCGTCTTTGTTATTGATACATAAGAAGATATGCCTCTGTTATATAAATAAAAGAACGATCATTAGAATTAGATGTAAAAATCTGAGTGCTTCATCGGAAGGACTATTCCGCCAATATACATATATTTGATATCTTTGTTATGTTGAATACCTTAATCCAGAATCAACAAAGAAAAATCATTCTTACTATTCTTGCTTATTTGTGTCTATGTTTATTAGAAATTGAATTAAATTGAATTGAATTGAATTTGCTACATTTGCTACATTTGCAGATTATTTTACTCACCAGAAAACAAAAAAAAATCAACCTTTAGTTTCCATAGTCTCTTTTTGGAATACGCTATGGTTAGAGGTAGTCCTCTATTTAGCCAAATAAAATAAAAACCGGTTTTCTGGATGGTCTTTATGCACCATGACATACTTTCTTATTCATTGTCAATGGCACCAACACAAAGAAACTTTAGACACACGTTGAATCTAGCCTGGATTCTAATGAGCGTATACTAACACAACGTACGCTCAGCCGATAAGTCATATGTGTATATTATTTTAAAGGTACCACACATTCCAACTACTAATGACATTGATCAATTCTTATTCCTCGGAAAACAAGTCATAAAAAGCTGTTCTAAAGCCAACTAGTTTCTTGACGTCTGATCCTATGTCAAATGGCAAATAATAATGATAATAATAATTGTGCTCAGACTTTGTTTCTTAGAACTTTTGCTACACAATATTCCTGTCAATTCTTATTTTATCTTAAACACGCACTTTACACAAACAAAGAATTCTATTCAAATAAGTCGTATACAGCTATATAAAACAAGACTTTAAATGATGTTTTGTGCGATATTTGTGAATTTATAATATATTAAGAGAAGCTCTCTCTCTCTCTCTCTCTCTCTCTCTACACACACAGTAATATGATCAATTCTCACACCTATATAATGTTAAAGATATACATTACTAAAGTAACATAGAAGAAAGAAAGAATAGATTTTAAAGAATAGGCAACACATCATTTGGTAGTCAGAATATGCGTTAGAAAACGTAGAAATTTATCACAACTGACATTGTCATTTATAATATGATAATTATAGTAATTATATATGACTAGATGATGCTTATATGCAGTTCTTGAAACTAGAATGAAAATGGTAACGAATAGTTTCATAAAATAACACCACTTTTAAGAGAACACTTCGTTCGTTTGTTTGTTTGTTTTTGTGTGCGTGTGGAAAGTAAGAAATACTCGAAACATCTATTCCCTAATAAACATGATTAGCTTTAGAGATCTTATCTGTCTAAAGCAAAAACATAGAATCTTCTGACGCTGAAAATAAAGTAAAGATGAAGCTTTTACCCATGACATGTAAGCTTGATCAATATACAAGCATAAGCTAATGCAAGTCAATTTCTCACAACTGCCCACTAGCCAGAGATTCAGAAGACCATACAAGAGTTTAACTTACATCTGCAAATATCAGCTAGAGCAAGTTACTATCTGTGCCTACGTAACTCTCCTCTCTCACTTTCTTTTAAACAAAATTACACGGACCCCATGAAAGTACAGTACAAGTCGTTTACAACGACATATACAAGAGTAGGCTAGTTTTCTACCAAAAAAAAAGGTGGGCGGTCTACAAAATTAAGTGGGTACACTAAAGGAGATTTATGAACTTTTCCAGTACTCAAAATTCTTCTAAGTATTAGTTGATATATTACGAGATACTTATCCATACATTTTGTAAAGGACTTACACTTGACTATTTTGTGTTTAGGTACCACGTCTTGTTATCTGATTATTCACTCAAAACACATATTGTCAAGGTTCAAAACGCATGTCCAATTTTGACCATGTACAGATACCAAAGGATAATATTGCACTTTATTAAGTTGCTTTTAACTATAATAGTACACATTACACCTCTTGAGTCGAACTTCCAATATTCAAGATAGATTTGTATCTTTTGTATTATTATCTTTAAATAACCCCCGGAAAGCTTCTATCTTTTTTCTGACCCCCACACTTGGATCCAAAAGACGATAGACTCCGATACATCTGCTTAATGTGGCTTGCGTGGAGAGATGTACACGCTTCATTGAGTACTAGGTTGAACATCAATTGCTCCCATTAAAATTATGACCGAACAACAATCTACAGGAAGTGCATGGCCCGATCCACCATCTTTTTACAAAAGATACACTGCAGAAAATGTAGAGAAACTTAAAAAAGCCAGAAAGACCGGCATATACCCAGAAACACCCATCAGCTTACCACCACTACCAGATTTTTTACTGAAATCTCTCGAACCACCAACCCCACCTACAGATTCCTACAAGATATTTGACCAGACATGGCAGGTAAATCTAGAATGAGCCATATTTAATTGTCATTATTTATTTTTTATTTTGTTCATTGGAATATGTATCTTTCAATATAGGTGGAAGACCGACTAGCCACCCTTAATGAACTGGGAGTAAAGCAACTATTCCCAGAAGGGCAGATTGGTAAACCTTTGGACTGATGACAGTTGACAAATAAGAGCTTACTATATTTAATTCTACTGTTATATAGATCGTATTAAAGAATTAAAGAAACTAAACAGGACCTTGATTGTACAATATCTTGGTCTGCTTGACATTCTAGTAAATAATCCAGACGAGGTAGGTTTTGCTTAGATGACATAATACAATGCAGTATATCGGTTTCATGAATTAACTGTACAATGAAACGCTGGTCATAGTTTGGCCAACGGATAGAAAACATCAGTACAATCTTCATCAATATGCATCATATACTCAATGAGTATCGACCGCATCAGGTATCATTTTCTTTTGGGGTTTTAGATGATATAATTTCAAATCATCAAACACGTTACTCACAAATGCTCTCAGGCAAGAGAAACCCTAAAACTGTTGATGGAAAACCAAGTGGCTAAAAAACGGCAACAAGCAGCAGAGTTACGGAGGTTAGTCAGATCTATTAAGAAAAAAAGTGGCATCATAATAACCCATTGTTTGATCAAACTATCAGGAAAAGTGCAGAGACATTGCAGATGTTACATGATTTTGGACAGGAGATTGGCCATTCCTTAACAGACCATACTGGGCGTGGGGGTGAAGTATTTGGAAAATTTGAGCACATTGACCACCTGGGCTCAAATAGCGAGGATGTTAAAATGAGTGAGACATGTATTAAAAATGAAGGTACTAGTGATGCATTGGAATTGAATGTAACTTCTGCTATTGATAGTATAGTATAATCACTTCTTCTATATGTATGTATTTGTTTTTTGTTTTTTGTTTTTTGGTTTCTCAAAAGAAACTAGCCTCAGTAAATATCCCAAACCAATAAACATTAAATAAATGAATGAATGAATGAATGGAAAATATTTTACCATACTTTTAATATTCTAGTTTCTATATTCAAGGGGTTACCGAGCAGAAATGTTGGTTAGAAAGAGTACATATATAGCAATTGTTTCATTGCCATCTCCATTAATCAAGATCTCAGAGTATTATACATCATTTACGGCTATTCTTGTTTATCTTTCTTGATGCTTATATATAAAAGTTCTCGGCAAATGATATTATACTATTTAAAGCAAACCATGATACACACTCTATAATTATCTGTAGCAAAAGTATAGAATAAATTAATAAAGACAAAAAGCAACAGGTTCAATAAGAGGTATGTTGGTTAACAGATTACCAAGAGAAATAATTATCAATAAAAAAAAACTATCGACTTTGCTATATTTCAATACATGTGAATACTATATACGTATCAAACCTAAAAGTCTGACAAATAGAACAGAACAAATAAACAAGTACAGTGGGGTTTTTCTTTTGCATTCTTTTTTTTTATTGCAGCACAGCTTTAGTATAATGATGTTTAATAATGTGTTTCATCTCGAAAATGACCTGAGCGTCCACAACTTTCTAACTAGGGCTAGATTCATCTAGCTGCAACGTATTGCTTATGTTACTCACCAAAACTACAAGAAAAAACAAGAATTTGGTTTGGTTCGAATCAAAACTATAGATTACAAGATTATTTCTGTGTACATTCAATTTCGTGCCATTGTATTTTGTAGAGTCTGATTGTGTGTCTGCCCTACTCAAATTGGTCAAATATGTTCGATTTACTTATTTTTAGACTATTTTTTTTTATATAAAAAATAAAATAAATAGGTGTGAGCCTTGTACAAAAGTTTCAGATAATAACATAGAATATAATCCTTTAAATTTAAAATAATTTATGGTACAAAACCTTTCTGAACTATCTTGAATTCCAAATATTGGTAGCGAATTTCTTTAGTCAATCTTTAAAGTAATGTATATATATATATCCTTGTCTTACACCCTCCAAGAAAGATGTGCTTGTGTTTCTACCATAATTTATTATAGAAAATTAACAGTAGTATCAAGTATGAATCTGTCAAGTAACAAAGATAATGGTAAACATAGTACATACCTACCAAGATATTAGATAACTAATATATAAGCAGTTAATTCTATTGTGGGATCTATATCGAAAGTTTATTCAATTGCAAAATACTTTCTTCTTCATCTTCATATTATTATTAATATACACATGGTTGAATACGAAGCAAACCTTTTGTATTATAGTAATACGACTCTTACATATCTTCGTAAGATAATATCTTATCTTAACCATGGTGCTGTATATAGTCATCTTGATGTTCTATTAATATACCCGTAATAATAATGAAAATACTTAGATATAGACAGTAACTATGGAAAATTGGCAAAGCTTTTCTTACTTATGGGATCAAGCCCTGAGTATGATATATATATATATATTGAATTGAATAAAGTGTTACCCAACTTATTCTGTTTTTGAATCTTTTCAGATACATTCTTACCTTATTTTGGGGTAATAGATGATAGGAGCTATGTACTCTTTAAAGCATCAATACAAATAATAAATCTAACACTTGTCTCCGTAACGTAAAAGTCTCTAAGAGTTTTTCTAAATATATACAGCACACAATATAATATGATTCTCAGCAAACTATCGTATGTATTTGTTTTATTAATAGTTGGCAACTTACCAAACTTTAAAGTTTTTTTTCTATAGGCTAGTTAATAGTCAACTTTCAAGAACGCACTTCGCCACAACCCTGGTTACATGAGCCCTGTCTTCTTCTGACAATTGTAACTTTCTTAATAGAATCATTAGCTACTTTTACACATTAGCATTATTCAAGTAGTCCCATCAGAAATCCTACAAACAATGATCTGTGCCTCTATGCGATTTCTTTTCTATACGTATATCTAATTTGCGTCATGATTATACAAAATGACAGTTTAATAATTAAAGAGGCATTTTATCACATTCTTTTTTTTAGGTAAATTCAGTATATTCAATTAGTGCGAGAACGTTCTTTTTGCTCAGATAATCCACAGTGGGTATTATATTAGACATTATCTTTAGTGTGAAAGTCAGGTATAAAAATTAATGAATAAAACCAGCCAAAAAAAAACTATTAAGCAATAACTGTTACAGTAAGTGTGAAAAAAAAATGTAACATCTGCAAGCCATATTTTGAACACTTTTCTTTAAATGAATAAAAGGTTATTATATACACATTATATGTAGTGTAAAGCTGACTTTCAATGTAGCAACCGCAGAGACGGCCAGTATTCATAATTGCAGGTCAAAGTTCCTGCAAACCAGTACTACAAATAACAATCTATCTCTTTTTCATTATTATTGCACCAATACACACACACACACACACACACATATACATATTTCTTATCTGTCTCTGAATATACCATCATTCATTCTTCATTATACTGAAGGATGGATTTAATAAATACCACAGAAACAGTGTCATTGGAAGCCAGCCAAGAAACTCTGCCTAATGCCGATGATGAGATTGAGGAATCTAAACCTGTAGAACGTCAAACATTTGAGCAAGTAGTTGCATTGCACAAAGAGAGAAACACATCAAAAGGTAATTTCATTAAATGCACAATATAAAAGTTATCTTGAGATCTATATACTGATTGGATCTTGTGTGCGGGATTGTGCGTATGTTTTGGCATCAATAGTTATTGTGCGATTCAGGGCGATAGGAAATGCACCTATCTTGAAACAGAGTTTTTATAAAATAACAGCGTCAAATAAATTTCAGACTGTGATTCAGTTCCTTCGCAAAGAACTCAAGTATCAGGGATCAGATCCTCTTGTAAGTCTATAACTTTATTAATAACACTTGATTAAAAACCTTGTACATCCACACACACACACACACACACATATATATATATATAGTTTCTCTATATAAACAGCGCATTTTCTCCTTCTCCAGATGCTACCGTTGCAACGCTGCACAAGGTAAACCGATTATAGTATTTAGACATACTTATAATATTGTAATTAGTGCTTCAATACGGACGGCCATCTTATAATCAATTACTGTACAACCGCTGCGTGGGGATAATCCACAACAACAACAAAAAGGCAGAGAGAATATACTTAAATATTATATATATATTTATCAGAATGAATAAAATAGGCCAGTTTATGTATAAATCATAGGAACGCGTTTGCTGTACACTGCTCGAGAAAGAAAGGAAAATAGAAAATGTCGAATAATAATGACAAAACAGAAAGAAAAAGAAATATATAATAATAATGATAATAAAAAGAATGGAATGGGAAATGAAATATTATACAACGATGGGAAAAGGATGGTTTGTCTAAACTTCACTCGGTTTTATTTTTGCTTCCATGCCTTCCAAAACCTATTGTGCTTCTTAGGTTCTTTAGAGAGAGCTTCGGCTGGGCCATTGCTCAGACGCAAGAATGAAGTTGAGGACATGGAAGAGGTCTTGGACTGGTTTGCTTCAAAGTGACGGTAGTTATCGACTGGTGGATCGTAAAGGATCATCATTGGAGGGTCAGACAAAGTGGTTGGAGCGTGTTGAATATAGTTGGCCGGTGGTTTGTATTCTTCGTACACAGCTGTGGACTGAGGTTGATTGGGGATACGTTCACTGTACTCGTTTGAAGACCAGGAAGCAGACGAGGATGAGGTGGATGTGGACGCATGTAGACTCTCAATAGAATTCCGGCGTGAATCCTTTTGAGCCAAAGCTTGAACTTGAGCAGGAACTGGAGGAGGAGGCATGGCAGGTGGACCACTTGGAGGGGGAGTCATGGCACGAGCACTGATGGGTGATTCCATGAAGATTGTTTGGCTGACCTGGCTGCTACGTGAAAATCTAGCAAGGTGCTGAGAATAAGCTGATGTCCGAATGGAATCTAATAAGCTTGTGCTGCTATTGTTTCCAGACATAGTTAGCCCAGGACGAGCAAACTCGGCTAGGACATCAATGGATGACCGGACAGACGATGGACGGGAAGGGTCATGGGAAATCCTTAAAAGACTGTTTCGCTCTGTTAATAGGTGAGTCAGCATTTCCTGTTTGTCTTCAATTTCGATCCGTTGTAGTTCCACTTGTTCACGCAAAAGATCTTCATTGCCAGTAGATACACGCGAGCTATTCTCAATGAGGTTTACTGGTGATTTTGGTACATCATTCGATGATATCTGATAAAATACATACATACAATATACATGCAATATACATACAAGCAGATAAATTAAAATAAGGAAAAAGGGGTATAATAGAAGTATTATTATTATTATTGTGATTATTATTATTGTTACAAAATAATTCGAGGTATACAACATATATTGACTATCCTTAAGCTTATATATATATATATCTTTTTTTTACGCTACCTCTTTTACTGGTGGTACACTTTGGAGTTTGTTCTCCAGTCGAATAATAAGCTCTTCTTGTTTTTTTACTACTTCTGATAATGCTTTTGTCTCCAACCGTTCCTTTTCGAGTTCGGTGACATATTTTTCCACTGTCATTTGTACACCCCTGTCACAAGCCAGGAGTTGTTCCGTGAGACGGGCGATCTCTTGTGCGGCCTGTTGGTCGTGGATAATTGGTGCGATCTGCTGATAGTCTTCAGGATCATCCGTCGAGTGTTGTTCATAAGCATCGAGGATACCCGTCAGGAACGCCTCGTTTTCAGCCTCCTGGAGATCCAATAGTCGGGTTTTTTCATGGCTAGCGACCGACCGACTGCTGTGGGCGAATCCATTGGGAAGAGGGTCAAATACACCCGAGACAGGTGTATCCAGACTGCTACCACCTCTCTGGCGGTACATCATCAGTTCCTGTTCGAGGTTGTCCCTTTCCTCGGAGATCTGTTCGAGTTTCTGGGCTAGATACTCGACACGGATCTCGTAATCGCGGGCTTTTGTGACGTCCGAAGAGAATCGTTCGATATCTGATTCTAATTGCTTGATTTTCTCGGTTGCGACTGAATATTCATCAAGTGATTCTTTATAGAGATCCTCGAGCTCTTGAGTTATACGACTTATGGCAGAGATGTCGTATGATGTTACTGTCTTTGGCTTGCGATGTTTATCAGTATTCTGGGTTGGTGCCACTTGTTGAGGTAGTGATTTTAGTGTCGTTGTCGTTGTCGTCGTTGTTGTTGTTGTTGTTGGTGTTGCTGCTGGTGCTGCTGCTGGTGTTTGCGTTTGCGTTGGTGTTTGTGGTATTTGTGTAGACTTTTTTAGGGTCGATATATGTTGGTGTTTTGCGGGTATGAGTGGGAGAGGGGGTTCGTTGTTTAGTTGATTTGCAAACATATTGCGCACGGACGATACGCCAGCTATAGGCTTTATGTGTTTGACTTCTTTTTTTCGTTCATCGATTGGTGGTTTCCATGTCTTGAGCTTTGCAAGAGGTGCACCCACAGGTCCATTCTTTATTGGATTTGATGTGGGTCCACTAGGGGATTTATTGAGGAAAGCCACGGCGGCCTGAACACTCATTGTAGGCTAATGGTGCCGATCAAAATAAGAGACAGCAGTGAGTGAGAGAGAGAGAGAGTAAGAGAGAAAGGAGAGGAGAATAAAACCAAAAAAGAAAAAAAAGGAAAGGAAAGAAAGTAAATAAAGTAAGAAAAAAAAAGAAGAATCTTCAGTGTTTGGTCAGATTTGAATTATAATTATTATTATTATTTTTTGAGCTTTCTGTGTGCCTTAATCTATCAATCTATATAAATATATATATTACAAGACTAATAGAAATATTATCAGTTGTAATTCCTTGGTTATTGCGAACAGGCAATCTCGACCTTCCAAGCACAGCAGCCAATGGCTACCAAACTGTATTTATTAGGAGCTCGTGCGCCTTGTTACCTAGACTTCAAAAGGCAATTACAAGCATGGTCTATAATTATTACTATTTTATTTATTACTTTTTTCTTTTCTTCCTTCCTTCCTTTCCAACTTACTATACCTATTTGCTATCGATTTTCTTTCTTTCATTCTTTCTTTTATCATTATATATATATTGTGACTTGGTCTAATTATGTATATCGCTTCTCAAGCAACCGCCAAAGTCCTAAATGTTGGCGAGGATTTCCATATACGGATTTGCGAAAGTTTCCTAATCTAGCCGATTTCGTTGAAGATTCGACAAAACTTTGGATTTAACCTTTGTCGTCGCCAAAGTTTTGGCAAATGTTGCTAATTTAGAAAACTCTCGCCAATCCGTATATGGAAATTCTCGCAAATATTTTGAGACGGTGGGCGTGGAGGTTTGATGGTGGCACGGGTGTTGTGTGTTCTTCCAGCCTTGCCCATCCTAATACATTTTCTTCTTCCCGACCCTTTCTTTCCTCCATTCTCTATTATTACTGTTATTTTAATCCCTCATCTTAGAGCATCTCCTACAGTCACTTTTATCTCAACTTTTATGTCAAATTTAAAATTTATTGCTGAAAACGCTCTTAAAAAATAATTAAAAAGGATAATTTGAACTGTTGGGAAGTGACATTTTTTAGCTAAAGTAGGTGGTATATTAGTTTCCAAGGATGGATTTAGTTCCAGCCTTTTGACGTGTTGTGACAAAATCGAGAATATTGTAACAAAGCAAACTGAATAAGATCATTTAGTAGTCATGTGCAAGTCCCTTCTTCATACAATAGTCAACTTACTCCTGTTAATCAAGGGAATCAACTCTTTGAGAATTCTCTCTCCACGTATTCAAATCGCTTTTAATTGGAAGAACACTAAAACTGGGTCCGCTATTAAAGAAGTTGTCGATTTTGTCATTTTGCAAAGTAGCTGCAGTTGGCGGTTGACCCTATAGAACATTCAAAAGTCGGCAATGATAAATTCAATATCTCACATATACTGTTTTCAAATTGACTTACAACTAGCAAAGAATTAACAGCTTCATTATCTGCTCGGAGGTGTAGATGCCAATGTAGTTTCTTTCTCTTATTGGCCAGTTGGGCTATTTTGATTTCGGGATTTTTCGCTTTGGCCTATTGAGACAAAAAGAGAACGAGTTAGTCTTCATAGCAAAGAAGTTAATTATATCAACTTTACACTTATTACGCTAATTCTAGGGGGACGACATTTCCTTGTGAGGGTCGACGTTTTGATTCTACCGGACCATAAATCGTGACCTTTTTGCTAGTATGGAATAACTCTATCTGGTCCCTAAGGATTCATTCTTATTATAATAAGAAATACCTGCCAGGGTACAAAATCTCCATAAATATTTTCTTTTGTGCTTTGAAAAAAAAAGAGGCAGGTAGGGATTACTTACCAGTTGGTACTGTCAGACTCTAGGAATATAAGCAGACGAAAGAAAGAGAAATACATAATACGCATAAGAAGGCCAATAAATAGTAAACTATCCAACAAGGTTGCGTCACACTCTAATGAGAACAACTCATTATGGCCTTTTGCATAACTGGCTATTGATATAGTGCATATGTGACTAATTATTATCTCTTTATTGTTAAGTCTAAATTCAGGGCTACTGATTGAATATACACGATTTGTTTTTCTCATGAGGCAGTATTTTATTACCAAGTTGCCCAAATACAGACTGTGGCTCTTAAAATACTGAGACTTAGGTACCTGGGAAGAGATATATAAGCTCAAATTGTGGGGACAAAGTAGTAAAGCTAATCCATGCAATGAATATGTTATGCTTTTTTTTTCAGGGCATACCATTTTGCCCTGAAGGATTAGAGAAACACACCGGGCCCCGGAAATGTAGCCACAATTGATTAGTCCGGTTATATAGAAATGTCGTGCCTCACCAGGAAACGTGGTTCTCGTATGATTGCTGCAAAGTCTGACCCTTAACCCAAAAAAAATGCGTGTAACGATAAAATACTAAGTATTAGTGACGTTGCATACTTTCAGGCTGTCCAGCCTGTCCAGACAAGCTGTCCGTAAGGTTTCCAAAAAAAAGGGGGAGGGAACTGAGTTCACCTCAAACTTGACCAATAAGACTAATTTATGGGAGTGCTAATAAGTTTTAAAAAATAAAATGCAATTGGTTAATAATACAAAAACAAAAAGGTGTGCGTGCACAACTCACTTGCTTACGAATACGGAGTATGAAATGGCTGCCATTCTACTTATAATGCATGTGTATATATGTATATATAGTGTTTGAGAACTCTATAATATATGTCCTTTTCAGGTGTAAATAAACGAATTGCCTTGTTTATTTACTTTAGTTTACATGCTTATTACACATCTCTGTGCTTAGCTTTCTTTCTTATTCTTTTGCCGCTTCCTTATTGTCGCAAATAGAGCCAATTTTCTCTCTCTTTTTTATATACATATACATATATCAACTTGCCAATGGAAGCTTCCGACCCAACAGAGAACGATATCGCCTTTAATGCCTTTATCGGTGTACTCGTTTCCGTGTGTGGAAATGTAAGTCAAGATTCAAATGATGAATTACAAAACCAACTTTTTTTTTAATCAAAAAAAATATTATAGGCATTGATCTCTGTAGCCTTGAATGTACAGAAACTAGCAGTAAGTAAAAGGAAATGGCAATGCTCATCTGATAAATCATCCTAATCTCTTTTATAGCATAACAAAATCCAAGAACAGCAAATGGCAAACTATTTTGCCAATATGGATGAGCCACCTCGTTGGATAGCTACTTCGCAAAGTGCGTATGCGGGAGGTGAATTCTTTCCTGACGACGGATATTCTTCTCCACGCACTTCCGAAGACGTCTCTCGAACAGAGGAAGAAGAGGCTGAACACCGAAAATTGATCATTGCCATGGCTCAGGAACAGACCAAGAGTGGAGAATCAGACTACCTGAAATCTAAATTATGGTGGCTGGGTATCTCTTTAATGGTTCTTGGAGAAGTTGGAAACTTTGTTGGTAAGTCTTGTGTACAATTTAATGTTAATTTACCATTATATTCATAATAATCATAATAACAATCTAAATATATATATATATATGTAATACACACATACAACAACAACAACAACAAAAGCATACGGATTTGCGCCTGCTTCCACAATTGCACCACTTGGAACTACTACACTAGTTGCCAATGTAATTTTGGCTCCCCTTATGCTGAAGGAGACCTTTAGAGCACGGGATTTCCTAGGCGTTATTTTGGCTGTTATGGGCGCTGCCATTGTTGTGTTTAGTTCGAATTCGGAAGAAACGGCGGTAAAGTACACGCTGGAAAAACGTGGATAGATTTTTTTTTATTTTTTTTTTGGAAAGCGTGGGATTGTATATATATATATAAGTATTAAATACATACTCTTATTAGTTTTTGCCAGACATGATAATGGAAGCCTTAACCCAGACACGCGCATTGGTCTATTTTAGTTTGACCGGGGCAGCAATAATAGCTCTTACAATCCTGTCTCCATTGTATGGTACTCGCAGTATCATGATTGACCTTGGGCTTGTAGCAATCTATGGTAAAAATATACATATATACTGACCTAATTAACATTCTATATCAATCAATCAGGGTATTATAATTAACCTCATGTTTATATATATATGTTTGCTTCAAAGGCGGTTACACTGTATTGTGTACAAAAAGTGTTTCGTCTCTTTTGAGTCTGAGTTTCTTGACAATGTTCACGTAAGTTGATCGGTGCCACTCGAGATTACACAGAATTAACACAGAAAATATAATAATTACCTTTTGAATTTATTTATTTATTTAAAAAAATGCCAATATAGATATCCTGTTTCCTATATCCTCATCGTAACTCTTGTCGTAACTGCAGTGTTACAAATCAAATATCTCAACAAAGCCCTTCAGCGCTTTGAATCAACTCAAGTTATACCCACACAGTTTGTGCTTTTCACTATCTCTGCTATTATCGGAAGTGCGGTTCTATACCATGATTTCGATGGAATGAGCATGGATCAGACATCTAGGCAAGGAATGATAGATAGTTCTTGTTCGTCATCTTAACATTAACTCAATCTATTCAGATTCATGACAGGATGTGCAATTGAATTCTTAGGAGTGTATTTCATTACTTCCAAAAGAGACAAACGGCCGCCATCTGTTTCTCTTCAGAATGATGGTACTACAGGATTTAGCAATCCTGTGCCAAGCCAATCCACCGGAGTTGTATCTCAGACAATCCCAGAAGACAACACTGTGTCCATCTTGAGGGATCCTCCTCAGCATGACGGCTTCCCCAGACGCACAGCTGCACAACAGTCGAATCGTCTTTCTGGATTGCCGATCAACGCCGCCCGAGCCAGCGTCAGTTTCCGAACACCTATCATGCCAATGTCACCCGAGGATCGTCAGACATCTGCTGCAGCTGCTGCAGCTGCCGCCCGCGGTCACCGGCGCAGAAGCTCGATGTTCCGTGGTATCTCGCTTACCTCTCAGCTCGTTGATCGCATGAACGAAGAAACAACCAGCAACGCTACAATCCAACTCCCCAGCTCCCCTACTCGCCAAAACTTTGGTTTCTCGGTGGGTCATAGGCGCGGCGACTCGACTCTGAGTACTATCTTGACAGGGTTAGGAAACATTGCACACGATGCTCTTCCGGGCCATTACAATCACCACCAGCAGCATCAGCAGCACCAAAATGATTTTGATGCTGATGCCATTGAAATCGAAATCCCTACTGCTTCTTCCATCGCCTCTCCTCGACTTAGCTCTGATGGACGTGAATTATTACCACTCTTTGGAACAAAGAGAGATGACGGGTTAGGGTTAGGGTTAGGAGTAGGAGTAGGAGTAGGAGTAGGAGGAGGATCAGGGTCCAAGAGAAATTCGGCACGACTTTTGGAAATTGAAGAAAGTGCCGAATATAGAGACCTAAGTTAAACAAACTCACCGCCAAAAAAAAAAGGAAACAGAAAAAAAAAGACGCACACACACACACCACTTCTCCCTCCTCTATTATTATTACTATTACTATTATTATTTTTATATTTCATTTGAATGACCTGGATGTCATTTTCCCTTACTGTCAGATACCTATTCTTCTCAACCTCTTTTCATACCAAAAAAAACACGCACACACAACCAAACATATATATATATAAGGCGTTCATATGTTCTTTTGTTTTTATATATAGCAGCACAAATTCTAGCAAGATTTGCTTTTTTTTCTTCTTTTTTTTTATTCTTTTAGTTTTCTACTTTCCGTTTCTTGTTACCACCAGTAGACTTCTCCACCTCTTGTTGTTCTGGTACATCAAGGAATTTCCGGAGACCAAAGATGCTGTAGAGGTTGGGAATTTCGTCAACTACAAAAACATTTTTTTAGTAAAACAGAAAGAAAAAATATACAGATTGGGCGTGTAAAAGCGTATTGTATTATTCTTACCCAAACCAGCTTCACAACCATTGATTTGTGCCACCAAGGGGTTGGTGCTTTCTACACGTTCCAACTAAAGAAAGAAGAAAGGAGGAAGTTTAGAATATAGAAGCATAAATGATAATAACAGCAACAGCAACAGTAACAAAGGAATTCCTTTTTATTTTACCTTGTTGTCTGCGTTGGTGTAAACAGCAATAAGATCCTCAGATTCGTTTACAGGAGCCAAAGAAACCCAAAGGCGACCTTCGAGATCATAAACAAGATCAAGTACAGGACCTGAGGTCTCAAGTGTGTACTGGTATTCGATGGACTTTTCAGGCTCGTTCCAGTTGAAAACAAGGATAGCAGCAGTTCTAAGCATTGTATTGGCATTAGTCCCCAAAGTTGTTCTTTTTTTTTAGTCTTTCTTATGGTATACTTACTTTGCAAAACAGACAACGATCTGGTGTGTCTTGGGACTGAATCCAATAGCACTGATCATGGGATCCTTTGAGTTCTCATCTGCAGCCTTTAAATTCTATTTAGTCCAACCCATCCTTTACTTTGAATTAATCAAGAAAACTTTATACGTACTTCGGGAGTAAAAGAAGCAATGTGGCTCTTGATATCCAAGCACTGGATCTGAGTTCCCTTGATAAAGTCCCAGGTACGGAGAGTGCTATCACCACCAGCAGAGACAAGAATATCTGAAGCCCAAGGAAGAATACGAACCAGAGTAACAACACTAATTCATATTTATAGTTTAGTTTAGTTTAGCTTAAAATAAAATAAAGTCCAAACTTACTCGGTGTGGCCTAAACAGAAACTTTCAATGTTATAGCCATTAGGGAATCGACTGACGCGAATATGCTCATCACGGTCAGCAGTAATCACGTATTTTTCGTCGGGTGTCAAGATCTGTACGCCAAATAAAATAAAAAGTATATATATGTTTAGGACCAATTGTAGGCTACATATACCTTTATTTCTAAATTTTCTTTTTGTAAGTACCATATCTGTCAACATTGAAACATGTCCGAGAATAGGTGTAGCCTTGTCCTCTTCCGATCCATCTTTAATAGAATGGCTAACAGAATAGAATAGGATATAATATATGTATTTGTTAGTGACAAATAAACGAATAGCAGAAGCATCTAACAGTAAAAATCAATTCCTTTCAACTCATGTTTATATCAATTGTCTCTCCAATTATTACCAAGTAACATCACCGTGTTTGTCAGCTACAATAATCTGAGTGGCGTTCTTGTCAAACTGCATTGCATTGACACGCTTATTTGCGGTTCTATAATAGTATTCGTCCCAATTAATTTCAAAAAAAAGTTCAATATATGCATATATATATATAAATATATATCTTACCTTGTGAGCTTCAAACTCCAATCACTGGTATCCCACACACTGATAGTCTTTTCTTCAGCACTTGTAGTTGCCATCAAGGTACCGTCAGCTGAAAAAGCAATGTTTCTAAACTTTTCTGTGTATTTCTGCTTGCGATCCTGACCGCTATAGGGCTTCACGAGTGCACCAGTGCTGCAGGTGTTTAAAGCGTCAGCGATTTTTTTTATTTAGAAAAAACTCAAAACCTCACCTTGTGTCGACTACCAAGAATTCAGTGCCATTTCCAAGTGTAAGCTCAGGTTTAACTGGATTGTGGGCAATTGTTGTGAAGGGAATGCGATGAGCCATGATGTATTGTCCAATGGATAATAATTTAAAAAAAAAAGTATACTCTTTTTTTTTCTTAGTTTCTCATAGCTCTTTTTTTTCGGAAGCCCTATTTGGAAAAAAATGCAAAGCAACTGTGACTATCAAAATAAGCAAGGACTAGAATCAATGCTGCAATCTGTGTGTATAGGACAAAATTATAAGACTTTATTTTTCATATTGTTCTTTATATGGTCAATTCAAGTTGATAATATTAAATGCAGAAAAAAAGAAAAGTACAAATGTGAAAACTTATTGTAGGTTAAACTAATAGGCTAAATTTCTTCTTTTGTAAATATACGCCCTGAAACGTCCAAATATGTTTGGAAGTTTAAACTGTATAAAAACATAATAAAAAACAATAATAATGGCAGATGATATGATATGCGTCTGTGTGCCAGTGTGTAACATTACTTACTTTCTCATGTCCGGATCGGACAAAGTCTGACGTAACAGTCCGATAGCTACTAAGGATCTGAGTAAGGCGGGTGAAGGGTGGGTGGGTGGAGGGAGGGAGGGGAAAGGGTGATAGGGACAATAGCCAGGTGGACCCGATGCACGCCCTCTTTCATCACCGCGTTGTAAGTAGACAAACCTATCATGAACGAATACACAATACAACACCACCAAACCGCACCATAAATAACGGATGGATGACGACCGATTTTGGATGATTCTACCTAAAAACGATATTTTCCTTTGACGACAACCAGCACATAACATATATATATATACATATATATGTATACATACACACATACAACCAAATCCCCGTTACATTGTATCTACATTATGGATACTCATCGTTTTCGTTCTTCATAGTCACACCATGCTTATCTCTAAGCAGAACAGAAAAGTCATCTACGAGGCTCTCTTCAAGGGTACATATTCTAAATATTTAAATATGCACATACATACACACATTACACCTACACACCCACATATCTGCACATACCTACCCACCTACCCACCTACCTTTGTACATAGATACATAGATGCATACATATATTATTACCATAATAGGTCGATAAGATGGTAATTCTCACATAACTATGTCTATTAGACGGTGCTTTGGTTGCCGCCAAGGACTTCAACGCCCCCAAGCACTCTGAGCTTGAGGTTCCCAACCTTGAGGTCATCAAGGCCATGCAGTCCTTGACCTCCAAGGGTCTCGTCAAGACCCAGTTCTCGTGGCAGTTCTACTACTATACTCTCACTGACGAGGGTATCAACTACCTCCGCGAGTACCTCCACTTGCCCCAGGAGATCGTCCCCGCCACCATGAAGAAGGCTGCCCGTCCCGCTGCTCCTCGTCGTGCCTTTGGCGAAGGTCGTGAGGGTGCCCGTGGCCCCCGTGGTGACCGTGATGACTACAGACGCAAGGAGGGTGCCTCTGGTGACTTCAAGCCCGAGTTCCGTGGTGGCATGGGTAAGTTTCTTTAACTGTTTTTTTTTCTATAAAAATATTTTGACAAGGAAAACTAATCTATATATACATATATATATTTATATCTTTTTTTTTATAAACAAAAAAAATAATTATATAGGCCGTGGTCGTCGCGAGTAAATATTTTGAAACACTTTCTCTTTTATATACTTGTTAAAAATATAGCCATGTTTTGATCATGCTAAAAACACACACACAAACAGATGTGCAATACACTTACGCCCACACACAAAGAGAAATTTAGATTAAATTAAGAGAGAGAAAGATAAATTTACGTTACGCATATTTACACATAAAGTACACAAAGAAAAAGAGATAGAAAGATGGTGAGGGGGGGGGGGATTAAGGCAAAGGTTAAAGGATAGATATATTAATTAGTAAATGACTGATAATGGGCAATTGGGCAATTGATTTATATTTATCATTGAAATGTGCGTCAGGCTGAGTGAAAGGAAGATTTAGGGCTTAGTTTGTTTGTATTGATGGTTTCAAAGAAGGGTGTTTAAAGAGAAATGAAAGAGGGGAAAGAGGGAGTCAAATGAAGCTTATAATCATATAATTTTTTTATGGTTTTAAGAAAAAAGAAAAGAGTTGAATGAATATTATGAATGTAAATCCGCCTAAACTAAATAAATGGGACAAATGCAGTATAAAACTTTGATTTTCGTTTTTTATATATATTTATATTCTTCTTATGGTGATGGGTAAACTTGTGCTAGTCTTTCTTGGTCCGTGCAACACTAGATTGATCTCTTGTCCTTTACTTCACCTGCAGCCTATTTTACCACTTTCCCATTCCAGACTATCTAGTTCTGTTGTGATCTGATCTGATAGTTGTAAATTACTTTTTTTCTCTTTCGTTACATACTTCTTTATCTGAATTGATTGCTATATTCGAACGCTCTCTTCTAATGCACTTCTTAGGCAAAATTATTATCCATCTCTATAATCTCATATGAGTCAAATTTCGCAACAACTTTTGGCGGAATACACCCCTTTTTTTTCTTAGTGTGACAGCGATAATCTGGTTAAAGTGCTTACAAATGTTTGGTCTCTTTGGTTTAAATTGCAAGGCAATTGGAGCGGTTTCTTGTGTTGCTGACACGTGGTTTGAATAATGTAAACCCCTATCCGATCAAAGACAATCCACCCTATGGTTGGCTTGTTTAACATGAGCCCATTTAAAACCGATTAAAAGGACGCTATTGCAACAATACAGACAATGAACTTTTTACACAGCAAGCAAAAAGATATATAACTTAAAGAATTTGAGTCTAATAAGGAGGCATTCTAAAAATCATTGGGATTGTATGACTTGGAATCTGCACACACACACACAAAAGAAAGAAGCAGAAATTAAGATGATAAATAATAGTAATTTTTAAAAATAAATATATAATCTTGTAAGCCTTAAATCTAGTATTTTATCCCACGCAAACTCCTCGCGTTGGCTAACAAAAAGACCAGGGTTCGTTGGACAAAGCACCAAGACACTGACGGGGAATTTAAAGTTGGTTGTGATAGGTGTGCCAAAAGGTAGCTAACCCAGGTTATTTTTGCAGTGCAAAAATTTGGGGTGTATAAATATGCCTAAATATTTTCCTCCCCGCTACTATTCACTCTTCACCCCTTCCTCTTCTACACCACTTCATATTTAGTCATGGAATCCGTTCTCATGCACGCCAAGAAGGCTTGTCCCTTCCTCCACGCCAGCTCTGCTTCTACTCTCCGTGGTCTCTCCAAGTCAGGAATGCCTTCATCCCGCTCAATGCTCATGACTAGAGCACAGGAATGTCCTGTTATGGGAAAGGCAATCCAGACGCGCTCTTTCTCTGCCACAGCCAAGCCTGCACAGGCTGCTGTAGTTCCCGCCAAGAAGGCCTTTGACTACGAGGCTTTCTACAGCGAGGAATTAGAAAAGAAACACAAGGACAAGAGCTACCGTTACTTCAACAACATTAACCGCCTGGCTCAGAAGTTTCCTCTTGCCCATACTGCCAGTGTTGAAGATGAAGTAAACGTTTGGTGTTCTAATGACTATCTTGGAATGGGAAGAAGTCCAGTTCTTAAGGATGCCATGAAGTAAGTTACAAGTCACAATATTTACTTTACCAGTTTCAACTCACCCAATGGAAAAAAAATTTCTAACAATTTATTTAATTATTATTTTTTATTATTTTTTTCCCCAGACGTACACTCGATCGCTATGGTGCTGGTGCTGGTGGTACCCGTAACATTGCTGGTAACGCAGATCTTCACCTTCGCCTGGAATCCGAGCTTGCAGATTTGCACCACAAGGAAGGTGCTCTCGTCTTTTCTTCTTGCTATGTAGCCAACGATGATACTTTGTCCGTATTGGGAAGCCGTCTTCCAGGCTGTATTATCTTCTCCGATGCACTTAACCATGCTTCCATGATCCAGGGTATGCGACATTCGGGCGCCCAGAAAAAAATCTTCCGTCACAATGACATGGCCCACCTTGAACAACTCCTGCAAGCCGCAGATCCCTCAGTACCCAAAATTGTTGCATTTGAATCTGTATATTCCATGTGTGGTTCTGTAGCCCCTATCCGCGAAATGGTTGCCTTGGCCAAAAAATACGGAGCAATTACTTTCCTTGATGAAGTTCACGCCGTCGGCATGTACGGACCGCGCGGTGCCGGTGTAGCTGAACATCTCGACTATGACCTCAACTCCCGTCATCCAACTATGGGTAATGGAAGCATCATGGACGAAATTGATATTATCACTGGTACCCTCGGAAAGGCCTTTGGTGTTGTCGGCGGTTACATTGCCGGTTCTGCCGGTTTTGTTGATCTGGTGCGCTCTTATGGCCCCGGATTCATCTTTACCACTTCCCTCCCTCCCGTTGTTGTGTCGGGAGCACTCGAGTCAGTCAAATACCTCAAGAGCTCTCAGCTCGAACGCCAGAGACAACAATTGAACACTCGCACAGTGAAGAGTCGCCTGGCTGATCTTGGCATTCCTGTAGTACCCAACCCTTCCCACATTGTACCAGTCCTGGTTGGTGATGCTGCCGCTGCCAAGATGGCCTCTGATGAGTTGTTATCCGACCATCGCATTTACGTCCAGAGCATTAACTACCCCACCGTTCCTGTCGGACACGAACGTCTCAGAATCACTCCTACTCCTGGTCACACTCCCGAGATGGTCGATAGCTTTGTTGATGCTATCGAACAGCTCTGGAAGCGACACGACTTTAAGCGTGTTGATGACTGGACTGCCCAAGGAGGCTGTGCCGGTGTTGGTGTTCCCGACGCTCCCCTCGTTACTCCTGTTTGGTCTGATGCCCAACTCTTCCCCAACAAGGAAGCCGAAGCCCTTCAGAGCGTTTTGAATGAATAATAATAAAAAATCATAGCCTTTGTGCTGATTTTTTTTTCTTAATAAAAAATAAAACTCAGTCAAATTCATGACTGCCCTATTGCCTTCTTCATTACATGTTAAGACCCATTTTATTTTTCTCCACAGAAAAAAATGATTTTTTAAGCTTGAGCCTTGAGTAGATTTACCCCATTATATTAATGTCTAGATTACGTGACGACGATAACGACAGACGCAACCCAGAGAGTTTCGTTGTATTTGGAACACCATTCCCTGACCAGACAGAACGAGACAAACGGGCTGGTGTAAGTGACGCTGGTCAGTTTGTTCCTGTCTGGAAACAGGAAGCGAGAGACGAGAATGGCCGACGACGATTCCATGGTGCATTTACTGGTGGATTTTCAGCAGGCTACTATAATACTGTTGGCTCCAAAGAAGGTACACCAACCACCGAATTCCTAGCCTCCATGTTGATCGTATCCAAAATTATCACCACTCTACAGGATGGCAACCTTCCAATTTCGTCTCTTCTCGCTCATCGCGTAATGAAAACAAGGAAATGAGACCAGAAGACTACATGGACGATGAAGATCTCCAAGTAAGCAACTCATTTGCACAGTCTACATGTAGAATGTTTCTTAATGCTACGAGAAGTCGCTTGCAGGAGCCAAGAAGCTTGTCGCCACAGAAGAATTCGATATTATTGGCGGTACTGAGCGTGAGCTAGCAGCTCGCAGAAAACTTCAGGAGGAGGATGCTGAACGTGGAGGCAGTCTTGGATTCTTAAGCTCTAGTATCATCAATATGATTGGTCCTCCAAAGGATTCAGTTGGTATTCGTCTGCTGCGTAAATTGGGATGGAAGCCTGGACAGGGTATTGGACCACGCATGAGTCACCACCAAAGACGATTCAAAAAAACCAAAGACGAGAGCGAGGACGAGGAAGATGACGATGATGAAGAAGGACCCCATATGTCAGATATCACATATGCGCCAAAGGATACACCGATTGTCGATTTTCATTCAAAGACCAATGGACGAGGTTTAGGTTATGATCTCGAAAAATTAGTACCACAAGTAGCCGAAATGCGCCGGCTGCGTGAATTGGGTAAACATGATCTAGAGGGAAAATCAGAACGATCTGCGTTTGGTGTTCAAGGAACCTCTACAAAAAGAGCAGGATTTGGTCTAGGATCATTTGAAGATGATGAAGATGATGAAGACGTATATGGCGATGGTAGTGGACGAGACATTCATCATTCACTCTATGACGATGAAGCAGAGGCAAACGATGACCTAACTCCATGGTCTAGTGCCAATTTAAAGCGAAAAAAGGATACACTTAACAACTCATCCAAATTACGGTCTTCTGATGGAAGGCTTCCTTTAAAAGGATTTATATATTCTCCAGAGTCCCAAGAATTAGGAAAATGGTACAAATAATATTTTTCTTGCATGTAAATTGATCTGTTAATATTAACACTACATATACAAAAAAAAAGGTACCAACCTCCCAAAGTGCCTACCGACTTTGATTGTCAACATAGATTCCCATTGGACAACCAAATCGATATTGCTCGTCCTCAGCATGGCTTATCATCCGACCAGCGTGGGCACATCCTTGGCGAAAAGCCTGTCCACATACGTTCTGTATTCGACTATATTCCTGAAAAATCTAAAAACCAGCTTGACAGCGCTATTCGGTTTATCACTGAAGCTAGTAAACCTGTAGACAGATCCAAGTTATCTGGATTTACTGTGATCCCCAAAGATGTTGCTGCGTTGGCACTCAAAGGTTACATGCCTTTTAGTGAAAATATCAAAAAACGGGCTCGATACCGGGAATATCTTGAAGACATGATGGGAAAAAAAAGTTCTGATGGTCAGCCCAAGACTGAGCTGCCCATACCTGAAGGATTAAACTATGAAGATGCCATGAAAGAAATGGAAGAGTTTTCCAAATCAGCTCGTATGTATGGGCGTGTTAACAACATGATCAATAGCCGGTTCACAAGTGCAAGTGGAAGTCATATCGAACAGAACGCATTTGAAGGAGGTCTTCAAACTGAAGCCGAGTGGCGTCAAGACAACCAAGATAAACAAAAAGAAGTTGTTGAAGAACCTGTAAAAAAGGTACATGGAGCCAAGACGTGTTTCTTACTTGGAACTCACCCGACGCACACACACACACACCCATTTGGATCCCATCTTTTTTTTTTAGTTGTCACAAGAAGCAGAAGCAGCTTCCATGAAAATGTTTGGTCAACTCACTCGTTCTGTTCAGCCATTTTATCCTACAAAGCTTGTATGCAAGCGTTTTAATGTCAGGAACCCACATCCAGATCATGTAGAAACCAACGTATCAGCTACTGGACATAGTCGTACACAAGCAGGCTCTCATCAAGCTTTAAGTGAAGACAGTATGGATAGTATGTTGCGCAAAAGAGAGTTTCATCCCGTTTCGGCCCCAAAAACTATTCAAGACGATCCTGCTTTGGCAGCCGTGATCCCCAAGCCCTCTGAGAGATCTACCGACCCAAATGCACCCACTGCACCCTCTCTTGTTGAGACTGTCCAGATACCTGAGCAAGCGACCCAAGCTGAGTCAGTGTTAGATTATGAACGACCTTCGATGGATATCTTTAAAGCAATCTTTGAAAATTGGGATGATGAAGATGAAGAGGAGGAAGAAGAAGAAAATAAAGAAGAAAACAAGCGAGCTTCAGATCATAAACAGCCTATGCATGTAGGTAAATCTACACCCACTGAAAGACAAAACTTGCAAAAGTACGGTGGACATGAAAATCAAGATGAAGACGACGATGAAGATATGATTGGACCTATGCCTCCACCATCTGAGACCTTTACTGAGAAACAAATCTCAGAACCTTTCAGACCCATATTCAATCGATCTAGTACTCGCAATCCCGAAAGTGGACTATCACAATCGCAGAATCAATACCAGCAACAAGAACAAAATGAACAAAAACAGAAACAACAACAGCCTGTAATTATGTCTGAAGAGATTATTGTACAGCCTTTCAAGTCGCGAGCTCTCCAAGAACGTAGCAAGCGTCGACATATCTCTGTCTCAGATGACGATGATGGAAACGCTAGCGATGATAGGAGTAAACGGGATAAACGAGACAAAAAGAGCAAGAAAAAACACAAGGACAGCCACAAACACAGTCGTAAACGTAGCAGAAGTCCAAGTATTGAAAGATCTTCTAGAAGAGACAAAAAGAAGTCGAAGAAGGAAAGCAGTCGACGCCATGATCATAAGCATAGTAGCAGTAAATTTCTACTCACCTTTGGTGATGAAGAAGAAGAGGCGGAATGGGTTGAGAAGGAGCCTGTTGTATCGAATCATAAGTTTGATAGCAGTAAACGATCAGATAGTAGTAGTAAAGCCTTTAGTCATGTGGATGAACAAAGGGAGAAGCCTCAAAATCGAAGAATGCGTGCTGCTGATCTGTGGTAGAAGTGCTATATCTTGAATAAAAATAAATACTATATACTGTTTTTAAAATATAGACTTGTGCTAAGACTATTGTAAACGTGCAATTGATAATACATTGGCTCTTGATATTATGCTCAGATACAAGCTTATATATATATTGACCATAATAGCTGGTAATAACTAAATTGTTTATTTTTGAACGATGGATAGAAAACAGAAGCTCTTATATACAATGTATACTATTATGATGTATAATTTATATATAAAAAAATACATTATATAGTATTCTCCACCTTGATTAGAGAGAAATAAGCTCTAGCAAACTCATAGCAGTTTACACCAACATTATATTGTAGTTTGGACAGAAACACAAGCTCGGTGTGGTTACTATACGAGGTATATTAGTACCAAGGTATAGGGCTACCACTAACGCTAACTTACATTTCTTCTACAACAAGATCCGAGTAGATTTGGGCAAAGTCAGAGTTGTAAACGGCGTAGTCATCCCAGACCTTGACTGCCAAAAGCAACCCAACCATAGTAATCATACGCCAGTTTGTATCACATAAACGCTGCCCAGACATGTCCAGCATACGAGCAACATAAATATAAGTTATAACTAAATGCTCAGCATGTAGCTACAAAGGGAAAAAAAGTAATATAAAAAGAAAAAGAAAATGAAAACGAAAGATCAGCATTATGCACGTAGCATTCCTACCATAATATGTTAATACATTACCTCACCGCAGTTCACTACAAAGGACAAGTGCTCATAAATGTCTTGCCAATTAGAGGTTGGCAAGACACTGTATAAATCAGGATTGGACCGGTAACCTCCAGGAAGCAAGTAAGGATGCTTAGTAAAAACAGGATCATGATTAAATATTCTTTGAGCATGGCTAGTACATATCTTGTCATATAGAGCCCATGAAATACTTTGTTTTTTTTATCCGCCCACCAAAAACACATACACACAGATACACACCAATGTTAATAAAGTAATAATCTAAAAGCAACAGTAACAAAGTTAATATAAATATATTATTATACCTGCGTAAGATTGATCCAAGCTGTGCCGATGTTTGATGGTTGGCGCGAAAGTGTTTTTGCCACTGCATGTCAAAATCGCCTTTGCCAGTGAATTGGAAATATGTCTGCTCGTCATGAATATTAAATACATTTTCTTGGTAAAACGAAGAAGCAGAATCATCCTTGAGTACTGACTGTGCAACCTCTATAGGAATCAGACTGGCCGTAGCCTCGAGAAACTGAGAGGCTAGATCGGATGTATATGATGCCCAGTGTGAAGGATGCTGAAGTGGGGGACTGCCATCAAATTGTAAGTCTTGTAGAGTAGCATGCTGACTGTTTTCCTGGTCAATTGAATTCATGTCATCTTCATCACTATATCCCCCTGAATCTTGGTCCGATTCTTCCCAAGATCCCTGTTGGCAAAGGGAAGTAAGTTTGCGACAGATGAAGGACCGGCTTCCACCAAGTGCGCGGAGACTCTTTAGGTTCCAGTCAGGTAGGTAATCATGAGTTACCTCAAACACATAGCCGCCTTGAACGCTATTTAACATGCCCTTTTCGTAACCATACAACAGGTAATCTTGAGCCAGCTGGTCGCATGTATCGATTGCCATCTCATAATGTGCCTTAAGGGCTTCATATGACGGGTTGCTGATCTCAAGCGTGTGAAGATCTCCAAGAATATTAAAAAGTCTGTCATTGATAGTCTCTGATATCGGCTCCCCCACAATTTTGGCTAGTTGGATAAGAAGCTGTTGTCGATCATTTGCCATGTTAAATAAAGTCTTTTGTGTCCACTTTGGTATAAGATCAAGTCGCTTTTCAAACCCAAATACACCATTCGATACAAGAAGCACATTTTTCCATGAAATATCCGGAACCAGCCATTGGGAAGCATAGTCAATTTCACCAATGCGCTGTGTATATTCCACTACCTCTTTGAAATTCTCGAAATGATTGAAGTCTGTATTAAATAGGGTCGGAAACAGCTCCACTATGCTAACTTGAAGAATATCTGGCGGAATCTGCCCGGTAGCCTTTGCTAAAAGCGTCTCTAAGGCATGGTGTTTTGTAGTCATCTTTACTAGGCTGTCCAGACTCAAATCCTGAGACCCTGAATCAGATGTATCGTACTCCATCGATTGGTGTGTGCGCGTCCTGGTTTCATATGTATCTTTTGTCGCGTTAAGCCACAACATCAAGGCCTGATCCAAATCTAAAAGCTTGGCCTTGATCCCCTTCGTATATCCATCGGAAATCTCACGATTATGACGAGATTTGGTCGATACCGTGTCATCAACATCTGTATCCAAAGTTTCCCGGGTACTCATAGAAACGTTGCTCTCGTCGTTTTCTACTAAATCTGGAACTGGATCGTGCTCTAACGGCGAGACTGTAGAAGATCTGATTCCTTTGCGCTTGAATACTCCCCGGACTCTCTTTCCAAAGTTAGTGAATATGCCGGAGATGTTGCGCTTGACTTTCAAGGCTTTCTTGGAAGGTGAGGCGGGTTTGTTGCTAACCAAAGAAGATAGTTCTTCGGTACTGACTTTTGTATCAGATAGTCGTAAACAATAGTCCATCTTTGAAGAGATCAAATCTGCACTATAATCATCTTGCTCGGTATCACTATTATTTTGGCTTTTGTCGGCAATGATCCCTTTTTGACAATGGGGAGAGAATCTCGTTCCATCGTCTGGATGATACTTAATACTCTCTGTGTATTCTGTGCTATTGTCGTCTTCATAATCATCGTACGCATTATTGGGATCAACGAGATCTTCAAAGGCAATGTACCTCTCCTTGTGTTTGTACTGCGGAGCGACTGCCAAATCCTTTGGAGAGGGTGAAACAACAGAAATCGGAATTTTTGGATCCGTTTCCACCTTTTTGTTCTTTTGACACAAAATATCTTCAGAGTATCGAGAGTTCACAGTATTCTTTCTACAAGGAGTATCAGATTTAACTTCTAATTTGATATGTTCGGCTTTTAGGTCCTCTGATTTCTCAGCAAATACGACCGTCTTTCGATTTCTGGTCAAGGAATTTCTGATCCAATGTGAAAGTCGAGAAAAGGTATTTGAGGTAGGCATCTTTTGCATCGAGGGCGACGATGTGTTCTGCATAATGGTAGGCAGGCTTGTGAGCTGTTGAATGCACAGGTTGACTACATCTGGCGGTAGTTCGAGAGCAAGGGTCTTTTCGATAACAGGTAATGCTATGCGAAAAGCTTGGATCAAATGGTCGGGAATGCGGCTTTCAGATGCAGAATGGGACCGGCTCATTGTAGAAGAACCAGAGACTAAGGGCGCGGTGCTAGATCGACGAAAGTACATTTTAATGGCTTTTTTTTTCTCTTTCTCTTCTACTACTTGAATATCGAGGTTCGTGGGTGTAGGCGTAAATATAATATTACCAACAGAGGAGTATAGCTGTAGTAACTAGGTAATGTAATTAAAGAACGTTTGTAATGTATAAGTGTAAATAATAAAGGTATAAAAAAGAAGAGTGATGAGGCATAAATATATACATATATATATATATATTTATTATATATATAAAGGATATATATATATAAAGGTATAAATGTATTTATATACACATGTGTATCTATATATTTAATATATTGGGAAGACAAGTTGGTCTTTTGTTGATTGATCTAGGAACGGTGTGGAAGGCGTGTAAAGGTAGGTGGACTGAAACGAGCGGAGAGAACAGTAGAGCGTACGAGAAGTGCAGCCTGAAATAATAATAATACTGAGGAACAAAGGAGAGGAAGTACAGATAGTTTTTGGAGGATAAAGAAGGGTAGCAATAATGAAGGTTATAATGTTTATATAGCAAAGTCTGCGGAATTTGACAAATTGTCGAATTGACTAAAGTTGTACATAGCGTACGACCATCTAATTTTTATATATCTCTTTTTGTATATGTGTTTGAGAGAGCTTTCTGTTGATTGATTAGCTGGATCTATAGTATCAAAGTATATAGCAAAACTATTGATTGGAATTGATTCCAGGAATAGACAAGAGCTTTTACTGTATATTCTATGGTCCAAGAATCCATTATTCGGATAAGCGTATGTTTATGTTCAGCCCAAAGAGAAGAAGAAGAGAAAGAAGGAAAGAAGAAGAAAATGAAAAATCCAAAAAAAAACAAGACGGGCGAAACAAAAGATATCGAATCATTTGTATCTAATAATAAACAGCAGATATCCTTGAGCTTCATTCCATTAAATGATTATTATCTGATCTTGGTGTTTTAGAACCTTACTGCATAGAAATCATGTTGCAGCCATAAAATGTCTTTATTCTACAAATACTCTATACCTCAACACCAATATCATTCTTCAACAGATAAGTAATAAGTTAAGACCCGGGGATGATGCTATAGTCCCTTTGTTCATTTCTGGTATAGAATCTTGAATTATTATCTGAAATAAAATAGCATAGAAGAAGAGGAAAAGCTAAATGACAGAATCCTTTCTTTTTTATAATACAAAAGAAATGAAAGGCTTGGATAATCAAGATTCACCGTTTCATTAATAGTACAACCAAAGGTCCAAAGTCTATTTCTTCGATGTTGAGACTTGGACATAGAAGCGTCCATATTGACTAGAATTAATATATTGTGGTGAATAAATATCAATTACGCATACGCCTACAAGAACCCTGTGTGTAGATCTGATAATACTTTAAAGCATCTCCATTTGGCTTTTTTAAAAAAAAAAAAACAATTAGACATTACGATCAAACTAATGACATGCTTGACAATTTTTGATTAGAATTCCTGGGTTTGGATTAGTATAATATTTGTTTGGGTTGACGATTGAATTGTTTTTCATTTTCCAGACCAATTCTCATGGCCGATTAGGTCTATGTTAAGTTGTGAATAAGAGACCTAACAAGGATTTTTTGGTTGCGTTTTAAACCGCATCAGAATATTACAGTATAAATGGTATGACAAACTCGCGTGGGATAGTGAGATTATCCAAATGCAGACGCTCTGGTCTGCAGAAGAACAAATAAATAAGTAATAACTTGAGGCTGTTGGACGCAATATAAACAAGTTAATAAGATAAAAAGATGCACATTAGTCTAGAAGAATACCATTTTCTGTTTATTTTACAAACCAAAAAAAATGTAAAGCTTTATTGGCTTTGGCTTTGTAGACATATTATCGTGATCCTAGTCTTCACTGCACATACTATCTGTAATATTCCTTTACTTGATCTCCCAGTTTTTTCAAATTTTAATCTCTATCTAATCTCCATCTCTTCACACGCGTAATGTAGGCACATTATTATCGGTTGTAAAAAGAAGGGAATGGAAACCAAGAGTGCTATTGATATGATACACTTCTTTGTCAATAAATCTAATAACGCCTTGATTTTACATTAAGTTCCTGACAGTCACTTCAGGGGCGTCGATTGAGATCATCTTTCACTACTTGCCCATCTTATAAGAAATACTTTTCATCTTCTCCTTTTAGGTACATTCAAGTTTTGGTAGAAACACAGTGTGTATCCGGAGATATACTCACTGGCATATACTTTGTAACTAATTGGCTGGTTGGTTGATGTAGTGTATCGTAGCTCATTAATAATACTAAAGAAGGGCAAAAAGTGATACCCCCAGACTTGATAATATTTATGAAACATGCACATTCCAACCAAGGCTAAATGGCATTCAATTGGTCACAAAGTCTTGGCTTTAGAGCAATGTATTTATAATAGCTTAGCAATAGAATATAAAACTTTTTTATGACATTTATTATGGTATTTTTTAAGAATAATAAAAAAAAGAGCTGCTGATCGATCGATATAATTTACACTATGGTAAAAGGAAAAACAAAAAACAAAAAAAAAGGCGCCTTTAGTTGGAAACTTTCACAAACTTTTATTTTTTTTTATTTTGGAAAGGGAGTTTTAAGGGTGGGTTTAGGGTAGTATTTTGGCTAAGCATTGTAATCTTTATATTTTTATGCTTCAATACTTATCCGTCGTATTGTGCTTGTCGGCACTATTTTCACACAGTAACTCTCAAGAAAAGTGTCTCTTGGATTCCATATGCTCCTAACTTGAGGAATACAAGAGAACCTCTCGGGAATTGTGACATCTTACCGGAAGTTCAAGGCAGCAGCAAGATCTCTACTCCACAAGACGATGTTCAAGCTGTAAACCAAGCCATTCCTTTTAAGTATTTTGGACTAGTATATCTAAAAAGAAAATTTGTTAAGAATAATAATCAAATGATATCCGGTCATATTATTACCTTTGAAAGCCGTGTAAAGTTAAATGTGATGCTCGGGAGTATTTGTATTGTCAAATGTTGGAGACTTTCTTGAATTTTTCATGAAATGGACTAAAACGAAGGACGGTGCATGGATGTATTAAATTCAACAATTATACAAACCTTAAATCCGTGTTTTCCGAGTAGCCTTCTCATTCCTACCCCCTTGATTGGCTCACAATATATATGTGTACGTTTGTAAGGTATAGACCAGAATATTTGGAACTATAGTAGAGGTGGAAATAGCTTGAAATTTATATTGTTCAGAGTAGACTGTCAAGATAGATGATATTCAGGGTTTCTATGAAAGAGTTTATGAAATCTAGGGGTGGAAGTAGTGGTTATAGTGGTGGATTTGATGCCCTCTCAAAAAAAAATTTTTTTACACGTTTGAAGGTTTGCTTTTATGAGAATTGTTTAAAGGTATTGATTATTTGATAATTACTTGATATGCATTAATGTGCAAAAAAAAAGGGACGGTAAATTAGTACCATGGCTCTAGGTTTAACCTATAATAGCAAATAAATACTGGAGAAACTAATATTGAAACATAAAACATAAAACATAAAAAAAAAGGCTTTTTGTTTTTCAAAAGTCTCATAATAAAGACTCTTCAAATAACTCTTAATAAAAAGAATTGAATTATTTCTCAAGCTTGATTATATAGCTTTTATACTTCTTTTAATATATATATACTCCAAGAATTTTTACCATAGTCTAGATAACAGATTATATCTCAAAGGCTAAGAAATACAGAATACATCACGAATTTTTCTTTTGGTAGGACATACAGTCAAAAACTCAGAACCTTGCACAAGATCCTTTCTTTTTTTTTCTGGGGATCCAATTTTATGTTATTGTAAAAGATAGGTGTATATATGATAAAAAGATCAGTGGGTTACCACTGTACAGCCATTTATTTGCTTAGGTGCTGACTCTGCATGTAGCTTAATATATTTCAGGATTACTCATTAACTCACAGACTTGCATTTGTATTTGTAGTGAAGATGTTATCTTACATCTTATACTGTTCTTTTTACATTTACACACACACACACACACATATATATATATATATATAAATAGTAGGTATATATTTCCCTCCGGTCGGGTCACAAACTCAAAAGGACCGGCTCTTCAAGATAGTGGGAAACCATATACACTTTAACATTCTTCTTTTTCTATTCTTCTTCCTCTTCTTCCCCTTTTGATTAAAAAAAAAAGAAAAAAGAAAGAAAGTCTCTAAAAAATTATGCCCAAAGTCCTCGTCACACGTATTCTCCCTCCACACGCCCAAGCGCGTCTGGAAAGTCAGTCCTTTGAATTAATTCAATGGAAACAAGACAGTGCTATGCCACGCAAAGAACTACTTGGTCAAATCAAGGGTAAATCATTCTACAGGCACACGCATACATATGCATATCTATATACTAATATATATATATATGTAATTTATAGGAGTTGATGCCTTGATTTGTCTATTGACCGATCGTATAGACGACGAGCTTCTGGATGCAGCAGGTAATATTCCCCTTCTTTATACACATCAATTCAATTAGTAAACTCCCTTTGTATGTGGGCACATTTATATATATATGGTTTTTGGATAGTTATAATTATAATTAAATAGTGAAAAATGGGGTTAAAAATCTCCTATCTAAACTACTATATTATTTTATTTATATATGATACTAAATTATAGGACCCCAGCTTAAGCTAGTTGCGACAATGAGTGTAGGATACGATCATGTAGACGTGTCTGCATTAAAGAAACGTCGTATTCCACTTGGATACACTCCCGATGTACTCACTGATGCTACGGCTGACCTGACTGTCCTATTAACTATGGGTGCTGCCCGTCGCATGAAAGAAGTAATTTTGAATCATTATTTAGTATATCTATGTGCATTGATTTTCTTTTCTTTTTCTTATTATAGGGAATCATCGCTGCAGAAAAAGGAGAGGTGAGCAGAATGTTGCAGTTTAGAAAAGGGAGAAATATAGAAAGGGGATTTATTGATGATCGATGATTGGTTTCCAAAATTGACATTAGTGGAGAGAGTGGCGCCCGACATGGCTATGTGGATCCCAGTTCAGTAACAAGACCTTGGGTGTGGTTGGACTGGGCCGTATTGGTGAAGCTGTTGCCCATCGCCTCAAGGCATTTGGTATCAGCAAAGTGGTTTACTGGGGTCGAAGTGAAAAGGTCGAGACTGGCAAGCGTGTAGGAGGCGAGTTTGTGTCCTTTGATCGATTACTGGCAGAGTCGGACTATGTTACGGTCTGTTGCGCCCTCACCAAAGACACCAAAGAGCTCTTTGATTACAACGCATTCTCAAAAATGAAGAAATCTGCTGCAAGTATCACAACAACCAATCCAACGACATATCCTTATTGTTTTTGTATCGAAATCTAATACTTTGTATATAAATATTACAGATCTTTGTGAACACTGCAAGAGGTGGTATTGTTCAACAGGATGATCTTGGTGAGTGATTTTTGTTATTTAGAAATCAAATAAATAAATAATAAAAATAAAAAAACAGAGGGGTGGGAATGGCTTTGCTTAATTGTGGATATGGGATGCTTACACCAACTTATATTGGATTATATATATTTAGTGCGTGCATTAGAAGAGGGTCTTATTGCTGGTGCAGGTCTTGATGTGACCACTCCAGAACCACTGCCTTTGGATAACAAGCTTCTCAAGTTGCCCAACTGTATTGTATTGCCTCATATTGGTGAGTGATAATTTATGTTTATATATTTGAAATTGAAAACATTGATACTAATACTAATATTAATACGAATATATATATATATGTATATATATGTATCTTATATAGCGAGTGCAACCAATGAGACGCGTGAGAGGATGGCTGATATGTGTGTTGAAAATGTTTTGGCCGGACTTAGCAACCAAGCCTTACCTTTCTCCGTTACAGAATAACCAAAAAAAAGAAGCAAATACTGATGATAATAGCAATATTAATAGTAATAGTTAAAAGAAAAGAGAATGAATGAAAGTACCTTTTCTCATTATTATCTTGTACATGTAATATATGTATTTATTTTATTTTATTTTATTTTATGTTATTTTTGCTCGCTTAGTAGCTAATAGTAAATTACATCAATGGGAGATTTGCAGAAATATATGTCAATATTTGTGTATTAAATGGATGTTACGCAGGTTCCAAAGACACGACGGATCATTTCTCGACCGTATGGAATGTAACTTGCTCTATTTCCAGAAAGCAAAAAAGCAAAATAATGATGAATAATCTTCATATTTAAATATCATCCACCTGTCTATCCACCATCATATAATAAACCAAAGAAGAACAATAAAAGCTGAATCAACTTACGAATACCACACCAAAGCGCAAAATTGGATAATAACCAAGACAATTGATAGCGCAAATACTTTGAGCTATGGTTAAAGAAGTTTAAAAAGTTAAAAGAAAAAATTATGAAAGCTGTATATCTTGAATATTTAAATATTTAAATATTTAAAATAACTTACAGTGATAGAGAGTACAAGAGTGAGGACTAGTAAGGCGATGTATGTTGTTGTTGCCCAGAATCGCACTGAATTGTAGCAATTGACACACGTATTTATGCCAAGAATTTTTATTTTTATTTTGTAAGTATAACATTCACTTGGCTGATTATTGTGTACAAATTACCTGGTGCAAACATTGTCTTGATTTGCTTGGGAATACCGATAATAAATGTCAAACTACAGCCAAGAGTATCATTATCAATTACTATCATTCTACACACAATTCCTGCATATTCTTACCTGAAGAGAGATATCACATTACCAATGGTGTACAGAATAGCAAAGCCAGTGACATTTAGTGTCAAGAGCATTAATGTAGACTTTAATATATTCAAAAAAATGTATATATATGATAATAAGTTTCTCAGTTTATAGCTTTTATCAAGGGCTCTGTATTTGTCAGATTTCTTTTTCTCTTAAAAAAATTTACCAGAATAGAGATGAGCATGCCCGCGACAAAGCTAAGGTTCCACACCACAAAGAAGAAAGCAAAAGCAAAAGGACATTGTCAACCGATTTCTCACATTGCATAATTCTCACATGTATTCTCTCTTTATAAATGTATATATATATATATATATCTTTTCTTTTCTTTACTCTTACCATGCACCAAATGCATATAGTCGTTGCATTTTAGTCAAACCACAAAACTTCCAGTTGCCTTATTTCATAGACGCGTTACAACACATACACATGAAGAAGAAGAGGAACAAGAGACTACAGTGCATTCACGTCATTTATTTACCATCGTCCATGACGCCCTGGTCACTAAAATCAGCCGAGAAGAAACCAAACGCCATTATTCTGGTTTATATGAAATGAGTATAATAGAAATAATATTAGAGGAAGAAAAAAGAAAATATATATAAAAAAAATAGAGAGAGAGTTAAAGGTAGGACACTCTTTGGGTGTATATATGTGTATATATATAATATAATATTATATATCAGTTTGTGTAAGTCAGTGAGTGATTGTATAAAAGGCGACCCCGCTTTTTTTTTTCTTCCTTTCAACAGCTATTTTATTTAACCGTTGAATTTCTCAAGCTTAAACGGCTTCTTTTTTTTGTTATTTTATTTAAAAAAAAAACACTGCAATAAAATAACCTATTGGCTTAATACTTGGCATTGAGAAAACCAAAGACCGCTAAAGTAGAAGAAGAGGAAGAAAAATCCTACGCACACAGGAACGCACAGACACAGACACACTCACACTCACACTCACACAGAGAGAGACAACACAGACGCACAGAGGTGTATTAATTTGTTTCAATTTCTACTTTATATATATATGTGTGTGTGTGTGTGTTTGTGTTTTATTCATTTGTTTTATTTGGCCTATTTGTTTCAATTTATTTATTTATTAATGAATGTAATGTAATGTAATTTTATTTTATTTTATTTTATTTAATTTAATTTAATTTATTTATTTAATTTTTCATTTTTCATTTTTCATTTTTTTTTGATCGAAAATGACATTCCTCTTCTCCATTCGACCAGTTCATGCAGCATACTCAACTTCATCCAAAGGATGGATGATGCGGCAGGCCAAGGATCCTTACGTTAAGGCTGCAAAGGCCAATATGTACCGTGCCAGGAGTGCATTCAAATTAAGCCAGATCGATCAAAAGTACCGTGTGATTCCACATGGAGGTGTGGTAGTAGACTGTGGGGCTGCTCCTGGAGGTTGGACCCAGGTTGCTGTGGCTAAAGCCCAGAAAAAGGGACTCGTTGTTGCAGTTGACTTGTTACCAATGGACCCTGTCTCAGGTGCCCATTGCATAAAGGGAGATTTCATGTCGCTCAAGGTTCAAAACAAGGTCAAGGCATTGTTGGGTCGCCGCAAAGCAGACCTGGTTTGTTCAGATATGGCACCTAGTTTTATGGGAAATCACATGGCTGACCACGCAAGATCCATGGTAAGTAAATTATATAATTATATATGTTTGTGGGTGTGCATGTACATAATGTTTCAATATCATAATGGATTATGTATATTTGTCTATTTGAATTTTTTTTTAATGCTGTAGGAATTGTGCGAATCTGCTCTCACATTTGCACAAACAGTCTTGGCAACTAATGGATGTTTTGTAGCAAAGGTAATAAATGAATAACACAAGAGATAAACGAATCCATTATAATTTAACCACACAAAACAACGACAATATTAATGACAATTAATATGTATATATGTATATATGTTTGAAAGTTTTTGATGGGTGGAACAGAAGTAGAATTTAGACGTAAATTGCAGACAATGTTTTTAAAGGTAAAGCAAGAGAAACCGGACGCATCACGGAAACAATCGACCGAAGGTTTCTTTGTTGCTCTTGGTTACCGTCCTATAAAACAATCAAAAGAAGAAGACGAAGAAGACGAAGAAGAATCAGGATTAAGATTAGAATCAGGATTGGGATTAGGATTAGAAGTAAAAGTAGAAACTGAAATAGAAGTAAAGGAAAATGAGCAAAAAGATCAAAAAGACAGTGAAGAAGCAGAATTCAACTCAATTCAACCCAAAAAACACATCTTGTAAATCAATAATTAGACAATTATAAAGTAAATATATATATTTCATTTCATTTCATATCATATCACCATTTTGTCTAATAACAGCAATAATAATTATAGTATAGTATAGTATAGTATAGTATAGTATAGTATAGTATATTATATTATATATTGGGTGTCCATATATGTATATATGTATATAATTTAAAGAAGAAGAAGAAGAAAAGACGCCGCTACCAATACAACTATATGAATATTATATTATAATACAGGATGGCTTGGGCGTCTCTGATCTCGGGCATCTAACCAGGCAGTAAACTTCTTGTCAAATCCTTCCCAGGAGCAGGATATTGATCCTTGATCAGGCGATTGATCGCCTTTCTTGGACCGGCGAAACCATCGCTTGGGTTTCTTGTGCTTTGTCTGGTGAAGCAGCGGCAAAGAAGGAGATAGATTGAGACTAGGACGATCATAAAATGGCCCAGATAGAGAAGATAGTGCCGGCCGAGAAACGGAGGTTGAAAGAGATGTCGAGAAAGGAGGCGGCGGCGGCGGTGGTGGTGGTGGCGTCGATGTCGATGCCGATGTCGATGTCGATGATGTTGTTGGTGGCAACCACCCGTCAGCTCGTTTTCGGACAGTCTCTGTTGCAGGATCTAAAGAATAAACACATGCCACTCGCTTGGACTCCAAGATGTCACGCATCGCATAGAGGGCAACGGCTCGCACATGCCGCTGAGAGTCTGGTTCCATCTGTGGTAGACACTGGGTCAGGGTTGACCATTGAGCATAGACAGAGTCCAGGGGGTCATGTTTGGTTGAGCATGAAGACGAAGACTGGATAAGGCTTGGAAGAGAGTAAGTCGATAGCTGGCGGTCCTCAAGGTGCTCAGTTAAGGACCTGTAGGCAGACGGAACACGCGAGGACCATGGATCTACGATAGTGGGATGGAAGGTTGAGCTGGTGTCCAAGCCATGTTGCTCACAGGGCTGTAGCCAATTGGGATCTCGTCTCTCCAAGGCATGCTCGAGATCGTGGACCCGGGCTGTCAGACGTTCAACGAGGTCGTGGAGACTGTCTAGGGCTGCAATTGTGTCATTTTTGGACAACTTGTTGCTCTTGGACTTTTTGCTGGTAGTGCTGGTATTAGTATTAGAAGTAGTAGTGGTGGTAGTAGACTGTGGTCGCAGAGACTGAGTAGATTCGAATGAAAAAGGAGCTAACATAGAACACACGCACACACACACACACAAAAGGGAAAGAAGGAAAAAGATGAAAAGTAGAAAGCAAAGAAGTAAGGGAAGGAAACAATGAAAGATAAAGAGATAAAAAAGGGAAAGAGAAATAGGAAGACCAAGACCAAGAGATGGAGGGCAAGATGAACTAATTGACCCAAGACTCTAATAGGCAACATTCCATGCATGACAACAGGGCCAGTTACAGATGCAATACACCTCTTCCCTTTATTACATTAAACTGCCAACACATTGGACTATGGCTTAGTTTTTTTTAGTGAAAGATATATATATATATATATTTATAAATACAATACATAAAAAAATAGTGTGTGTAGGGTAAGAGTAAGACCAAGAGCAAGAGAGTAAGAAATGTGAATTTTGTTTTCTTAAAAAAAAAAAAAAAAAAAAGAGGGGGTGGGTTGAATTGTATTACTAAGGTCTATTTTCCTTGGACAGGAGACCAACAGTGTTTAATTTACGCTTCTTTCGCATGGTCACTGGATTCTGTTCTGGGCCAACGGCCTGGTTTTGGTTCTTAGTTTGCAGAGGTAGCCGTACCCTGGATATGTTGGTCTTTTTGGCTGGCTTGGCTTTTTTATTGGCTGCAGAAGAACCCTCTGCCGTCTTTGACAGGTCGGTTTGGCCAGGTGATTGCCGGAGGGGTGAGAAACAACATATGTTCTCCGAGTCACTCAGAGGGGTGACTACCAAAGGGCTTGGTGTACTCTCTACTGCGTTATCTGGACAGACTGTAGCCAGCTCAGGGCTAGGTTTGTCCGCACATGGCTGTTCTTTAGCCGTTTGCAAATTTCCGCGCGTTTTCTTGATAGCAGCCGTTACGTTTTCTCGCAAAGTGTTCACATATCCTAGTAGTCGATTCCTTTCCTCTTGCATTTCTGCGAATTGATTTTGGCTCCAACTCACAGCCTCTTTCCAACGCGCCTTTGTAATGTATATGTATGTGTATGTGAATATGTATGTATGAGTATGAGTATTGTATTGTATTGTATTGTATTGTATTGGGTGGTTTTATATTTAGACTTTTTGTTTAAAAAGCAGGGAGTGTCTCCTTGTATTCTCTATCTATTTCTATCTCTATTTTATATTTTTATCATTTTAATACTTTACTTCAAACTGTTCGGCTTGTGTCTTGTACATGGTCAATTGTCTTTTGGTCTCCTTTTCCTGTTCCTGAAACAGGAAAGTTGATAAGCAAACGAAAATTCCAAAATATCAATAGTGAATAGCAATAGTAGCTGTGATTGTAGATAGTTGAAATACATTCATGTAAGCCCATATATATATATAGTCATTTAATTCCTATTGTTCCTTCTTGTGCTTTTAATTTAATTTAATTTTATCTTATTCTGATTTCATGAAGCCTTGGCTTTCTCACCTTCCATTGCCGGTTTATTTCCTTGATCGCCTCTTGCGATTTCTCTTCAGTAGAAGGATCCTTATGTACAATTTTCAAGGATTTCTGTGCCTACAGATACTCGATATTATTGATCTTAAACCACCCCTATTCTGTGTTTCTTTCGTTCTTTCCCTCAATTGAACTAATACTAGCTAAGCTACTCATAGTTTAAATAAATATATATATATATATATATATATTCTTTGAGCTTATTGTTATAAATAAATAACTGAATTACCCTGAGTTCTATATTCTGTCGTTGCAGCATCTCCTTTTCCATTTGCAAGGCTAGTTCAGCCTGAAAGTATCTTTCGGCTCTTTTCATGGAATTGTGTAGTCTTTCCTAATATCCCACATATATATATATATATATATATAAAATAAATGTAATGTAATAAACCACTGTCATTATCATCATCTTACCTGCAAGTTATTGATTTCAGCTTCATACTGTCTCTCTATATCCCATCTTCGTTCGGTTTCTTTGGCTTGTACTAGTCTATTCTCCCGTTTGATACTTGAGTACTTTAATTCAATTTCCTGACTGTATTGTTGCATTTTCTTAATCAATTCATTTAGTCTATCAACGTCTGATTGATAAGTAGCCTCAAGGGCTAACCTATCTTGACTCCATTTTTCCTATGTTTTTTTTTTAAAAAAAATAATAATAATAATTAATAGTAATAGTAATAAATAAATGTGTAAAATTGAATGGCTGCAGTTGTCAACAGAGACCAGCATACATATATGTATATATAAATAAATTGCTTGTGATGCATGCATGTTTGCCTATTTGTTTATTTGTTTATTTGTTTGTTTGTTATAAACATGTACCTCTTTATCTTGGATTTCCAAATGCAGTTTCTCCAGTTGATAGTCTATTCTCTGACGATCAAACCGCTCTCTTACTAGAGTATAAAGAGATATAGAGAGAGAGAGATAGAAAAAAGAAACCAAAGAAACCAAGGAAACTCATTGGAATGAGCCTTCTAAAATATATATGTATAATAATAATCCTCGAGCACATACATACGTACATACATACATACATACATATGTATATATATGTATCTGTACGAAAGAGGTGAGAATACAAAATACAACTGAAATTCTTTACCGCGTTCGATAGAGATTAGACGAAGATCGTTTTTTAATAAAAGACTAGAAATCCTGGAATCGATTTTCACTAGTCTTTCCTTTGCTTCACACAGCTTTGTAGATGCATCAACTTGTTGCCTTGTAGATAGCATTGCCTTTATAGAAACACATATGATATTCCCAACAACAACAAAAAACAAAAAACAAACAAACAAATGAATGAATTAGAGCATAAATCCTAATGATTCCTCATATATGTTTTCAGTTTATCAAATAGATATAAATATACAACTATAGCTATAACTATAGCTATAGCTGTAGATGTAGACAGTATGCCCTTTGGTGTTGTTACTATTACCATCGCTATACCTTTTTGCTCTTTTGATAGACTGCTCTTAGTTGGTTCTCTAATCTCTTTTGGTTATCTTCCCACTCGGCCATCTGTCCATTTTTGCTTTCGAGATTATGTGTGATGCACTCCAGTTGAATCTCCAGTTGGTCTCTTTGTGCCTAACGAGATATGAATGTGATTTCTTATTATTATTAGTTATCCGTTTTTTGTTTTTTTTTCTTGAAGCAATATGCACAGCATATGCATATATGTATCATTATTATATTTAAGAAATTTAAGATTTCATAATAATTCACACCTTTTCATGTCTGTGATTCCGTAAAGAAATGGCTGCCTTTTGCCTATAGTATTTTGTCCTGATGTCAGACTTATTCTTAGTCGAGCAGGATTTTATTTTCTGAAGAGTGTTTGCAAACGCAAATGAATCAATGATTTCTGTCTGGCAATCCTTTTTTGGATATTCCTATAGAAAATATAGAACAAAATGGACATATTTTGCTTATTTTTCTGCTGCCTTTATTCTAATGTATTTATTTATTTATTTTTATAAAAGAAAATCTATAAGACTTGCATCAAAGTGCATAAAGACAGTGGCCTGACTTGAACCACAAAAATACTCTGAAAGAACATGTGTCAAGATAAATGTTTCAGTCGAGATTCGTCCTTGGAATCTCGGGCTAACCACACTTTCCACCAAGTCTCCTACGCACAGGTATAAATGAATATAAATAATTAGTTATCTATGTATGCAGATATATAGCTACATAGGGAGAGAGTATGAAAAGGGATGACAAACAAAAATAAAATTTAAAATAAAAGACAAACTTTACTGATCTTGGAAAATGAGCGCGTAATCGAAGAGTCTGAGGGTGCAGTAAGATTAAAGGGATGGTTCCAAAGGTCAGAAATCACCAGATTTCCCATCATATCAGCCTCGTCCGTGAGTCTCAGCTGGAGAACCCATGGATACGCTGGACGGTGCTTGACTTTGGCCCATATCTCTGCTAATCCCTTGGCCCGTCTCATTGTACAGTCCAGGCCATTTTTCAAGGAAGAGTCTAATAATATCCAACATTGATCTTTTAGTTTTGTCCGAGGAGAGACAGAGACCAAGAAACATATGGATATTTGATCTTTTTTTTTTTTTTACCAAAAATAAAAATATTAAGCAAGATACTTACAATTGAGTGGCTGGTCAGTGCTTAAATCGTAGCACTTTGTGTCTGTGAAGCCAAGATAGCTAGAAATAAATGATTATATTTGTATAAAGAGAAGAAAGAGAAATAGGTATATTTAGAGATGAATTATTATCATTATTAATCATTAAAATTAAAATTAAAAGGGGGGATTCAATACACTCAAATAGTTTTCTTTAATTCCCCCACCCCTTTCTTTATTTCTGTTTTTTTTAACGCACTTGAAATCTAGTTTATAGTCTGATAGCCTTTTATTGGCTCGATCAGTATTGAGTTTGGTGAGCTCGGTGGCAAATACTTGAAGAATCTGATGGACAGATTCCTTTCTGTATAATGAGTGTGAGAGTAATTTTAATTTTATATATGAGTTTTACAATTGCAATTTTACCTATGTGGATAAATATCCATTGTTCTTAAAAGCCAAGAGTTTCAGAAAGATAAATAAATTGTGATTACTATAATTTAGTCAAATGTCCTGAGCTTATTTTATTTACCCTGCACTCAATTGGATTGCTGCTGCATTGTAACCTTATAACAGTGATGGATAATTAATGATAGTGATTATGATGATTTCTAACCTTCTTTTGGCTTTAATCGATAAGGCACAATGTTCTTTTTCTTCTTTTATATATTTGTGTTTGTTTACCATCCAAAGCAAGTCTAACAAGATGTCGTGTCTCTTTAACGCATGCATTGACACCGTCACCACTCTCAAAACACTTTGTAAAATAACATTGACTCAATAGATCGACAAGAATAAAATAAAATAAAATGATTTTTTTTGCAAGGGATTGATTATATAAGCATCTATAGACTCCTTCTTGGCAAAAGAAAAGAAAATATAACTCACGTTCTACAGACACCCGACAGTTCATCCGGGACAATGTCTTTTTCTTTTTTATACACATTATAGACTCTTTAGGTTATTCGTTATTCATCACTATTGAGTTAATCTAAAATGACCTTGGACACTCTCAAGAGTGAGGGATGGTGGAATGTGGTGCTTGGATGCCGTAATGTGAGGCAGGCCATTACTTTTTGATGGAGCAGAATGTACTACAGCAATAACTGGCAGTGAGAAGATATTCATCAGGCTCCTTAAGCAATCAAGAGACAAAGAGAGATATAAAATACGATAAGAATTATTATTATTATTATAATAATACTAGTGATAGATAAGAGAATACGTCATTAGAATTTTACTTGACAATTAATAATAATATTGGCATTTGACTACCCCACTTTCTATTTTATTTTATCCCTTTCCTCCTTATCCTCTTTTGAATTGATCAAAAAAAGAAAAAAAGAAAAGAAATAAGTCTGGCTCTTTAAAATGTATAATCCAACTGATAAATAATAATAGTAATGATTTTATTTTAGAATGAAGGAATGATTCCTGGAACCAGATACTCGGGATTCTACACCCTAAAATGTATAGCTTCAAAGTAATTATGATGATAAATATGATAAAGATAATGATTATTTACCAGTATTAATATTTAATATTAATAAATAGAAATATCATTTTGTTTCAATTTTTATCATTTCAAATAAAATAATAAAATAATAAAAATTGGATGAGCACTGTCATGTGATTAGTAGTTTTATTCTTACTCTTACTCTTTAACTCTTACTCCTGCCCCCCCCCCTGCCCCTGTTCCTGCTGTTCCTGCTGTTCCTGCTTCTGGTCTTGGTTTTTTCGACTTAGACTTAATCTTGTGTATATATATATATTTGGGGAATTGTGTAATTAAGCAGGGCAGCGTCGATCTTTTTGTTCTTTGACATGTGCAACGACCCAAAAGGCTGCATCGTGGGTCACACCAGCCATTTTTCTATCTATATAAATTCTACAGTGAAATCCGTTGTATGCAATTGTTTGAGTCTCAGAGCATGTGTCAGGCTGTCTCTCTCTGTCTGCCTGTCTGTCTGTCTGTCTGTCTTTATATAATTAGATAGGTACTATTAAACCAATAAGAATAAAAATACAATAAATAAATAAAATCTATAACCATATAACTTTCATTTGCTTCGGAAACTTTCGCTGTGACCTGAAAAAAAAATCATTTAACCCAGGCTGGTCATTTATTTTATTTTATCTTATTTTATTTTATATTATACCCTTTAAAGAATTCTCTCACTCATATTCACATTTATACTCACACTCTACCTCTGCTTATATGTGTGTGTGTGTGCGTGTGTATGAGTAGGTGTTTTAGAAACCAGCCAACAGACGTACAATAATAACAGTATTATTATTATCTTTAATATTGAAAAATAAAAATAAAAATAAAAATCCTATAAATACGCTTGACTTCTGTTGTGTTTCTGAAAATGTTGTTCTTCATGACCTCTTGCTCTTTCTCTCTCTTTCTCTTTTGTAATATTGAGCTTTAGAGGGTTGAGACAACCAAACAACCTCTTCCCCTTCTTTCAAGCCTTTAACTAGTCTTGAATAAAGATCCACCTCCTCCATTTACTCTTACCATCTTTTCCTCTCCTCTCCTTTCTATCTCTTTCTTTCTTTCTTTTATATATATATATATATTTATCTATCTATCTATCTATAAATGTACCCTCTTACGTTCAGCCGACGAATAAGGATATCAACTTCTCTACCATGACCAAGAAGAAGAAGAAGAAGAAGATACATATATATATATAAACATTCATGTGGATCCCGTTCAGCTTGACTCGACTCGACTCGACTCAACTCAACTTGCCTCACCTCACCTCATATCACCCTGCCTTGCCTTGCCTCACTTTTGTTTTGACTCGAAACGGCTCGTTCCACCTCACCTCACCTCACCTCACCTTACCTTACCTTACCTTACCGTACCTTACCGTACCTTACCGTACCTCAATGCACCTTACCTCATCTAACCTTTTCCTTTGTCCGGTCCACAAATCCCAAAAAAAAAATACATATAAACTTATAAAATCCCAGTGTCTCGGTAACCAATCTTCAGTCTATCAGAAGCAGCAATAGCAACAGCAACAATGATGATGATGATAACGATGATAACGATGATGATTATCATGGTGATGATGATAATTGTTACTATTACTACTCTAATTACAATTACAATTTCAATTTCAAAAAAAAATTATATGCTTTAATTTCTTTATCTATTTCTTAATTTTTATCTTTATCTTTATTTTTATTTAATATGCCAATGACGATGATGATGTGTACGATTATGCCTATCATTTTTATTTTATTTTATTTTATTTTATTTGATTTATTTATCTGTTCCCTTTGCTTTCCTATTGCTTTTTTTTTATTGTATGTACTTCTTCAGAATAGCCACCCTTTCCAACCAACCAAGAAATAAATAAATAAATAAAAACACAATTCAACAATAATGTTTCAATGTTTCAATTTGTTAAATATAAATATGCCACTTGAATATTAGTTATTGTTATTAAAGAAAAAAAGGGAATAAAAGAAAAATCACAGCATCTTCTTGTTCTCCCAGTATCTTAAAAAGGCTACAAGGTTCGGAAGGACGGCGGTTTGTACACTAATAAAATAAATATATAAATATATAAATATAAAAGAAGGTTACATTTGTGTACCTCACCCCCCACTTCTTCTCTCTTTCTTTCTTTCTTTGTATTTTGTACTTTGTACTTTGAATTATTCTTAATATGTAACAGGCTGAACTGACTGTTTTTCACATGTCAAGACACACACAATATATACAGTCCGCATGGCCTTTACACAATCAAATCAAATCAAATCAGTTTGATTCAATTCAGTCAAGAGAAGGCAAAAATGTTTATCTACTTGGTTTCATTCTAATTTACTTCTTGATCACGTCAAAATATCAAATATCAAATAAACTATTACCAACCAAACACGTTCTCTCCTCTTCTTTATCTTTCCTTGTCCAACCAACCCACAAATATAATATAATATAAAATAATATATATATATATATTCAGTAATTTTGAAACAATAAGCTTGGTACAAGTGTAAAGAATACAGATATACATAAAAAGGTCCAACTGCCAAACTCAATTGATTTCAGTTCAATTCACAAGCAATTCCCATACAAACGTTATTAACCACAACAACATCATCATCATCATCAATAAAAACAATAACAAAGAAAACTGAAACTGTACTTCAGAAAAACCAAAAAAGAAAAAAGAAAATAACAATATCAATTTCTGATGTTCATTTAGTATTCTCTTTATCAAAACTCTCACACCCAACCAAAGTACATGTGCGTGTGTATATTATATTATTTCTATTATTTTATCTTATTTTTGTATTGAAAAAAAAAGTTTCCTATTAAAGAATCATTTTCAAATGTACCCATAGACAACAACAATAGAAATAAGCTCCAAGTACTAATAATACTAATAATCAGTATATAATTAATATATGTAGAATTTATTGCAATTATGATTCCCTATTGAAATTGAAATTGAAATTAATATTAATATTAAAAGCAACCGATCGTGGTGCTCATCCACTTTATGATCAATGGCTCTTGAATGTGCTCATTGACTCGGTTGTACTCTTTTATCATCTTGGCACATTAATAATAAATAAATCAATGAATGAATGGCCTGTTTTTTTTTTCTTACAAAAAGGAACAACAATTGCAACCCAAACATGAAACCATTTTCAAATGTCAACAGAGTAAATGGTACCACCAAATGATCATTCAATTATTTTTATTTTACTTTATTTAAAACCAACCACAGCAAAATAAATAAAGAAAAGTAATAGTCTGTGCACCATTACGCCAAGATAAAGAGATATATGGACCAAATGTTTCAATATTGAAACAGTATAAACCAATTACCAGCAAAAATTAAAATTAAGAACGAACAAGTCAACCTCTTGGGTGGGGTACTAAAGGGTACCAAATACACATCACTATTTTTACTATCATTTTGGCCTGGTTCTTTCAATTCTTTGTACAATCACAGAATACATATCTGTACTCACTTGAGGAAGTTTTCTTCTTCTTTGTCATACCTTTAAAGAACCTACTATGTATATATATATATATATTTTCTACCAAGGAAAAATAAAAATAAAAATGTCCAAATTTCTAATCTAACTCTGTTCATCGTTAATGGCCAGTGCGGATTATCCAACCAATTTCAACACACTTTTTGCTTTTTCTTGTTCTATTAATACCATTTTACTATCTCTATTATGTGGTGTAAATATCCTTTTATATACTATTATCACAGCTTCAATTCAATTCAATTCGACTAAACTAAACTCAACTTATTAACGTGGCATTTTCTATAGTTACATCCAACTTTTGCTTTTGCTTTCACATTCACAATTATATTCATATTTATGCATTTCAAATTTATATATAAAATCTAAATCTAGCTAAATTGTACACACACACACACACACAATATATAAATATAAATATAAATATAAATTTATCATTTCTATATTCTATTGTCCAACTCTATTAACCTCAAACCATTCGCCACTCTCGACTTCAATTGTCTGGACATAAAATTCCCGTAATCCCTCTACGGCTCGCTCTTCGGTCTGAATACGGACTAGACTTTTCTTTGGCCGTCTGTCCTTCCGCATCTTATCAAGCGCCTGTTGTCTAAGAATCTTCTCAAATGATCCTGTTTCTGCAACATCATCTGAACACAAGGCCATCAAATCTCCATAAGCATTCCGACGACGAATTGGTGTCAGCACAAATCCATCCACAAGTCCGCCTGCCTCAAACGTATCAGAGACCACCTTGTCACTATTGCTACCAATCTTGATATCATTCTCAACCGGCCGTCTTATCGCACTAGTTTCAGCATTGACAAGCTCTTCAGGAACATATCTAAAAAAGAAAGAAACTAATTAATTAATTAATTATTATTATTATTATTATTATTATATAATTAACTTGCATCTTTTTTCCCTTGGACTTTTGTGCTAAATTGATCGCAGGATTTAGACTCAAACCAGGTACATTATTTGGTACAGTAGCTTTGATCAATTCAGGTTTCTCAGTCGTAATCTTTCCCCAAACACCAGTCTTTAATCCAGATCCAGATCCAGATCCAGCCATCTCTTGCTGTTGTTGCTGTAACCTACGTCTCTCCTTTTGGGATACCTTTTTGAGATGTGGTTGTACCAACTATACATGATAAGAGTTAGTTATTTATTTTTATGTACGTAAATTAATCAACATTCTTATAAACGTCATTGTCACATTCATTGTATACCTTTGCCTGGGTTGGAGGACTATGGCCACTACTTGACAGATCAATCGCCTGAGGTTCTTGTTCCAGAATCTCTCTTAATGAGGGTTTCAAAGACCTATCAAACAAAATTAATATTAATATTATGATCACTATGTTGATAATGATAATAATTATTATGTCTATACTTATTATTTTTATGGGTGCATGGTTTGATGTGTTGTGTTGTGCTGAGTAGTACAAATTTATTCATTTTATAGCTTACTCAGCCTGGATGCCAACCACAGGCGTGGCCCATCCTTGTCGCGAGGTCAAAGAGTGGGACGTTTTTGTCAAACTACGGGCGATCGCTTCGATTTCATTCTCAGTCGCACCAAGATCCAACCGAACACCTCTCTTCCTCGACTCCCCCCCTTTCTTCTGGGATGACACGTGGGCTGCTTTTGGCTTCTTGTCTTTGATCGCCAGCGATGCCCGACTAGGTTCATTATGATCAGGTACAGCCGGCTTCTTTGGGTACACTGTCACAAGAATGTCCCTCTGGCTGCTGATAATAGGCATGTCTTCCAGTGACAGGGCATAGAGTGAGGTCGAGAACTCCGGGTCATCCATCTCCCTATCTTTGGAATCCACTTGAGCCAAATCCCTTTGGATTCCTGAAAACTTTCTTTCTTGTGCTTGCCAGCTCTGTACATGCTCCTCCAAATAACCGACCAATCTGTTATCTGTATATTCCAGCATACTAATCAAATAGAGAGAGAGAAAAAGAAAGAAAGAACAAATGAGCCCCTCCAATAATAGTAACAATCATTATTAGCATTATTAATCTTCATCAAAATAAACAAGCAATCGTTCAATCAATCAGCCATTTAGACTATCAGTCAGTCTATCAGTCAACCAGTCCTACCTACCTCTTTATCTCTATTTTGTTTTTAAATACCAAAGAAAAAAAAAGAAGTAATTGACTCACCCACAAGTGATAAACGTCGAAAGATTGGCTCCGATAAACCCAAGGCATTCTTGCTTCAATAGATTCGCTAGACACGCATCTGCTCTCTCGAGTAAGACCACCGCTGTCCTCAGACTGATGAAATCGATCAATGATCGTTCGCAAAGTGCCTTGAGATCCGGTAAGAGCAATTCATCGGCCACACAAAGCACCTCCATCAAGAACTCGACCATCTCTTCAACCGTGTTCTTTGCCACCTTGCCAAACAATTCTACTTCATTGTGTCCGGTATATAGGTATTCCAGAACAGATGCCATGACCTCTACCGGGACGTGGCCCAGATCAACCGGCAGGTAACTCTGCTTATTCCCCGCCGGAGTGCCATTATTGCCATCCACGGCAGCATTCGTCCTATTGGCTTCTCTTCTTTCCTCCATCCATACAGATCCAGGACAGAATAGGGCCTCAAAGAACGGACACCTTTGTCTAACAATTAGTTCGTGGCAGAACAAGACCTCCCCATCTTTCAAATTCAACTGGACATCCTGGGTAACCTTGTTGGTCAAAAGGAGCTCTAAATCTGTCAGAAGCGATGACTGGGGCGTGTGATTGAATGTCGATTGGGCAGAGTCGAGCAGGATTGCCAAATCAAGTTCTTCCGCAAGGTTTATCAGGCCCTTTTGTACATCCAAAGGCCGAACCACCAGAAACGGTGCCGCCGTCGCCGTTCCTGCTGCTGCTGCTGTTGCTGTAGGAATGTCACTTGCACGACACAACAAAGGCGATTTGTATAGAGTGCTCATCGGGTGAGCATAGTTGTCCGAGTACAGGTAATCGACCAATAATAAAAAGCTTTCCAGGTGAGTGGTGGCGAGATGAATCTCGGATCTTTCTGGATTATTGATCACAGCTAATAATTGATGAAAGATTGAAGAAGAGTGGGGTATCTTTGGTTCGACCAGATCACCGCTATAGGTATCATCGCCACCGCCACTGCGATTATTACTGCTACCACCACCAATAAGAAAGCGCAATCGACTGGAAAGAAAGAACTTGTGTAGGTAGATGCGCCTATTCTGAACAACAAACACGAGATCCAACGTAGCATCATCTCTTGACAAATTCTCCACGGACTTCCACGCGTCTGACACTGCTGTCTCGATCTGGAAATTGTATCTGGTGTGTATCTTTTGTTTCATTTCCTTTACTTCATCCTCGTCCTCGTCCTCGTCCTCATTAATATTATTGTTCTTATTGTTCTTATTATGCTTGTTATGATTATTATTAATTTTAATTTTAGTTTTAGTTTTGGTATTGGTATTGGTATTACTATGATTATGATTATGACTATGATTATTTTTGATATTTTTGTCATGCCCATACTCCCCAGCCAATTGATTATTTCTTAATTCTTCTAGCGCACTCTGCTTTTGGGCGTCAAACTTCTTTATTTGTTCGTCTAGCATCTTCGCGACAGCCTTGTGCGGTAGTGCCGAAACCAGGTGATCCGAGACATGAGGTATAATGGCTTGTTGTTTGCTGGCCTTGTACTCTGCACGGATTGCAGCAAAGGCACCACTTGGGTTTGCAGACACATAGATACAGCGTTGAAGAAATGGGATCTTGTTGAACCTGTACTCGCCATTTTCATTTGGTCCGCTTGGAGCACCGATATACACCTCTCCCATGGCCGTGCACACAATCACCTGGCCATTCTGTCCAATGCTCGCCTGTCTTGCCTCGAGGTGGGCCAGACGAGGAGCCCAGACGATCCGAGGAGAGCTCATGGTTGTGATGATAGTTGATCTGGACCGAGCACCAAAATCGATGCCTGTGCCTGTGCCTGTGCCTGTACTTGCGCTTGTGTCTATTCCTGTGCCTGTGCCTGCATTTGTGCCTGAACCAGTAGTGCTTGTGCCAGTACCGGTTCCAATACCAGCGCTTGTACCAGTTCCAGTTCCAGTACCGGTTCCTGTGCCGGTGCCACTCCCTTCGTTCTGACGCCGAGTTGTGGCTGCATTTGACTTGCATGTCCAGATGAACACTTCACCCATGTTTGAAATCGCACCCATGTAGTCTCCTCCGCCACTGGTTATTAATTTTGAAATAAGGTTTCTGGCAGGTTTGTGGACCTGCATTTTGGATGGAAAACGTTTCCAAGGAAGACTATGGATATAGATATACAGATATACGGGAGTTCTTGTTAGTATGTATATATATATATATATATATTTAAAAGAAGAAGAGGCCGTATACACGTATTCACGCACATAGACACATATATACACACCATAAGATCACTTACATTAACTTTTGCTGGCCATAATTAAAAAGTAATACAGCCTGGTTTGTGGAAAACAAAACTGCAGTTGCATTGTCCTACCACAGTTAATAATAATACATACACATATACATATAAAACAAAAGGAAATAAGAATTTGCCTGTGAGTGCTTTGTTGTTGTTCTTATTATTCTTATTATTAATCTCTACACTTCACATACCGTGACTACAACTTGAATAATCTTTTCAGAAAATGTAACCTTTTTGGGAGTCGTCTGGCAAATATCGTCACCAAGATATGTATAGCCTATACATCATCAGACATTATTATTATGTATAAATTAAAAAGTATATGAATATATATATAATAAGGCACCATGGGCGCTTAGTAAGGCTCTCTTACCTAATTGGCCTTGATTATACCCAAAAGTGTATATATCACTACTAGTATAAACAACCGAATGAACACTTGAAGCTGCTACTCCAATAATTGGCAGCCGTTTGAGATTAGCAGCCTGGATTTTTCGTGGTACAAGTTGCATAGGGGTCTCATCTTTTCCAGCATCCGTCTCATAGCCTATGTTTATTTTATATATATATATATATATATATGAAAAAAAAAAAGGGGGGGGGGGGGGGGGAATGGAAAATATCAGAAGCCATCCCAATACTCGGTAAACTCTAAATACGACCCATTTTTCTCTTTTTCTTTCTTCTCCTACCCAAATATATATATAAAACTTACCCAATTGTCCAAAACGATTGTTTCCAAATGTGATTACATTTCCACTCTTTGATAGCGCAATTGTATGATCTCTTCCTAGTGCAACTGCTACAATATACTCTGGCCACTGGACAGCAATTGGTGTCAATTGAGTGTCGACTACCTTTCCGGTTCCCAATCTTCCGCCTCTTCCGAATCCACAGAGCAAAAGATTGTTTCTCGGTTCGCTGGTCAGAATTGCGGTGTGGTATTTCGACATCACGACCGTTCTGACCAGATACGGTGGGCGGCTTGTGATTTCCGGGATTCTCTGGGACTCCAGATCCAGGCGAACACGTTCTGGCCGAGACTTGTTGTCAGAGTCGGGCAACCCAAGCACATAATTTGTATTGATTCCCCATGTGTAGAGGTCTGTGCCACCCGCAACCACATGCTGGTTTTGATTCTGATTTTGATTTTGATTTTGCTGTTGATATTGGTATTGGTATTGGTGTTGAAGCTGATAATGTGAATTTAAATTCAATAGATCATCCAATTGCGTGAGTTTACTAGCTGGTGTTTCAACTTTCAGTGTGCTTATGTTAGGATACGACGAGTCTTTAACTGTCAGGTTGTAAAGTTCGAATGGACTCAATCCTTCCCAATCCTATAATAATAATAAATATATATATAATAAAACGATTAATTACAGACCAGATTATTTCGTATTTTTTTTTCTTGTCTTTCTCACTTTGCCAAGTCTACCTTTATAGATAGGTCACAGCCTTCTCTTTGAACCAAAAGCAATGCAATTTCTATGCGGCCCAAATAAAGCGCTCTAAAAGTGTATATATATATATATATATATAGAAAAGAAAAAAAGAAAACAAAAGTGAAAAATGAGACTTAATACACACAAATACAACCGTATACACATGTGTATATTACTTGCCTGTGTAGTGCTGTCCATCCACTCTCAAGATCTTGTAGATTGATGTTCACCATTGGACATTCAATCAAACATTGGGCAATAGATATTCTGTTCCATTGAACTGCATAATGAAGTGCGGTCTTGCCTTTTGACGATCGTTTGTTAAGGTTATACTGTTTTTGCCCAGTTGTCTTTAAATGATTCCGCAGCCATTGTTGATCTTCTTTTGTAACGTTGGCCGATTGATTGGATTTGGTTCCCAAACCAATCAAGAATTTTACTAGATCTATATTGTTGTCTTTGATGGCCTTGAAAATCGAAACGGATGGCATCTTGATTGGTTGTTATGTTGATTCTGATCTTGATTCTTTTTTTTTATATATATATAATGATTAGCTTTCGTTATCTGTCTATCTGTCTATCTATCCATATATATTATATATTATATTATTTTATACTATGTAGATATTATCTGTATATAATTTAATATAAATAAATATAAATATAAATATATATAAAAAAATGTGTGTGCGCAAAAACAAACAAATAAATAAGTTTGGTGTAGACAGACTAAAAGTTCAAATAAAAAAGGAGCAAAATAAGGGTAGCCAACCAGATCAATTTATTGCTGACCGGACTTTTTTTTTTTTTGTTAAAAAAAAAAAAGAAAAGTTCAAAATTAATTCAAATGTGTGTTGGATAAAATTCAGTACTCATAGTACCATCTCTTCTCATCATGTGCAACTCTGTTGTTGACGGTTTTTCTAGAGCTTGAATTCTATGGTACATATTCTTCACCAAAAAAACATGCCCTTCTTCTCAATCCAAGTGGAGACGGAAGAAGACTAAGCCAGTCAGAGTTGTTCAACAATTTTGCCTATTCCTTGCCTATTGTGAATACATTGCTTGGCTTCTTGGTACACCGTACAGAGAACATCACATCTGCTTAAGCTTAGTTCAATGCAATTGACTCTTAGAAAGTGTTTAGTATTAATACTACATTTGGCTTGACTACTGCCCCCATGGAATCGGATGTACACTATTCTCATTAACGTTTCGCACATAAATAATAAAAATGATACTTTACATATACCACTGTGCACACACCTTTATTAAATACACATTTAATTTTATGTAAGATCTTTTCATGAGTGTCATTATTTTCTACCGACAAGAATATGGGTACAGACATACTCAAGAAGTTCTTTATTCTGTATTACCAAGCTTTAAGATTTATTGGGTAATTCAACGCATTTAAATTGATAGAATCTGGTTGATTTTTTTTTATTATTCTTGTATACATTTTCGCAAATTTCATTTAGGTATAAATGGTCTCTAATGTTTGCATTACCTGTAAGCTACAGTATATTTAAGCCGAAAATTTCAAGTTGATACAAGAGTATAAAGCTAATATTTCATCCAATTTCATTCTCCAAAAAGAAAAAAGAAGAAAGTCCCATAACTTCTTTTTCCCTTCCCTTTGTAGATTATAAAAGAAATATGACTCTTTGATACGTCTAGACTCATGGTAATGTCTTAGAAGACGGTGTTAGATATTAAATATACAAAACACTATTACATTGAGATTAGCTGTAATCTTTTCTTTATTTCTTTAATTTATTTGTTCATACAAAGTGCCTGGGATTTTATAGCGGTAAATAAAATAAAAATAAGATGGAACCGAAATTTCGGATTTAATTTTATATAATAGAGTAATTTTTTTTTTTTAAAAAAAAAAAGATCTTCAAGCTGATTGGCAAGTTTGAGCTTCGATACTGCATGAATCATAAGCATATAGAGATGGTTATTCGCGTCAACTGAATTTAGAAAGATGATGGTGACACACACACATAACATACACACTACAAACATATACACTAGCATTCTCAAGTGTTCAGGTCATTTAGTCAATCTTGACATCATTAATTAGCAATGTCGCAACCTAAATCTAATGTCTTGGTAATAAGTGTATTCCATTACTACTACTACTACTACTACTACTACTACTACTACTGCTGCTGCTGCTATTATTATTATTTACATGTGCTCATATTTATTTTGTGTCTGTGTGTGTATATGTCTGTGCTTGTTTTCCTTTTCGTTTCATGTAGAACTCAACATTAGCTGGAGCAGCAGCAGGAACACTCGAGTTACTCATTATGCAGGTAAGATTCCCTTAAAACAAGATACAAATGATCCACTGATCTGCTGATTAAGGAAGAAAGACGTATAGACACACATATATATATATATATACAAAGATGAAACTTTTGATATAATTTCTCTATTATTGTTGTTATTTTAGCCAACTGATGTTATCAAGACTCGGTTCCAAGTAAGAATGTTTATTTCATAATAACATTATTATTATTGTTTTTACTATCAATGTAGAAAGCATGTTCTCAAAAGTGATGTTGTTATACAATAAATAGTCTATTCGCCTGGCATCGCATTATCAGGACGGAATTATAAATGCCTTTCGTCGTGTCCTGCGAGAAGAGGGATTTTCTGGTAGGATTGACCGAAATTACGAATCCAAACCCAAATCCAAATCCAAATACAAATACAAATACAAATACAAATACTATCATATGCCTTGTAAGATAGCTCAAACCGTTTTCGATTAGCCTTTTACAGGGGTACATTGCCTGTCTTGTGTATTGTCGGTCCTCGGATATCGTTGCAGTACATGGGCCTTGCCTTATACAAGCCTATCTTTGAGAAATACGAAGGGACGTTTATTCCTGCACATAGTTCTGCAGGACTTGCAGGTGTAAGTAGCCATATATAATACAATATATACACTGGACAATCTTATGGACGTTATCAATACACACAGATATGCACCGGAATCACTCAAGCGGTAACTCTTGGTAAGACGAACAACGCCAAGATTGATAGATACTTGGTTCAAGACTAACTCTTATAAATGTATATATATGCACTTGTTTATTTGTGTGTGTGTGTGTGTGCGTTTTTTTCTTTTTTGCTTTATTTAGTGACACCACTGGAGATGATCAAGGTCCGCCAGCAAACTGATATGATGAACGCAGCTCATCAACGAAAGTACCATGGTCTTATTAACACTGCTTCAATTATTGTCCGTCAAGAAGGGTAAATTCTGGATTGAGAAATCGAGAAAGAATCGAACAGGAAAACCTTATTTTATGTTATTTTTCTATTTAGATTCCGTGCTCTTTATAGTGGTCTTGTTGCTACAGTGGCAAGACAATCATGGGGTGAGTACTAAAACAAGGAGCAGAGAGAAAGAGATACATATGTAATGGATTGTTGGGTTAGTCTTATTTATTTATTTATTTACACTTATCTAGGTTTGTTGGTCAAATTCTCTGGCTACACTGAAATCAAGGCATTATTTACGAAGCATTCCGAAGATCCAAGTCAGCCTCTGTCTCCTTGGAAACACATGGTAAAAAATAGTACTAAAATTGTGTAATAGATATATGTATATATGCTAGGCTTTTTATTTATTTAGTTATATCCTTTCATTTTATTCTTTACTAATCTATATATCTGTATATTTATTTATATTTATATATATCTACCCGCCTATCTGCCTATCTTCCTATCTACAAATAATAATAAATTTCATGTTTCAGGCTAGTGGTGGTTTGGCTAATGTGTTGGTTGCTATCCTAAACTCTCCTCCCGATGTAGTCAAAACAAGGTTTGTGGCAAGCACGATACGGGTAGTACAAAACAGAGGATGCTTGAAATTAAATTATATGTTTGTGTACATACGTATTTTCGACTGTTTTTTTTTTTGGGTTATAGAATGCAAGACGACGGTCGGCCATATCGTAACACATGGGATTGTATTAGGCAAATGGTTAGAAACGAGGGTTTTTTGTCCTTTTTTAAAGGATCTTATCTTCGTATTATTCGAATTGCTCCAGGTAAACGGAGAAAAAAAAACAAGATTATATGCTATATGCCCTTGCTATCAATAAGAAGCAAATATTATGATTATGGTTGATACTTGATATGATTTATTAATATCCTTTATGTGTATATATACATGCAATGCCTCTATGATATCTTAGGAGGGGCTATTCAGTTTGCAGCTTATGAACAAGTTTTATCCTGGTTGAACAAGTTATGAAAAAAAAATAGAATGGATATATATATGTTGAAGGACAATTGTTGCTTTTATAAAAGAAAATAATTACAATGGTAGTGCTGTTGTTATTACATGTGTATAAAAATAAAATAAAATGGGGGTATTTTGTTTTTGGAGTGATAGGATATAATGAATGTAAATGAATTATGGATGTGAGAGAGGTTGAACTCTATGTACAGTGTAAAAGGAAAGATAAAAGAGGCTTGTTTTTTTTGGGTTCTAATCTACCTAAACGGCTAAAATGCTAATATTCTCTCTCTCTTTCTTTCTTGTTGTTATGATTATTATTGGTAAGAGATACGTCGACCAGGCCGAATTCGAAGTGGTTTAGGCTCGATGTGTGAGACAAAGTCGCGCACCATGAAATAGACCGAGAGACCGGGAGTCTGGCTCACCTGGGCACTTGCTCGGATAACGAATCCAAAGTGCTCAAAAAACTTGACGGTGTCAGGGTGATTGACTTCGACATAGACAGGGTAATGGGACGCATCGGCTTTTTCGAGAACGTGGCGCAGGAGAGTGCCACCAAGGCCTTTGTGCTGTTGGTGGGAGAGAACTCCGAGAAATCCAATGGTGATGTATTCCTGAGAATATTCGGCCATTACTTTGCGGCGCATTTTATCGCATGTTGGTTGAAATCGGACGAATGCACGCACCGCAGATGCCCAGCCGGTGAGACGGGCCAGTTTTACTGTGCCGATAGCTCGTGTCCAGGAACAGCCCTGTGGTAGGTTTGACCAGACTAGAACACCTTGGCAGCCGTCAACCTGGACCACAAAGTCACGGCTCTGGAGGCTAGAGCTGTTAATAAGGTTCTTGAACACATTGTAAAGGAAGCTGTCATGCTTGGAATGTTCGAGACCACGGGCACACCAGCCCAATATCGCATCAGAAGCATATGCATCTGTGAGGGTATGAGAAGCTTCTTTGATAGCACCTAAAATATCAAAACAAAACAAAAAACAAACAATTTAGCGTGAGATGATGTATATATGTATATGTGAGTGTGAATGATGAAAAAAAACCAAAGAGGAACAATGGATTTGGTTGTAATTGATGTTTTACCTTTCACCACGTGTCGAACATTGACGGTTGGGTCTGTTGTTACTGTGAGTTGGCGGCTAAGAGGCTCTGACTCTGCGTGTGATATGAGGGAAGGCATTCAAGTATATAAGTAAGAAGGTTGGAGCTCGGTAGTGCTGGTAATGATGAGAGGGGGGAATATCAAGTAAACTTTTTGTTTTTTGATCTTGGCTTTTATATGAGATTTCTAAATTATTATTTATTTATTTATTTTTTTTAAAAAAAAAAACGGAGTTTGAGAGGCCACCATGGTTGAGTTTTTTTTTTTTTTTTTTGTAGGTGGCCTTGAAAAGGAAAAAAAAAAATTGGCTGGACTGGAAAGTACTAGAGCGAATGGAAGCAAAAGAGAGACAGCTACAGTGTGACAGATCGTAGAAGGAGAAGCCAAAGTCGAGACTCGAACAATAAAATAAGAAAATACAAAAGAAGATTTTGAATCTCCACAGAAATACGATGTTTATTTTGGTTTTTCTGGATTTTGTAACAAAGCACAGACAATTTCTGATCCAATCAACGCCCAACAAGAAATAGACCCAAAGGCGATCCCATTGTATTTTATCCTTCTTTCTATACTTTATGTAAAGTTATATATAAGTAGCTAGCTAGCTAGCTAGCTAGTTAGTTAGTTAGATTAATAGCTTTTTTTTTGCAGTCTAGAAGTAAAGCCTTACTTTAAAGGATACATGCTTTTATTTCTATTTTTTTTTTTAGTATTGAATATCGCTCGTTATTGAACCCAGCAAAACAAGAGAATTCGTTTCTGTTCTTTTCTGTACCACACAACCAAGCTCAGATACATTCTATCAAGATAAAAATAAAAATAAGAATACAATATAGAACAATGAACATGGTTTTTTATTGGTATTCTGGACACGTTCTGCTTGATTGTTATAGAGGATACAATAGCCTCTTGAAATAAATGAAGCGCTAATATATGTAGCTACATATTAAATCCTGACTTGTTTTAATATCTTATTATCATTAAAAGAAATAAAGTTAGAAAATCAACGCTATTGTAGGTATTCTATTATGCAAAAAAGCATTAGAATCAACCTAACTATTCTCTGTTAGGACTCTTGGTTAGATCCTACCTTGAGAAGAAATTACATCCAAAAAGAGCTATTGTTTTAGGGCGATCTTTTTTCTTTAAGAAAATCTTGCACTATACGATTAGTGGCTTAGTCTTTTTTCTTCTTCTTATCATTACTATCAATAATTACATACTTATTGATTTAATAAAGATAATTATCTAATGAGTACCACACTTTCGAGTCGCTTTCCTTAATATATCTGTATATAAAACATTATTAGCACATCACAATTTGAGCCACTATAATGTGGCGTAAGTTATTTAGTATCTAAGCACTATGTACTATCTATCATAGTCTAGAATCTCAAAAAAAAATAGATAAAGACAGGATATAATTATATATCACATATACACATAAACCCCTTCCCTTATCAACAATTCTTAGATCTGACTTATAGGTCTATGTTACTTGGTGTTAGGGATCATATTTGGGATCTTTATAATTTTGACATGAAATGGTACTTGTGTATGTATGTATAAGAATTAAGAATCAATTAAGTTAAGTATACAAGATTAATGTCAAATGCAGCTACCATCAGTCATACGATCTTCACATTTTTGGACTAAGCACAAAGCAAATGCAACGTATGATGCTTCTCCAACTCTTATTGCATAGAGACATTTAGACTAGTCGCACCTTGTGTACAGACTCATGAAGGAGAGGATCAGACTTACTAAATTAGGCTCAAGTAGAGCTATCAAAGTCAAGTCTATCGTCATTTTGGTTATTTACTTCTTTACCTTGCTTTTATTTTTGTTATGCTTTTTTTAAGAAGATAAAAGGTTGTCCTCCAAAGTACTTTGACTAATTCACACACATGTTACATTTGAATATATAAAAGAGAAAAAAAAAGTGTTGGAAGTATAAGCGTATGGATATTGCTTGTAGGCAAGAGTTGAAAGCCAGATCTTGGAGTGGTAGTATATAAGTCTCCAGGTTGAGGAATATAATGCTCTCTTTCTATTTGAGAGAGTATAGTCTCCTTTTGTGCAGCATGAGTTTTTCATCCTCTGGCCATGTCTGCTTTGGGTTGTAATAATTCAAAAGGATGATTTTTTTGTTTCTAAATATCACAGTTCATTTCAGTACACAGTCTACTCTGAATCATAATGCGTGACCAGTAAATGCTTTTTAAAATGATAAAAAAATAAGCAGCAGTAGCATTTTTAACGGGTCCTACTATATTATTCACTCTTTCATAGGACTTTACAGCTGATATATACCCCCATCAATTAGTATTATATTGCATTCTATACTACTAAATATGTACATCTAATTTATATAGTTTATTAATTTATTATCAACCACTACCTAATTATTACATCTAAGATATTGATTCACATATATAGTAAATTCCTCCCAAAGATATCTATCAGTCTATATATATATATCTAATCACTAAAGTTTATGCCTATGCCTATGCCTATGCCTATGGGTAGGAAAAGAGAAAAGAGATGCATAGCCTGTACGCACCAGCTTATGCATTATTTTATATGCCAAAAAAAAAAAAGACCGACGCTGAGTTTTTAATTCCGTTGACGTGGACCGTGCATAAAACTTTACCATAAACAGAAATTATTTCTTTATTTTTTTTTTTTAAAAAAAAAAAAAAACAACAATTTAGAAGCTGTAAGATTTTATAGGAAAAAAGATCAAAGTATTTGTTTAAAGAAAATGAAATAAAATAATGTAGGTTGCTAGTATTTTGTAAAATCTTCTTAGGAATCAAATACTGTGAGTGTATGTACCCAATACACAAGGGATGCCAGCAATATTAAGGACACGACGCTTCCGAGATGTGAGTCGGCATTTCCTGTTAGTGTATAACATTTTGAAGTAGTATGCCAGTGACATACAGATGTATATGTAAAAATATATAGTTAATATTACACTTTCTGTACTTGGTTAGATAAATTATACGGTCTTAAATTAGAGAGGGTGCAAACTTATACTAACTTTGTTATAATAATAATTATTGATCATTAGGGACCAGATAAAATTGCTAGACTTTGCATAACAAGTCTCATCTGGGTGGTCTAGCAAAATCGAAACGTCGGTTCCCTAAGATAAGCGTTTCTTTATATAATCTTGCCAAAGTAAATAAAAAGTACAGGTGTCTTAACGAAATGTTATGTATTTAAGTCTGTTGTAATAAATCAAGTCCAATTTATATCAGACAGGTTTTAATTCCTTGTAGTATCCAATACTTTGATCTTTTTACGGGAGTATAATCGGATAGTTTTTACCTTTATCAAACAGCACAAAAAAAGGAAATATATGTGGTTGCATCCAATCGTGACTTCTTTTCCTTAGCCAGCTAGCTCTATCATTAAAGAGGTACCTCATTTTTTGTGATACTCATTTTCCTATAGTTTATCATTATGCTCCACAAGAAGAAAAATGTACTCGAGGTGTTTGCCGAGAATGAGCGGGTGAATATCTGTGCGCCAATGGTGCGATACAGCAAGCTACCTTTTAGAGAGCTGGTATTGAAGTAAGACTTGCGATCCAACACATCAACTATGAGCTCATGAATAAAAACAGATACAATGTCAACATCTCATATACACCAATGATCATTGCTGATGTGTTTAAAAACTCTGAATTTGCTCGCGAATCCGATTTTTCAACCAATGCCAATGACAATCCAGTTGTAGTTCAGTTTGCAGCCAATAATGGACCAGACCTAGCGGCAGCAGCAGAATTGGTGGCACCGTACGTTGGTGGTATAGGTATGTACAATATATATATATATATATGTACGTAAAGGGTTCATTTGATCTCTTTGATTAATTTATAAACAGACATCAACTGTGGATGTCCTCAAAAATGGGCTGTTCAGGAACGGATTGGCGCTCATTTGATGTCAGATCCTGAGGCAGTTCGAGATATGATACGGACTGTCAAGGCACGCATGGACACACCTTGCAGTATCAAAATTAGAGTTCACCAAGATCTCAAGGAAACATACGAATTTGTAAAGCGAGCAGAGGCTGTAGGTGTAGACTTTTTGACAGTTCACGGTCGCACAAGGAAACAAAAATCCACAGAACCTGTCAACTTTGAAGGTGTAAAACTTGTTAAGGAGTCCGTAAGTGTTCCAGTGGTAGCAAATGGAAGTATATTTTCTTTGGCCGACGCAGAAGAGATGTACGAGAAGACTGGTGTGGATGGTAAGATAACTATTTTTTCTATTGTTCTGAAAATACAGTATCTAACATATTATCAAAGGTGTAATGTCTGCTAGAGGGCTTTTGAAGAACCCAGCATTCTTTGCAGGTCATGATTATACACCCTGGGAGTGTGTAGAGGTGAGAGAGAAATGATATACAATATAAACTTCGATTCTGATGTTATGTCGTTTAGAACTATGTCAAACTTGCTCTAGGATATGGGACAAATCTCCATATATTTCACCATCACCTTATGTACATGTTTGAAGATATCATGTGCAATGCAGAACGCAAGACGTTTAATACACTCTCGAGTATCCCTGCCATCATTGACCATCTAGAAACCCACTGGGGTCTCGATGTCAGCAAACTAATCTAATTTCCTCTGTATAGCATAAAAAAAGGATACATATTCAATTACACAGACTTCTGCTTCACATATAATTCACTTCATTTTCTTAGTTTTTACCTGTCTTGTCAACAGAGCCATCTCCTTCTTCGCATACACAGACTGGCACATATTCAATAGCTATTAAAAATATACATAGTCAGCATAGACCAATAAAAGTAATGTGCTTACAATTCCATCATTTAAAATCTCAGCGTAGGCTGTCTGTCGTCTAATGATTTCCGTTGCTCGTTTGAATTTCCCAAGTTGCAAGAGATCTTCTGCGTAGTATAACCAACATTTGCATTCCAAAATTGGATCTTTTAACCATTGTGCTAGTCTGATCTGCTGTAAAGCCAGTGTTTTTGCCTTGTGGGCCTGTGATCCAAACAATGATTATTGGTTTCGGGTACCTTTCTCTTGTTCTTCTTAATAAATAAAGGAGAAAAATAACTCACAAAAAAGCTGTTGGTCTTTCCAAGGGAGCTATAAGCACCGCCAAGAACCGAGAAATAAACACCCGTAAATGCAACAAGGTCGGCCCGCGACGCAACTGTCCACATCATACGCGCCCTATTGTGTTATTAGGTATTGTATTCTTTTTCTCAATTATCATACCATGACATGCTTGGGATCCTGCTCGTACGTCTCAAATAGTTATTAATATCCAGTTCTATTCTCAACTCGATTGGTGCGCCTGGAAGTGGTAACTTGTCTGTCTTGCTAGCTCTCAAACAACCTCCGATTAGTAGTTGGATTGCTCCCACTTGATTTGTCAGAACACGATCCTGAATGGCTTCAACAGTCCGACAGTCATAACAGAATATTCTTCCATAATTTATTCGGCAATCAAAGTCGAATGAAACGTGATTTAGGCGGATGAGTTGATGGGGATCTGATGGATTGGGTACTAATACAAGCACTGATTCTAAAAAAAAAACCATTATTATTAGCTTTAATATATATAAAAAAATCCCCCCTGTAACTAAGGCTGCTCACGGTCTACACAAAATGACTGGCATAAATTCTGATGAGAATGTGAAAACAGAGATTCTATAGAGAAAAAAGCAGATTTTGGATTCTGCATTGAAAGAAAAAAAAAGAGCTTTCACGATGGTCTCCAAAAGAGGAGGGCTGTATGTGACCGCCTGAATGCAAAATCGCTTTGATTTGCTTTTTGTAAAAAAAAAATAAAAAAATAAAAGTATTTAATCTTATGTTTAAAAGAAGGATGTGTGTGCGTGTGTGTGATTAAGATCTAAAAATGTTTCCCAATCCATGTTCTTTGATGTATTCACCACCGTACTCCTCATACTCCTTTTTGCTGACTCTTATGTTCTTGAATTTTTCATCCAGGGCAACCATGGCAGCACCTTTCCAGGCATCCAAAAGAGGATCCTTAGCACGCTTCACTTGAATAGCAGTATTTGCCGGAAAAATAGACTGCATTGATCCTTCAATACGTTCTGATATTCCAGGTAAACGGCTGAAACCACCGGTAAGGAATATGTGCTAAGAATTAAAACCCCCAATAAAGTATAAAAATAAATGCAGTTATATAAAGAGATCTATTTACAACTGTACATGTATTACAACCTGTCTTACCTTCATCACTTTGGCCTTTTGTTCAGAATCAAATGTCTTTACAACATCATTAACTGTCTCTACAAGACCGGCCTGATCAAGGCCAATTATGCTTGGTTGAAAGAGAACTTCTGGAACTCTGACTCGTTCGATATTGACATGAAGTTGATGTGATTGACCAACATCTGCAGGATCAAAAGGTGGGTAGACACCGCGTGCAAGAAGATGCATGAGTGTGTTAGTAGCAGACGAGCGTGCTTCATAAGAGTCTTCAGGCTTGAAATCTGGGTCAAATTCCAGTAACATTGATTCGTACTGGTTTAATAACGATAGGTCTTCTTCTTCGTCGTCTGATTCATCCTCCCGATTCTAAAGCATGGGTTGAGTATATTTCCAAGTACAACCAAAATACAAACTCACAATTTCACGATAGATCATCCAATCATCATCATCAGCACCAAATGTGTCCTCTAATTTTATCCATTTTATACTTGAGATACTGAAGACTCGTCCTCACACTTTGGGATCAACAATTTACCTTCCTGTCCTTTTCGACGCCGCTTAGGTGAAGGGCTATCGCTTGCCAGATTAGCAATTGAGCGCATACGCATTTGGGATGCTCGACTTCTTCTGTCAGCCAGCTCCATTGCCAGACGTTTTCTCTTTTTGATTCTATCAATTACTTTCTAAATCATAAAAATAATTAGTTTGCTTGTTAGATTGTCTTTTCAATATATTCTAACCTCTCTCTTATCCTTGACACCCTTGATCCAGTTCCCGGGATTGCGTCTACGTTCTTCTTCTTCAAGTCGTGCTTGCTCTTCCTGTGTCGTAGACCATGTCAGAATATTGTCTATTTTTTATATATATATGTGCTTATTTTCTGTATCTTACTTCTTGTGCTTTGGCTTCTTCCTTTGCTTTTTTAGCACGCTTTCTGGCATCATAACTAGCTTTTAATAATCTCTGTTTTCGTTTTTCCTTTTTATCTGCCTCCGAAAGCTCTTCGTCTGGGATGTCGATCAGAGTAGTTGGAGGAGGGTCCTGTGCTTAATATTTTAATATAGTTTTTGAGTAACAAACCAGCTTACTAACCTTTTCTTCATTATCGTCAATACCCAACTCTTTGTTGCGTGCACGCTGAATTTGAATATCGACCTGTTTAATGGTCTCATCAAGATCTGCTTCATCTTTAAAGCCGGACTCTTTGAGTTGTGTCTATTTTAAAACGTTAAGAAAATACACCCCAAAATTCTTTTGAAATTATAACCTACCAGCCATTCAGCTTTCTTCAGTGATCCTTTTTGGTTCTTCAAGAGAGTAAATGCTTCGAACTCTTGTTCCCTTTTGACAAGCTACTCCAAAGTCACAATTAGCATATTCGTAAATTAGCACAACTGTCATACCTTCTCCAATCTTGATCTTGCTGCTGCCTCTCGGAGTCTCTTTGCATTTTCTTCTTTTTTCGCAGCCTGTCTTGCCAGTTCTTCTTCCGTTTTCTCTTCAACGACCTACATCGTATATGTTACCCAACTGAAATCTATATCTTGTTTTTTTTCTCTATTACCGGCGCTGTAAATGGAAACTGAACAATGCGATCGATTTTGGCAAAAGTAGACCGATCTTCAATCTCTCTTAATGTCTGTTGGTAGTCCTTTGCAACATAGCATTGTTCTTGGACTAATTCCTTTATTCATATGTAAGTCCATCTGATTCAATGTTTTATTGTTGCTAATCTTATTAATAATAAAATTTAACTACTTACTTGTGCCTGACTACTTGTCATCTTGGTTGGAAATGTGGGGTATTTTAGCTGCATAAGTTTCAGCATATAGTCGGTTGATTGAGTACCACCATATGAAATACTAGGCAAAAAAAAAATAATACAATAAGCCTAATACGCCAGTACACAAAATGTTCGTTCTATTACCGCTTGGTGCGCTCTAATAATCCTTTGCCATGGAGTGTTGGAATTACATGTGTTGCAGTATGGCCAGCCGAGATAACTATTCCACCTTCATCTTGACTACCTCCGTTGGCGTGATAGCTAAAGAGAGAGTCAATGCCATATGTGACGGACGGGATACCATAAGATTCGAACAAAAGCTCAGACATTTCTAAATAATAAAAGTTAATTAAATATTACAAAGGTTATAGTACGTGTAGCTCCATACGTCTGCGGCTATGTTGTGGGTTACAGACAGGCTCTGTTATAACAATAGAGTGGTCTATACGAGAATCTTTGATTCCAAGCGTAATAAAGATATAGTCCAAGATGGTTTCCTATTTATCCTTATAAGTCTTTTTTTCATTCGTTTTTTTTTACCTTAACAAATATTGTATACTTACCATGCGGTCCAAATCAGAAACAACATTAGAATCGAATGGTGAGCGGGCATTTGAGCGCCCTGCTGGATCAGCATAGGTGTCCATTCCCACGGCTATCATGGTCTTATTGGTCTTGCGATCCTTGTATTTTGACACGACATTATCAAATATCACTACCAGGTACAAGGTAAATATGTGCCTTGTGAAATAATATAATAGAGCATCTTACACGAGGGCTTGTCTTCAGAGGCCCAACCGGCTCGACATTGATAGGATCCTAATACAAAAAGTTCAATAGTCAGTCCATCTAAGCATGGGTTGTAAATCTGTACGTACCATTATCAATGACAATTGGTGTACGGTGACTATGAAAGCTCTTATAATCCGTGCGAATTGGGTAATATGGTGACGGGTACTCTTTTTCTTCGAGAGTATAGATGGGTGGTGCTGTTGCCAGATCAGCCATGATGTAGTGCAGGAAAGAAGTGGGCTTAATTACAAACGTCTTTTTGCAAAAAGGGCGAGGCGTGACTTGTTAGTGGATCAACTTGCTTATGGTTTATCATGACTTTACAGATATATGTGTTTATTGAAAGGTGCGTTTATGTTTTGATTGCAGAATTATAAGAAGCAGTAAGACAAAAGAACTTAAAGAAGAAAGATTGGTTGATAACAGAAATATTTTTAAAAAGAAAAAATAAATAAGGAACTATACAAAAGACAAGTTGTTTATACACTGTCTTGTTTGGATTCGGCCTTTTTAACTATAGTAGTAGTAGACCTTGGGGAAAGTGTTTTACGAGGTTCTAAAGGTTGACCTTTTTCGTAAGGTTTCTAGAGTTGTTTTTGAACCCAATATCATTATTATTTTATAAAATCATAAAAGTCTTGACTTACCTTGATACTCTGTTTGTCATTATATGTGTATGTATTGCTTAATCTAGCTCTCTTTTGTGGTTGGAAATCTTTCATTTCATCTTCTAAGTGACATATATCCAATTTCACTTTTCTGGGAAGCTTCTCATGTAAACCAGACAATATTTCATAGATTTTGTATGAAGCCTTTTAATAAATTCGATGATTAGTAACAGCTTTTTTTGTTTATTGATATAGGCTTTTTTTTAGATTACTTACATAAGCATCATTAGCAGCATAACGTTGTTGTATAGGTGTTAATACACGTTGATCCCACCTACTCATACGAACTTTTCCCTTTGGCATGTGTTGACCAAGCTAGTGACCCATTTTACGTTAATATACGTTCCTTAGCGACTACAATTATATAATCAATTAACTTACAAACATCCCGGTAAGTGCTTGAAGGGATCTGCGATGGGTGATATCCAGTTTTGGAGATTGACTTGTGGACGCCATTACATCCAGCTCCACCAGCCCGTTTGTAAACACACCATAGTCTCTGAGTAGTTTCCTTCCATCATTACGAATATTTACACCGGCTTTAAGCTTTGTCCTTGACTTTAAGAAACTGCCTAATTCAATAGGAATCTCTATTGGTGATGGCAATAATAATAAATTCAAATTAGGTGAGTAAATAACAAACTCAAAAAAAAAGGTACACAATAGTACACAATAGTACTATAGTTCACTTCTTCTTATTTTCTTATTTTCTTTTTCTTTTTACCTTTTGTTTGGGATAATTGAATTAATAAAATAGACTTTGCATCACATATCTGAACCAACGCAGTTTTGTTTTCTCCTCTTCCTTTAACAAATGTGGGTGCCCACTCCATGTCGAGTCCAAACATCGTACTCTTTCTAAATTACAATTCTTGTTAAGTAGAATATTCAAAAATTGCCTATCTGTTTCTTACGAGAAAAGTTCACACATGAGTCGGTTCGTATCTAACGAAGTAGAAACACATTCTACTCTGTAGGTACTTGGATGCTGGAGTGTGGGAAGCGTATTTAAGAATTCGGTATAAGAATCTTTTCTTTTAATGGTAGTTATACTGGATGTTGCGTCCAAGCTCTCAATAACTGTTGTTTCTTGAGGTATATTCTGCTCCGAGGGTGGAATGCTAGAAAGATGATTTTTTTAGCCATTAAGCTTTAATTATAATCGATGGTGAATGTACCCGCGTTTCTTCAAGTATACAGGAATGCTTCTGGTTTTTTTAACTACTTCACTCATTAAGCGTTGCTGAATAATTATAGGTCTTGGTAATGTGTGGCTTGTGGTGTTTCTAGCCTGGTTGGCAAAAAGTATTACTACTTTTGAAAAATGCTTCATATGATTTCAGGGGGTAAAGGAGGAAGAAGTCAAAAAATAAAGAAGCTAAAAACAGAGTCACGACCTTCGAAGACAAGTCTCCAGAAAATCATCTCTGTCGGGAAAGGAAAAATGAAATGAAAGAAGAAAAAAAAATAATATATATGTGTATTTTGGTGATCTATTTAAGATCCACAAAAAAGTTCCATCGTCCTTCCAAGAGACCCTTTGCTGTGTCTTCCAAAAGGATTTCTCGTCGTAGCTTTACATAAACGCTCTTATCTAAGACAGCCTGTCGCAGCTCAGCAATCCTTTCACGCTCCAGTGGTTTCTCAAGTAGTTCCGAAAGCTGTTCCGTGGCCATTTCAAGGTCTCTTTGATGATCCTTTTTGAATAAAACTGTCAATAATTTGCCTTGGCCTTTAATAAAAAGAAGATTCGCCTTACCTCAAACAGTTCCGTCTCATTTGTCTTTGTCATATAGAAAGCGAACGCATAAGTCCATTTTAAGGTTGTTCTGGACTGGACAGTAACATCAACAGCCTTTTTCAAGAATTGAACCTCAATCCATGAAAGGTCGCTTGTTTGTTGCATCTCCTCCATCTTTGATTCTGTCTTCTGATATAAATCTTGGTCCAATTTAGCTGATTGTTCGTGATTTGCGAATCGGTTGTAGTACTATTCAAACCCAAAGATACATTACATTAACCACAAGACGTCAAATCACACACAAAGAATCCTTACATGGAGATATCTCTCCAGGCTTGCTCTTGACTGGGTTTGACTGTCTCTTGCTTCTGAGCTACTTCTTTCATCGAAACGATTACATGTATACCATGAAGTACCGTGTTCGGACCATGGACCTAATGAGTCAGTAGTGTGTAAGTACATACCATCTCAAGTTTTTTCCTGACCTCAAACTTTACCCATGCACACCCAGCAAAACTCATGGCGGCACTTTCTACACGTCATATGGTTGCATCCACCATTTTTTTCGATTGTCGAGTGGCATCTTGGACATTCTTTAGTATGTGCTGAGATCCAGTTTGCTGTCTCAGAATCATCCTCACACTTCTTCATCCACTTCTTTACTAAAACACAGATACAAGGCTACTCCACACTAAAATAAGTATTCAGAGTAGCTCATCCAGTCAATGGCTTACCTGATGGTCAGCCAAGCCACACCCAAAACAAAACACCAATCCACATGTACATTGTACAGTAGGAACCACAGATGTTAAAGAAGTGCTAGGTATGTTGCATTCAATAGCATATTCACAGTCGGGGGCAGGACACCATCTCAAGTGATCGCTGTCATCAACAAAAGTTCTGTTTAATAGCTCGCGGTATCTATAGTCAACGCATTAGTCTGCCATTCAATCATATGTATATGTATATATTACAACACGCTTCCTTACTTTGAAAATGTTTTGTCGTCCACCAATATTTCTACAGTGACTTCATCCACAATCACATTACATTTGTCTTGAGGACACTCCACTCTCCTGCTCTCGCCTTCTTCCCGAATTTTTTGTGTAAGGTAATGAGCATAACAGGTTCTACAGAATCGATGTCCGCATGCAATTGCTACGGTCTCCATCTCTGGATCGTCGTCACAGCAAATCTCACACATGAATTTTCCTTTTCCAGGTATATTCTTGGCAAGTATCAGCGCACTACTTCCTTGCTTCGCATTTTCTGCTACGCCTGCGAGCTGTAGAACCTTTTCAGGGTTGTCCATGTAACGTTCAAATAATCTTTCCTTATTCCATCTAAAATAGCGCAGCAACATCGTAGAATCTTTGGTTGGAAGACCTATAAAATAGAATATAATAAAGTAAAGTAAAAATATACAGAAATCAATTATATTTTTTATGAAACTGGTTAGCTGCATTCATTTCGAAAATAAGACCAGAAACATAAAATGACTGCCTGGTTTAGAAAAAAATAGAGGTTATGATTCTCACCCAGAATGGTCGCCACCTGTGACACTTCTTGATCTTGCATTTTTTGAAGACTGATACTATTTTGTACACTATATTCGACTTCATAAGCCTTTTTGCGCTGCTTATCAGCAAAGACGCCGTCAAAGGCCACGTCGTCTTCTTCGTCTGCATAATCTTCATTGTCTATAATGCCCAGCGGAGGGTAATGTCAGTCCGCGAGTTAAGCAGATGGACACTTTAATCATACAATGTCAAAACTTTAACTAGCTAGATAAAGTGGATTAGTCTTTTGGATTTGCTTAAAATAGATAAAATATAGTCTGTGAAGATTCTGGTAGACATAGAAGATAACCGGAGAACGATGCTTACCCTTACCACTCATAGAACTGGCAAAACCAGACTCGTCCATGTCGCTGTAATCTCTGCTGTCTTCAAGCTGCACAACATATTCTTAGAAGTTAGACCATCAAAAGGTTATATATTACCATAAAGTCATCTTCACTTTCGGAGGCCATGATGTTATTAGGTATTGTAGACACTAAGAGGGGAAGAAGGCAATGAAGAAGCGAAAGAGAGGAGAAGACAAGATGGGGTGACTGGTCTCGATGTCGGAGTTCTGTGATATCGCGGAGTCTGCTGTGAAGGAAGACACTCCTTACTGGTTCAATCATGAATAACCCATTTTCTGCAAACGCATAAAAAGAGAAACCCGCGCAATAAAATACATGCAAAATAATATAAAGAGGTATGTATGTATCGACAAATTGATTAACAATGCAATCAGATAAAATTATTTTCATTATTATTATTATTATACTGGTAAAGTAAGTTATAATCCAAGCAAAATTTGTCAAAAGGTATATCAAAAACAAAGACAGATAAAATAAGGATATAGATGATCATGTAAAGGCATTTTGGATAAAGATGACCATAATACTCTTGTTTATATTGGTACAAATTTGATAATTATTACTTTTATGATTTTTAAGAATAATTATTGCCCTGCTTATATTAAATGCTAGATAGCCAAATTGGTTATTAGTTAAATTAAACAAGGCTAGGATGAGCGCCCTATTTTTTTTTCCTTCTCATCGACATGAGGAGTAGAAGGAGTAGACTATGTACAGAAGACATCATGTTGGCTCAGATTGTGGCTCGTGAGCCCATGTCTATTTACAACTGCACTGCGGATGGCTGTGTGACTAAAGGAGGCTTTGCTGTACAACATTTCATCTAGCATTGCCCCTGTATCCTGGATGAGCTTGAGATAAAGTGGAAAGTATAAAAGATGTGCTTTATAAGATAGGAACTGTAGGATTAAAGACAAATCTGAGATTTACGAAACAGCTGTATATTTTATAGTTCTTGCTGAACCTATTGACAGTTACTGACATTCATAACAACACTATTAAAGAATACGTGTGTCCTGTTGTATAAATGCACCGCAGCAACATTCTTAAGGAATCCTACACCGGGTGCTTCCGCATTTACACCCATTTTTTTTCGGTAGAAACTACACACTTAATCTGCAAATAAGAGATTTGTCCCACTACGGCCAGTATGACATCCGACAAACTTCTGTTTTGTCATCCATTGGATCGAGATACTGTATTTAACGATGCTATGTGTCGTCACATATGACTTGGCTGTATATAATCTATTCAGAGTTTTGACAACATCTATTGATCCAATGACTTGAAAGAATAATATATGCTTGAATAATCTTCCTGTGTTTCCTTCCGTAGTTTGATATGTATGTGTGAATGGTCGCATACAAGTTTCCAATACAAAAAAAATGCACCAGAAAGTCATCATATATCAAGCATATACACACCTTATAGCTTATATATTATTATCAATATTATCTATTATAAAGAAAGAAAGAAAAAAACAATAAAAGCTTCAATTGACAAAAAGACTATTTCAAAGGCATATTTCGTGTACTCCAGATTTATGTTTTTGGAGGACCGACTCTTTGAATTTACGTAGTCATCATTAAAATATGGCTTACTCTTGCTGGAACCATAAATATTGCTTTCATTACGGTAACCCCTAGAGCATTTAACCTGCAGTACATTTTCTCAGCAATATAGATATATATCTCATAAAACCCCAAAAATCTTTAGCAGAATTTGTTTTTTTTTTTTAAAAAAAATCCATCGTCTAATTTTCTTAATATTAGTTTCTCGGTATGTATATTTGTATCGTTATAAAGACCAACTTTATACAATGTATCATGCCTTTCTTTTGCTTATTCCTGGCACTTTTTTTTGTTTGAAATTCTATAGGTAGCTTATAAAGTTTAAGTAAGAAAAATGTAAGCTTTTAAAGGGTGGATTGCTCTCCACTACGACTCATGCTCACAGTCTGATCATTATTTCGAAATATAGAATGGTACATAATGATAAATCATGTAGACCTGATAAAACAAGTAATCTTAATGTACTTTTCACCATATAATTCTATCAAAACATAAAGATTTTGAGCTGTAGAGAAAAAGTGTCTGTGTGCCAAAATAAAAGTAAAAAGGTGGTGTCTGTTTGACTACTATATAAATATATATAGCATAGCATAGCATAGCCAGCATTATATTCCCAAATTCAAAAGTATATTTATAATACTAACAATGTCTATAAGCTATATAACAAGTATACACTGCTTCAAACATGCAGAAAATCATAAAATGGTATATAAGGCAAGGCACAAGCCAGGTAATGAGTAAATATATACACTCGTTAATTCAAATTTGGTCCCCGTATATGTTATATAAAACAAGACCCTGTTTTTCTTTAATACACTTTATCCACAAAGTTTTGTCCTTTTTTTTTACGCATCTTTGGCTTTCTCGTAAAATGTTCTTATAAAATATTATAGCTTGGATTTTCCTGATATCACCAAGATTTTTTCGTTCTTCTTGATGAATTCCAAGGCACGCTATTATCAATATTATTAGTATTGCACTAGTGTAGTGATCATAGATTCCTTACATCTCTTCCGCCAGCCTTCTCGAATACTTCTTCCAATCTTTGGGCCAATATCAAATCACCTCGGACCTTAATCTTACCAGACATGTAGGCCTTGACACCAGACATACTATATTTTGTTTTCCACACAAAATTAAATCCAATATATATATATATATATATATATATATATATATGTACAATAAAATAAATAGATTATCAGTAGCATGAATAAGAAACACTTGAACCTACCCTCCAGTGATAAAGTTCAACAGGTTATGGTCCTCGATTTGAATTTTTACGGTTCGGACCTTGCCCTTTACAGATTTGCGGGCATTTGCTTCATCTGAAGTAATCACAGGCTCAACCTCGTTACCTTTAATAAATCAAAAGCAAAAGAAATGTAAATTTGGCTTTCTCAGGTAGTATCGTTTTATTTTTATAGATATATAGAAAATTACCCTGGAACAAAAGATACCTAAAGCAACGCAATGCTTGTTTATTTTTGTACTCTTATTATTTTTTGCCAACCATTTTCTTCTCTTTTATTTTATCTTGTTTCTTACCAAACTGCCTCTGAAGTCTTTTTTCTTGTCACAGTAATGACGAAGAGACCTTTAACATTAGGCCAGAGAGAAGGATCTTCTGTCAGCTGGCGCTGTAGTTCTGGCAACATGAGGTCGGCAATGAGTGGGGAGTTTGCTTTTTCGGACATGAGAAGAGAATGGACCTTGAGACTAAAGAAAAGGGCAACAAAAGGAACATGTGGGCTTTATAAGGTGGTGGGGGGAGGGGGGAGAAATAGTGTGGGGAAATTTTAGACGCGCTATCTGGGTTTCAACCACGTGAAAATGCCACCATGGTTACAAAAAGTTCAGGGTGAATACAGTGCAGAAGTGAGGAAGTCAAGGGATGACCAAAGTCTTGTTTAAGTTAGGTTAGACAAGAGGGTAGATGTTAGTACTCTGATGAGTTATATCAATTGATTAATTGATTGCTGTTATTTTCTTTCTTATACTATTTGCTTTCAGTTCTTTGTCGACCTAAATTGTTCCGGACTTTGATATACTAATAATATCATTGATTTGTGTATATATCACTCTTTTTCATTTTACTTTATTTTCTAGAACAAGGAGTATGGTTCTAGGATCTAAAGAAGGATATGCATTGTAAGCCTTGAAATTGATGTGTATTACATCACCATGTATTATAGACAAAACACGGTAATTTGAGTAAAACAAAGGAACCATTATAATTCTGAGCGGCATGACAAAGCAAATATAGTCAATTTTTGGAAAAATTACCGTCTTTTATGCCTTTCCTAAATTATAGCTGTTTTTTTTTCTCTTTCAAAAAATAAAAAAAAATCATATTATATCCTATCTTGTTTTTATTAGTTATTAATATTTCAATTGAATTGCAATTCTTTATAAAAACGAACGCAGCTTTAAAGACACTACAAAATCCATTAAAGAAAAGGAAAAAAGGGGGAGGGAAAATTTGTTTAAAATTATTGATTAAAAGAGATATTAGGTAACTCGTCCTCTATAAAGATCCACACTATACGAAACTGAGCAATACTCAGAAAGGTTCCAAGACTTATTTGATTCCGTAATAAAGGGTGGTCTTATCAAGCGGGTGGTATATCCAAAAGGACATAACATATAGCAGATATAACTACCTTTGCTTCTTTAATAATAAAATTAATAAATTGCTTTATTCTTTTTATAATTATCAATAGCTTATAGTCTGTACTGGCTCAATATATTCAATAATGACAAGGACATTTACTTGACCATTTATTTGATCTATAATTTCAAGATAACTTGAAAATAGCTACAAAACTCGACATCAATCCGTACACCAATGAATAATGTAAATCATTACAGTATTTATCAAAAGCTCAAATCTTTAGACAATTAGGTATTCGTTTATTATAAAATAGCCCTTTTTTTCTTGTAACAAGTATGTGTGTGTATAAATTAATAATAATAATAATAATAAAAAGAGTCAAAATAGAAGATAAACTATAATCTTATTTATTCAGGGCAAATATCCGATAATCGTAGCAGCAATGAGACACCCGGTTGAGCTGATCAAGAAGATACTAACGAGAGCGTTAGCCCATTTGGTTTCTCCGTTGAAGTTAAACAAAACGCAAAAGATAAAAAACGTAGCAAGTGGAAGAGGACTGAGGATCCACGCTATTACAAGCCATTCTACTGTACTATGACTGTTATAGTTGGCCCACACACCAATAATTAATGATACTATCATTCCCAGAAACGTCGAAAGAGCAGATACTTGTATGTCATCAAGCTTAAGCGTGCCATTATCTTCACTCACGCTTTCTCTATCTTCTTCCGTTAAGCTAAGACCATCCTCTTTAACTATGTCCTCTTCCTCATCATTCTTGTCGTCTTTGATACTAAAAGCCGTTGTTTGCTTGTGTAGGACAATGAGAGAAAATGTCTGAAGAATTGACATTGCAGTGTATACAATGATAATAAGCTTGGCCCATCTGTCCCCATCTATATCCATGCATTCGATTGTCGTATAGAACAACTGGCCAATCGTAACAAATATTTCAACGTATGAGGTTTCGTCTGTATTATGAACTGTGTCGAGTTGATCTATCATATCTGCTGTCATGTAACGGGCGTCTATTGGCTCTATCCTCCTTTGATATTCACAAATTGCACCTGGTCCATTGGTAATTATTTCCTCGGTAAGGCATTGGGTACCGCTAGACTCAAACTTATTGCCATAGTCAAAACCGATGATTAACGAGCCATTTAAAATACAGTGCTTTGTTTTCTTTGCTTTTTCACGGCCAATTACATGTAAGAAAGCTGCCAAGTAGGCCGCATTATCTTCTTTTCCAGTATGTATAGAACTTGTCTTCATATCCTTCACTAGTCGATCTCTTAGACGAACAGTATCTAAATGGCGCTTGTAGTATTCAGTCACTTTAGTGCCCTTGTCTTTTTCTTCCTTGAATTCTGGAGTAGAGGTGTCTGCCGAAAACGATTGATCAGATAAATCTCCCTTGGTTGAATCTTGAGTACTGTTTTCCTTTGTCGTGACTTCTTTAGACTTGCTTTCTTTCTCGTAATCTTTTAACAAGGATTGGTATTGAGTGATACCGAGTATTCTATCCCCATAGAATGCTTTATACACAGATCCAACTGCCAGACCAATACCGCCGGAAGGGTATATCAGTGCCATGAAACGTCGATAATTTGTAGACAACTCGGTTATCCCAGTTCTAGGTCGAAGAGTTACGACATGTGTCATGTAGCCAAGCAGAATAGTTCGCAGGATTGAAACGATGGGCAAACTACTAAGTAGCTGATTGATCTCTTGCTGTATCGGTGGGGCATAACATTTTGGTATAAAAGCCAATAATGAAACATATAAAAGGAATTGTAACCTTTGTAGACCCATTGTATAAATATAAACAAACAGATCTTAGAAAGGGAGTACTGCTTGGTAATGTTTAACTAGGAAAACAATACTTTTTTTTATAGGTAGCAATGATACTTATACATATATATATCTTAAATCCTTAGAGGCTTGAGATAAGATTTAAAGGCTTGGAAACAAGATGTTGAGGACATGTATTATGTCGGAGTATGCTGAATAATTATTTGATGTCTTATTAAAAAAAACTCAAATACAACCTACAGTAGAATTGTACTTTGGCTTTTGTTATATTGAAATAGGTGTCTTTTCCCAGTAAATATGCTATAATATATTGCACTTATATATTGCAGTTTTTCTTTTTTTAAAAAAAAGAATGCAAAGAAAAACCAAATACAATAAAATCAGAAGCCCAATGGTTTAATTAATAACTGCTTTTTGAGAGGCTTACAAGTAACGATTGTCGCAGGTTTAATACTATATTGAACTCAGAGATAATAGTCATTATAAAGTTTGGCGGGAACAAGTCCTAATGGCCATGATTCTAAGCTTATGGTATACATAAAACAGAAACTCGTTTTCAAATATTCTACAAAGCCCATTGATGTAAGTGTAACATTTTACAACCTCTACTGTCCCATGGTAACACCTCCTTAAGCCTGTACATTCTCACTTGGCTATAATAATTGTTACTATACTCTTGGACGAGAGAGAGAATTAATGTTCAAATGGGAGGTTCAGATGGAATGGTTTGGAAATATTATCTAATAGTGGTTACCACCATAAACGCTCTTCATTACATCGTAATAAAACTCAACAACAGCAACAAAGGATTAAGATTATTCGATCAAAAATCCGTAAAACGCATATGACACTATGTACTCCCTTTATTTATTTTATAACAGATCAGAATGGGGTTTGGTTTTGGGTTTGATTTTTGTTTTAGTACAACGCGAATTATAAGTTGATAAAAAAAAAGAGGGTAGGAAATGAATTATTGGATCATTTTTGCAGTATCCAAAAATTGTACCAACAATAAATCATCCATCTGAGCAAATAAAGAGAATAATAAAGGTTATAGTGAACGTACAGTCCACAAGGAAACCACAATAAGGAGTCAATGAGAGAAAGAAGACAATGAGAGCAAAAGCAATAAAAACAAGAGGACTAATAATCCAGAATATCACAAACCATTTTGCTATACTATAGCTGCTATAGTCAGCCCATACACCAACAACCATGAACAATATGATTCCCATAAGTGTAGATAGCACGGCAACATCGCTAAGTTCAAGTATGTCATAAACTCCATTCAAGTAATGTGGGAGTAGTATTTCCCTTTTAGGACCGAAATATATACGATTTGCGTTGGGGTCAGCATCATCCTTGATACTAAAGGCTGCCGTTTGCTTGTGTAGCACAACGAGAGAAAATGTCTGAAGGACTGACATTGCAGTGTATATAATGCTAATAAGCTTGACCCATCTGTCTCCGTCTATATTCATACATTCAACCGTGGTATAGAACAGCTGGCTGATTGTAACAATTATCTCAACGTATGAGCTACCGTCTATGTTATGAGCTGTCTCGAGCTGGTCTATCATATCGACTGTCATATAACGGGCATTTGCTGGACGTAACTTTCCTTGATTTATGCACACTGCCCCAGGGCCAACAACGGTTATATACTCGGTTCTACGTGAGACTCTGCAATGATCTTCTGAATAGTCATGACTATAACCGATATACAAAGAGTCATTTAGGAGACAGTGCTTTGTTTTCTTTGCTTTTTCGGGACCAATTATATGTAGAAAGGCAGCCAAATAGGGTGAATTGTCGTCTTCGGCAATCTCGATATCCTCTACCTCCATATCTTGAAATAGACGATCCCTTAGCTGAAGAACTTTTGAACGCTGCTCTATAGATATAATTTCATCGATGTCATTGAGATGTTGATTGTCACCGCGATTGTAATGGTTTATAGGGCGTTTAGATGTAGATGTACTGGCCAAGAGGGGAGAACTTGATGGAGACATACGGAATAAGTTTCGATGTTTTATGCGAATCTCGTGTAAGCTATCTTGATCAATGTCTCTAGTGGTCGGGTTCTCTTTTTCATATCTTCTTAAAAGAGGTTTGTATTGTGCAATCCCGAGTATTTTATCTCCACAAAATGCTTTGTACATTGAAACCGCTGCTACTCCTATTCCAATGGAAGGGCATAATAGAGCTAAAATGCGTCGTTGGAAACCATTGTTGTTAGGCATGCCTTTTTTAGGTCGCATCGTTATGATATAGGTTAGGTAACTAAAGAGAGCAGCTTGTAAGAACAGGACTATAGGTAATTTACTGATTGGTTCAGTATCATCTTGCTGACTTGGAGAAGCAAGACATTTGGGTATAAAGGTCGATAATGAAATATGTAGAATAAATTGTAATCTTTGTCGACGCATTATGTAGGCATAAAAAAAGAAGAACAAATGATAGAAAGAAACGCACATTTGTCTCGTGTTTTTACTACAATATTTATTTGTTTTTTTGTTTGTTTGTTTTGTTTTTTACTTTTAGAGTAACAATAGTATTGGTTTTATACACAATCATATAATCTGGGATAAGATTTAAGGCTTATAAACCTAAATATACATATATCAGTGAGAATTATTATGCTCATCAATTCTAAAGATACAAAATAAGTTCAAGATAGCTATAATATAGCTGTCGTTTTACTTTATGTTATTTAATATCGAAATCGCAGGTAGCTTATATATATATATAGTTTGAAGAATGAGTGGTGAAATACACTACAAAATAAAATTTTTATGTGAGAAATTGCTCTCATTAATAATTGCTTATTGACAAACTTTAGAGCAATTAGCAAAACAAGTGTATTGTGCTTTTATACACAAGTTAGAGTTCTCTTTGAACTCAGTAGAAAGGACTATTAAAGGCTTTTTTGGTTTGAGATTTTACTATGGGAAAAAGAGTACTGATTCTGATGCGAATTTTATCTATTTTTGAAAACAAAAGTCGGCAACGGAACCATCATATTTTTTTTCCGTTTGTTTTGTTTTGAATACTTCTCTGTCACTAGATATAAATATTATAATAGTTAGAATTAGACTCTATTATATTCATCAAAGGAACCATAAAAAAAGTCAGTGTTTTGATGGGCCAAGCTTGTCATTCAAACATAAAATTCATGTTTGCAAAATAAAAGTAAAAATAAAATGGCCCTCTAATACCTATACCCTTTAACTCATGGTAATTTATTGTGAGGTACAAACCAATTTTGTAGGATAAAGGATAAAGAAGCTGATTAATTTGATCAAAATACGAAACGAAAAGGTTTGATGATATTACTTAAAATATTAATATCGTTTGAAGTCTGAGAAATTGATTTGCTTTGACAGCAAAAATAATGAATTGTATGAGTATTTAAGATCCAAAATCACACTCTCACACACATATATATATATATATATTCCTTTAGATTATTATTGCTTTTGTAATATTTTATATATATATATATATATATATATATATATATATTTATTAATAATATTATTATTATTGCTATAAACCAGAATGCAAAGTAACTAATATAAAACTTTACTTGTAGCCAAGGAAATATATAAACCAATGGCACAACATACAAAAAAACGAATGGTAAAAAAAGGTCGTGTATATAAAATGAAAAATAAAAGAGGGATAGTGTGTGTGTGTGTGTGTGTGTGTGTGTGTGTGTTGTATTGTATTGTATTGTATTGTATTGTATTGTGTGATCTATATTTACTATGTGCAGATCTATGTGTAATTTGATAAGTTTGTTTTGTTGACTTCAGGGCATATCATATTAACGGTGTAACGCTGAATTCCCAGAAATGAATAAATACTCGGCACCATTTTGATTTTTTCTTATAACTTGGAAGCAACCTGGAGAAGACCATCCTGTCTCCAGCGACCTTCGGCCTGACCTTGGGAGATAAGAGGCTTGATGCACTCTTCGTAACCCTGGACAACCTGGGTGTGGTTCAAGGGTTCTCTCTCGGCCATCTGGGTCATGGCCTCGTAGACCTTACCGTCGTATTTACCAAGTGCAGAGTGAAGGAAGTAATCAGGAAGAGCAAAGGCATCAACAAGTCCGACTGCGTTGGGGCGGATTTCGTCGAGCAATGAAATGACCTGGGCTTTGAGCATGGCAGTCTGTTCGGAAGACAGATAGCCGGGCAACAAGAACTCGGCCAACTCCTGCTCCATGGTATAAAGAGCGAACAGAGCACTGAGGGTCTTGAGGACGTTTGAGATAGGGCGGCGCTCGGGGGTAGAGAGCGAGGCATCGGCCTGGAGACCGATGATGAAGTTTCGGACGAGGACGAACTGGCAGTGAGCCTTTGAGATTCTGGCAATCTCGACCAACATCGAGTTCCAGGTGCGGCCGTGACGGTCGATCTGCTCGGCAACCTGTGCGATACCATAGGCAGCGCGGAAACCGAATGCGGACAAGATAAGCTCAGGGTTGAGGAAATCGGCGGGTTTTGTGGCAGGGCACTTGGCCTTGGGGTTCTCGAGATACTGAGTAAGGTAGGTGATGGTTTGGTTGTATTCGGATGGCACAGCCTTTCCGGCAACAACATTGCGGAATGTCTTGAGGAGGTATCGGGAGGTTTGTTGGGTGAGGATGTAGTTGTCACCTTCCCAGGTGACGTTGGGGAGGTAGTCCTGGTAGAACTGGCCAAGACCAGAGAAGTTGCTGTAACCGTGGCCTCCGCAGGCACGTCTGCAATCTTCGATAGAGCTGATGGCCATAGTGGTAGTCAAACTCTTGAGACCAGACGAACTGGCGTGCAGATCGGCAAGGAGGTCAAAGTTGCCGTTCTTCATGGCTTCCTGGTTCAGGTCGTAGAGACGGAGCATCTCACGGCCAGTGAAGAAGAAGGCATATGTGGCAGCAACAGCGGGCAAGAGACGGTACTGCTGCATGGTGTAGTCAATGACAGGAGTCTCGATAATCTTGTTGTCCCACTTGCGAGGGTTGGCAGCATCCACGAACTGCTGGCGAACAGCAGAGTAACGGATGGCAATAGTGGTAGCCTTGGCGAGAGCAAAGCGAGAGCCTATAATGAATTATCCCATTTAAATATGAGTATCAATTTCATTCTCTCTATTTTCCTTTTGCTTTCATTATTTCCTTCTCCATGCCTTTGAATATATATATATATATATATACTGTTTTCTCTTTTTCCTTTTTTTTCCTATTCCTATTCATTGTTCTCGCTATCAAAATAAGAGACAACCTTACCCATAACAATGTTGGCTCTGACGAATACCATGGTACCGTACGACAACTTGGCATTAGGTGGCTTTACATATTCTCCACTTCCGGCCTTAACCTTGGAGTACTTTGCGAGGAATGCGACGTGGGGAATACGGTAATGCTCGAACATGATGAAACCATTGTCGACGGTGTTGAAACCAAACTTGGGACCAATGTCACCAACAGTGATTCCCTTCAAGGGACGGTGGTCCTGAAGACTACGGATCTGGACACAAAAGGGGTGGGGTCCAAAGTCCTTTCCGTTTGTGATAAGACGAGCCATGACAATGGCGTGTGTGGCAGCCTTACCAAGGCCACCGATCCACCACTTGGATGATGTCAAGGTAGGTGAATGGATTTCGAACTCGTTTGTCTCGGGAATGTAAGTAGCGGTTGTCTCAAGACCTTGGACATTAGATCCGTGACCCAACTTTTTTTTTGATAATTAAAATATTACAAGGTAAAATTGAATAAGTTTTTGCTTTTAAAATATTTCATAGTTACTACTATTAATACTAATACTGATACTGATACTGATACTGATACTGATACTATTCCAATATAATATATTTATTTAATATTAGAAAATCCTACCTCAGTCTGAGCATAACAACCAATGATGTGATGCTTGAGTGCGGGCTCCAAAAAGAGCTTTTTCTGTTCGTCGGTTGTTTGGGTTCTGAGGGTAGGGATGAACATGTTGTAGTGGAGAGTGAACTAATAAGAAACCAAGGAATAAGTACACAATTCTGTTTTTTGCTTTTTGTTTTCTTCTTGGGTACTTCAATGATACTTACAGGAGTTGATTGATCGAACAAAAAGTTTGCGATTTGTGTCTCGGTTTCACTCCACTTTTGCTCCCTGAAAGAAATACATAGTAAAATTAGTAAAGAGAAGGGAATTATTGTTATCTGATGGCTTCGGATTAATTTCTATTGTTTTTTTTTCTTATTACTTACTTTACCAACTCGGTCAGACGTCTGTCCTTCCAGAGAGAGGTAGAGATCTTCTCTTCGCGACTTTGGTAGTAACGGTTGGTCTTATCGAATGCAGGCTCGGACTCAAGGACCTCTGTGATCTGGGTCATCTTGTCGAGCCACTTCTTTGTGTACATGAATCTGGACAGGTCCTTAACATCGAAACTGGTCTTTGCACGCTCAGCGGCCAAAAGAAGTTCACCAGAGGGACCTTTGGGAGCAAGGTCAGGGAATCGAGTGGGGATATTGTTGGACATTGTAAAGAAAGTAAAGTAAAAGATAAGAGAAAGAGAGTGTGGGGTCGGTGAAATCGGAGACCCGTAAGATTATATGAGAATGATCTTTATTTCGAGTGACTAATGCAATTGAAATATTAGCTCCAGGGGAGACGGTCACAAGCTGGGATGTTTGATTTAGGTTTTCACACATGAAAGTTAGTGTCAGCAGAAAACGAGTAGTTTGGACCCCGAATGGTTTATTTAGGAAATTCACCTATTGTCTTTGTGTTCATAGATCCTGATAAAATTATAGGTATAAGAAAGAAGAAGAAACGACCAAGCCAATTGAATTATATCTAGCCAAGTTGAGATCCGCAATAAAGCTTTGAAATGATCAATAGATAAAACAAGAATATATTTGTAGACGTGCAGATGTGTATAGCATTAATATTAATATAATTTACATGGTTGTTTTGAAATCTGTCAGGACGTACAAGTGGCTCCCCCACAATCCCCACTATCACAATATATATTTTATCATTTTTATAATAGTTTCTATTTTTCTGGTCCGAAGAAAAAAAAACCTTCTATATAAAGAGAGGCAAAAAGAAGAAGCAAAACTGGGACACAAGCCCAGATCCAAAAAAGGATAATATGACAGCGAGAGATCGATTGATGTGCGCCAATCACCATGACAATTAAAATCGTAAGTTTGGAATGGGACTGATAAAGACTAACAGTTGCTGTTGAACAATCTAGAATTACATCAAATAACAGATATTTTAGTCATTAGTCAAACACCCAAAAAGAAAGGCAATGGCAAAGCAAAAGAATAGAAGGGATATGTCTTCTTTGAATGAAACGTCAATCCAAATCAGCTTTCACTCCATTTGATGCCATTTTCATTTATTAAATTCTTGATTTCTGTATTTATTTGTAAGATCTTACCTTTTGGCTATCACACATACAGAACAAGAATGATACCGATAATCGTACAAGAGTACACTCCTGTAAACCTTGTTAAAAAATCCTTAGAACTCTACTCCCCCTTCTTCGCTTTTTATTCATGCTTGGCGTGTCGATCATACTTGAGATATTTTTTTTTGAATAAAGCTATTAAAGAAAAGGTACCAAAGAATTGATGACGTAGAAAGCAATCAAGACTGTCCAAAGTATTTCTTTTACGGGTTGAATGTTGGTGAGGCCCAATTGATGGCACCCATCTATACTTTGTTTTTTGATATTAGTTGATTATTTCTCAGATACTCTAATTCTCTAGAATTTCCTATTCAAACTGGAGATGTTCTATAAGGATTATTGTACAATTATAGGCAGCTTTCTTACTATACTTTGCTCTGCTCTGCTTTGCTCTACTTTACTATATATTACATTATTTTATACTCGAATCACAGGAAATAAAGAGATATAAAAGGACTGGTGGTACAGTGGCACAATCCATCTTTACCGCTCTTTTAATCGTATGATTTACCCCAGTTTATCATTATATTTCATGACATACATAAATACATCTTTTTACTACACTCTATTGAAAGAATCAACGAAAGAAAATTAAAGTAAGAAAGTATGTAAGATGATAGAATAGAGATCAAAAGAGGTATGTAACAAAACCAAGCCCTGTAAATCCCAACTAGTTCCAAAGATCTTTATTTATATATATATGCGTGTGTGTGTGTGTGTGTTTGTATGCAGGTAATATGGATTATATAATACAATATAATGTAATATGAATTTAGACTGACAGATCGTGAGTGTATGTGTGTAAATGTGCCTGGTTTAACTTTTAATATTTATTCCAATGAAATAAATATCAAAGAGACAATATTGAATATATCTCTATATCTATATCTTTAGCCCATTTCTTCCCCATTGTCCTTATATATCCTATTATTATTTGTCAAGGGGTATTAATGTAAAATCAACAATTCATATTATATAAATCAGTAGCAACTGTGCCTCATCTTGATGATTCTGCAAAAAAAAAGAGGGCATTGTAACTACTACAATAGAATGTTTGTGTAAACCTTTCTTGGTTCTTATTCTTAGTATGAACTGGACGTAAACCTTGGATTATTTCAAATGATCTTTACAAACCTTTTATATACATGTGATGTAATAATCTGCTTAAAACGAAGGCTGTGTCCAAATACAATGATGTAAATATACAGCTTAGAGATACAAACATAAAAATACAGGCTCAAATTATATATTTATATATGTTCTTGGATTGTGTTTCATATCAAGATAATATTTGTGTACCTATGTGTGTATTCCAATCACAAACAATAATAGATCTTTTATAAATATAATATATAATAGTAGCTTAACAATAAGAAAGATTATCAACATTTTGTTAATATATTCAAATGTTTATCGTATGATGCCTCATTAATATCTTCTTTTTGGTGTACAAGATCTGTATTCATTAAAGTGTTTATATTGTTTATTGCTCAAAAACTAAAGCCAAAAAGAGTAAAGATGTTGTTTTGTAGTACGTATTTGTGATTATTCACAAGATATGTATTATGTAGACAAAAGAAAAAAAATTGAAACAAATAGTTAATACTCAATAGTTGATACCAATGCAAATCAGGCTGTGGTTTATCAGATATATATAAGAATCGTGACACTGCTGTACAAGGTGACAAACTAGATTGATATACAAGAAAGAGCCATGATTATTTATCAGATTCTATTTTGTCCAAAGAAAATAAGAACCTCATAAGCAATAGGTCCAAAGGCCTTGGAATTAAGTACATTAAACAAATATAGGTATGGGTCTGTGAAAGAGAGAAATAATTGCAAGAAATTCAATATATATATATATATTCGTAATATCCGGGTATACTTTTGGAATTATACAAGAAAACATATACATATTTGTACCAAATTATTAAGAGGATACCTTTTTTTTTAATTTTATATAGTTAAAAGTGACCAAACCACTCACGACAGTCACATAATTTATCATTTCGTCACTCCAAACTACCATCACTGCAGAAAGAATTAACTGTGCCTCTTTTTTTAATACATCCTTGTACTTTATATTTATATATATATAGAGAGAGAGAAAAGGGTAAAAGAAATACAGATAAAAAGCATATATATATAATATATATACAAAAACATACAGCCCTACCCTTTGTTTTTTGTATTGATTAAAATAAATATACATACATCCAAATACCCACACACCCACAAATACGAATACGAATACGAATACGAATACGAATACGAACACGAACACGAACACGAACACGAATACAAATACAAATACAAATACAAATACGAACACGCATACGCATACGCACACGCACATATTTTTTATAGATATAGAATAAAAGCAGCAAACTTAAAATGAATAGACTAGTGACATCCAACTCTAGATACCTTACGTCGACACCTCTTCTCAAAAGAGCACTCCAACAAACAACATTGAGAGTAAGACAATCCCAATTCAAAACTCTCATGACGTGTTTTGTTTATATACATATATTAGTTTTGTAAATGTGTATAATGTTCTTCATCACTAAAAAAACACACGCACACACACACATACACACATTATATACGTATTAATTAGACATGGCCGGCCATGTATCAAAAGTCTGCAGCATATGGAGGTTATGGTTACAACAATGACTATGACAACTACGGCTCTCCCCCTACAAATGCCAGTCCATGGGGAATGACCCCTGAACGTAAATCGCTTCCTCGTAATACGGTAATAAACCAAATTCGAATTTATATATAGATTTATATATAGATTTATATATATATGTATGTATCTTTTATTAATATTAATGATAAAAGGTTATCAAATTTGTTCCTCAACAAGAAGCATGGATTGTCGAACGCATGGGTAGATTCCACCGTATGCTCGAGCCTGGTCTCAATATCTTGATCCCTATTATTGATCGTATCAAATACGTAAAAACCCTAAAAGAAACTGCGGTTGAGGTTCCTAGTCAGAGTGCAATTACTCAAGGTAATTTTGGCTATATAGACTTCATACAAATAGAAAGAAAGATAGAAAGAAAGGAATGTAATGTAATGTAATGATGTTACCCATGTACTTACATACATATAGACAACGTAACATTGGAATTGGATGGTGTACTTTATTTCAGAATTATGGATCCTTTCAAGGTAAACAAAATCCCTTTTTATTTTGCTCTTTAAATTAAATGTATTTATTAACAACATTAAATATTATTATGAAGGCTTCATATGGTGTGGAAGATGCCGAGTTTGCTATTACACAATTGGCCCAGACTACCATGCGAGCAGAAATTGGTCAAATGACTTTGGATCGCACCTTGGCTGAAAGAGGCCACCTCAATGCAAACATTGTCGATGCTATCAATTCTGCTGCAGAAGACTGGGGTATCAGATGTCTGCGTTATGAAATTCGTAAGTAAATGTGTATATACATTAGATTATTTGAATAACAATAACAACAATAATAATGCACTGATTAATGTTATGACGACTTTCTTCTTCTTTTGTTGATATAGGTGATATTCATCCTCCTGCAAAGGTTGTCGAATCTATGCACCAACAAGTCTCGGCTGAACGTACCAAACGAGCTCAGATCTTGGAGTCCGAGGGTGCTCGCCAGGCTGCAATTAACGTGGCCGAGGGTCGAAAGCAGGCCACGATTCTGGCCTCCGAGGCCGAGAAATCGGAAAAGATTAACATGGCTGCTGGTGAGGCTGAGGCAATTCTTCTGAAAGCCCAGGCATCTGCAAAGGGAATCGAGGTCGTCGCACGTGCGATCAATTCAGACAACGGCAGCGACGCAGTGTCGATGAGCATTGCCGAGAAGTATGTCGAGGCATTCGGAAAGATGGCCAAGGAAGGCACGACCATGATCGTTCCCTCGGCCACCAACGATGCGGCCTCGATGGTTGTCCAGGCCCTGTCGATCTACAAGACCATCAACAAGGCCAAGCCATCGGGATCTGGACCATCAGGATCGAATGGTAGAGACTTGCCAAACGCACCAAAGTCAATCAAGGAAGAAATCACAAATGATCTTGTAGAAGCAGCCAAGCGAGAATCATCTTTCCAAGAACCTCGTGATAACTAATATATATGTGGATCTTAAGTGAAATGAAATATTCCAAACAAACCACCCAAAAAAAAATAATGCGTCTACTAAAGGATCATGTATTATGTACGTTATTTGTATTGGTTCTTTTTTTTTTCTTTTTTGAGAGAGAGTAGTTTTATATGTATAAATACACACACATATATATACATATATATTTAATGAGTAAAAATAAATAAATCAATCAAAGGTTTGATTCAAGATTTTCAAGTTTCTAAAAGATTCTTTTTTTTTGTTTTGTTTTCTGGTATCTGATGAAGTGGTGTAATATAATGCTACTGTGTTAATACAGATGAATTTCTTTTTTTTTAAGAAAATAATAATAATAATGAATAAATGAATTAATTATGATGTTTTGTAAGTAAGTTAGTTAGTAAATGGTTAGTTAGTTAATTTGTTGCTAGGTTGGTAATAAGTAGTTTCTAAGGTCTAAAAGTCTAAAGGTCTAGATTGTATAGTATAATGTAAAAATGTATGACAGTTGAAACAAAAAAAATCAAAAAAAAATCAAAAACAAAAAAAAAGGTTGCCAAGGTGTTTAGAATCCAAGATACAAAGCTCGTTTGCGTCCAGTCGGATATATACATAAATTAGAGAAGAAGAGTCCGAGGGTGATGGAAAGTGCGATGCCGATGATCTGGGTGGCAAAACTACCGCCGCTTGCTCCGTCAGATCCATCGAACAAAGGGATAACACCACGTACACCTTTTTTATATATATATAAATAAAATTGAACACCAAGACAAGTTAATATGTGTGTGTGTGTGTATATTTTTTGGGGGGTTTTCTTCTCGTTCTTTTCTTTACCTAGACTTCCAGGAACAAGAATGATGATGCCACCAATCAGGGGCACAAAGGCAAGATTTTTTGTGATTTTTCCATAAAGATTACCCGTCAACCCGAGCGCAAATGCACCCGCACTGGACGTGATGTTTTGATTTCCATTGGTTGCCATCGAAAGGAAATAATAGGCCACAAAGCCTACTCCGGCATTCAAGGTGAATGGGATCCATTGTTTGACTCCGGCACCAAACACAATTGCGATAAATACACCTGCGAGCGGCAGCAGAAGAAAGTACCAGTAAGGCGAAACCGGGTTTGCACACGTGGCTGCCAGCTCGAGAGTCTCGTCCGGATGGGTCAGGCTCCAGATCGAAGCACCGTAGCCTAGGCCGAATCCAAGAAAGAAAACGTACATGATCGCATGAATTAGGTGGATACTCCCGCTCACAATATTTTTTGCGGATATTTCCATGACTGCGCTGGTAAGTGAATAACCAGGAAGAGCAATGACAATCTAAATAGAGTGTAAAGATGTTTAGTGATTATTGTTATCCCTATTTTTTTTTTAAAAAAAATACTTACGGCCGAGAGTGAGACGGCAGTGTAACAAACGTGAGGATGGAGAGCGATAGTAATGACCGACACAAGAACACTGACAGCCATTTCAAAAAAGTTGGCAAACATCGGAACACGTTCTGACAGGAATGTCAATAGACCCACTGTACGTACAAGTACAAGTACAAGTACAAATACGCACACATACGCACACAAAATACACGCACACACACATATATATATATATAAAGAGAGAGAAAGAGAAAATGTGTCAGCAATTATAAGCATTTTGTGTAAGGCTCTTTTTATCCATAACTATCTATGTGTGCGTGTGTGTGTATTTTGTGTGCGTATGTGCGTGTGTGTGTAATATGAATATATAAATATTTAGAATACTAAGAGTAATAATAACAAAGTTATAGAAACGATTTATAATCTACTTATTGTCGTTGTCCTTTTGTTGTTGGTGTTGTGTATTGTGGATGTAACATAACATAGAAATAGTAGTGAATCTTTTACCTCCTAATCCAAACAGTCCACTCACCCAGCAGTCTGTCCAGGATCCGTTGAAGAAGAGTGGTGCAATAAATGCAGACGATCCGACGTAGGCCAAGAGAACGACCCAGAACCCCCAAGTGGGAGGCTCGTTTTTGATGTCATCCAAAAGCTGGGTTGCTTCAAGAACTTGGAGTTCTCCGGTTGATGCTTTGTGTGCGACATCATTGACGCGTTCGAGTTTACCGATATCAAGCGACCGAGAACACTTGATCAAGAGTGTTTCTGAAGTGTGTGTTTCTGCGTCACCAAAACTGGCCATGATCAGACCAGGTAAGACAATGTAACTTCCATCGATTTCTAACCGTTTGGATGTTTTTTCCATAGCACCTTCCTATACATTTATTTATTTATATATATATATATATATAAAATATATATACTACAGGATCAGTAAACTTTTATGTAGGTGTATTTGCTTGCAAGCAAAGTCTTTCTTTTTTTTTAAAATAAATAAATAAAAAAAGTATATACTTACAATACGATGGGATGGTGCTCCTGCTCGGATGAGAGATTTTCCTAGTTTGATAATAAAATCCTGTCGTTCGAGAATGTCAGCAATTTCTGCTGTGATGCGCATACGTTGTGCAGCAATTTCGGCATCGGTTCCCATTTCGGCTCGGTCGAGGATATCGATTGTGCTGTTTCTGGCGTGGGTTGCCCAGCCATTATTATTATAGTGGTGATAGTTGTACGGCGATCCGGCTGACGGTGAGGGTGAGGAGAGAGTGTGAAGATAGGCCAGTCCTGAGGCTGCTGACCGCAAGTGCGGCATTTGTGGTCTCGAGGGCATGGCAGATTGTGAACGTTTGTCGAACAGGTCGAGTTTGAGCAGATTTGAGAGCACACCTCCTCTGCTGGGACGTCTTCTGCGTTCTTCTTGGGTGATTGATTCTACGATATTAAGAGCACGGCTCATCTGGGACGCTGTCCGGACCATGTTGTGTCCTTCTACTTCGTCGACCTCTTCTTTCTTTTCTTGTTCGTCATCGATGTATCCTTTTTGTTTTGAGCATTCTCCGTCAATAGTTTCTGATATCGAGTCTGAATCGTTGCGGAATCTAGCTAATTCGATATCAATAGGAGGAGGGGTTCCAGGGTCGTGGAAGCGATTGCCTTCCATTGCCAGATATGTAAACAAATAATAAAGATATAAGGATAGATCGACACTTCTTTAATGTCAAAATATAGAATACAAAAAAAAAACTTTTTTTTTTTAATCTTTTAATTTTTATATATATATATATATTTTGTTGAACCTTGATCTCCGTTCAAAATAGAAAACCTTGAATCTCAGGAGAGCGTTCTTTATTTGATTGGTTTGCTCAAAAATAGCCTTAATAACCGTCCTTCTTGCACACTAACACATGTGCACATGGATAGTATATATATATGTGTATTTTATAATACAAATATCTCAATTGGCGGACTAGAATTTTATTTTGTATTTTTTTAAAAAATAAAATAAAAAAATAAAGATTGAGTGTAGAAGTGTAAGAAAATGCTGGGTAAATAGCAGTTAAAGAAGTGTAAGAATTATGTACAGCTGAGTATCTAAGAATGTAAAGTATTTGAGAGAGAGAGAAAAAAAATGTATAATTTGTTGCTATGGATACTATATGTACATATAGAAAAGAAAGAAAGAGAAGAAATGAGAAGGATCTCAATGCTTATAATATGTCGTGGCTTAGGATTGAATATTATTATTATATATATAAAATATGTGTAATTTTGTTAAAAAGAAAGAAGAAGAAAAAAAAGGCTATACAGCAATACTGTGCCAAGACGTTGCATTTTTGTATGTATTCTGTATTATAAAGATTTCCAGATTTCGCGACATTATTACTTGATAGGTGGGACAAGAGGCAATTGTATTTTTATTTATATTGTCAAAAGGGGCGAGTTTTTTTTTTTTTTTTTTTTTACAAGACAAAAAATCGGTTACTTTTGTACCGTGAGAATCCTGAATTTTAAATATTGCTTGGATTGGGTTTTGATTGTGGAGTAAAGATGAGAACAGCAAAAATAATAAAGAGATGGAAAAATCATATGCAAAAAAAAAAAAATCTACAAAGAGACGTGAGTCTTCATTTCATTTTACTTGGATTTTACTTGATTTCTTTTATGAATATTTTAATATTAAACCTCTACTTATATACATATTGCTAGAAAAGAATGGGAAATATTATAAGGACTGGCCTTAGCGCGCGCGCGCTCATTTCTCCGTAAATCGGACTATCTACTATTTATCTTATACAGACTGTAGGTTGTAGCCATTTCAACAAAACAATATTTAAATAAAAATATGAATGGTTTTTTGAAACACCCTTGATACTTTATAATATTTTTATATTGAAAAGAAAGAAAGAGACACTTGACTATTATTCTCTTGATTAACGTTTATTTGACATTAGAATCACAAGCCATTCCATAAAATGCGTGATAATCAACAAGCATTCAATTATCATTATTACCATTTTTTCTTTCTTTTTCTTTTATAGACTTTTATATGGTTTCCAACCGGAAGTAAATGCAGACAGCCAAAAATCAAAAGTATAATTAAATAAGCCAGAAAAAAAAATATTTAGACAGCCAAAGACTTATTTATCTATATACTTATTTTCAACCAATCAAAACAAAAAGAAAAAAAAGGATCTATCAAGATTTGATCAAGGTTTGGTTAGACTGACCATTTTATCAATATATATATATATAAAAATTCGGGGACAACACATATTATAAAATATTCAAGTGTGTATATATTTTAAAGAAAAGGAGAGAGGGAGGGAGAAAAGAATACATCATATTTTGCAAATGTTATGTCCATTTAAAGAAAAATCTGGTTTCTCTTACTTTCAATTGAAACAATACAACAATACGTTGTCAAGATGAACAAATTCTTTGTAATAATCTTTAATAATTTATATTTATATTTATAATATCTACAAAATGTACAAGATGTACAAGACGTACAAGACGTACAAGACGTACAAAATGTATGGGATTTTTTTTCTCTTTATCTTTCTTCTATTTGAGCTAGGAGAAATTAATTAATATTTTATATTTTCATCTCTAATTTCAACTCATACTGACTCACACTTTTTCACTCAAAATAATAACAATGATAATTAAGTATATAAATGTGTAATTTGTTTTTTTTTAATAATAAATTTGAGTGCGAATGTGAATTATGATACAATAGATTTGATAACAATGATTTATTTATAAATTCTAGGGAATTTTTTTTTATACATTTGATTAATGAGACAAGTTACTCATCAAAATTTGGGTTCAAGTTGACGTTGAGGGATGAAATGTGAGATTATAGAGGGATGGATTTAGAGTAAGATAAGAGGTAATAAGGTAACAAAATAAGTGGTTTGCAAGATGAAAGGAATAAAGCGATGGAAATGACAAGGGTAAAAGTTTTGTATGTACAGTAGTAATAATGATATCAAGTAAAAAGAAATATATATGTGTCCGTGATTATGATTTATGATTAATGATTAGTTGTTGCTGTTGCTGTTGTGTTTGGCTGTCTGGCTATCTGGCTGACCCAACCCGACCGGCCGACATTTGTCTTTTTAAGGTTTTTTTTTTTAAAAAATATATATATATATATATTTATCGATTGGACTCGGCAATGTAATGCTGTTGTTCCGGATCGGCTTCTTCCAAGGCCGGAAAAGAGAAATAGAGATCTTCGAATGGGCTTTGTTGTTTGGATTCTTGGATATTGATGGGTTCAATCGAATTCGAAGGCGAGACGAACAAGAAGAGGTTCTTGAACAAGGAAGACAGTGAATTGCGTCTGAAGGCCATTTTTGTAATTTTGTTCGTTTCTGAATAGTATGGAAATTCAAGTCGAGGTAGTCAAGACAAAGTGGAAGTGAAATTGAAAGCGAAAGTGAAAGTGAAATGAAATGGACAAGATAAAGTAAAGTGAATGAGAAATTTGGGGGAAAAAATTGAAAATTGAAATAGGGGTGGTATTTATAGAGAATGTGTTAAAGGCCCCGATTCTCGTAAAACCAAAAAAAGAAAATAGAAAAAAAATGATAATATTTGTATGATTATTGTACAATTATTGAAGGGCCTGGAACAACGCAAATGGACCATTTTCTTTTGGTTACACATCAAACCTCTCCCCCCTCTTTTCCTTCATCCTTTTTAAGGCCTTGTCGCACTCTCTTCATTGTCTTTCAACTGACACACACACACATATATATATACGCTTGTGCTATATACACACTTGTGCTATATACACCACATACACACATTCATATTATACATACAAAAAAGAATAAAAGCCCCTATCAAAAATATTGGACCAACAGGATACAACCAACTAAGAAAAAAAATTAAAATTATACATACAACAATGGCCAAATGGAAAGGAAGGAGAGGGGACACCAAGGCCAAAAGAAGAAAGATATAAATCTTGAGTATTTGTATTTGTATTTGTATTTGTTTTTATATTTGTACTTATAGTTATGTAATTATACTTGTATAATATACACACACACATACGCACACCCTCTGTTTCTCTCTCTCTCTATTTACCTATCTACCTATCTATCTCTTTTCATTTCTTTCTACACGCATAAAAATGCCTATCTCTCAATCCTATCTATTTGCCCCCCCCCCCCATTTATAGTTGGCCCAGACAGATCATAAAAACGATCAAAAAAAAATGAGCTCAGCCAAAAACAAATTGATCTTTATTTTACCTGTCCTTACTGATTGTTCAAAGCAAGTACAATATACAATCATTAAAGACATATTCAATGCTACAATTTGGTATCTTTTTCTTTTTAAAAAAAAAGGTAAAATTTTTGTGGGATGTTATTTTATTTCAAGAAAAATAAAAAAAAGGGTAATGGTTTATTACTATTATAATAGCTGTATCATATTGATCTTTTCAATAGTATCATATCCAAACGTTACCGACATTTTCATCATATAGATATAATCGACATTGCAATTAGATCAATAGATGAAGAATGGCCAATAGAGACCCTTTTGAACGTTTTGTTTAATCTGTCTACACCAAAATTTATGACCTTTTTTTCTCTTATTTATCTATTCGCTCGTTCAATAAAATAAACCGTGTGAATAGACAAAAAAAGGACCAATTTTATTATCTAAGCTTATAATTGAACTTTGTTTTCTTTTCTTTCTTGATTTCTTTCAGCTGTCCATACCATGTGGCTCACTCACTTTATATATATATGTATCTTAATACAAAAAAGCACCACAGTCTTTTTTTTTCTGTAGAACTATCTGTCTTGTACTGGGACCAGATGTTTCTTTATGGTGTCCTTCTTAATGGGCTTACTGTCCTTGTTGTGTTTACTGGGGCTCAAGGAGGCTCAAAGAGGCTTATTGACGTTGAGCTGTGCTGTTCTGGCTGTTTTGGCTGAGCTGAGCTAGCTGTAGTTATAGCAATAGAATACATCATAGCATTATTAAGAAAATATACGAGCTTATAGCTGACATTTCAGTTGGTTACTAGAAACAGATTTATAAAAGGAGGACAGCAGGGAAGACAGACAGAGAGTCTAAAAAAAGTATAATGTTGTTATTTTCTTTCTCTCTTCTTCTTTATGTATGTATATATGTATATATGTGTTAAATACAGTATTGACTTGATATACCTTGCTAGAACCTATGTGAGTAATTCTGACAAAATAGCTCTGGGGAATCATAATGATTAAAGAAAAATTACGTTATCTCTACAAAGAAGACAAGGTGTGAATACAGTTAGGCCATATGGGAAATTGTAAAACGCTATAATGAACAAAGTGATCTAACCAGGGATACCAAATCCGAGGTCGTTTACATTGATAGTACTATAAACTTAGTATTCTATCTTCTTGAACAATAAATTAATATATTTTTATATTTCTTTTAAGGACTTGATTAACCATAGTTTGATTCATTAAAAAGGAAACCGTACAAAAGATCTTTATTTGCCATAAACACTTCTTTACACATCATTTGTTCGAAATATGTGTACAACCGACACAGCTTGAGTTACTGATGTCAGACGCCAATATGCTTGCAGGTCGCATCTATGTATTTTTTTTTCTGGCTTATATTGCTTAATAATTAAATACTAACCAACTTGAGTTATTTTTTCTGCTGTTGGAAATCTGAAAAACCCTTGCCTAGTGCTTAATGATTATGGCTCCATTTGAGAATACTCATGCACTTCATAGAGACTATAAGCTGCTATCTGTCTACTTACGTCAATTCTTCCAACGTTACCAGCGTTCGTTTTCTAAATTCTGATCAGTGTTCACACTATTAAGGAATAAAAATTAAGACCGCTTATCTGGGCAACCATCAATAACGGGGCTTCAGTGGCTGTTTGTGTATGGTTATCCACAGGCTACTGAACACTGAAGAAAGGAAAAGAGAAAGCCGTATCATTAGGGCTCAGCTTCAAGAAGAAGGGTGGTTCGAGTGCGATATAAATGAAGGCATATTCGAAAGCAAATCGTGAGAACAAACACCTCGTCAACTATAACGCCATTTAACCAAAAACCCGACCACACTATAAGCGGTCTTATGGGCAAACAACTCTAATAGGGTTCAGGACTTTCTTCAAATCGTATATAGTCGGCATAGGTCGTGGGAGATTACTTTTGGCAAGAGCTCAATTTATTGACGCTAAAACCAAGCTAGAAAACCATCTCTTGTGCTATTTTATCTCATTTTCGCATGGCCAGGTTTTGTGAAACTAAAGAAAACTAAAAAACAAATAGTCAACGATCTTTTCAATTCCTTGTCACTCCGAACTTCATGGATCTCTTTATACATTCAAATCGACTCTAGAATTATTTAATAAAAATACAAATGTCCTCTGTGTTACATACAAGAGTCTAAACCAAGCACAATACATAAAATATTTGCTGTTGATATGTACAAGAAATCCTCTAAAGACCAACACCCAGACAAAGTACAATCGAATTCAAAGGGTCAATCCAAAACAGATAGCGTTGATATATCTTACATAAACCGAGCCATTTCCACTTGCATTCGACCAAAAGAAAGTACCATGGTGGATAGCTAAACGAAACGAAACAAAACAAAACAAACAAAAAAAATCCTCCCCAAAAAAACTTTATTTAATATAATGCAGAAGAAATGAACTACAATCCACAATTTTGGCAATTGGCTTTCTCATCGACCCAGGCCAAAGAGATATTCTTGTACTGTATGCTTTAAAACAGCAACTCTTAAATTTTCTAAAACTAACCACTACATTCGAAACCAAGAAAACCAAACAAAAAAGGCAAGAGAGACGAAGGATACCAAATACCGTAATATCCGCCAAAGCCTCAAGCCTCAAGACGTTCAGAGGCGCGAAGATTTTCTTTTTTATTTATTTATTTATTTTTCAGTACCCCGCTTAAATCGTAAATATAGATCATTATAAAGAATTTTTGGAAGTACAAAATTCAGGGTCTCTTCCACCTTAAACAGCTAGTAAATCAAGCAGATCAAACAATAGCAACTACGTCAATCCAGAAGAATCAGCACCAGCACCAGCACCAGCACCAACGCAAGCACAATCTAACGAACGCTTTGACAAAGAAGTCCTTGTACAAAATTTTAGTCTCCATCCTTCACCCTCATCCTCAACACTCACTTCTTCATAATCGTGGTCAATTGGTCGATTGCCGCAACAAAATAGCGTAATCCAACTCATGGCCGCAATATATAAGAAAAAAAAAGAACATTCATCGTACTTTTCATTAATGAATACAAGACATTCAATATTTGTCCTATTTTCTCACTCTGCTTTGGATATATTGAAACAAATGGGCTTGTCTTAGAATAAGAATATAAATATATGTATTACTAACGCCTTCTCTCTTCTTTAAAGGTGCATAAACTAAAACTAAAAAAAAAATGCTTGGAAGCTTAATTGTATCATTGAAAGAATCAATGCTCATCGTCTACCATAGAACCGAGAACCTTGCGCTATCTCAAAATAATAGTAATAATAATTCTGCCGCATCTTACAAGAATTGCATACTACAAGAGGTTAACCCCCTTTGAAGTCTTCCAAAGAACCAAGGTCTCCCCCCCTCCCCCTTCCTTTTACCCCCTCCCTCTATAACTGCAGCTACTTTGCGCGAGTCAATCCCGAAAAAAAAAATATACGCCACCGCCACCGCCAAAACCATTCATAAAACTTCTAGTCTGATTATTGTTAGACTTATTTTAGACGCATAAGTAAATGAGCCAACGAAATCGAGAATACAAGTTAATTATCTATGTAATAAATACTATCGTGTGTGTGTGTGTGTGTATACTATTATAAACTTGAAGGGTTTATAATCAAGTGAGAGTATAACTGCTTTATTTATGTATTCTGATAATTCAATTGGATTATATTAGTTTCAAGAGACCAATGTGTTGTCCATTACGCCATGTAGCTTTGACATTAGTAGAGAAAACTTATTACTTTATTTTTTAAAAAATAAAAGTAATAAGTAAATTGGCTTTAATGCACGTGACCTTTATCTGCAATGCCAAGAAATATTCATTTTCATTGGCTCCAAACAACTTCTTTTTTTTCATTTCCCGCTATATTTCTTTTTCTGGAAACTTTACTGTAAAGTTCTCACCAATAAATTATATATATATATAATTTAAATCTCCTTCGCATTCTATATACTTTTCTTTTTTTTTTCTTTTTTTTAACCTGTCTCGACTTTAAATGTCCGATCTCTTTTTGCCTTACTTGACACGTTTCTTCACCATCCCTCCAACTTCATGGCACCACCGGTTGTTAGGTAGAAGACTAATTTAAAGACACATTACATACACCCACAACTACATGTTTTGGTTTTTGTGCTTCAATACAAAAGAAGTACTTCCAAACAACAAACATTTACTCGTACGAAATCAAGCATTCTCAACAATACAACAAACTTCTTTTTTGTTTTTTTTTGTCTCCTTTTGTTCTCTTTATTTCTTTTCTTTTCTTTACTTTGTATATATAAATCTATATAAACCAATATAAATACATACATAATATATACATGTATTTATATATATATTTATATATAACATATATTCACACCTGTGTGTACAAATGTACAAAGGGTGGTTCTGCGAGTAGATCCTCTATTGCAATTGGACTCACTGACAATCCATCAAAACAACATTACTCTCGGAACACATCAATTCACATTCGATAAAATCCACCCACAAAATCATACCCCAAATGACATTTATCAGGCAAACCTTGAACCTCTTCTAGAACCCTACATTCAAGGGTAAATCAAACAGGAATCAATCTTGAATCAACCAAAAAAAAAAAAGAAAAAAAAAAACTAATGCTCTTTTTCTCATTATCTCTATTGTGTGATTTCATCCTACATTTTGGCTTCTTTAAAAACAAAAAATTACTTCATCATCAGAACCAATGTTACTGTGCTAATCTATGGGTAAAAAAGAAAAGAAAAAGAAAACAACCGAAAGATAAAAAAAAACATATATATATATATATATATCTATAAAAGGCTATAATGATCAATATTCATTATACTTATGTAGAGATTCACAACCATCGAGTGAACTAGATCCTAGAGAGGAACAAGACGATCAAGGTAGGATAGATATATATTATGATGTCCAGATAATATATACATATATTTGTATATCTATAAAAATAAACCAAACAAGCAAGCAAACAAGCAAACAGACAAACAAATAAGCAAATAAACAAGCAAGCACACAATTAGAAACAATGAAGAATACGAGAAGAAATTCTACTAAAGAACAACCAAGAAATTATACACCAGTTGTTTCTTTTAAAACTTCTTTAAATATATATAACAAAATATCATTAGTACCCGTACCATTACCAGTACCAGTACCAGTACCAGCGCCAACATCAGCACCAACACCAACACCAACATTAAATATACATACATACATACATACATACATACATACATATATATATAAAGATAACAGTACACTCATATAATTATTGAGGAATTAGGCATCATTCGTCGATTTAGCCAGGCATTGTTTAACCACCTTGAAGAAACGATTTCCTCTGCAAGTGTACACGTATCATATGCAAAACTTGAGAACAATAATGCCAATCCCGTCGATCTACTCCATGCATCAGCGCCAACATCAGGAATAACCGACGAATGGGTCATGGACACAGATGAATTGATGAGGTATAGTATCAAGCCAAACATAAAATTAATAATAATAATAGAGATTCTTTCATCCCCCTCTTTTTATATATTCTATATATATATATATACATATATATATGTCCTTTATCTTTTATTCCAACTTTCAACCCAACCTTGCCCAATTCCTACCTCTTTTTCTATTACTATTATCATTATCATTATCATCATTATTATTATTTGAGGGTGTGTATATACATATATATGCACATATGCTAGATCATAGTTATTATTTGGCTAAGCACCATTGTAGTCAGTGGAGCAAGGGCAGTGTCTTGGACAAATCATTAGAGTCTTACGGTGTGTTCACAGTCTATTTACGCCAACCAAGCGAATCAAAATGGAATATAGTCCGTATTCCAGAATCATCTTTTGGACTGGGGCAATTAGAAGATATCCTGGGCCTTACGGGACCCAGAACAACGACAACGACAACGACAACTACAACGGCGGTTGGGTTCGGTGCCAGTAGTGGCGGTGACAGTGATTGTGACGGTGGTGATGTAGATAATGCTGATCATCATCCACTCATACGGATGCTGCAAGACAGCCTTTCTCATGTGGTAGTTGTAACCTGCATTTCGCCCAAACATCATGAAACCGAGGCACTAGAGAGTCTCCGGAACTCTGCTCGTCTACTACCCAACAACAACCATACAAAGCATATCATCAAAAACAGCCAGAACAATAAAAACAATCCCACACCCCATCGCTTACGAGATCAAGTTTCCCATCTCCGGCTCGACTTGAATTCCCAAAAGAACAAAAGCTTAGACGATGAAGTGTGCCAGATGCGGCAGGAGTTGAGACAATTACAATCCTTTACTCAGCAACTCTCACATGAGTTGGCACTAACGCAGACTGAGCGAGACAGTCTAATCTCCCGCTGTGTCTCTGCCTCTGCCTCTGTCTCTGCAGCTGCAATAGCTAATACAATGGATGATGGATCCGTTGAACCAAATTCAGCTCAGCTTTTACTACTAATGCAGCAGCAACACCAGCAACAAGCCGAAACGATCCAGCGCTTGAAGAGAGAAGCTGCCGAAGCACAAAAGAACAATAACACCAACAACACCAACAACAATAATAATAATAGTAGTAGTAGCAATAGCTATAGTAGTAACAGTAACAATAATGCTTATTATAGTTCTGGTGGTCGAATCCAATCCCCAAGTGGACGAACTAGTCAGGCCACTACTCCTCGTGAAGACAGTTTTTTCCGTGTTGCGTCTACCTCTTCTGGAAGACGTAAAGTAAAACATGTCTCTGTTACCCACCGACCGAGTCTCATCAAGCGTCGTAGTGGAAATAATAACCTTGGTTCCAGATCTCCTTTGGGCGGAAGCTTTACTACCCTAAACACAGAGAGTCTTGGAGAGGTACTGGCCATGCTGCGTCATGATCTTGATGCCTGTCCTAGTACCCACAGCTCCACTGAATTCCCCAGACGAGTAAGAAATCTTTACAGCCAATATATACATATATGTGTATATAATAATAATTAGAATAATTGATATGTAGATATATTTTTATAGCATAGACATATAGAGTATTATTCTACATATACATATATATATATACCTGTGTGTGTGAGAGAGAAAGAGAGAAAACAGAAACCCTCATCTATATATACATATATATACATACACCTATACACTTCCCCCCCCCCCCCATCTTTTTTTTTCTTTCTTATTTTCTCTTTCATTTTTTTGGAGTAACCAAGGAAACCAAAAAAAGAAATCAAATGTATCTCATTGTGTGTACCTTTTTTTTTTGTATAATTTTTATATATAATTTTTTATTTAAAATAATAATAATAACTGATGTAGACAGACGATCGTACCACACAACCCTACACTGCCAATCCTCCACCGTGGTCACAGGCCAGCGATGAAACAGTGACACCAGACCACGCAGAGGCCAGACCACCCCGAGACCCACGTTCGAATCCTCTCTCACCTATGCCTGCTCTTCTTCAAGACGATCACCTCCAAACCTCACTCGAAGACGATCTCGAAGCGCTTGTAAATAACCGTTCCTTTCTATATATCTGTATACATAACTTTTTTCGTAAAGACGAATTAGCTTTATATCTACAGCTAAATCCCAAGACACAGTCATAGACCAAAAGATATATTCTCGCCAGAAAAAAAAGAAAGAAGGAATCATTTACTTGTATATTTACTTTTTGTTTTGTTTCTTCTTTTGCTTCTGGTTCTATATACCTATGTTAGGCTGTTCCTACCTGGACAGACGTTCCAAAGACTCAATCGACGAATGGGTCCACTAAACGAGAATCATTGTCCTGGACAGACTCTGTTCTAGATGATTCAGATAATTCGGTCATAACATCGTCTTTTTCTGGCTGGACAGCCGCCAGTCGATCGCGCGAAGGACGCCGACACTCCAAAGACCTTCTCAAGATGCTCCACCAGGTCCAGGCCGACGTACTGGTGAAGCGAGAGTTGGTCGGCCAGCTCGAAAAGACCGAGGAAGAGTATACACAGATGCGAGTGAATTATGAAGAGCAGCTTTCGTTACTGCACAACCATATCCAGGAACAAAACCAAGCGTCTTCGCCTGTAGAATCCTCCTCATCTTTAACCAATCTATCCGGGTCAATAACAGGATCAGTAGCCGAGCGAGAAAAGGAGCCAAGAAGAGGAAGAGGAAGAGGAATTGGAACGGGAATAACGGTCGTGACCGAACGCAAAGACGGCGGAACATCAACAGGAGGAACATCACCTCTGGTTACAACACAACCCACCCCAACGTCTACAAGGGTTGGTCTGTCTAGACCCTCTAGCGTGGCTCAATTGAGAGAAGAGCGACTAGCCCAGGAGGTGCGGTCGCAGTACGAGTCCAAGCTGAAACGGATGTTTAATGAGAACCAGGACCTGCACCGCAAATATACCCAGACCGCATCGACTCTCCAGACCACACGCACCAAGGGACAGGCTATTGTGAGTCGATTGCAAAGCACGGTTGAGACTCTAAAGGCAGAAAAGAAGCAATTACAAAAGACGATCCGACTAGCGGCCGATCGTGCACGGGACACAGCTGTGGTAAACGAGCGAGAGATACAGCAGCTGAGACGACGTGAGTTGGCTGCGCTGGAGGTGAAGAAAAGGTTGGAAGAGGCCAATGAAGCACAGGCCCAGGTAATCAAGCGAAAGAATGAGGATGTGGCTGTAGCCAACCTACATAATAGATTGCTCGTCAATGCCCTCCGGAAGGCAGCAGGCGAAGGAACCCTATTGAATGAGGCTGCTCTTGATAAAATTATGGCTGGTGTGCAAACCAAATTATCCAAAACACGGCTGGCAGATTAAAACAAAACACAGGCACACAACCACAACCACACCCACACACCCACCCACACGCGCGCGCATATTATATATTTATACACAACCCACACACACAAAAAATACACTACAAATTACACACTACACACTACACACTACACCACACACGCATACAAAGAAATACAATGACAAACAAGCGTTTGTTCTCAAACTCTATTCACAATATATACATATATATCTATATATTGTGATTATATTTATTTCATGCCTCTCTCCGTCCTTACCTATCTCTAACTATATCTCTATCTCTATCTATACTTTTTTTTTCTTTGCTTTTCTATATATCTTTAAATCTGCCCTTTATTTTTATTTTTATTGTGATTCTTTCAAACTTTCTATTGCAGTTGTTTGATGTTGGTATTGATGTAGTGCAGGAATCACCTCCCCCTTTTATATCTCTTTGTGTTTGTTGTACTTGTTCAATTCTGTTAATAAGAATAATACATTAAAGAGAATTATATTTATGTGTATCAATGCATGAATTTTTTTTTATTTTTGGATAATTTGTCAAAAGCCACATCGATGACCAGAGATGTACAATTTCTGCAATAATAGTAATAATTTTGAAAGGCTTTGATGTTTGATAAATTAAATATAAAATATATAAATAGATTTATAGAATATGAAACATTAAATGTGTGTATATATATAAAAGAGAGAGAGAATAATTGCAGGCATAGAACCAAACAAGCATAAAGATAAACGATAAAGAATAAGAGGAGTAGTAGGAGGAGAAGGAAGAAGAAGAAGAAGAGGAAGAAGAAGGAAAACCAATAAAGGGGTTAGGATTAAGTCGAGTATCAGAATTCAGGCTTATCTTTAAGTTACAAACATATAAACAGATCCTGACTGAATGTGACAACACAGCCCTACTATTGTTGTTGTTGTTGTTGTTGTTTTTATTTGGCGTGGCTGAACTCCCCTTTCATTTAGGTGTGCTTTAATTATTATTATTTTTTGGTCTAATAGCTGTAAATTTATGTATATAATGTATATATAACATATATCACTTTCTTGCTATTCTTAATATGTATAAATATACAGATTATCTTTATATTTTATGTGGTCGTTCATCGGTCCTCACCGAGTGCTTATTCCGTCAACTGGATTCAAGCACGTCTTAACACTGCAGAAACTGCGCTTGTTTGTTCCAAAATAATAATAATAATAATAATAATAATAATAATAATAGCTTATAATTTCAGGGCTGTGATGTTTTATTGGGTTTCTATTTAAAAAATGTAACTAAATATATAGCTATGCAAAAAGAGAATATAGAAAGACAATAAAGGTAAAAGAAAGTAGCCACTTGCAAACAATACCTTTTACTGCCACTATCATCATTATTAACTATCAACAGTAGCAGTACTATTAATGTTATTAATATCTGTAAATCTTGTGAATTTTATTGGATATAAAGGGGGGAATTGCTTTTTTTCTTTCTAAACATCAAGACTTCTTTCTTCCCTTCCCTTCCCTTCCATTTGCTTTGCTTTGCTTTGCTTTGCTTTGCTTTGCTTTCACATAAAGTCTTCTTCTTTATTTACTTTTATTAGTAATAATAATAATAATTATAATAATAATAATAATAATAATAATAATAATATAATGACTGGCGACAGGCCACCTTCAGCTTCCAATAGTGACTCTACTCTAGTGTCAACAGACCCTAATCAATTCAACGAAAAGTCCAACAAACCTCTTCCGCATGGACCATCTCAACTCGGCAAATATGTGTCAAATAGTTCAGCAGGGTTTGACCAACAATCCCTGCCACAAAGAACACGTTCCACACTATCTACACGCTCCACACGCTCCACACGCTCCACACGTCGCACATTTTGGCAGAGAGCTGCCTATATTATCCGAAAACGAATGGCATTCAAGCCACCAGTCAAACACGACCCACGATTGTATCCACCAGCAAAAAAGAGATGGATTCTGGCATGTCTAGCTCTTGGATCCTCACTAAATGGCTTTTGCTCTACAGTCTATGTAAATAACATTTCCTTTAACTATATAAAATATCTTATCGATCAAGCAATCATTCAACACATACATACATACATAAATATGTCTCTTTTTATGTATAATTATCTTATTTTTACAAAAAGAAACGCACATATATATATATAGATTGATATAAATATATGTCATCACCCTTGTCATTTGGTTGCATTGCTAATTTTACTTTACATCTTTTAATGTTCTCAAAGCTACCTGGATTACCAAACATACAAGAAGACCTTGAGGCTACACCAATATCCGTTGCCTTGACAACCTCTCTATTCATATTGTTTGGTGGTATCGGTGTAAGTTTAAATTTATTGGCTATAAATAATAGCACCAGTAGCACTGTTAGCTATAAAAGATAAATCTATTATTATTATTATTATTATTATTATTATTATGATAATGATGATGATGTGCAAATCACTCAAAAAAGGAAATGATTGCTACTAGAATATTTTGCAGCTTTATTTTGAAGTATATTTATACATGAGCATTTAACCTTTTTATATATATATATATGTATGTTTCTATTTTGTCACAGCCTATCATATGGGCATCAATGTCAGACTTTTACCACATTCGCCGGTGAGTAACCTTTTGCTTTTTTATTTATTTAGTTACTTACTTATTTACTTATTTACTTTTATATTAGGTTTCTTTACCTATCATCCTTACTACTATTTGTTGGGGCCACAATAGGATGTGGACTATCACCTAACGTTTGGGTTCTTGTCGTTCTTCGATGTATTCAATCAGTTGGCACATCAGGTACCCAAAGAAAAAATAATAATGTAAAAATTAAAAACATACTAGAAGAAAGATTTCCACTGCGCAGCTTGCGTTTTCTGCAATGGAGATGCAGTCAATATGCCTTTTTCTTTTTTCCTTATTTTTATTAATATATGTACTATTATCTTTATTCCATTTATATATATATCTATCTATCTATCTATCTATAATCGTAACCATAATTCTGATAACAAAGTAACCATGTCTGTCGGTGCAGGTAATGATAATAATGATAGTAATATATAGAAAAATTATAGTCTATTATAAAAATAAAACTAATATATACCTATATATCTATATCTATGTAATGTTCATAGGCACAGTGGCAGATTGCTGGGAAATCACGGAGCGTGGCTCTGCTTTTAGCGTCTTGTTTGTAGGACAATTCTTGGGCCCACTAGTTGGTGAGTAAAGAACAGCAATCAATCAAACAAACAAACAAACAAACAAACAAACCTTTAGGCTTGTACACACACACACACACTATGATTACTTGCGCTTACTAATGTTAATATTAATATCAATAACGGTATTATATATTTCTATGTATATTTTTGACAGGTCCTATTATCGGTGGTGGTATAGTTAGTGCTATGGGATGGCGCGCCACTTTCTGGTTTTGTGCAGGCTATGGTGTATTTTTATTCTGCTTCTTGCTTCTATTCTTGCCAGAGACCTATCGGATTGACCACGTGTGGGACAATGGGCTTCCAATCAAGAAGCCGCGCCCCTTGTCTCCTGTGCCCTTGCCTGTTGCCACCAGGGATGAAGAAGAAGGAGGTTCATCTGGTGTGGCGAGTGACGAGCCAGACAATAGTGAGGATAGCGACGACGAGTATATCCAAGAACCGCCACCTCAGGGAAGAATGAATCCCATCCAGAGCATCGCATTGCTTAGGCACACATTTGTCTGGCTGATTGCATTACAAACAGGATTTTGCTTTGGCACAATGTTTACCATTGAAACCATCATTCCGGACCTCTATGATGAATATTATCACTTTGAATCATGGCAGACAGGTAAATAAATAAATATATATCTTTTATTGACTTTAATAACAATTCATATCAATAGGCCTAAGTTTCCTTGGTGCCGGTATTGGTAATGTCTTGGGCGCCATTGTATCCGGGCGCCTTTCAGATCTATTTTTAAGAAGAGCACGAGATAGAAGAGGAGGCTTGTCAGTCAAGGAAGACAGACTTACTCTGAATGCATGGTAAGTGAAGCCTAGAACCTTTGCTTTCTTTTACTTTTATTATTGTTTCTCCAACTATAAATACATATTCACCTATTCTAATCTATTCTATTATATTATTTAGGCCAGGAGGGTTCATTTGTGTGCCTATGGGTGTTCTGATCTTTGGTTGGTGCACAAGCCCAAATATTACTGTCTGGGCACCGATCATTGGATTCAGTATTGTGTGCTTTGGCATGAGTCAAGGTTAATATTATCGATGGCTTTCTTTTTGTTTTTTTTTTTGTTTGTTTTATAAATATGTTTTATGTTTTTGTGTGTGTGTAGTGTACGCATCTGGATCAGCTTATTTGGTTGATTCTATTCCCGGTAAAGGTGCATCTGTCACAGCCTGTTCAAATCTTGTCCGTCTATTAATGGCATGTATCTTGAGTTTGATCGCCAAACCTATCGTTTCTTCTATTGGTTCCGGATATCTCTCGGTCATTCTGGCCAGTCTGAATTATATTGGCATGGGATTCTATGCCCTTGTCAAATTCAAAGGAGCCTCTTTTCGAAAGGCTTCTGGCTATGGAGACAATCCTATCTAGCTATCTGTCTCTCTACCATCTCAATCTTGCTTTTATATGTATATTATCGTATCAAATCGTATCGTATCCTATCTTACCATTATTATTATTATTATTATTATTCTTAACATACTTACTACCTTGTTTTAATGCATTTCAAACCAACCTTTTTATTCTTCTTTCTTTTCTTTCTATTCTTTTACGTGTTCCAAAACCCATTCTTCTTCTGTACCATTCAAAGCTTACATACATATACATATATACATATATATATCTATATAAATATACATACATTTTCTTTCTTTTCTTTTCCAAGAATAAATAAATAAATATATATATAAATAAATATGTAGACTTATACACACAGGCACAGGCACAGGCACAAAATAACTATCTTTGTTTTACATATATATATATATATTATATACACACCAATGTCAAAATATTTTATTCGATTTTTGATTAATCTAATATAGTAACTGTTTAGATTTTTCTTCTTTAATTACAGATCATTCGTGCAACCTCATCCAAAGCAAGCGTCTTGATTTTTCATTGTAAAAGCAAGCGTCCAGACAATTGTTCCGTGTTTTGTGTTTTGTGTTTTGCGTTTTATGTTTTTTTTGTATGTGTGTTTTGGATCTTGTGTTTTGTATATACATGGGCATACATATGTATAGATATGTATATCATTTACAGTTTAGCTTTACAGGCAGGACATGCACAAGTAGTGCAGGCACAGGGAGTAGAACCACCACAGCATGAACTGGTTTCGATATTATCGTTCATTTATTTATTTACTATTAACATTAGCCTTATTCCTTCTTTTGTTCTGTCTCTACTTGTCTATTTGTAAAACTTACCCAGTGCATTTTCCTTCAGTGTTCTTCATTTTGTTTAGCTTAGCTTATAGTGATTGTAAAGAGAATGAAGATAAATAAAGAAAGAGAGAGAGATAGATAGAGAAAAAAAAACAGATCTTGAGCTTTATATATATATATATTTCATTAAAAGATGACATGATAAATTAACCTATTTCAGAAAATATTCACACATTAGATCAAATAGACCTCAATTTGACCAATACCCTGCTTCTCATTACAAATAAACAGCAACATTCGCGGACTTTTTTTTCTGGTTTAATTATTCTCACTTCTTCTTGGTAGGACAGATATGGATAATATTTTCAAAACCAACGAATTGTTTAAAGATAGAAAAGCAAAGAGAATATTTAATTTAAAGAAAAAATGAAGATACAAGAAGTATCAGGGTAATATTTGTCATTTATTTTATTAGTAATGCTGTAGTATATTAAGTTATATTAGTGGGGACCCAATAAATAAATGAATAAATAAAAAGGGCGTTAATGCACCCAAAATTTCCAGTAACCAGGCATCAATTTATTTGTCTCCATAGTTACAATAATCCACGCTCTCACAACATACTCACCATTGTATACGAGATATGGCAGTAAGATAAATAATCTCGATACATTCTGTTGTAACTCAATATTCCAAACCCACCATAGTTTATCCAAACATGTATAGTATACACACACACACACACACACAAGATAACCTCCATTTTTCTTTCTTTTTGGTTCTCATTCTTCTTTTCATTTCTTTCTCTTTAAATAAATATTTATATGTATTGAGTCTATTGCATTGGATTTTATTACAGGGAGATTAGTAATCGTCCCTTCTTTTTTGGTTTCTTTCTTCATTTTCTTTTTTTTTTCTCGCTCTCTCCTTTCCTCATCCTCGTTCTTATTCTCATCATCATATATATATATAGTTGTCATTTTTCGTCGCTGTCATGCTTGTCGTCGTCATTGTCGTTGTCGTTGTTGTTGGCCTCCTTCCTAACTACTACCGATATTGTTACAATTAGTTGTAAGCAACCTGAGCATTGGCACGGTTAGCCAATGCCTGCTTGTGGAGCTGCAACTTCTTTTGGAGAACAGCACTGACTCCCTGAGACACATCATAGATCTCGGCCGCAAATTTCTCTTCAAAAGTCTTTTCACCACGCTTGGCAGCTGCATCAATAATCCATACAATAGCACGACGGTGACGCTGACGTTCTCTCAGGGGAGTAGGAACGTGGGCAACCTTGGATCCCTTCTTTGTCGAGGTAAGCTTAAGTAAAGGCGAAGCAGACTCGATAGCCTCGGTCAGGATGGAATAAGGGTTGGTCGAGTCAGTCTTTTTCTGCAGGTGCTTCATGCTGTCAAGAATAACACGCTGGGCTCTGGCTTTTTTACCATCACGCATCAAGGTGTTGACCAACTGGCTAACAAGAGGGTCCTTGGAAATAACATTGGCATTGAATGCTTCGGGTGCGGATTCTACTGCTGCTGCTGTTGCTTCGGATGTTTCTGCAGCCTTTGCTGATTCTGAATGTGGGGTTGTAGGTGTAGGTGTAGGTGGTACGACAGAGTCTGAAGTAGGTTTGGCATGTGTCTGTGCTGTCATGAGACGTGTTAACTGTGCAGGACGAGCAGCGACCTGAACTTTTGAAGCAGTTCTAAGTACACTGAGACCGTTTTGGCGCATTGAATTCCACATGCTTGCCATCCTCTATATTTCTAATTTTTTTTATTCTTTTCTTTTGGTAGGTCGAGTTTTGTACGTCGCCGTTGGGTTTAGGAGAGGGGTAGCAAAGCGGGCCCTGCAAAGAAAAAGAGGTGCGACTGTCTTGAGGATGTGATGTCACAAATATTGTGGCTTGTCTAAACCAGAGAAAGTAATCCATTCTCATTTTTATGTTACTACTTTATCTTATTTTATATAAAGTGCATATGTGTATGTATGTATGTGTGGACTTACGGTGGATTTGGCTAGCTGTTTTTTTTCCTACTACTATTATTATTAAAAAAGGCTTTGATCCTTGATATGTCTAGTAGTATGCCGTATTCCAAAAAAAGAGAGAATCATATTAAAAACTTAAAAAATTAAAAAGATTGAAAGCAATTGATACAAACACTATACACACACATATGTATCTTGGTAAAATAAATAAATAAATAAAGCATACGTTTTATGCACATCAAAAAAAAATTCAAAAAATATCATTCTTGTAAGGTTCATAGGCAGAATTAGTTTCAAGATTTGATTTTTCTTTTCTTTTTCATTTAACCACAAACGGAGAACTTGTACTCCAGGAGAATATGTATATATGTATATATGTATATATATACATGTAAAGAAATAAGGGAGACAGGAGAAAGGAGTGGAGATCTGTATGGACAGGAAGATCGATTGACAGGCCTAAATTTGCTTATCTGCAGGAAATAATGTAACAAAAAAAATAACAAAAAAATCAAGCTAAGACAGACTCGGACTAAGCCAAGTAAACGAAAGCAAAACAGAAGAAGAAAAAGAAGAAGAAAATAAAGAGACTCAGCAATACTAAGTATTCCAAGCCTTATTATACCTGACACTAACGTTGAGCTTAAAGATCAGTTGTATATCAGACCTGTCTGCACTAGCAGCTGGGAGAACAAGAGGAAGACAATAAGTATTTTTATTTTATTTCTCAATGTTGGAGAATACGTTATGTGGAAAAATTCAAAATTTACCCAAATTATAAGAAGAAAGAAAGAAAGAGAGATCAATACTTAACTATATACAGTCACAATCAAAAACGTTTCGACCTCTGAGCCCAAAAAATGCATGAGAGAAATCATGGCATGTATTCAACATGCAACTGCTCCTCAGTAATAAAAGCTAAAGCATTCAAACTTCAAATAAAAGATTATATATATGTTTATTATTGAAATATAGAAAAAAATAAAAGATCAATATTTTGTATGACCTCCTTTGGCCTCAATTACAGCCTGGCATCGATGCTGCATGCTTCCGGCCAAAGTTGACGAAAGTTCGAGACCTATCCTTCGCCACTCTCGTTGCATTACAACCTTCAGATCTTCAACATTGTTAATACTGGCCCTCTCGTCACTCATGCGCCTCTCGAGAGCCCACCAGAGATGCTCGATGGGGTTGAGATCCGGGCTTTGAGCGGGCCAGTAGTCAAAACCTCGGATCTCATGGCTATCTTTCCACCACCTCGAGTACGACCCAGTATGACAGCTGGCGTTGTCCTCTTGGAACACGAAGCTCCTGTTTTGTTCCCGCGAAAGATTTTGGAACCAAGGGAGGAAGTTCTGAGCCAAAGTGTTCACGTATTGGTCTTGGTTTACGTTACTATCTAGGAACACCAAAGGGCCAAAACCACCGGCCCAGAAACAGCTCCAGATCATCACACTACCCTTCCCCCACTTGGTTCCTTCGATGATATTTTCTTCCTTGAACCTTTCACCGACTTTCCTGATAGCTCTAGCTCCTCCATCATTACCCTCAACTGTGAACCGTGATTCATCTGACCACACTACACCTCTCCACTGGTCATCTGTCCAATTCACATGCTCATGGGCCCATTCCAGCCTTCTTTTCTTGTGGCTTTCGGTTAAAGTTGGCTTGTGAGCTGCGATATATGATCCGAAGCCCAAACGCTTCAGACAACTGATTATTGTCTTTCTGCAGACAAATACCTCCATGTTCTTTAAGGAAGCCCTTAGCCTAGAAAATGAGGCAAAGGGGTCCTTACGAACTATTTGAACAAGGTGTCTTTCTGTCCTCTCGTCAATCTTTCTAGGTCGTCCGGACCCTTTTCTTGGCTCGGGCGATCCTGTCTCGTCCACTCTCTTAATGATGTACTTGACAGTTGACAGACTCATGCCAACCACCAATGAAATCTGGGTCGCCCCGTAATTTGCTAAATGCATGTACATGATGCATCCGTATTTATAGGGATCGGCCTTTTCATATGATCCGTGGGTGTTTTCTGATGAATTTGCGTCTTGCATGTTGGATTTGATTAATAATATTGGGAGAAAACAATGTTTTTATTTTTATTTTTTCGATTTTTTTTAGGCATTTTTTGCGGGGTCGAAACGTTTTTGATTGTGAGTGTATTAGTTAGCAAGAAAACCTAAAATTCAGTGGATTTTTCTATACGAAAAAAAAAAGTAAAAACTTGTTCGCCTGAATTCCTATGTTTTGTCTCTGGTACTGATTTTTGCTTTAACCTTTTCTTTACCAAAAAAAAAAAAAGAATGCAAGCTATACAATCCAGATTGAATTATTCAATTTTTACGGCCACGCCGAAAACTGGTCCGGTTTTATAGACTAAATATGTGAGTGTGTATATAGCCGACAAGTTAAGTGGCAAAATAAGAAAATCTGATGTGGGTGACATTGTACTTAAAGAAGTATGATTTAGCGAAACTGAATGAGTGCAAGGCATAATTTGATGCCAAACGGTCACGTAGTGACTTTGGTATTGCAAAAAAGAACAATGGAGATTATATGTGTGCTAGTTACGCAAAGAATCCGAACTACACACACACATATATATATATACATCTTCTTTTATAACTTTATACTTTAATTTAATTATATATATACAAAACACATATATAAGATATGTCTCTTTCCAAAGACGAAGACCGAGAAGAACAAGAAGAGGAAGTTCTAGCACTCGAGGCTATTTTTGGACCCGAAGTATTCCAAAAAGACAATCAGTCTCCCGACGCATTCATCTACACACTCAATCTCGATGAAGACACGCCCGATCTCAAGTCGCCGCGAATCCTAGTCGTGCGATTCTTCTTGCCTCCAACTTACCCACGAACAGACATGCCGTTTTACGAGATTTCTTCGGTTTATTTCGGACAGCTCAAAGTTGATCAAGCTATGGTGGACGATATCAATAGAGGATTTCAAGAACTATTTCAACCCGGACAAGTTGTCTTGTTCGAATGGATCAATTGGTTGCGTGAATATCTAGAGTCTAAAACCCAAAATGGCTCTGAAGATGTGAATAAACTTTCCGACACATTGAGCACTACTCGTGCTGGTTTTGATAACGAAAAAAAAGATAAAGAGGAAAATGATTATTATGAAGAACAAGAAGAACAAGAAGATTATGATGAGGTGATTTATTTTTATTAACTAATTTATTTTGTTTTAAAATTTGTGTGTGTGGTTGAATCAATTTTCTTATATATACACGAACAAAACAAAAACACACGTATACATACATACATACATACATACATACATATATATATATACATGAATTGAATATTCAAACGGATTTCAAGACAGCCAAAGAGATGGATAGACCTACCGTAAGATCGTGCTCCTCAGGATTAGCAAGTAACGAGCCAGTACCTGAGATCCAGTCAAGCATCGAGCCACTCGTAGACCGAAAATCAGTGTTTGTTGCTCACGTAGCCACAGTCTACAATGCTAGCCAAGTTAGAGCAGTTGTGTCAAAACTATTGGAAAACAAAAAGATTGCCAAGGCAACTCATAATATTATGGCATATCGAATTGTTCTGGACGACGGAAGAATTCTTCAGGACAACGATGATGATGGAGAAACAGCTGCCGGTGGTAAGCTAAATTTATTTTTGCAACACCAAAAAAAAAAGCATAATAATATTTTTATTCTCTTTCATTCGCCTGTCGCTTTAATTAATTAATTAATTAATCAAAATCATATTATATATATAACTACCGTGCTTCTTCTTAGGTCGCCTTATGCATTTATTGCAAATCCTTGACGTACAACATGCAGTAGTTGTAGTTAGCAGATGGTTTGGAGGTAATTTTGATGGGTTCAAAAAAAAAACAAAGATTGCAACCATATATACCATTCATAAATACGTATATATAGGAATCATGCTGGGTGCCGATCGTTTCAAAGATATCAATAATTGTGCTCGTAAGGCTCTTGAAGATTTTGGTCACATCAAGGATGACAAGCAAAACCACGAGCATGGAAAATCGAAAGGAAAACACAAGAAAAAATAAAGAAAAAGTTAATTTTTTCTACTTAATTATTTGCTTAATTAAAAAATAAATAATAAATAATAGTAACTAGAACTCTAAATTATAGATAATATAAAACAGTCAAAAGGATTTAGTTATTTTTTTTTTAAAAAAACACACAAACACACACACCAAAGGGCAATACTATGTGAAATCCAATTATTTAATTTTCACTTGCCGACGTTTTTTTGCTACTTTTGCTACTTTATTTGTAGCATATAAAAAAATAGACCGTTTAGTAAGGTTTTTTTCTAACGTACGCTTCTACTTCCGAAGTGGTAAAATATCGTGGTTTTGATTGTACGACGTTAGGAGTAACAATAAATTAAAACAGCACCGCATTTTTTTTTGTGGACGAAAACTGCTAGCCTCACAAAAATGCCACGCTCCTAGGTGTTTTTAAATTACTAAAAACATCTTAGACCGTTTGAGTTTAAAATATGCCCTACAATCTACCAGAAATACTTGACAGTCGAAAAAAAAAGATGTTTGAAATTTGAATTATTTATTTTATTTTATTTTTGATTTCGTATAAGTTTTCCATTAAACTTTGAAAGCTGTTATTTTTTATTAAAAAATAATTAGCCCATTTATTTCATCTATGATTCCATTTGAATATTACATTGCATTGCAATTGAGGTATTCGGGATTGATTTTGGGTTAGTAACTCAATATTAGAAAAGATAGATACTATGAGAGTGTTGAAGTATTCGGAACTGGCTTTGGTCTAGTATCTTAAGATTAAAAAAAGTAGATACTGTGAGAGTGTTATTTATTAAAAAGATAGAATAATTTGTTATATATCAATCGATAAAGAGTTTCTTTTTCTTACTATTCGATTTGCCTTTCTTGATATTTGTACCTCCGCTATGCCACGTCTGCCGCAAAAAATCCACCCAGGCACACATAAATTAATTTGGACACACACATCTTTTTTGTGATGAATTCATAGACCTTTATAAATAATAAATAATTAGCATACTTTTTGAAAGTAGAGCTGCCCCCACCCCGCTCTCCTCAAGTTTTATGTATATATTATCTATGAAAAGTTTAGCGACTATATATTACAGTTAATGTGTAAAATTAAGTTGAGCAGTTTATTGAAAGAATAATAGTTTAAATGATGTTGTTTTAAAATGGTAAGAAGATTTGCAGAGAATATACAAGCAGAGTCTAAGTTATGTGGTTCTATTCCAACTTTTTAAAAATATAGAAAAGAAGATAACTTGGATCCAACCTCACAACTACAGCTCAAACCACCATCACCATTACTAGCTCTACAGACCAAGATAAATCAAAATCATATATATATATATATATATATATATTGGTTCATCCTGTTATCTCTTCATCTACTCAATTTCTCTACCTCTTTAATTTCTCTATCCTTTTCTTTTTCTGTCTCTTTTCCATGTCACTGTAACTATCACTACTCTTTGCTCAAGATAAATAAATAAATACATAATGGTAGTAGTAATATTGGAGCAAGTTCGGTTAAAATGTATTGCTCTATGTATATACAGATATCGACATGGGGCATTGTCATTCTTCTTTCTTCTAAAAGAAAAAGAAAAAGTGAAAGGAGGAGGCAAAGGGAATTGTTTTTCTTCTTCTTCTTGTTCTTTTTCTTCTTCTTGTTCTTTCTCTTTTTTTTAGAAACCAGGTGGGCTTGTACGAACGGTCTTCTTGGTGAATTTGGGCACCTTGTGGAGAGATTTGCGGTGACCAGCAGCAGTGCGGCTAAAGACAGTGTATTTGTCTCTAGGGCTCATTTCACACTCTTTTGGCAAAGCAAGAGCCTCATCCAAAGCCTTGCAACGTACACCAGACTCAGCAACGGTGGCAATGACCTGATCAACATCTCTCAATCTCTTGCGAACATTTGCCTTACGCGTAGTTGACATGCGGAAAGGGTTCTTCCTACGATAATAATCATAAAATTAATAAAAATGAAATAAATAAATAAATAAATAAATAAATTTAATTTAATATAATTTATTATATACATAATAGCAAAATAAAAATAATAAGAGAGGTAATATATGTAAATATCTATTTTACCAAAGAAGACCACCCTGGGCTACAAAGGATGCCTTGAATGCGCCAAACATGGAGATTTATTTGAGAAATGTAAAGTTCTCGAAAACAGGCACACTAAATAGCAAACCAAATCCATTTTCTACACATTCAACGAGGGTTGAGGGGTATGGGTTAGGGGACTGGTGTGACTGGTGGCTGAGAGGTAATTCTCTAAAATGAGAAAGACCATGACAGCCAATCCTCTCGTGGCTTTTGCTCAAGTTTTCTAATGAAAAAGCATTGTCGTTTTTAAGCTTTGTTCCCTTGATAGAATATACATATATAAATAAAAATAAAACCAAAAGGAACACTTCATCATGTCGGACCACTCAACACAAGAATTTGCTCTTCCTTTTGGAAAACATTTGGCAGCCAATGGTATGAACCATTTCGATTCACACAAGACACACACGCCCATACCTACACCTACACCTACACCTACACCTACACATTTACATACGCATATGTATACAAATATTTGTACAGCGCAATGAAACTGACATTTCACTAGACAAGAAAACTAGAGACAAGGCTGTCCGATCCTTGAGAACCTTCCTTTCAACTGGCCCTGAATTGTCCCACACAGATCTCCTCAAATTGTGGAAGGGTCTCTTTTACTGTGAGTTACAATTGCACACACGCATACACATCTTTATATATACATATTTGTAAGATAAACGCATAAAAACTTTAACACCATGACCCGGGGGTTTTATTTCCTTTTAACCAATACATATATATATATTTAAAAATAGGCTTCTGGATGTCCGACAAACCTTTGGTACAGCAGGCCTTGGCTAACGATCTCGGATCGCTTGTTCTCGAAATGCCTGCATCTAATGCAATTCCTTTCCTTTCTGCATTCTGGGAAGTTCACTGCAAGGAATGGTATGGCTTGGACAGACTCAGGTAAATGATTAATTTCATATAAAAATATTAAATTAGAGCTTGTAAATAATGCAGAAAATATTAATTTCTTTTTTGTTGTTGCTGTTGTACATGTATTTATGTGTGTTTATTTCTATATATCTATAATAGACTCGATAAGTTTTACTTGTTATTCAGACGTGTGATCTTTTTCTCTTTCAAATTCCTTGCCAAGGAGGATTGGGATGAGGAATTAGTAGCTGATTATACAAACATGCTTTTGGAAGGTCCTCTTCAGTAAGTAACCAGTAAAGATAATAATAACAATAACGATAACGGTCTATATGTCTTATGCCTTCTTTTTTCTGTTTTTTTCTCTCTTTTTTTTATAGTCCTACAGATCGTACCAAACCTGACTCTATTAGATACCACATCATGGACATTTATTTTGGAGAATTAGTAAAGGTTCTTGACGAAATCCGCGAGTCTATGGATGAAGACGATGTTCTTGAATTGCCTTTGGACGAACTGGAGAGACCTATCCGAGTTACTGCTACAGACAACATTAACAAAGTAGCACGGACCAAGGCATTGGAAGCAATTCGCCAACACGAAGAGCAGGATGATGAAGATGAAGATGATGAAGAGGAATTCGCTGGTTTCGAGGCTTCAGATGAAGATATGGAGGATCTTGAAGAAGGTTCTGAAGATGAAGAGGCACCCGAAAAGTAAATTATACAACAACCAATAACGTCACAAATATATATATAAAATAACAATAATAACAAGAGCAATAACAAGGATAGTGACGATGAAGATGAAGATGAGGATGAAAATGGTGCTTGAAAATAGGAAAGGAAGAAGTGTTATTTCTTCATTTTGTTAATTTTCATGCACGCATGCATACATTCATTTATTCTTCTTTCGTTTTTCTTTTTGACATCACCACATTTTCATATTTTACTAGAATAAACTTGTACAAAGCATAATTATCACATACTTCTTTTTATGAAAATTATTATTATTGTTATCATTAGTTTTTTTCTTTCTAAAAAAATGGAATTTATTTGGTTTTTTTACTTTATATTTTTACAGTTATATATATTTAAAGTGCCTTTCTGTTCTGCATATTGGGTATGTAATGAGAACGTACAGCAGATGCCATACCTACACTAGGTCCAGGAGTGTAAGAAGAAGCAGAAGAAGGTTCGAACGTTTGGGTTGTAGGAAAGACTGGTTCTTGTCCTTTGATACCCACGAATCGAAGAAGTGTTTTGAGTAATCCCTTCTTGTTCTGGGATGGTGCAAAATCACCTGCAGTAGGATCTTGTAATAAAAACAAAAATCCAAAAAAAGTAACATAAATAATTTTTGACATTTGAATATAGGTGTGTTATAAATGACACTTACCAGACATTGGAAGAGAATTGTCATTTGCACTTAGGCTGATAAAGTAAGTAAAAGGTATGAGCCAGACGCAGATACCAAAGAAAGCAGCAATGTCCATAAAAGGTCTATAGTGTTTAGTGAAGTATCTGAACCACACAAAATGATCCACAAATACAAGCACTAAAATAATAATAAAAAGTATACCAAAATTAATTACAATAATAATAATAATAATAATAATAATAATAATTTACTAAATATAAGCAGAAGAAACAGAAATATGTGATGCCTTACCACAGCTGCTAAGAAAAGGTAAACTAGTCAGGTTGATAAAAGGAAATGTCTTGAGATTCATGCTGTAGACTCCATGACAAAACAATGAGAAAGCGATTTGGAGAAAAGGAAGACGATCGAATAGCAACAAGACATGAACAGCAGCAACAGCCTATATATATAAGAGTATTAATTAATCTATAGTTATTATTCGCTGTTCGATCGATGTTATCATTTATTATTGATTTTACCACCGTCATTGCCTTGATGACCTTTTTAGTATAGACAGTGTATTCTTCAACCTAATAATAATAAAATAATAATAATAGTAAGTTCAATGTTGGTTTTTACGATGTTAAATAATTTTTCTTTTAAAGAAAAAGAAAGGCGGCTACCAATTCTGCCAGGTAATAAAGTCCACATGCTTATGGTTAAAATATAGAGAATGTTGTTATTCTGTCAGTTATTGGAATGTCACTTTTATGTCATCCAATTACCTAAGCTTAGAACAAAAAAGCAAAATGCCAAGGCTATTGCGCAATATCCCACTAGATGAAGAATGGTCATTAGCAAAAACTATAAACAAATAAAGAAATATAAAAGGTAGAAGGAAGAAGAAAGGATTGTGATGGGGGTCAGAGGGGAGGGAACAAGGTAGAAGAAAAAAGAAAGATAAAGTAAATTCTATACCTCTCTTTCATATATATTTTTTTTGTACGTGATGCCAAATTCGGCTTACAGTAAAACGAATATATAAAATATACAGCAGCAATAATAGTGTCTAATCAACTTTGTTGTAAGGGAAGAATAGACAGTATTATTATTTATTCAAGGTGTAATACTCTATATACAGAGTATAGACTCTACTTCTTGCTTATTTTGTATGCTGTGTAGAAAAATATTTTATATACCGGTGTGTCGAGAATACGTATAGCTATACGTTTTGTCTATTAAACCAAAATTAATGAATGGATAGTATAGTGGCTTACAATAATTTTTAGTTCATTCCTTTAACTGACTACTTTATTGTACATTAACAAGTACATATAATACATATTCAAAATACAACACGTTCGCGTCAGTATATTAGTGTCAGATTTTTATATATATATTAAAAACATACACCTATAAACCCAAGAGAACCGTAAATTTTTCCATCTCCACCAAATATGTCTTCAGGGTCTCAAACTCACCAAATAAGCAATTGAGCCAACAAAAACAAAATAACTTGGCGAAACTATTACACGAGATTGTACTCCCACTATACACACACTATACACACACTATACCCTATATACACACCATATACACAATACAATACAATACAATATATATACGCGTTTTAAAGGGACAAAAAAAAGACAATATATATATATAAATATAATATATATATATAAAAAAGCTCTGGTCGCGTTTAAAGATTTTTCCTTTTTTTTTTCTTCCTATTATTTCTCAACTCATTCTTATTCCCTATCAACAAAGCCAAAAAAAAAATAAGATCTTATATTTTTTGTTACTTGACAATTGAGATCAAATAATCGCAATTCATATAAAAACACACATACAAACATAACACAACCCTTTAATTAACAAGCAAGCAAAATGGTAAGACTTTCTCTTCTCTTCTTTCATTCTTTCATTTACCTCGTAATGAAGCCCAATTACCCTTTTTTTTAATTAAAGAAAAAGTACAAGACTATAATAAATGTGAAATCTGTTCATGCTCTTAATGAGCTGTATCATCAATGTCCTTCTTTCATCCTCCCCCTTCACATACACATGCATTTGAATGATTCGACATTATAGTTGATTAATAGATATAATATATACATATACATATACATATATACATGCAACTTAGGCAGACACCAACACCGACAGTTCGCTTAGAACAGAGAAGGATCGAGCACCCATCATGTCACAATCTGCCAGATCAGGACTTCAGGTAATTATACACAGACAAACATATATATATAACTCATACAAATCAATAATAATTAAACAGATCAGCTAAAAATGAAATGTATATATATATATATATATATATATTTATATTTATATCTATAAGATTATATTGATGTCTTTTTCTTTCTTTCTTTATGTAGTTTCCTGTAGGTCGTATCCATCGTTATCTTAAAGACAAGAGCAGAAACAACGCTCGTGTAGGTTCAAAGGCAGCCGTTTACACAGCAGCTATTTTAGAGTACTTGACAGCAGAAGTTTTGGAATTGGCTGGAAATGCAACAAAAGATCTCAAGGTCAAGCGTATCACACCCCGTCACTTACAGTTGGCCATTCGAGGCGACGAAGAACTCGACACACTCATCAAAGCAACTATCTCTGGCGGTGGTGTCCTTCCTCATATCCACAAATCTCTCATCGGCAATACGAAACCCGGAAAGAAGATGTAAAAAAAAAGACAAAAAACAAAAAAACATAATTATAAATATATAATATATAATGTATATATATATATATATATATGTATGAGAGAGAGATAGAGTATGTATGTATGTATGTATGTATGTATGTGAATGTATCTATGCGTGTGAGTCTCCCTTCTTAAAAGTGTCAATACCCGGTTGTCAGGCTTGATAAAGGAACAAGATGTGTATGTGTGCATGTGTGTATGTAATTCAGTTAGCCTTTTACTCATAGAAGATGATGAAAATACAATAATAATAATAATCTTATTGTCAAAAAAAATACACACAATATACGCTATACTACATACAAACAAGAGAGCAAGAGAACACACATTGCCTTGTTTGCAACCACAAATTGAATTAAATATTTCGCTCTTTATTATTACTATTACTGTTACTATTATATATATAAATCTGCATTTGAACAAAAATATAAACCCCCATTGGAGGTTAATAATAAATAACAAGACATGGCGTGTAAAGAAGTGAGTTAATGCAAAGTCTATATATACATACATTATCTGTATTCATACAGGTACCTGTCTGTCTGTGTGTGAAAGGCTTGGATAGTGGGATGAAAAGCAGTCGTTTTGGCTGCTTGATTTAAAGCAAAACGCTTCCCATCCATTATTTCAATATTACAAAAATTCAGCTCTCTTCTTTTCTTCTTTCTTTCTTTCTTACGACTAAATATGGAAGTACTCAAACAGAACTTTGAAGAACTGTACCCAATAGTTAAAGAGGCAATATTGGAGGCAGACTTCATTTCAATTGACACAGAATTCACTGGTACTTGAAATCACTAGACGAAGAAGAAGAAGAAGTCATAACTTTATTCCCTTCTTTTGCATTTATTAATTCTTAATGTAATGTAATGTACTACAATGCAATGTAATAAACCATAATATATTATAATACAATATAAAGGTTTAACGCCTCCTGGTGTTAGTTTCCAGCAATTCGACAACATGCAACAACGCTACGAAAAGCTGGCTCAATGCATTCGCGAATACACTATTGTACAGTACGGCGTCTGTGCATTCAAAAAGACAGAAAACGGTTACACTGCCAAACCTTTCAACTTTTACGTTTTTGGCTGCGACACTAATGACCTTCAGGCCCGCCGTACCTTCTCATGCAGTGCAAGCAGTCTTTCATTCCTAAGGTCCAACAAGTTTGATTTCAATAAGCTTATCGATGGCGGAATACCCTTTTATAACTTTTCTGAAGAAGACTCGGCTATTCAATCAGCATCAGGAACTACCTTTGCTCATCGAAACATTCATCAAGGAAGTATGTCATTTATTTTTTATACTTTACTTAATTCTTAACTATTAAACTTTTTTTTTAATATATATATATATATATTATAGGAGAATCAACTCATCCAGGAAGTATTGCTTTTTTGGATACTTTAAGGTAAATAGATATCTAATAAACTAAATAATAATATTACCAAGAAATCATATACTTATATATATATATATATTTATAAAACATAGGCGTAATCTCGGAAAATGGCTGCAGAATAGTTCAAACAAGCCATTAGTTGTTAATGTCAACAAGCCTGTCCACAGAAAACTAGTATATCAGGAAATGGCTAAAGCGTATGTATTATCTAATCTAATAGTGGTAATTCAAACATATTCTTTTATATTTATTTTTATTTATTTTTATACATATACATATTAATTTTGGATTAATTGTACAGAGAATACAATTCTTTTCTTCAAGCCTCTCACAGAGACAGCAAAAATATGGAAATTTCAAGAATCACCGTAGAAGAACGACAGCGGCGACAGCGGGCTCTGGTGAGATACAGATATAGATATGCAGAATGGATTTGGAAACTTACATGTTTGTGTATTTGTGCTCATATTAGTCTCCTCTGTTAAACTTCCGTAATATCATTGAGCTTATAAAAGATGCTAAATGTCCAGTTATTGCACACAATGCCGTCTTTGATTTGTTCCATACTGTAGATCAGTTTTGGAGATATCTTCCACAAGAAGTCAGTGATTTCAAGAAAACCTTGAACGACATGTGGGAAACGTAAGTGTGAATTGAACTTATATATCTACAAATGGGAGAGAAAGTGGTATTGCTGTAATATAATAAATATATTAAAGGCATTTTGTGAAATAATATTTTAGAGTTGTCGACACAAAGTATATGGCCGAATTTCATCCAGATTTGAAAGTAAATAGTGACAGTAATAGTAACATACAATAATATATGTACTAAATTGCTACTGTCTTTCTTTTGTGCAGAAATGCTTCAACAGTTCTGTTCTAGCTTCTCTTTACAATACAGTAGAAGAAGAGATCAAGGATGGTGGACCTACAGTCAGTAAGTGAATTCATATTTATATATTATCATTAAATTCATTTCATATTATTAATTTTTTTTTAAAAAAAAAGCTTTGGCCAAGGGTTATGGTGGTTACCATGAAGAAGGTGCAGCAACTTTGGCACACGAAGCCGGTTACGATGCATACATGACAGGTGTTATATACCTGGGATTTGTCTATTACATTCATGAACGAGAACGCGAGAGATTAGAAAGTGAAGATGACAAAACCAAGAACTCGAAAAAATCCAATAAGAAGATCAAAACAGATTCAAATGTCGATAAAAATCAGAAGAAATCAGGAAAAGATGAAACATTCATGGACAAATCACTCTTGCCATATTACAACAAACTATTCTTGATGCGGTCTGATCTTTTATACATGGACCTCAAAGGAGTTGAAGAATACGGTAAGTATTCGTTGTGCCTAGGAAATGAACTATATGTATATATATCTACATATATGCATGCATGCATGTATTAATCAATTTATTTAATTTATTAAAAATCAGAACCCATTGATCATCCCAATCGTTTCTACCTTAACAATGTTCCTAGCGAACTAACTTTTTCTGGAATTGAACAAATTTACCCCGAAATACAACCTGCCCACGTTACCTGGACCCCAGACAATAATGCCTGGATCAACATTAAGCACGACAACAAGGTCGAACTTGTCAAACTCGGCCCACTTGGAGAGGATCGTATCCGGGACTTCTTGCCAGGTGGATCTCGTGAAGCAGAGGGAGTTGCATCTGGAATTACAAAGGAAGCAAGCAAGATTGAGATCCTGACCTTCAAACAGTGGATGGAGTTACAGAATCCCAAGAAAGAGGACGAAGATAAAAATCAAGCCTTTGATGAGTCCAACAATGCCACACGCGATTTTGTTCCTACCGGAGGTTCCAGCTATGATGGTAAGTCAAGAAAGAAAGAGAAAGAGAGACATAAAGCGCTATTGTATTATAGGCATTAAATATATCGATATGTATATTGACAATCTATTTCTTATTAGATCTAGATATTCCTATTCCTCCAAGCTTTGCATCTGCCAAGAAGCGTCCTCATGAAGATGGAAACGAACCCAATGAAAATCACAATAAGAGACATCATCCCTATTAAAGAAAATAAGATTGAAAACCAAATAACAAAATAATGCAAAAAATAAAAAAAAAGCAGTAACTATAGAAAGATAAAGAAGAAGAAGAAGAAGAAAAAGAAGAAAAGACTGGGCGGGTCGTTTGGCGGAGAAGAAGATAAAAAAAACAAAAACAAAAAGAAGAGAAAAATAACCTGGGTTAACAAAGTTGTACCTCTTGCTTTCTTTTTTAACAGATTTCTTTTCTTTAATTTAAGCATGTTGCGCATTGCACGGCCATTGCTATCAAACTCTCGTTCAATTGTAACATTGTTTGGTAGATCTAGTGGATTAACTTGTCGCTACACAACACAATCCTCGCCACCATCGACGCCACCATCGACGCTACCATCAACACCAACACCACAATCCCCAAAATTACAAAAAGAACCATTAGAAGCCCTTCCTAAACATTTATACGATGCAATTAGGGTTAGTTTGTTTACTTCGTTCGAAAGAAAAAAGAACACAGAGACACACACACGCGCATGTATATATTCAAAACATGTTCCATTTTTTTTATTATTTTATTTTGGCTTTTGGTTTTGTTTCAGCTCGCTGGTCCTTTAACTGTGTCTCATTACATGCGTCAAGTGCTTGTGAATCCTCTAAGCGGATACTACATGCACAATGATGTATTCGGCACAAAGGGTGATTTTATTACCTCGCCTGAGATCAGCCAAATGTTTGGCGAGGTAAAGATAATTATAATAGTAATAGTAGTAGTATTAAATGATTTTACACACTTTTTTCACAAGAATCGATATAGATATAGATATATATATATATTAAAATAATAAAATAAAATACAATACAATACAATACAATACAATAAAAATTAATTTTATATTTAAGCTTTCCGGTATTTGGTACTTGACAGAATGGATGCGCCTTGGTCGACCTGCCAAAACACAAATCATTGAGTTTGGGCCAGGCAGAGGTACCTTGATGAAGGATATGCTGAGGGTCAGTAATGCTGGTTATATATATAAATATATATACATGCTGTATTGGTTTATTTAATCTTTTTCAAAGACTAAATTCAAAGTATTGATATGTACATATAAACATATTTAGGCATTGGAAAGATTCCCTTATTTTTACAAAACCTTGACTGGTATTCACTTGGTGGAAGCAAGCCCTGGATTACGTAAAATGCAGCGTGCAGCTCTTGTAGAGGGATCCAAAGATGAGGATGTAGTCAGAGAAAAGGCAGACGCAGCTAATACAGCTCTGGAATCAATTACTCGCCCAGATGGTATTACTGTGTCGTGGCATGATGGCATTGAATTTGTACCTGGTGAGTAAGATATATATCTTTATATTCTATTCTAATATGCTTTTTTTTATTTATTTTTCAATTTATTTTTTGTAGAGCAATGGTCAATGATTATGGCACACGAATTCTTTGATGCTCTTCCAGTCCATAGCTTCGAAGTAAGAATAAAAATAAAATAATCAAAAATGAATAGAGAACTTCTTGTGTTGTATCTGATCTAATTATTTAAAGTATAGAAAACATCTGATGGGTGGAGAGAGATGTTGGTTGATTTAGACGATACTGATGAAACGTAAGTCGAAAGAATCAAATAACTATACATACACATCCATATGTATACACATATATATAAATAACAACCTTGTACAAATGTACAGAAAATACAACTTCCGTCTAGTGAGATCTCCTAGACCTACTACTGCCAGTAAAGCATTTATGGATCAAGAACCTGCTCGCTTTGCCAACTGTAAAGAAGGCGATCGCATTGAAATATCACCTGATAGCTGGGACGTAATGACCAAGATGGCCAAGCTTATTGACCGCAATGGAGGTGTAGGACTTGCTATTGACTATGGACAGGATTACCCACAGGGAGACACTCTTCGTGTAAATATAATAATAATTCACATTTAAACTTTAATCTTTATGGCTTTTCTTTTGTGTAGGCTATTCGTCAACATAAATTTGTTCATCCAATGAGTAACCCTGGAAGTGCAGATCTTAGTGTGGATGTTGATTTTGGATTTTTAAAGGAAGCAATTCAAAAGAACTCTGGTGAGTGAATCAATGATAATCATAGTGATAACATTGGCATTGGCATTGACAAACATACAACAAATTGAAATTGTATTACTGTGTAGATGTTACTCCTCATGGTCCAATTACCCAGTCAATGTTCCTTCAATCTCTTGGTATCCAAGCACGTGTACAGATGCTCCTGGCTAATGCAAAAACAAAAGAAAATCGAAAGAATATCATCCAGGGTTTCACTCGCCTATTGGACCCAGAGCAGATGGGTCGTATATACAAGGTTCTTGGATTTACAAAAGAAATTTCAAAAGGAGCAGAAAAACCAGTAGGATTCCAAGCACCACCCCCACCCTCACCAACCAAGCCTATCTCAAGTGCATAAACAATATATATATTAATAGTATTACTTGAATTACATTTGCTTGATTTTTGTGATTTTCCACATAATTATAATATTTAATTTTATTTAACTTTATTTAATTCAACGCAGCCTTGAAAGTGCTATAACAACTTAGTCCAGGATCATAATCTAAGTAGAAAAAAAGCAGGTTAATGACCAAAAGCCAAAAATTAAAATTATTACTGTGTTGGTTTGTTTCTAGACACAACTTGGAAATCAAATACTATACCAAAGTTATTTTGAGGGTCGCATCTACATTTGCTTCTAAACTCTTCTTCCACCGGACAGTGCTGGTAAGCAGTGTGTCTGTAGCCGACGTCATTGAAGAAATGGAATTCATCTTTACGAAGCAGCATAGTGGCTGCAATTGAGTGAACAGGAGCATCACCCCATCTACAGACACAGAAAAGAAGAAGAAAAAAATATGAATTAATGGAAAGTAAAAATAAAAATAAAAATAATTGGAATGAATATTTTGCTTTTGTTTTACCTTTCATAAAAGAAACCACCCGATCGATCTAGATAGCTGAATAGCTTGAGATAATCATTGGATCGCCAAACGGCCAGCGATGCGATTTCAAAGTTGGTCCAGAAGTGGCAAGAATTGTAGGTTTCACCATTGTCATTTGTAACAAACTTCCACAAACTGTCTTCTTTTACCGGCAAATGCTCCATTACTTCGGGATAATCTCTTTTAAAGGCTTCAATTGTACCCCACAGTGAAGGGACAGTAGCCATAAACTCTCTAAAAGCAATATTGAAACCTATTTTTTTTTTTCAATTGATTAATTAAAAAAAAACATACTGAGCTTTTCTTACTCTTTATCTTTTATATATATATATAAGAAACTACCATCTTCTATCTCATATATAATAATAATAATAATAATAATAAAGGTATAGCTTACCATATTTCTTGCCATTGTTTCTCATGTATTTAAAAACATCATAATCAAGCTGGCAGTAATAATCAACATCTGGCTCCAGACGCCAATAGTAGTCAAATTCATCCAAAAGCGGATGTCTAAAGAAGAACCCACTCTGGAATCTGCACATGTGGCGGTAAGACTCGCTGTCAGCATAAGGCACACCTTGCTTGGCTAGTTCGTGGCGGTTTTCTGCAGCCCGCGTCTGGTTGATGTACGAAGGATAACCCCACATCTGCTGGTCGAGTTTACCGTAACGAGTGACAGAGGTTGTCAAGGCCGAGGTTGTGTCCACAAACTCGGGCGTAAACTCTTCATCGTTCAAGAAGATGTATGGGTATTTAAACTTGTTGTTGAATGTGCTTTCAATCTGGCTGATTGTCGAGACGATTCCACCCAATTCATTGTTGCGTACTAGAATCACAAAGCATGCCCGGACAGGGTCATCAGGCGAGACCGAGGATGGGGCTGAAGGAGTTGGCTTGGGTCTGACGCGTTTTTCGGAGAACAGATTTGGACTTGTGAAGATGTAGAGTGAGATGAGGATGAGGATGAATCCTGCCGAGAAGAGTATCTGGGGAAGGAACCGTTTTCGGTTACCTAGCCAGTTGAGCATATTCCTTCCTTCTTTCTTTCTTTTCTCTTTTTTATATATATGTTATTATAAATGCTTCTCTTATCGTCTTCCCGGAGAGCAAATGGGATGTATGATAGATAAAGAAGTATAAAGAGAGAGAAAGAGAGAAAGAGAGAAAGAGAAAAAATATTACTACTATTATATATATATAATTGTAATTGTAATTATAATTCTTTTAATTTTTTAATTTTTGAATATTTATTTAATTTTAATTTTTGAACAATTTTATCACTCTGACGGATCAAGGTTACTATAGCGTAAAGTGATGACGCCGTTTACATGTATAATACTAAAGCCTACGAGCCTTTACTTAATTTTATACTTGTATACACTTATATTGATTCAAAAAATAAATAGTAAATCATGTGGCTGAAACTCGATTAATCTAATTGTCATTTTCTCCAAGGGCTCGGAATACATTATTAACAAACAAACGGTGAAACACAATTGGCACACACACACACGCACACACGCACACACAGAGAGAGAAAAAGACTCGCACTGTAAGGAATTCAAATTGTGAGTTTTTAGATTATTACTATTTAAAAAAAAAGACAGTTAAAAATACCACTCCAAACCCCCTTTTTTATTTTAAGAAAAAAATTCAATTAGTATTGTTTCAATGTATAATATGTGTCAATATGTCTACAATATATATGTGTGTGTATGTGTGGATGTGGGTCTGTGGGTCTGTTGGTCTGTGGGTTTGTGGGTTTGTTTTATACACAGATAGAGAAAATATCTAGATCGTACCTACTAAATCACTATATTTTTTGTTGATATTTGTAGCTGCTCTTTTCTGCTTTAAATTTTCTTCTTTAATATATATTTATGGCATAAAACCCTAAAATATTTGCGCTTTTAAACACACATATTTGACTTGACAATCCATTGAAAGAAACCAAGAAACTAAAAAAAAAAGAAGGGAAATTTTGGAAATGAAGTAGCGATCCGAAAGTCACGTATTTTTTCCATAGTTGAACCTTTTCTCTTTTTTTTTTTCTCCCTCTCTCTGTCTACCTTTTTTTTAATTTTTTAATCTTTTAATTTTATTGGTTCATCATAGCCTTTTTTCTTAAGAAAAACAAACTTCATCTGAAAGCGATCTTTGCAAGCGATCTCACTTTGGCATCATAAATAACATCAACATCAACCTAACATCAGTACATCAAAAAATAAAATAAAAAGCACGAACGAACAAACAAACAAACAAACCAAACAAACGAACAAATGTCTCAAGACCAACCACGACAATGCGGTGTCACGGCTCCTATATCGATCGCACAAGCAACAGAAGATGAATTAAAATTAACAGAAGATCTCGTGAAAACACTTCATGACTATGGGCTTTTTGAAAGTAAAACTGAAGCAGATAAGCGGTAAATAAAGAAGAAGAAGAAAAAGAGAGAGAGAGAAAAGTGATCAACTTGATTACAACCTTTTCTTTTTGCCTTTCTGTGTGCGTATGTTCGTATGTATGTATATATGTATTAATTCTCCTTCCCCCTCGGATTCTCTAGGGTAATTGTATTACGACAGCTCAATGAACTTGTAAAAGAGTTTGTCTACAAAGTGAGCCTTCTTAAAGGTCTTCCAGAAGCAGTGGCAAGAAATTCAGGCGGAAAGATATTTACATTTGGTAGCTACAGGTTAGGCGTCCATGGGACAGGTAAGGAAACTAACGAAGAAGAAGAAGAAGAAGAAGAAAAGATGGGAAAAAAAGAAGAAAAAGAAGGGATACACAGCCGACTACGGAATTGAATAAAGTGTAGGTGCGGATATTGATACCCTGTGCGTCTTCCCAAAGCACGTCGAGCGAGACCATTTCTTTACCATCATGTACGAGATGCTGAAAGAACGATCAGAAGTAACAGGACTTACGGTAGGAACAAAGAAAGACCCTTTTTTATTTATTTACTAAAATATATATCTGATAAATATATTACAGGCTGTAGCGGATGCTTATGTACCAGTGATAAAGATGCATTTTTCGGGTATACCAGTAAGTTATATATATATTATTTACTCAAAAACAACAACAAAATATTAAAACCACCCATCTCTCTCTTTCTTTCTTTGTTGTGTGTGTATATATGTGTGTGCGTAGATTGATTTTGTGTGCGCAAGACTAAATGTGGACCAGGTATCAGATAAGCTTGAGCTGGTTGATAACAACATATTAAAGGGACTGGACGAACGGTGCGTGAGGAGTCTGAACGGGTCAAGGGTGACAGACGAGATCCTGCGACTGGTACCTAATATACCTGTGTTCCGGACAGCCCTTAGGACAATTAAGCTGTGGGCAAAACGCCGAGCAATCTATGCAAATGTGATGGGATTTTTGGGAGGCGTGGCTTGGGCCATGCTGGTCGCACGGATATGTCAACTCTATCCAAACGGCTGTGCTGCAACTGTGGTCTGCAGGTTTTTCAGGATCATGTACAAATGGGATTGGCCAGAACCAGTCCTACTAAAACACATGGAAGAAGGCCCACTCCAAGTAAGAGTATGGAATCCAAAGGTAAATCACTCAATTGGACGGCTTACAAAGAGTTTCTCAGATGTGCGGTCTGCTCATTCCCCACGGATTACTGGCAGCTTTATCCAGCTGATAAGATTCACCGGATGCCAATCATCACGCCAGCATACCCGTCTATGTGTGCAACACACAACGTGACAGTCTCAACCAAGGCAATCATGTTAAAAGAATTCAAGCGTGGGATGGAGATAGTAGAAAATATTGTAGTAAGATCTGGAAGATGGGAAGACCTGTTTGAACCGACCAACTTTTTCCACACCTACAAGCATTACCTGCAAGTGATCGCAAGTTCATATTCACCCGCGTCGCAATTGCAATGGTCGGGTCTAGTAGAATCCCGTTTGAGGCAATTTGTATTGAAGCTCGAGTTAGTGGAAATGCTTGGTTTAGTACATCCGTACAACAAAGGTATTAATAAGGTCCATTACTGTCTATCGGAAAAGGAGCGGCGAGATGCTACCCACGGACTGTACCCAGAAGACCGCACGATTACCATGAAAGAGGGTGGAGTAGAATTCAATCACGGAATGATGCTTGAGCAGATTGGACTTACAGAAGAAGACAAGAAGATGGTCCAGCCTGTATATACCACAACCTTTTACATCGGGCTTTCTGTTGAACCAAAAACTGGTAATATATATATATCAAAACTTATAAATGCAAACCCAAACCCAAATATGAATACAAATATGAATATGAATATGAACATAAATATGAACATAACAATGAACATAAACATACATATAATTATAATGATTTGGTGTTATTTGATTTGATGTGTTTAAATGTAATATGTTTGGGTAATTAAAGTATTACATTCAATATACTGATCCGAGCTTTCTGCTTCTTTTCTTTATATATTCTTTATAGATGGGTCAACAGGACCTAGAAGACTTGACCTGGTATGGCCCACACAAGAATTTCTGAAACTAGTCAAGAGTTGGGACAAATATGATGAACTGAAAATGAATATCTCTGTAAAGAATATCAAAAGGTAAGATTTCGATTCAATTTTCCCCTTCATTTTAAAATCTTTATTATCACTACCATTGTTGTTGTTGTTGTTTTATTGGCATAACTTCTTCTTATTCTTAATATTAACTTTATTATCTTCTTTAGTGTTGTGCTTCCTCACGATCTTGTTGAAGAGAACAAGCAGCTTAAAAGATCCCAGACAAAGGTAGTGGAGAGTTAAAAGGAAATAAATGGGGATGGGTAAAAAAAAACAAAAAAAAACAATAATTCATTTTCTGTCCAAGAGCAAGAGCGACCTTGTAGCAATTGCCACAACTCTATCAGAGAATCCCAACAAGAAACTTCGAAGTGGGGAGGAGGAAGAGGAGGAGGAGTTTATACACAGCAACGGGTCGTCCCCTTTTCTTGCTCTTCCGCCAGACACTCCAATTCTTGACACATTTCGGCCTGGAAACGACGAACATACTTTCCCTTGAGATGTCTTTTTTTTATATTTCTTTAATTTATATGTATATATATACATATACATACATGCATACATACATACATCTTCAAATCTATATATTTTGTCTGTTTTTATACTGTACATAAAATGGAAAATCCCACAAGTGGCGCCACTACACAATAATTCAAGCTGGATTCAATTATCTCCTGATAATAACTCTAATAATTTGATATACACAAATAAATGTTAAATGTTAAATATAAATATATATATGAAATAAATTGGATACAATTCCAGTCTTTACACTTTATCAAATCCAAAGCAATTAAACTTGAATTTACTTATTGCAAACAAGGTGTGGATCTTTACTTGGATCGTTACCAAAATAAATAAATAAAAATAAAATAAAAATAAAAAGACTGGCAAGCGATATGACGTGTGTTGCCTAAATTCACGTGGCTCGTTGCAATTTTACATTGCAGCAACTTTGGTTCAAAGGACAGCAAGGAGCAAATGGCTCATACATTCGAGCAGTTGCTAGCAAGCACATCTGAGGACCTTCATCTATTCACCGGTACTCATCGAATGGCTCGATCAAATATCTGAAACTAATATTATGTTTACCCATAGCCGTCGAACTCATCAATGCCACCGCTGTGGACAGCATCAATCACAGCAGTTGTGATGATGAGCTGGCGAGCCATGCCCTACAATATTTACGTTTAAAGGCAGCCAAGGTATGAATATATGTATACATGTATATTATTTTGGATGATTTGATGCTAAAACAGATCATCATCACAATACCTGGTCTATATATAAAAATTAAAATAAAATAAAAAGGGCGATGTAGAAGCAAAAATCAAATTAAGTACAATTATGGATCGTTCTGAGAATGACAAGACAATGACAATCCAGCCCGACAAACGAGAGGCTTTGGTTTGGGCACGCAGTATCTTTGACCGTCGGTTGTCGGGGGCACTTGCTCCGTGTGTTACTGCACTGATGCGCCCAGCCGGAAATCTAGACAACAAGGATCAGAAACCGGGAAAACTGATGCTGGACCGAGTTTTGGAACGAGCCGAGGAAGGAGACGAGAAGGAAATGTGCCATTTGGTGGGAGTATTACTAGTTGATGGAATTGGGCTTGAACGCAACGTTGACCGCGGCGTAGACTTCTTAAAGAGAGCAGCAGAACATGGTCATGAAGAGGCAGGTATAGAGCTGGCCACCATACTAGGAGATTCGTTCAAGTACCCTGCCATGTATGACCTCAAGCAAAGTCTTGAGATATACGAGCGTGTGGCCCAGAAAATTCAGACAACTCATTCACGCAAGATGTCCCAAGCTGATGCGCGTGCACTGACTGACCTGGCACGAATGTACTATGAAGGAGAAGGTAGCAAAGGAGTAGAGAGAGATGTTGACAAGGCGTATTACTACGCCCGTCAAGTTGCGGAGAATACTGGAGAGCAGTATTGCCAATACATTGTAGGCGATGCATTGTTACATGCATTGGGATCCACAGGCCGTGATGTGCGACAGGCTTTGTTTTGGTTGACACAGTCTGGTGAACAAGGCTTCCCATTGGCCGTAGAGGCCTTATCGAAACTGTATTTTGAAGGAAGCTCCGAGAGTGGGATGAAGCAAGACTACGAACAGGCGCACTACTGGTGTATTCGTGGAGACGACATCTGGCCATCCGGATTGGGTTATTGTCAAACGTGTCTCGGAGATATGCATCGTGCAGGATTGGGCGTTCCTAAAGACCTTGTTCGATCGTTCGAGTATTACCAGAAAGCGGCGAGTCAGCAGGACGCACCCCAGAACTATGCTCGTTACATGTTAGGCGAAATGTAAGAAATTCAATTGTTTGAGCGGTTCTTAATTATTTTCAGGTTCTTTAAGGGGGAAGCATGGCCACAAAACTTTGCTGTCGCGGTGGAGTATTACAAGCTAGCCGCAAATGAAGACCATGAATTGTCTCGACTTCGATTAGAAGAAATCTCACGGCTAGAGGCAACAAGAGCAGAAGAAGAACGAGTAAAGGCTGAGCAAGCCCTTAAGCGGAAGACATGGAGAATATGGACACTATTTACTAATCGACGCAAGGCAGCTGTCTAAGATAATTATTGGCCCTTCCCCCATTTTTTTTTTAATTTTCTTGTTTCTTTACACTCTATACCAAAGCATAGCACATCATTGCAGTAATACGATACATTTCTACTTATATCCTCCTTCTTGGGGATCTTATTTATTTCATTTTATTTCCCCTTATTTTACTCCATTGTTCGATCCTTGTTTATTTATATATTTTTAAGGGGAAGGTATATTATTGAATCTTGAGGGTATTAAGCATGACCTTGAGATTGTTTCATTTCCTTCCTTCTTTCTATCTTTTTTTTTACTTTTATGATTTCTGGAACCACTTCATTAAATTCATTATTTTAGTTACATATACTAACACAAAGAAAAAGAAAAAAAAGATAGCTTTAAAATAGAACAAAGAGACAAAAATACTTGTTTAAAGAAGAATTTTCTCACGTTAATTATATTATGCAGAGTAACCCGCCACAAACTGACTGTAGGAAAGCACAATCTTATTTTATCCATTCTACCTAAATACAGTTGGCTCAACTCCAAATAACGGGATTTTAAATCGGTGTGCGAGAAGTGTAAAAAAATGCTTAAATTGATGTATTAAATAAGCGACTTTTTAATTTTTATTTATACTTCAAGTTTGGAAGTTATTTTTCCTTGGATGAAGCACAATTTAAATTCAGGTAGAGAGAGTATTTGGTAGTGGAGTATGTACTTCGCTCAATTGTGGTGTGTATACTACAAATAGTAGCATGCATAATTCAAGTTGATTGCGTGTTCGAATCCCATAAGAAAGAGTAAGAAAAGAAGTTTCTAGCCGCTAATTAATATATCGGTAATAAAATAACATATAATAGTAGCCTTTTGCTTTATGGAATAATCAACCTGACACCCTGCTCTTCTACAAAATCACGAGCTATTATACCAAAGCGGCATATAAGTGAAATACTTGCTCACATAAGAAAGAGCGCCTCAGACTCTTGCGGCACAACATATAAAGCCATTAAGAAATTTACAGTGGAAGTAATCGGGTTCGTTGTAAGCTCATAGAATTAAAGCTTAACATATATTATGATCTAAAGCCGTCTGTTGCTTATAACAATCGATCTAAGCTCTGAGCTGCCGCCAAGCAAACCAGAAAGATTGTGCGTAAAAACAATGAAACTTTAATTCACTCTTGCTGAGGTGAGCTACCCTCCCACTAGAATTATATCGCAGATAAATTAAAGCTGTCAAAGAACTTGGAATAGAAGGCTTACTAGCTACCACTGAACTATTTTCTGTAGTCAAATCACTTTCGAGTGTATAGCATTCCTAATAAACAATAAATAAATGTCTGGAGATAAAGGCTTGTATGAACATGTCAAATTTCTTGGTATCCGAGTATACTGTAAGTATTATATTTCTGGGCTTTACCTGAACTAGTTTGGCTAACTTATTTAATAGCAAATAAAATGTATGTACAATTTCTCTGTCAAATAAATCGAGGAATCTACGTATTTAAAGACGTTCGGTCATTCGACTTGATCTTCCCTGCCGGATTGTTTTTTAGTTTCGTACCAAAACTATTAGATTATTTATGAAAGTCAAAGGTTTGTACTGAAGTACATCATTTATTTTTTCTGCTGCCTAGCATCTAATAAGACCATATTTTGCTAATAATAAAGCCTCATCGCAGACAGTGTGTTATCAATTGACAGTTATTTGAGAAGAGATTTCGGTGAGAAATTCTTGTCAGTTCCCTTTGCTTTAGTATCCCTTAACAATATAGGCCCAACATTAAATAATAATAAAGTATGGTAAAGCAACTACGGAATTAGCATACTGCTTTAGTTATCCTAAATGGACTGCTTGATATTAAAAGTCTGATCCTTATTGTCTTTGTTAATAGCTAAAAGAATCCTGTCTACTTGTCTTCCAAGTACGAAGGATACGACCTTTCCTAGGCATGTCGCTTTGAGGCCGATATTTGACACTTGTAGTATTGAAAGTGTCTTAAGCAGTTACTTTAAAAAATAGCTTTGCTTTATATTTTAAAGCAAAATCAATTTTTGCTTCCAAATATTCGTCTGTAGCACTTACTTTAGTTTGTACTATCTACTTTAGATAATATCTAATTGAGGCTTCTGTATAAAGCTATATGATATTACTAGCAAAGTAATAATTAAAGATAGATAGTAAGTTGCAAGCGAGATAACTGTAAAGTTTTTTTTTAAAGAAAAAGTAAATATTAGAAATGCTCTTAATTCTTCTCTTTTTTAAAATCTTGTAGCCAATACTCTTAAATCCCTCTTCGTTCTTACGCTACTTTCTCTCTTGTTCTCCTCTATTTCTTTTTTCGTTTTACTTCGTTTTTTTTATAGAGGAAATTATGTACTGTTACATATTCTCCTACTTCTGTAATTGTACTGTTGTGAACAGATTTCTCTCATCGCGGGGTCACCTCACTTGTTACAGGGGTTCTTGGTGTAAACCCACCAATTACTCAGGTTTTGAATAGGTCGTGGGAGTCCTTTCTTGCTGTTTGGTTTGACTCTTGGTTGGTGCTTAAGTATATTGATACGGCTTGTGACCTTTCTTGGGGAATATGTAACATGTGGGTTTTTGTGTTTGTTTGAATATTTGATTTTGTACACCTAAATCTGAGCTTTATAATGCCAAAATACAAATTTAAGCTCCAAGCCAATAAAAGTAAAATTATCGTGGGAAACTTCCATACATGGAGATACATCAGTGGGTGTGTATACTGAGATATAATTGTGCTCTCAAGTGCCTCACTGTAATATTAAAAACCGGTAATTAAAATAAATAAATGCCGTCTTAAGATTATATTTCCAGAACTTTATTTTAAGATCCCGGCTTTTGGTGTTGCGCCAACTCTATAGATATGCATAAATCTCCGCATTTCTGTTTATCTTCGATATATTGCGCAAGTTAAGGCGTATTCAATGACGTAAAGGGTGCCTGTTACACTTGGAGATCAAAGCATTACGTATTGGCACTTTAGATTCGGTCAAATGGAAGTTATTTTCGGAAAGACTTAAAAATGTTTTCAGACAAATAATTCTTTATTTTTTTTTTGGATCGCAGTAAAAAGATATTCAGGCAATTGTAATATACTTAGGCCTTTAAATGATGCCAGTAAGATATCCATCACAATAAGTTTCTGAGTACCTATTCTAGTCAAGGCAGTCTCATGTACTGAGTGTCACAATCTGAGTATAAAAGAATCTAAAGAGCAAAGTGAATTCATTTTGACCAGCACTACACAATTGGACTGAAAAAAGGAGAGTATTGAGGAATGAACAAAGGTTTATACACTTTTGTGCAGGGACAAGAACTATGGCTGATATACCCTTGATTGATCGTGTCTTACTTCTTATCTTATGTCCATTATGTCCAGTATCACCCTTGAGAATAATGACTTGTATTACACTTAGTTATTGACTTCCTTTTTTTCATTCTCAAATAACAAGAGTGAGCCTTCGATACCTCCGTAGACAGCAATATTACGTGGCCAAAGTTCCCTGTTGGGCCACGACGTTTCTATCTAACCGGAAGAGTTAACTGTGACGATTTGTCCAGGGCCTGTTGTCTTTCTCTAATCCTTCAGGGCAAAATTATGTGTCCTGAAAAATACAATATATTCATTATACGTATTAGCTTACTACTATGTCCCTACACTTTGTGTGTTCATCAATATCTCTGTGTGGACCTAACTCTCATTCTTTCAAAAAGTGAATCCTGTTTTTGGGCAATTTAATTAATGAAATATCATCTCAAACAAAAAGCAAATCCTGTATATTCGATTACTAACCGTTTGCGCCCTAAGTTTAGACTTACTTGGTCATAAAGGTAGTAATTAGTTCAAAATACACTATATTAATAGCCAGTTATACAGAAGATAATAAGAGGTTGTTGTCATTAAAGTGTAACGCAATCTTGTTTGATATTTTATTATTTATTGGTCTTCTTACGCGTATCATGTCTTTGTATTTCTTTCACCTATTGTATCTAAGTTACCAGAGATCGACAGCACTCACTGGTCACTAATCCCCACCTACCGTTTTATTTCTATTTTTTCAAAGGATAAAAGAAGATTTTTATACGAAAATATTGTATCCTAGTTTGTATTAATTATTATAATAAGAATGAATCCTTAGGGTCCAGATACAGCTATTTCAGACTGGCATATAGGTCATGATTTGTGGTCCGGTAGAGTCAAAATGTCATCTCTCACTAGGAAACGCCGTCCCCCTAAAATTAGCGCAATATTAATAACATCTGATAAAGTTAAAAAGAATCATAGATTAAATACCGAATACGAAAACAAAGAAGAAAAAAGACAAAAAAGGAACACTAGAAGGTACACAGCTGAGCAACCGAGAGTACATCGGTATGCTTTGGCTATCATCAAGAGGGGCATACAAGCTCATAATCATAAGACTTCCCGAAACATAAGCTGACCAAACAAGAGCAAGAAAAGAGACTTCTGGAAAATAACACTGAAAATTTTACAAGAAAAATCAAACTAGACACAGTTCGTAAGCAAGAATACAAGGCGTTACTTACGGCTAAAGGGTTAAAAGCATCTGGGCTTGTTCGAAATATAATAGGGGATTTCAACCGTCGTTTAAGCTTTCAAACTTAAAGTTTTGAGATTAAATTTCAAAAGATAATTGGCTGAAATTAATTTATAACCAATATAAAAAAGATTAAAATCATTGAGAAAACCCTTCAAGTTTTGAACTTTTAATATATCCTTGCTTAAGTATGATTATTATTATTATTTTTGAAATTTAATAACGTTTTGATTTAAATATCTTTGCTTCTTTATCTATTATATTAAACTTATATAATATTATCACCATACCTAATAGAATTGAAAGAGACATTTAGGGTACTCAAAAACTCTCCATAACTCTTACATATTATTAGTCACTGCTTTAAAACTAAAAAACTTAAGTTTGAAAGCTTAAAGGACTGTTGAAACCCCCTATTACACATTCATGAATTGTTTTATTAGATACTAAATGCCAGAGAAATTCCGTCAGGCTAAAAGCAAGATGCCTATCATTTTTTTCGGCAACGGAATGTTTGGGAAAGTCTCTGTTAAGATAAAAGGCCTCAGAACTTATGATACTGGAGTGCTTTGGAGACAGCTCAAAAGAAACCAAAGGTCTGATGATATTTTGCTTGCTTATATTGATGAATTCCATACATCAAAGGTACAAGCTGTCAATTAATTATATCTTATAAATCTAATAATTTTGTAAATACAGACATGTCATTCTTGTAATAAAATGTCCTATACTGAAACGTGCATTTGTTTGAACAGCGTTTTCACTTGCCAAAGTTGTGGAATGATGTGGCAACGCGATGTTAATGCTGCAAAGAGCATTTTCAATATCTCAAAAGTCATCAGTGACCGCAATCGACCTCTAGAATTCTGTAGAAGCAAATAACGTTTTTACCTTATCACATCGCCGTCTCGGACACAATTTTCCTGTTAAGGAAAATATATATTTGTACAGGTAAGAAGGTGTCCAAAAATCCTTTTTGCATGCCTGAAATTACAGTCAAAGCGTGATATAACAATACACTTGGGATAAGCCAAATTATATTACTATTATTAAATCAAATATTACTAAATCGAGCTTTCACTGTAATTTTATTTGTTGACTGAATTTCATTTTTATTTTATCCAAAAAAGGTAAGGCAATCATCTGAATTATAATTTTTATTCGCCTAAAAAAACCAATTGTGTCTGAACTTAAAGTGGCAAAACTGTAGCGTTCAAAGCAAAAAGCAGCACAATAAACCAAACAATAAACCAATGCTCTCATACACATAAATATATATATTAAAAAAAAAGTAGTCACCAGAAGCTTTGCTTCTAACTTTAATTCAATGGAATTCTGTACTATAAAAGCATAGCAATTAATAACGTTTGTTGATTCATTCTTCAACAGATATATCATGCTTCCCCGTTCTCTTTCTCCCTCCACCTACGAACTCTTGGATATCAGGGCTCCCGATCACACAACCCTCAAGAAGTCCAAGGAAGCTCCTTTGGTTGGCCGGCCCCCGTCTCCCCCCTCATCAGAAGCCTCACTAGACGTGTTCAGTAGTGCTGAATTGGCCAATACAATTCTAGAAGGTCTCAGGAAGCCTACCCACAAGAAGTCTATTTCAACATTTGTACTTTATGACAACCGTGGCCTCAATTTGTTTGATAAGATCACGTATCAAGAAGATTATTACCTGACGAATGCTGAACTCGACATACTGCAGCAGAGAGCAGATGAATTGGCTGATCGTCTTCACGATGGTTCGGTCCTAATTGAGTTGGGTGCAGGGTAAGTCTGGTTCGAATTGCAAAAAAAAGTGATAGACTAGCAATTTTTGTTAATCACTTATTTTTTTTAAAACGCACATACACAAACACATACAATTTCTACTTCCATAGTGCCCTTCGCAAGACCCAGTTAGTCCTTCAGGCTATTGAGCGTAAAAAGCTGCGGGTCACATACTACGCTCTTGACCTGGATCAACATGAACTTGAGAGATCGCTCGGAAAACTGGGAGAATTTTGCTATGTTAAGCTAATGGGACTACTGGGCACATACGATCAAGGAATCCCTTGGCTCAGCGAGCACTTCAAGGACACAAACACACACAAGGCCATCATGTGGTTAGGGAGCTCAATAGGAAACCAGAATAGACGCGAGTCAGCCATATTTCTTCGCCGTCTCCAGCGTACCTGTCTTCAGCCTGGTGATATATGTGTGATCGGATTTGATCTTCGTAATGATCCTGCTAAGATCCAAGCTGCCTATGACGACAAGGATGGAATCACGCGAGAATTCATCTTGAACGGTCTCGATCATGTCAACGCTATCCTTGGCCAAAATATTCTCGACCGCAAAGACTTTGCCTATGACTCTCGGTACCAGACTGGACATGGTCGACACGTAGCTCACTATCGTGCTTTGCGTGATATGGGTCTTGTTTATCATTCAAAGAGCGGTGATGTAAAAATCGAGCTTAGTAAAGATGAATTGATCCACATTGAACACTCTTACAAGTACTCACTCAAAGAGACCACACACATCCTCGAATCAGCTGAACTCAATATGCTTGAAAATTGGACTGACAGTAAACATCAGTATCGCCTGGTGGTGGCAGAGTGTCGTCCATTTTCATTTGGAGGAGATCGGAATGCTATAATTCACACTTTATTCCCCCCTGAAAACGCATACCCTCAAGACGTTATCTCATGCGATACATGTAATGATACTGGAATCGATCCTAGTGTCGCTTCAAACACACTTCCCAATCTTGTCGGCCCCCTACACTGGCCGGAATTTTTACCGTCTCTCTATGAATGGGAACAACTATGGAAGTCGTGGGATACAGTCACGGCCATTATACGTAACCAGCCATCTATGCTCCATGAGAAGCCGATCAAGTTTCGCCATCCCTGTATATTCTACTTGGGCCATATACCCGCTTTTTTGGATATCCAGCTCTCTCGCAATGCCATTGACCAGGACATCAATCCAGAACACCTTTTGACTGAACCGGCTGTATTTGCGGACATATTTGAGCGTGGTATTGACCCTGACATGGATGACCCTTCCAAATGCAATCCTCATTCGACTGTACCTACCGAAATTAATGGCTGGCCATTGCTTGATGACATAATGACTTATCAAAAGGCAATTAGAGCTCGTCTCGAGCGTCTTTTGATATCGTGGGAAGTTCAATTTCAGACTGCCGGCGCCAACGGTAATTGGCCATCTACCGTAACCAAGCGCAAACAGCGAATTATGCATATGACGTTTGAGCACGAAGCAATGCACCTCGAAACCTTGTTATACATGCTTGTCCAGAGCCCCAACGTCCGTCCACCTCCAGGAGTAGGACTACCTGACTGGAAGATGGCAGAAATCTCAGCATCATTTGCGAGCCAATTTTCAGCCAAGAAATGTCTTGATTCTGCGCCTATGTTAGAGATGAAGGCTGGATCTGTGGTACTAGGACATGAAGACGACGAATCCTCCGATTGGACTCCTATGGATGGTGCTCCTGTGAATGCTTTGGAAAGCACTACCACTCATGGGCTGACTTCTTTTGGGTGGGACAACGAACACCCCTGCAGGGTTGTCAGGGTATCCGCTTTTAGTATCCAATCGAGACCAGTCACCAATGGCGAATATCTTGCTAAACTGGGCAATCGACCTTTGCCAGAATCTTGGGGACGTATTGCCGGACAAGACGTAATTGGAGTGAAAACAGTGTTTGGTTTGTGTCCAATGAAGTACTGTATGGACTGGCCAGTCCAAGTCTCGGCTGCTGAAGCAGAAGTATATGCTAGTCTTATGGGAATGCGACTTCCAACAGAGGCAGAGTTAGTGATGTTTAGAAAGAGTGCAAAATCTGAAAGAATCCCTAATATTGGATTTGGTGAGTGGAGTCCGACAGCTCTAAGAAATGATGAGATCCACATTGTTGGAGATGTCTGGGAGTTGACTGGAACAATTCTGGAAAGCCACGAGGGGTACAATCCATCGACGATCTATCTTGGCTATTCGAGCGACTTTCTTGATGGGAAGCACAGGGTAGTGCTGGGTGGAAGCTGGGCAACACATCCACGCATTTCTTGTAGAGAAACATTCCGGAATTGGTACCAAGCTAGCTATCCATTTGTGTTTAGTGGCTTTCGTCTGTGCAGAAGTTAGTTTATGCTTTTTGTTCTTAGTGAAATATAACCAATAAAAGAGAGTGATATCATTTTGACGAACAGTATCCAAAAGAGAAGCTTTCTCACGATGGTTTGGTACTGCGCACCCAAAAAAAAAGAAAAAAAGTAAAAAAAAAAGAAAAAAAAATACAGCATCTTGAGAGTCGGGAACGACTTACCTTGACCTTTCTTTCCCAGCTCCATTCTTTTGTGGTCCCAATGCCTCGTCCAAATCTTTATTCTAGTTTCTTTAGCCAGTCTTTTGTAGTGTGTAGTGACCCACAATCGTATCTGACAGGTGTCGAGACATCTCCTATCCACTGTACTGAGTTCTATGGTCTGTCGTCTGATCAAGACAAGGGTGTCCGGGAGCCATGCATGCGTCGGACTAGCTCAGCTTGTTCGGACCTTTCACGATACCTCCAGTCATGTTCAGCAAACAATAAATCTAAATGGTGGATAGGGCCCAAACGACGATTCTCAACCCTCAGTTATTCGGATGAAGATGATGCGAGCTACCATAAGCATTCGAGAAACGAAAGGAGCCTTTCGGCAGACGCGCTCTTTTGCCAAGAAACGTTGGCAACACCTCAACTCACATTGGATGAGCGTGACCAGAGTACATTCCCGTGCCTTACTTCTCCTTTAGCCGAAGATGTAAATATCCCAAATCGGCTTGGAATGTCATTATTACTTTGGAGTCTACTAATCAATCATTTTGCTTTCTTGTTCTTGCTCTCCTTGTTCCTCTTATTTCTAGTTACGGTCTTGGTTACCTGCTCGTGTAGCAGTTGCAGATAAATGGTCACTTCTCTACAGCCTCGATCAGCATGGCTGTAGTTTAAGCACTTTGTACAACCGTATTCACGACAAAGGACCATGTCTTCTAGTACTACAGAACACAGAAGACGAAGTAAGCAAATGATTTTGTTCCCGGCCCTGTCACACTCACCCATAAACTACTTTTAGACATTTGGAGCCTATCTATCGGAGCCGTTTAAAGTAAATTCCAAATATTATGGATCGGGTGAATGGTAAGTCCAATTGAATGCGTATAGACTTTCTCTAATATCGTCTTTTGTTAGCTTCTTGTGGCGTACAGATTCTTCAAATAAGCTTCATGTATATCCGTGGACAATGGCCAACGACTATCTTTTGTATTCCGATCAAGACATACTTGCAGTTGGTGGAAGGTGAGTTGAACACCATTCACTCGTGATTATATACAGCTACTGTTCAATATATTTTGGTTTCTAAATCAAGTTTATTTATTTGTTTGTTTACTTGTTTATCAATTGCTTCACAGCAACGGTAAATTTGGTCTTTGCCTTCACGCAAATCTGACAGACGGACACAGTCAACCATGCCTCACCTTTAATAACCCAGCCTTGACACAAGATCCTTCTTTCGAATGTGTTGGCATCGAATTCTGGGGATTCAAATTTTGAAAAGCAACAACATGAAACCTTTATCATCATCTTTATTTCTTATCTTTACAAAAAGTACTATCTTATTATTATCAACTATATCATTCTTCCTTTATCTTATTCGCATCTTATACAAAAAAAACCAAGCAATTATTTTTCTTAAAACTAAAAGAAAGGAAAAGAAACTCAAATATTATATCTATATCTATGTCTATGGCTATATCTATGCTTATTCTATATATGTAAATAGACATTTATGTATTTGTGTATTTACAAATCTCAAGGATACTTTATAACAAATTTAAAGATATCAAAACATACATGTTATATAAATGCTATATGTATATGTATATGTATATGCATAGAAAAGAAATCAAATATTATCATATTTCCCTATTTCATTTCTAGAGAAAAATTCTATCATACAAGCTGTATTTCGTGTGATTTCTCATTCACTCTTATTTTCTCAAGTCAGGTGTGAAAAACCATTGTCAATAAAAGAAGAGCCAGACCAATAGCGCATTTTCTAGTCCCATGGTTTTTAATAGTTTAAGTTAATCTCTTATCTAACTCAACTTGGTTGTATTGTATGTTCTCTTACCTGGGCTACCTTATCTCGTCTGTCCGACATTTGTTTTCTCTTCTTTCCGTGCAACGCATATGGTCTGATATCTAGATTTTCGTCACATTCCTCATAGTCTTCTTTACTCGACTGCAGATCGCCTTCCATCATACTCCAGAGCGCAGTTAAAGATGTAGTGTGTCGAGGAGTCCATATTGTACTTTCCAATGACACGGGTGATGTTGGAGATGGTGAATGAACCTCAAAACTGTCTTCAAATATTGGCCAGAGAGACATAATAGGCTTGTTATGTCGCACCTTGCAGCTTTTAGGCATCTGGGTCTCTTCAGAGATTTGCGGCACAATATTCTCAGCCTCGATTTCTTCAGATGTCTTTGTGTCTTGGTCTTGGCCTTGGTCTTTGTCTTGCTTTAACAACGTAAGATATTCATTGTTCAGGCGTGTATTTGCACTATCCAAAGATCCCATCATCTCATCCCACAAGTCCATCCCAGACACTGTCTGTCGAATAACTAATGAAACTGGCTCTACTTGTACAACATCCTTCAAAAGAGCCTTGTCTGCTTCCAAAAGTGCTGCATATTCATCACTGTAGGTTTCTATAGTAGGATTGAATTCCTCGAGGAATGTCGGCAAAAGTGAAAGAATGCTAGTAGAGCGCCGTACAACGCATGGAATTCCGTCTTCTTTATCGTCTTTAATGATTTCAGTCGTAGTTGTGTCTAACTTGAGCTCATTTACCAATGGCGATGAAGATGTGGTCACAGAGCTGGTAAGATACTTCTTAATCGAGTTCACATGTACCGATCCCTTTTTCTTCTGGGCTGGTTTTGCCTTTTTCATTTTCTTTGCAACATTTTTTTTGTCGAGCACGTTAGTCAGGTTCAATGATCGTTGAGTAATCATAGGCTTTAAAGGATCGAGAGGCCGTGTGGGACCATTTGGCTGAAAGGCAAGAGAGGGTACATCCGTTTGCTTTTCCTTGGTACCCTTTACAGGTAGCTCACGATGTGAAACACGCTTACGCGGACTAAATGTAAGCATACCAGAGGGAAGCATGGATGGATGAGGTGGAGCTGGGGGAAGTGTACAAAAACAAAGAAATCATGGAACAAAGAGGTTTTTATTCATTTACAGTCACATGCCCAATATGGGCATTATCACTCTTCAGCTACATCTTGAATAGGCCACTGGTACTGATTATGTGGCGTGTGAACAACCCCATAGCGATCCATAAACTTGCTTAGCTTAGCAGGCCCACGCGTGCCGTATGGATATTTCTCTGGAACAATTTTATCTTTTTCAATTCTATGGAGAAGTGGAGTAAAAATCTCCCAAGAAGCTTCTAATTCGTCGTCACGCACAAAGTTGGCACGGTCACCTCGCATCGCGTCGAGTAAAAGGCTTTCATAGGCATCTGGTATTTGAAGGTTTGAGTATCGATTCTTGTATGTAAGATCTAATTCGGTCAACAGACAATCATCCGAGAATCCAGGAGATTTGTTATTGAACTTGATGTAAATCGCTTCATTGGGCTGTACACGAATCACCAGCTCGTTGTGAGGTGCATCTTCGAATAGAATACCCGGAAGGGCTTTGAATTGAATTCGCACCTCAACCTTTGAAGTTTCCATAGCCTTTCCTGCTCGCATAATGAAAGGAACATTGTCCCAGCGTTCATTGTTAATATAAAAGGCTAATGCTGCAAAGGTAGGGCATGTGCTGCCTTTTGGAACAGTTTCATCATCGAGATATCCAGGTTTATCGTTTGCTGCTGTATATTGACCCAGTAGACAATCTTCCATCTTGATTGGCTTTACTGACCGAAGCAATTTGACTTTTTCATCCCGGATTGCATTTGCATCACGTCGAATAGGACGTTCCATTGCCAAGACTGACATGAGCTGCAGTAGATCTATTCATAGCGGGTTAACGGACGATGCAATATATGTGCGATTCTTTTATTATCCTGTTTCTTTGTTATATCTTCAACTTACGATTTTGCATCACGTCACGGATAATACCATATTCATCAAAGTATCCGCCTCGTCCTTCAGTTCCAAAGTTTTCTTTTAAGGTTATTTGGACAGACTTGATGTGATATCCTGACCAAAGGGGACTAAAGAGCATGTTCGCAAATCTCAAAGTGGTTATGTCCTTGATCATTTCCTTGCCCAGATAATGGTCAATGCGGAAAACCTGATATACATTTCATATAATTTAGACAAACAGTCCTTAGTTGGTATTTGCTTACTTCTTCTTTTTCATCAAAAAGTGGAGCTAGATCGCTGTTTAGCTTTTTATAGCTTTCGAGATCCTTTCCAAATGGTTTTTCAATAACCAATCTATTCTTTCCTTCTGTGGTTCGTGTGCTGTTATGAAGACCAGACGCGACTGATAAAAATACAGAAGGTGGAAGAGCCATGTAGAAAAGTCTGTTCTTTTGTCCCTTCTTAAGCTTGTTCTTTTGCTCCCAATCTGAGATATTTTTGTCAAGATCCTTGAATGCCTCTTCTTTGTCATATGCACCACTAATATATTCCGTAAACTTTAGAAATTCGTCGAGTTTTTTCTTGTCTTCTTCAGAGTCAGTTTTTATGTGTTGAGTAATCTTTTTGACGAATTGCTCGCGGCTGAATTTGGAGCGTGCGTAGCCTATTATGTGAACCTTCTCTGGCAAGAGATCACGTTTATAGAGACCATACAGACATGGAAACGACTTTTTGGTAGCTAAATCTCCTGATGCGCCAAGGACTTTATAACAATAATATTTTCAATCAGTCAGGAGTACAGTATTTTAATAAAAATCTTAAACCGACCAACAACAGTAACTCCTCCCTGCATCTCTCGCTTGAGATCTTCTTTGATGCCAGCAATTGTACTTGTCATAGTAGGTGTATTAAAGTATTAGTTAATAATAGAATAAAGGAAGATACTTGGCCCAAAGTTCTGTTTCTATTTATTTGAATTTATTTGAACCAAAATGAAGCCTTTTTATTGCATAATAAATGCACTGTTTAGCTCCGTCTCAGCCTATTTTCTATAGTCAGATTGAAGTAAAAAAAAAAAAGGACCGCATATTATTTAAAAGGTCGAAAGATAAAATAATCCCATTTTACTTGACGTCAAGATGAAGTGTATATTGTTCACATTCACTTCAGCCGTCCAACTAGACGCTACATTAGACTGCGCTGATTTATCCACCTTGGCTTACTCCAAATTATGCATAATCATTCCTTGGTCTTGGTGAATATGAATAAATTGGTATGTCGCCACATTAAAAGAATGATATTTTGACTTTCTACAGTGTGGGGGTTGTCAGATAAAAAAAAACTTCATTTCTAGGGTACAAAGCTTATGTCGTTTCTCTTTCTTTTTCTCTTTTTTTCTTTCTTCCTTTTTTTCTTTTTCTTCTTTCTTTGAATACAACATCCACCTTATGAGGCTTCGACCAAGCTGTTAAGAATGATTTCAGTCTCAAGAACCTGTATTTTTTTTAAAAAAAGAAAAAGAATATGAAGATATATTGAGTTTTTAAAGTGATTAAAAAATACAATTCTATCTTGTATACACAATTTTACCTCCATTGCTTGCTTAGACTCCAAGTGGCGACGTGCGGCCTCGAGCCAATCAAATGCCAAAACCTTAGGCCACCCCTGTAACTGGTTTAACTCACGAACGGCAGTATCCAAATCTCCAGTCTTGAGGTAATGCCCAGTTCTGGACAATACGGACTCAAGATCGTCACCCTCAACAAGTCCATGCTTTTTGAACATGAGAGTTGACAGGAAGAAACTCAAAATATGAGCTCCAAAGCCACCATCCAAAGGAACAAGGGCTACGCGTCTGGCCTCCTTGGCTACGATCTCGAAACGCTCAGCAAGATCTCTTTCCTTGATTCTATTGTTAGCGGTATCCTGGAGGTAAGTGAGGTTGACATAGCTGAGATGTCCACGACGGGATCTGTCGAGAGCAGAAGCTGTGGTGTTGGCAGCATTCTCAAGAGCCTTGAAACGCTTGCTAACATTCTCGAGCTTATCGAGTCGAACGGCACGCTCGTTCTCTACCAAAAGCTTAACTTCATACATAAACTGACGCTGCAGAGCATCGGCCTGGGCAGCCAGTGTAGTAGCACCCTTCTGCTCTAATTCGGCCTTTTGCTCGCTCAACTTCTCAGCCAAAAGGTGAGCAAAGTCCTTGTGAAGTGTTGCGCGAGACTTCTCAGCTTCCTCCTTCATTTCAACATCCTTAATATGGAGTTTATTGATGGTCTCCATTTGGTTCATGATAAGGTCCTTCTCAGCTGAAATTTGGAGATTCTGCAACTCGGCCTCAGTTTGGTTGCTCTCGAGCTTAAGCTGCTCCAGGCTGGTGACAATTGCAGACTGGGCAGAATCAAACTGCTTGGCATTATCGGCCAATACATTCAGATCCTTCTCGGCTCTTTCGATAATATCACGTCCCTTTCCAGCGAGTCCTGCATCATTCAAAATCGAAGCGAGTTCACAGACAACAGAGGACAATTCCTCCAATGACTTGTTGCTGGTTTCGATTTTCTTCACTACAATGGGCTTGGGTTGTTCAATAACAATTTCAACAACGGGTGCAGTGGTGGTCTTGTCGCTAGTCAGACTAATCTCGCTAGTTTTAACAACGTCTGCTGCATTCTCCTTCGGTTTCTCATGTTCGACATCGAGTACGAGGCGAGCAGGTGGTTTTTGGCCGCTTAATGTGAGGTATGCATCGCTGGCGTAGTTGTAGGCATTGTTGGCAGCGTTCTTGGCATCGTTTGCAACTACATACAAATTATCGACTGCACCGTCAACAGTGCTCTTAGCGTCAAGAGTGGCTCCGTAAGCAGACTGCATAGCTACTTTTGCCGCCTCGGCGTACTCCTCGGCTTGCTTTTTCAAAACAGCAGCCTGCTCCTTCATTGCAAGGGCCTGGTCACGATATGCTTGCAGATCGTTACCGTCCTTCAAACCTTCAATGAATACTACAGTCTCGCGTCCACCGGGTACATTGGTGGTGAACTGTTTGTGGAAGACCTTATCTTGAGTAGCATAGTAAGCTGCACCAGCATAGGCAGCTGCACCAGTTAGGGTAATTCCAAGCAAAACTTTTCCAACTGATCCACTCTTCTTGGGTTCACTTGTCAGGGTACTCTCACAACGCTACAGGGCAATAAAAGTAAATGAATGAATAAATGTACATTCTTAAACACACCGAGACTTTAATAATTGTAGAGTGATTTGGTCGTGTGTTACCTTTGAAATAGTTGCAGTTACAGAGCGAGATGTGAGTGATGACCTGGTAAATCCAGGGTTGTATAATTTCGAGACTCTCAGCATGTTCCTGAACGAGAGAAAGAAAGAATAAACATACATATATACATGTATACATATACGAGCAAGTCAATGATCCTTTCAACTCACAATCAATCTTGATTCTATTCCAATGGTATGTGAGTGAAGAATGCAAAGCAGGAAGAGGCGTGGAACAAAAAAGAGATGGCGAAGGGTGGTTGAACTGGGTGAAGGCTACAACACTTGCTTGATTTGCAAATGAAATTTTGTTTTTTTTGCAAGCCAAAAATTCACCTGTCGTGAGGGGGAAAAATCCGCCCAGGTGGACGGAATTTCATCTCGAAAAAACATAGCGCTTTAAGTGACGTAGACGTGGTATTTAAATACCCGTTCTAACGCTGGATCTTGTAGTATCTGAAAAGGTTTTGGACTAGACACAGCAGTAAATAGGATGGACACCATTTCAAGCAAGAAATTACTCCAAAGGGAAGGAAGAAAGAGAAGATTGAGGTTAAAGGGGTTAAAGGACATCAGCAAATAAAAACAAGGGAAAATGGAGTACATATGATCAGCTTTTGCAAGATGAACACTCCGATCCAAAATGTATGTGTATGTATATGTGTATATATAAACATTCAATTGAACAAAGCGTGCCCAGATCAAACTTTGTAGGTATATTGTAGTGTCTGAAATTGATTTCATTACATAAAACAAATGTCTTTTGTATCCAAAAGCCTTGAGACCTTGGAGTTCAGTCTCGTGCCAAATCTATCCTTGGACTTCTTTTATATGAATTTGGTACGAATTATAAAAATACAATCTCAAACCAAACCTCTCCATGTAACGTATTAGCTATACCCAACTTTATTATATATACATGTTGTAATATACGTCAGTTCAGTACAGTATTGATTGAGAAATTTCTAACAAAAAAAACCGTTAAAAAATATTATATTAAATCTGGAAACGTGAAACCAGCTAATGAGATTCTTTTAATTTATAAAAGAAAATGACAGATAAATACAGATATTAGGGACACGACGTTTTCAATATATGAACTGATGTTCCCTGTTATGGTATAGAATGTTGAAGCAGTATGCTAGATAGATGTTTTATTACACACATACATATATTACAGAATCTATGTTAGTAGTGGAAAACTATTTATAGAAAAGCATATACCTAATATGGCACTTTCGTGGTTAGTTAAAGCCATTTTACTGTCTTGTACAGTGGTCCCTCGATAATTTCAAGGCCTAGGGAAGGCCAGGTGTCGAAATTATCAGAGTAAAATTAACGAGTTCGGAGTATATATTTTCCGCCAACTATGGGCGGAGTTTACATTATTCTTTAATAGAAAAAAAATATATCAAGTAATGATTCGATATGCTTCAATCCTCTGTTTAAATTCATTCTAGTTAAATATAACCCCTGGCTGCATTACTGTTTTCTACCCCCCTGTCTCGTAACCAATTATTGTTTCAAATTCTTATTCAATCAAATAATAACAGCTTTTTGGTATGCTTTTAGCTTATTATATAATGCTTATCTAATATCATTTTCAATTTTTTTTGATACTTTAATGAAATCTATCAAATCCAGAACTAAACAATAAAAATGAGCAAAAAAAACGTTTCACTTAATATTGCAAATCACCTTGAGATTTGTGATATTAAAAAGAAAAAGCCATCTATGAGTAACCCCCAATTGGCTGAATGGGCAAAGGAAACCTTTGGCCTTCAAAAAGCTCCTGATGCTTCTACAATCTCGAAGATTTTGAAGAGAGGAGACCAGGGCTTGATAATGCAAGCCGACGTAAAAAACAGAAAGCGCGTTAGAAAGGGAAAATGGCCTGTATGTAATATATCTCAACATTATGCATTTTTGCTCTATATAAAAAATAAAATTAACCTTATTATATTGTCACACAACTATAGCAAATTGAAGAAGCAGTGATTCTTTGGATCAACATTGCTGAAAATAATCAGATTCCCATCACTTGGGAATTGATTAAGACTAAAGCTACTATTTTCGCTGAAAGAATAGGCGTTAAAGACTTTAGTGCTTCTCAAGGCTGGATGGAGAAGTTTGGAAAGCGTCATTGCATTAAAATGAATCGAATTCATGGTGAGGCTGGTTCTACTGATATAGAATCGCTTCAGATTGACAAGGCTGCCATCAAAGAGAAGATAGAGGGATATAGTGTTCGTGACATATATAACTTTGATGAAACAGCACTCTTTTATGCTACCCCACCAAGAACAACAATTTCTCACCAGAAATTTTCTGGTTGGAAAGATAACAAGAAGCGCCTGACTGTAGGTCTCTTGTGTAATGCGGACGGAACGGACAAGTGGTCCGATGTACTGATGATTGGGCATGCAAGAAGACCAAACTGCTTCAACAAGAACAACAAGAAGCAAGAAGCAAGTGATCATGGATTCTCCATGTATCATTACAATAGCAATGCTTGGATGACAAGATCGATCTTTCATGTTTTCCTCCGTCGCTTTGATCATGCCATGAAAGCTCAAAAGCGCAAAGTTCTTTTGATTCTCGAAAATTTATCTGGTCATATAGTTGATTATACACCTACAAACGTCGAGCTTCTTTTTTTGCCACCAAACACCACTTCCCACCTTCAGCCATTGAATGGTGGTATTATTCGGGCATTCAAGGCTTATTTCAAGTGTAAGCAGTATGGCAAGGCATATCAATACATTGGCATGATTCAAAATGGCAATCAAGATAAAATCGGGCCAATTGATAAAATCTTTGAAATTGATCAATTGTGGGCCATGAAATGGATAAGAGAGGCTTGGGAATCTGTCTCGGCAAAGACTATTGAGAACTGCTGGAATGCAACAATCTTTCGCTTTATTGAAGACGAAGATAGTGAAGGTAGTAGTAAAACAATTTATTGGTCATAATAGTAGTATAATCTTTCAATTCCACTTTCTTAATATTCTAAATATAATTTATAGATGTAAACCAGGCTATGATTCAGCAAAGTCTGGCTGAAAAGGTTCTCGTCGAGGGTTTACAAGAAACCCTGGACAAGATTGCTGGATCAGGTCTTCTGTCTCTGGAAGATTGCCCAACAAATGAGTCTGATCCACTCTATGAGAGACAATGCACTCATAGAGTGGTCAATGAAAATGAGATCGCAGATATTGTGATGGAAGAATATGACGCCGACGAAAATGCAGCCAACAACAGCAATGAAGAAACTGCTGAAGTGGAATCAGCAGTTTCTTTTAAGAGAACTTATTCTGCTTCGGAAAAGTTTGAGTGTGTTTGCACGCTTTTGGATATCTTGGAAGACGAAGATATTGACAGAGACTTGGTCAGTAAGGTTGAAGGCCTTCGAAACAAGTTCCAGAAAACCGCGAACTCAAAGCAAACTAAAGTCACCAGCTTCTTCAAGTCTTTTTAAAATTTATTCTTTTTCAAATAAAATAAAAACAATTTTCTATAAGAAATATATTTTTCTTCATTTAAAAATAGAAAAAAAAAGTTAGCAGCCAAGTACAGTCAAAGCTTGATTTCGTAATATGTTTGTAAATAGTAACAATTGCAAATAACAATAAATAGTAATGACAGATAGAAATAATAAAATCTATAATAAAAACTTTTATAACAAAACAAATTAGAATTATATTTATATTTTTCAAGTAAATAATTTTTACTAAACAATTAATAAATGAAACTTAATCAAAATATAGCACATATAGTTTTATTTTATTTCTGAAAAAAAAATGAAAAAAAAATTTTAAAAAAAGTAAGCTAGATGACAACTTGATAACCCAGTGTTTGGCATGAAAACTTAACGCACTTGACATTGATGTCAATTACAAAATCGTGAAAAACTAGAATTAAAAAAAAAAATTAAACCAAACTGTAACTATATTGCTCTCGTCTGATTGGCTAATTTTTTTTCTTTAAGGATTCAAGGCCAAAAAATTTCGTGAAAGTGAAATTAACGAGAATCGTGAAAGTTAAGCCCTATTTTTCGAGTTGGGTCTTCAGAGCCTTGAAATTATCGAAGCGTGAAATTAAAGGGGCGTGAAATTATCGAGGGACCACTGTATAATCTTTTATTTGAAGTTTGAATGCTTTAGCTTTTATTACTGAGGAGCAGTTGCATGTTGAATACATGCCATGATTTCTCTCATGCATTTTTTGGGCTCAGAGGTCGAAACGTTTTTGATTGTGACTGTATTCATATCCTAAGAACTATTAGTCAATTATAGCTTTAAAGAAATAAGAGACAGCTAAGATACTACTTTGCTAATTGAAAATTAGCAATTAAAAGGCAAATGTTAATAAGTACTTTCTATAAACCACTAACACGAGTCTTATCAATAAAGAAATATATTCTTTCAACCGGAAGGAGGGATATACTGTTATTTAAAAGCTCCGATGTTATAGGTATAACGTTTGTAAAGATTCAATACTATGCACTAGGAACAATTGTTACCCTTGTAATTAAATATCATAAACAAAAATAAGTTTATTTGAAGTCTATCAAGGGTGTGCACTATAAAGTCCCACAAAATACTGGCATTCTCCAAAGCCTCAAAAGCTGTATTTTTCAGGAGTAGGAGATAATTGACCCAAAAATTCTCCATATGAATATAGCAAGTATCCTGAGTACACTGTTTTCGGAAAGTAAATCCGTCATTGGTCGAAAACAAATGCATACAGAATCGAGAACAAAATTCATATAGCACAAAATGTAAATTCGCCCTCGCTGGAAAATCAGATGCCCATGTTGCCAAGATTATTTTGCAGTACAAACCTTGGTATAATTGGGTATATAAATACACCCCAAATGCTTATCATCTTTTTATTTCTTTTTCACAATTACACCAGAAATTATATGACAATGAACATTCAATTTTTGTATGAAAATGGAAAAGGTTCTGCTGTTGACGAATACGGCTGGCCTGAGCCAATGTATTATATTGTTGATTAGGAGCAATTTCGTTTCGAAACGTTGAGTTCTCATACACAATATTTAGATCAACTGCATCTTGAGAGTGAGAAAATTATAGAGACAATGCAGATCGAAAGGGTAAACCCTAATAATGACGTTAAAATGAAAGAGACATTAATGAAACGAAGTTACACACACTACTCTGATCAGGACAAAATGAAGTTCTTCAAACTGTTATTTGAGAGATTTTTGAGTGCTGCTGCTGCAGAAAAACAACTAGGGTTCACGTTCGTACAGGACAGAAATGGGCTGCACAATACGAAAAGGATCCTGAAAGCATATTTGAGAAACGGAGAAAGACTGGCCGCCCACGTATTCTCCATGACAAACACAAAAATGCTATTCTTGAGTGCATTGATGAGAATCCTTCCGTCGTCTTAGACGAAGTAATGAAAAATTTAAAGCATACATTTACAGAATTAAAAGTATCTAAAACTACTTTGTTTGATTTCGTAAAAAAAAACTGCAATTTGTCTCTCAAAAAAGCTCGGCTTCAGCCCATAGACCGAAACAGTGAAGAAAGGATTCAAGAGCACTTGGATTGGATTCACAAATGGGATAAAACAGATATGGATTTTACAAGAAATTGTGTCTTTCTTGACTAATCTGCTTTCCATATTAATCTGAAGCTTAGTATAGCATGGACAAAGAAAGGCACACCGACAGCAGTTACAGTTCCCAAAACACGAGCAACAACAACAGCCATTCTAGGTGCAATTTCTGGCGAAGGATTAATAAAATATAGTCTTAGGCTACCGCAGCCTCCATCTAATAAGAAAAGAAAGACAGGTGATGGTGTTGGGTATATGAGTAAAGGTACGGTGACAGGACACTATACTAGCTTTCTAGAAGCTACAATGGATGAAATGGACCAATATCCACATATGAAAGGCTATTATCTTGTGATGGATAACGCCCCTATCCATACACCAGAAGACATTGTTAAATACATAGAATCTCGTGGTTACCACTGCGCTTATTTGCCTTCATATTCTCCTGAGCTCAATCCGATTGAGCAATTCTGGTCAGTTGTCAAAAGCAAAATAAAACGCAACAAGTTTCTCGAGAAGAAAACGCTGATGACCCGGATCAGTGATGTCTCTAATAGCTTGAAGTTAAGTGATTTTAAAGGGATTGTTAAACATTCTCATAAATGCTTGGACAAGTGTCGTAATTGTCAACCGTTCTGAAGCAGCTTTTTTTATTCCGCGAAATCATTGAAATTAAAAAAAAAAGTAAAGAATTCTTTTTTATTGGTTTCAATTAGCGGCCATTATACAATATTTGTAAACGATGAAGTACATATTTCTTAATCCTTTGATTGGCTAATGAAACTGCTGTGCTAGCTTCGACTGCAATTGTCGAAAAACTGACTTTGGTTGCAACAGTTGCTGGGGACAAAGTTTGATTTTCTTTTAAGGTATACTGCAACTCGTCAACAAATCTTTTCAAAGTAGACCATGATTGTGATGTTATCTTGTCAGATCCCTTTGTATCGCTATACGCGTTAAATGTTTTAATGGCAGATTCAAAGCTGGCAGGAGTTCCTTTGAGGAATGAGAGTTCCAAGGCTTGTAAAAATCGAGATGATAATTTACCTACAGAATTGGCTGCAGAGCCGTATCCTTGATTGTGAGGCAAGTCACAAACGGGGAAAACAGAACATGGCATCAAGAGATCAGAATCAAATTCTGCATGGGAGGCTCTTGTCATAGCGAAAGTCGATGGATGATTGAATCCTGAAATAAGTTGACGCATTGATGTGACTGATTGGGCTGGCGAATAAGTCATTGTCTCGTGTTTCATTATTGCAATAAGCTTCTCCATTTGGTTTTGGCGGAACAGGCACTATGGCGGAGAAAATGGTAAAATGTTACCACTTTGGTAACATAGCTGCCATTTTTCGCGTTTTATATGGAGTTTACGGAGTTAGAAAGCCGAAGTAAAAGACGAAATCGTAACAATTTTTATATGTGGGGTTTGTTACAATTCTAAGCAGTGAAAGTTTGTGAAGATTTTACTAGTAAAAATGTAAACAAGTTAGGCATGTGACAATGAGATTTTCTTATACCTATTTTATTTCTTACATACCAAAATAAATGCTCACACCAGAAAATGTAAGCCAGTTATCTCGGAATATAGAACGCCTGTACAGTCCTAGACTTTAAGTAAACGACTGCCGTTTTTTACTAAGTAAAAAATGGCAATTATGACTCTGTATAAGGCCAAAACAGGCAATGTTACCATTTTTTACATAATAAAAAATGACAGTTATTAGGGAGGTTTGTGCAATTTTGTTTTACCAATCTCTTTTCCAATGTACTAATATGAGCAGAAATGTCTTACCAATCTTCTGAAGTTTCATTTTGGGGAACCTTACGGACAGCCTGACAGGACAGCCTGGACAGCGTGTACCCTAAGTTTAAGGGGACGACATTTCTTGGTGAGGGGCGACATTTTTGTTCTACCGGAACACAAAACGTGGCCTTTTTTTTTCGGCAAGAAATAACTCTATCTGGCTCCTAATGATGCAGAATATCTGAATAAAGACATTCTTTTGTACTTTTCAGAAAAAGAGCAGATGGGGATTACTTACCAGCTGGTACTGTCTGACTGTGGAAATAGTTAGAGGAAAGAAAGACAAAGACATGATATGCGTAAGCAGGTCAATAAATAGTAAGATATCAAACAAGATTGCGTCACAATCTAATGGCAACAACTCCTTATGACCTTCTGCATAACTGCCTTTTGGTATAGTGTATTTGTGATTAAGGGGCTTCTCAAGCGCCCGACAAGACCCAAAAG